GCGATTTTGGGCCCCGGCTCAAGTATTAGAAACCATGCGACTCAGAATGCGCATCATAGGTATTTGCTTCCTCATTTTATATTGGTTTAGTGGGGGCCTTTTGTTCGCTATCTTCAGGTAACTGTCGGCCGGCTGGCAGTCAAGCCGAGGCTTGGACAACACAGCCTGTGGCACACCTGCACGCCTGGGGGATCTGGGGTCAATAAAAAAAAGCTTTCGCTCCCGCTCGAACCCATTGGGTGCTTTAGTTCGTGACCTCGACCATCACTTTTAATTTGTTGACAAAGACTGTGAGGGTATAAACGGAAATCAGTTGAGCAATTGAACTGTTCACTAGCTAAAATGTAGCCTTTATGTTGCGCATGGTTGTTGTCAGAGACAGAAAGGGATACCGCCAACTTTGACGTGCAGACCGCAATGTAGAGTACAAAATTCAATTGAATGCTGTCTGCCAATTAGATTCGTCTAACTAAAGGAGACTGCACCATGTATACCCTCCTTGTCAAAACCAATTAGGTTCAAGAAGATATGTCAGTTTTGATGGAAAGTTGACTCGGGACCTCTGGAATGTCACCGCAAAGGTACTCCCTTCGCTCTGAGGTTGTCACTGGAGAGCACCTGTCAAATATTAAAGCAACAGCCTTTGTTTTGGCAATCAGCAGCTCTCCTCTTCTTCTTTCTCTCTTTCTCTCCTTTTTCTCCTCTCCTCTCTCTCTTCCTTCGCTCACTCGTTCACACATACAATTGACATCCACATCCATCCCCATCCACTTTCAGCTACAATCCCTATCGTTTTATATATCCCCACCTCACATTGTCTCTATTGTTGCATCCACCCATATAAGCCCTCTCTACCATCGACGCCATGAATTATAACCAACATACTCTATGCCCTCAACAACCCCATCTCTCGAACATCACCACTCAAATCACACATATCTCTCCAGTCCCCTATACCTCCACATCAAAGGGTCGATTGGTCCTCACAGGTTCTGGTCAAGGCCAGCAGAGACCGCGACTATCGCGCGCTGCTTCTGCTGACATTTACCCTGTTCAATTGCACTCTCAGAGTCCCACGGTGCCACTGTCTATCGAGGCGCTGAGGATCCTTTCTGCCGCAGAACACAAACATCCTCGAGGTCCCACGCGCCGCATAAACGAGAGATCCCACTCCATCTCCTCATCCACGTCCTCCTCATCTTTCTTCTCGTCTGGATCATCCTGCTCCTCCTGGCCCTCCGAACATGAGGCGGATGTCGAGCATGAGCAGCAGAAATACATGGTCTTCCGCAAAAATAAGACGCTCCCGCCCCCAACACTATCCCCAATCCTGATGCCCTCGATCCCACATCAGGTTACGAAGAGATCTGCGCGATCCGACTCGCCATCAAGGTTTTCTGTAAGCTCGTGGTCAAAAGATAGTTGCGCCAGCAGCAGCAGCAGCTTTGGCGGTAGCGATAGTGAAGACGACCCTCTGTCGGATGCCTGGCCAAAGATTGAAAAGATCCGTATCCGTTCGCGGTACCCGGACGAGTCTGCAGACAACGCCTCAAGTTCCCAATCGTTCGTGTCTGAGCTCCCACCGCCTCCTTCTCTGTATCACGACAGCTATCATTGTGATGATTCGGTCTCCTCGCGCAAGTATTTGGCCCTCTCTGCCTCCATCTGGGGCCCTGGCTGGCACCAGGTCGAGCCATTGCCTGCTTCGTTTGTCAAAACGATGGAGCAAACCGAGCTCGAGGCCCAGGCACTGGCACAAGAGAAGGCTGGCCAGGTGGCCGCAAACCCGAGGACAAAGGCCAAAAAGGCAAAGCAGCAAGCCAAAGCCGCGGCAGCATCAGCATCAGCATCAGCATCAGCATCAGCAGCAGCAGCAGTAGCTTCTAGTTCTGTGGAGGCTACACCCGATGAGGGCGTGAGTCTGGGCATGCCGATATCGACAGAGACATTTGTGCTAAAGCCGACCAGTTCCATCGTGAATATGTTGTGTTCTGCCCGTTTGCCTCGTAGCCTCCAATTTGTCGATTAAAAATACATGGTCGAACAAGCATGGAGGTACATGGAGGAGCTGGATGGATACATTTCCTTGCCTTCAGCGATTCCCAGTACTGTTACGTATACGCAAACGAGCGACTCTGTAGATATTATTGGGAGGTTTTTTTCTGTACTAGCATACATATTTTTAAGCATAGCAAGGTTAAAGTAGCATACACAATATATACCACGTCTTTTTTTTTAAAAAAAAAAAAAAAAACGCGAGTTGGATGGTACACGCGAATCGCCCTTTTTCTCCTCTGTTTTTTATTATCAGTAATTGTCTATGCGGACATGCGCGGTACTCTCCCTGTCTGCGTTTCAGTACTACGTTGGAGAATAGGGGAGGGAGGGGGGCAAATGTACCTGCGCTACATACCATCTTGTTATTGTTTCTTAATTTCTGCAGTATCGGGGGGAGGGGCCATCACAAGAATTTGTTCCGCTTTGATGAAATCTGGCCCTCGGGTCATACGACCCTTGCTTTGCCTTTCGGGTATCTTTGTAACATTGTAGGATAAGAACATGGAAAGCATGAGGATGAAAATCGTAATCACGGAAATCGCGCGCGCGCAAAATAAAATGAAATAATAATAAATTTTTATTTATGCGGGCTACCTACACGTACCCTCTGGATCTGCGATGAATATATTTCAAATTATACAACGTCAACAGTGAGCGTTTCTCCAATTCGAATTGTGTTGAAAGTATTGGGGTCATGTCCACGGTTCTTCATCTCGGCCTCCAGTCGTCGAGGGGGCTCTGTCACATCCTCGTCCGTCAACACCCACTATCGATCGTAAGATCGGTGGGGTAATGATAAAAAAAAAAGCCAGTGTCAACATCCAACTCATATCTCTAATTTCGCCAAATAAACGCGTCGAAACACGACAACAACACTAAGGATGAGATGGTTTACTTACAGTGCCCCAGTGCATGCCGACGCTGCGTTTGGATTTGATGTCCTCGTGAAGCCTGACAGCGTCCTCGGGCGAGCAATGGACCGGGGACATGAACCACCGTGGACTGTACGCTCCAATCGGAATCATCGACAGATCGAACGGTCCGACGCGCTCGCCGATCTCCTTGAACGCCGGACAGTGAGGCACCGTGTTCTCGTCAGCACCCTTAGGCACGTATCTATATCCCGTGTCTCTGTAAGGATCGTAGGGAACGCGTTAGACAATGCATCTGCTATAGTCCTCTAATAAGAAAGATTAAATTGAGGTCGCTTTTAAACTCTTACCCTCCAAAAAAGACCTTGACGCTCCTTTCAGAAGCATCCTTGGGAACCGTTTCGAGAACCCAGGAGGCCCACAGGGTCTTGTAATGGTCCGTCATAGATCGGCCAGTGAAATGTTGGCAAGGCGTACAAATCACTTTCACTCCAGACTTATTTTCGTGGAACGTGTGCTCGTGCTCGTCCCACCTTGAGTATTAGTTAAAGCCAATTGAGCAGAAGAGATATCAGAAACAACACTGCCAACTGTATGGCAAATGTCCACAGCATGCAATTGCTTCATTCTTTCACTCACCAGTCGCATTCGGTCACTTTATCTTTGATGCCAATAGAATGGAACCATGCCTCATTACCGAGCGGGACGTAAAAGTAAGGTGCGTGGTCCTTTTGCAGGGTCTGGATGGTGGCCAGATCCAAGTGGTCGTAGTGATTATGACTAATCACCACAATGTCAATTCGAGGCAGCTCGTCCAGCTTGCAAGGCGGCGGTGTAATCCTCTTAGGCCCTGCCAGTTGACTGGGGCTGCATCGCTCTGAAAAGACAGGGTCGAACAGGACGTTCACGCCCTCAAGCTGTACCAAGAAGCACGCACTATTAAGTAATTGAATAATAAGGCCTAGGACATTAGGAATACTGTTCCATGAGTACTACATGAATGTAGCTCCGCTGCATGCCATATACCAAGAGAAGACCACTTACTGTCCCAACCAGGTCGTTGTGACCTTGCCATGTCGAGCTCCTTGTTCTGCTCCTTGCTTTGGCAGACTGAAGGTATCGATCAAGGGTTTGTCGAGACTCAAGACCTTGGGTAGTGTGGTATCCTTAGTCACCTTGGACTGAGTCCGATCGAACTCAAAAAACATCCTTAGGACGGAAAGGGGCCCGTGTTTGTAGAAGGATGGCCATGGGTTCACAAATCCCTTGCCACTGGGGTCATGGTGTGCGGGCAGGTTTTCCTTGGTCGTGGCTGGAGTGGAAGTCATCGTTGAGTGAATGTTGATTTCAAAAAAAAAAAAAAAAAAACGAGGATGGTGTGAATAGGTTGAGGGCACACTTTTGACCAACTGTTGAGGCACAAGAAAAATAAACCTTAATGTGCACCGATCGAATGTGGACAGGCACTTCTGACGTGGGCGAAACGATCGGGAATATGTTTTAGCCGCGACAGCTGCGGTTCAATGGATTGACGTATGCCGATGGGTACAGGGATGTGAAATGGGGGAAGGAGGGGGAAGGAAGGGGAAGGAGGAGGAGGGGAGGGAGGAATAGTACCTTTACCTTCTGCGAAGCCCACGGGCTGAGCAATTGCATGCCGTTGGCGATAAGCAATAGCGCCTAAGACGGTCAGGCCTGCTGCAGTAGCCCACCTGGACCGACGAGCAAACATTGGATCTTGGATTAAAAGGAAGGTAGGCTTGGAAATGTAGGGGTGTTATGTACTGAAATGGGTGGTGTTTGCCCAGAGGTAGCGGCCCGGTGGGCTATCGAGCAATCGAGCAATCGAGAGAGAGAAGAGGCCCCTCAGGAATTGTAGCGAAAAGTGGAATGCGATCGAAGGAGGGCTGTGTGCCTCTCTAAGATTTTAGCCTTGAGAGTAGTCCGGTATGGTTTATGATGGAAAGGGGAATGGACCACTTGTGGTCCTCCTTGGTCAATCAAGTCGAATCCACCTCTCTCCTCCAGTCCATCTCGGTTTTCATCGCTCATCACCCACTCCGAAGTTCCTTTATTTGCTTGTCGTTTTTGCGCAGAGCTGCTCTGTCAAGTCTGTCAAGTCTACGAGGGGAATTGCCGCAACAAGCGCCAGTAAAAAAAAAAAAAAAAAAAAAAAGATATAGAGTTCAGCGCAGCCAGGAACAAGGGAAAGAAAGGACAGGCAAGATGACGGAACAGGTTCTTACAACACCACCTCCGCCGGCTGATTCCTTCATCGTCATCAACGGAGTAGATGATCGCGATGCTGGCATCTACTCGGACAACTTTTATTCTCAGCGTATGGGCCCTTTTAGAAGCGCTCTACGGCGACGAATGCTTCCCTGGGTTCGAAATGAGACAGACGATCTTGCTGCTCTCCAGGTAAGGGGAGAAATACTAGACCAATTCCTTTTGCAATTGACCCAAGCCTCTAACCGGAATCTAACTGGGTCTTATCAAACTGTCCCTCAGGATCGATGGAGGACACCCTTTCTGGACAGCTACTTCACATTGACAGCCTTTGCTGGCCATCCTCTGTTCTTTGTGTGCATCCTGCCAATAATGTTTTGGTATGGCCACTCGGTCTTTGCGCGCGGCTTCGTAAATGTCGCCTGTGTCGGTGTCTTTGTCACCTCCTGGATCAAGGACTATCTCTGCCTGCCTCGACCTCTCTCGCCGCCCCTGATCCGACTCTCGCGTTCCAAGCGAGGTACACTTCTCCTTTTTTTCCGAGTGCACTCTGACAATGTGGAGAAGCCTGGTTGCTCATGGTATCTTTTTAAATAATCACTTGCATAGTCCACTTGGAGTACGGTTTTCCATCCACGCATACGAGCAATGCGACTTCGATCGCATTATACCTTCTTTCCTATTTGCTCATTTCGGACTGGTCTATCGTCGCCAAGATCCTTTCGATATTCAGTTTGGGCGTATACCTGTTCAGCGTGGTCTTTGGTCGCCTGTATTGCGGTATGCACACAAAGACGGACATTATGGGTGGAACCGTTATTGGCATCGTCGTCTGGGCCGCTCAATGGGCCTTTCACGACTCTATTGATGCTCTGATGACCGAATCCAGCTGGAAAGGTACGAGCCATGAGACTATCATGTACAGATTTTCCTCTTCAGTTATTTGATCTAGAACACTCACCCGCGCGCAATGCACCTTTTACCTAGTTATCTTTGCGGTCGTCCTTGGGGGCATCGTCCTGATCCAGAGCATTCCCGAAACAATGGACAGCTGTCCGTGTATTGACGATGGGTAAGGTGTAACGACAGCTGGACTTCAACTTTCCATTACAAAATGCCAGGCCTACCTTTCTGACGCGTTTTGCTGTTTCTGCTATTCATAACTGATGACAGGGTCACCACTATGGCAGTGATTATGGGTGTCTTCCCCGCGAGCCAGCACTTTGCGCTCTCCAATTATGCAGTCAGTGCTGATGGTCATAATGGCATCGTTCACTACGACCCTACTCTCGGCTTCACAGAGTCAATTCTCCGATTCGTGTTTGGGCTAGCGGTCGTATTCACTTGGCGCATGGTAGCCAAGAAGATACTGTACATTGTTCTGCCTCCTGTGTACAGATATTTCAACCTGCCATCGCGAACTCACTTTGTCCCTGCAAAGTAAGTGACTGGAAAGAAGAGCACGCCAATTCATGACCCGTGTGTTTTATTGACCATCGCGCTCGCCTTGTGCAACATCTATAGGACGTATGGAAACCTTCGCAGACAACCAATTGGTCGCGTCCCTTCGGTCATGGATCTACAAGCTCTAGCTGACTCGTCCATCGAGATCGTGGGTCCACAGTCGACCATGGATATCCATGAACAGTTCTCACAGAGTCGGTCCTCTAAGCGGCTGAGTATGCGGAATCTGCCAGACTACGACATTGGGACAAAGGAACACTTCGGGCTCCGTCCCAGTCAAGCCAGCAAAGCGCGCCAACAAACACAAGAAAGCGAGGTAAAGACATCGCTAGAGGTGCTGGATGGAGACAGTCTAAAATCAGAATGCGAGCTGGATGAGTCGGAAAAGATCGCGATGGAAAAATTCGAGGCGGAGCATCCAAGTTGGGCGCGGTTCGATGTCGATATTGTTATCAAGACTGTGGTCTATGCAGGTATGCAGATGCAGTGCTGCCGTTATCCCTCAAGAACGATTGTAATGCGCTTCATGATACCGATGATTTTCAAAAATTCACCGACTATTTTCTTCAACTATTCTTTAGGTATTGGATGGTTGGCTGTGGACAGCATTCCAATCATGTTTGAGTACATAGGCCTTGGTACTTCCTCACTTCACGCCTAGACTAGCAACCTTAGCCTGGAAAATAAATACGGATCATTCAAGTCGGACTTGACCAAAAAGTCCCCAGTTGTTTGACATGAGGTTGTCATTCATGACACAGAAAATGGGTAGGGTGGATCCTTACTGGGGAATGTTCGGTGCATGACATAGTCTGCAACATGCAGACCCTGCGGCATCCTCAATCCGTACTATTTCTGGCGCACCCGAACGATGGAACACGCGAATGCGCCAAGCGATGACAAAATTTGTCAGTGAGAATGGGTCAAAGCATAAATTGCTCCTCCTTCCGTCTTTCGTTCATCTCATTCCACTCTTTCTCTCATTTGTTCTTGATTCCTACCATCGCTCATGTATCAACAACCCGTCTTGTACTATTCTTCTATTCCACTCCTTCTAGCAGCCATATTCTTCTGCCCTATCACTTCTTGATTATATTTTTTAATTATTATTTTTTTATCTCGCACATCTTACCTGGAAGTCGATGTTGCTTACCTCCCGTTCGCCTTCGGTCGGGCAGCAACCACAGCAACAGCGCTTGCACCAACATTCTTCCTCAGGGACGCAACCGCAACAGCATCAGCTTCATCATCACCATGCATCATCTTCACACCATCACCATAGCCGCCAGGGCAGCAATGGACTGTCCTCGTCAAGCTCTTCATCCTCCTCCAGTCCGAAACGCTTCAACTACAATCAGGACGAAAGCACCATTACTATCGAGGAATATGAGGAACTTTTGAGCTCTGAAGTGTGGGTCGAAGTCCCCAAGCTGCGAGAGTATGCTCGCCATGGCATCTCACGAGAAGTGCGAGGAGTAAGTTAATTTCCTTTTTCTTTTTTTTCTTTTTTTTTTTTCTTTACTTTCCATGGTATCTCCTTTGCAGATTGCGGAAACAGCCAGGTTTCAAAAAATATAATACTGGGTTATCTTTTGGATGGGGTTTTTTATTTGATGGCGATTCGTTTCAAGGAACAGAACTTTCGAGATTGCCCATTTCCCGCCAATTGGTTCAAATCTCAGGACAGGTGTCTATAAGCACACTTGGCTCCCTCCTCAGCACACTTGGCTCCCTCCTCAGCACACTTGGCTCCCTCCTCAGCACACTTGGCTCCCTCCTCAGCACACTTGGCTCCCTCCTCAGCACACTTGGCTCCCTCCTCTTCTCTTCCGCCGACATGCTTATCTCCAGGAGTAGGGAGAAGGGCATAGCCGATGACGGGATATGGAAAGCAGCGCAGTCTCTGTGCACCACACAACAATGAAGTGCGCATTCAGCCCGATCTCTTTGGAAGATGTTTTGGTTGTTTTATACATTACTATCCTGGCTGCTTTTACATGGTTTATGCCGGATTACTAACTTCGCATAATTGTTTATGTCTTTTAGGAGGTATGGCTCTATTTACTTGGAGTGAATGACGCGGACCGATCGAAGGAGATGTCGGTTCAGAAACAAAGAGTACAGGAATTCGAGCAGCTGGATAAGGAACCTAGCGAGTCCTCGAAACGAGTCCGGGGAGAGATCTCGCGGTATCTGCGTAAGACTAAGATTGAGTCCAGCAGAGACATTCCTAGATTGTTTGAGGAAGTCATTAGCGCCTACTGCAACCAGAACCATCAGGTCGAATATTACCCCGCGATGGTGAACCTGTGCGCACCGTTTGTGTATTCCATCAAGAGCGAGTGGGATGCATACCTATGCTACGAGAGAGTGATCAACATGCTAAGTAAGAAAGGCGGTGCTTGTTTATGGTTGAGTGGGAGCTGCAACGACTACGCTGACACGGACTGTGACAATTGTGACTCATCTTCACTCTTTCTCTGCTGCTTTGCCATCGGGCATATAGATGAACACTACAGTGAAGAGAGCATCAATGAAGCGGTGGCAAAGTTCATGACGCTCTTCCATACCTGCATTCCGGACTTGTACAGCTATTTCGAAGAGGAAGAAGTCGACATTAAGGAATGGGCGGCCTCTGCGCTACAATTTGTTCTGTCAAGGGAGCTGCCGCTCGAGAACACGATGCGGCTGTGGGACACGTACTTTGCAATTCCGGATGCTGGTTGGATCACCTTGCATCCTTACGCCTGTCTTGCGATTCTAAAGCACCTGAAAGAGGGATTCGAGGATTTGGAGCAGTCGGAAATCAGGACTATGCTGATGCAATTACCAAACTTGGATATGGATAGAGTAAGTCCGGCTTCAAAGACATTCTTTTCTTGGTTGATTTCCTCGAGCTTGTGTGCTAAAGCTTCTTTCTCTCGCACTTTCTCGTTCTACGCGATATAGATTATCAACGAGGCGTTCAACCTGCGACATGAGATCTTAGAGCGACAAATCTCGGATGATGGATTGTAAATACAGCGCTTGTGAATGCAATAAATGAATAAAGGGACTGGCGTACACTATTAAATTGGAGTGTTAGTGAACTCTACCAAATAGTCCATGATGTCCTCCATATTTTACATGCATTTGTTCTTTGTCGCTCGTCAGGGAAACCAAAGTTCTAAACAGGAATGTGTGTAAGGCATGCGCGGGCTTGACTTGCATAAATGGTTCGAATTTTTGATTGCACATTTCCGCAAACTAGGCTGAGCTGAACTGTTAGTAACATGTAATACAAGAATACTGAAACAACCTTTCCATATTTGTCTTCATCTTACCATAATCCCCTCTTTACCTTGGGGGCCCTGGTGACATCGTTCTTGGATGTTGAGAGTTTGAAGATGGCACCAATGTTTGCTGACTGGCGGTGGTAGTGGTGCTGGTAGCACTAGGACGGGAAGTAGCTCAGAAAGAAAAAACGCGAGCTGGGCGTGCTGGGTGTGCCGAGCTTGGACTTGCAGGTCAAGGTGTGATTGATAGCCTGAGCGGTTATAGTAGGATTCGTCCAAATATACAATCACGGCGTCCTTATACTTGTCGGACCGTCGCTCTTGAAGGTAGTGCCGCTCTTGGACTTGATATCTTTGGTCTCGACAAAATTCCCACTGCTCCCGACATCCTGATAACGGAAACCCATTTTCTTCATCAACAAGCGAATCGCTTCCTTGCTTGGAATCTTGAATTGATCCGCGAATAACATCTCGATACGGTTGAAAAGGATTTTAAGGTTAACAGCTTGCCCCTTGGTGTTCATTTCCGTTGCGATTCGTTGAAGGTCTGAAGCAAACGATAGAGTGTGGTTGTAACGTGGATGCCTGCCTCGAAACGTCTCCGTTATCCTTTCTCAACACGATATTCTTGACGGTATTGAGTGAGAATCCCATGCAACAGGCCGTTCCTAGAAAAGGATCCGATATTGTAACAAGTTTCGCGTTCTCTTTTTCTTCCTCGCAAAACTCGTAGCAATGAAGTACTGCTCTACGCTCCTCTACAGACACCCTTTTTCCTAAAGGCCATTTATGCTGTTTGACTGAAACAAACGTTTTGCCGGGAGACACGATCTTTCGCAATTATCTGATCTGGCTCTACAATAGCCTGACCTTCCTCTGCAGCTTCTCAATCATCTCCAAGGTCTCCGAGAGTATTGGCTCTTCCTCTTTTTTCAGATCGTTGGACAGAGTTTCGGAAGAGGAATCAAGGCAGAGGCGTTTCATTGAAGTCCTCGTGGATGATTTTTCTGGTAAAGCAGCATGGGCTTCAGACAAGGACATGGCTTTGTCTCAACCTATGACCAACTCACTCGCAATTTGTTGGTCGATTCCCTCTTCGCGTCGCTTCTTCTTCCTACGTCGGTCACAGTCTAAAACGGAAGTATAAACGAGTGCATTTCTTTTCTTATGGTTCATGACAGGCAAAGGCTGGCCATACCTTGGTAACGTCATTTGAAATTGATGACCGGCAATGGCGCTTCAGAAAACGCGCTTTACGAAGAAACGCTCAGGGCTGGTATAAGTAAATCGGCGTCTACAAAGTCGATGCCGTGCTCCGTTTTGTAGAAAGTCGTATCTGGGCTGAGATCTTGGGATGATGAAATTTTAGACAAGGATGAAGATGAGTAAATGGTTTTTGAGAAAAACGCTCGTGGTCAGTGTAAGCGAACTGGTGCTTGAGAAGACAACTGCTTGCTCCGATGTGCAAAAAGTTGATTCGGCAGCGAGATTCAGGGGTGATGAAGAAGTGACAAAACTTTGTAGCGGTGTAGGTCCTTCAAAACAAACGATGGAAACACGCTGTAAAGCCGTGCCATCTGAGTTCAGTGGAGTCCTCAATGGCATTGTAGAGCCTGGAGGATAGCATTCGTATTGGGAGAGCGTTTTTTTGTCACGTACAATCTAACTATCGTTGGTGGGTCTATTCACGGAAAGTACCAGCATCATCTCAAAGGATATCGGGGGTTGTGCTCCATGTGGACGCAGAACTGTAACTGTCCATAGTTTCCTGCATTGCTTGGAAAAGCGATACGCGTCTGCATCTGTCTACAATCGATATCCTTGTTTATTGTTTGTTTGAATGCATAGAGCCATTGTTACCGACAGCAATGGCACATGACAGCTTCCAGAAATATTACGAGAATTCGTCTACAAATCGAGATCCTTTGATGGCTCTTACTCTTGCTCTTGCTTTTGCTCTTTCTGTGTCCAGGATATCACACTAAAACCATGACGACAGAGGCAACAGGTAACTCAAGCGATGTGCGTCCGTATTTTGATGCGAGGAACCGCCTGCAAGGGGGAGAGAGGAGTGGGTCTTTTGCTGATAAGACGGGGTTGCTGTTGAGTCGACCTTGGGAACACAAATGACATTGGTGCTCAATAGTGTACAGCTTCGAAAAGACCTTCCAGCGCAATTGCCGAAGTTATGTTACCGATGCACGCCAATAAACGCGTACCTTGCAGGGTTTCCCACCATCCCTCCACGATGCGTTTATGTCGAAGTACAAATGGACTGAACGGAGTCAGAGTAAATTACTGTGCGACATGAACGCTCCGCAATGCGAAAATCAATTAGAAAAGAGAGTAATGGTGAGCTGCGACACGACACAAAATGACGAATAAAAACGGAGCGGATGGGATCAAGGAGAAAAGGGATGTCCAAATCCACATCTTTTTTTCTCTTTGATGGCCATTTTTGCTCGTGTCTGTTTGTGAGCACAGTGCGGTAGACGATGGCTGCTTTTTGCATGGTTGCCGCTTTCACCAAACAACACGCGCATACATGTTCTCGTTTCGCTGCCGGCCCTCCCCTGCGTTTTGTTTGCAACATCCATCTGGTTCAGTCTAGTCTTGTCTAGGCTATCTAGCCCGCGATGGCAAGTGTGTGCCTGGGCGCACAGTCCAGTTCAAACATGACATACATTGCAGCCCGGCCTCCTCCCCTGGGCAATCGATCCTTCTCCGAGACAATGAGAGGTGCACAGGCGCTCTTTGTTAATCTTCTCACTCCTATGCGTCCCTGTTTGTGTAGACGCGTCTGGCAACACCTCCGCCCTCTGCTGCCGTCGTTCTCCCTTCTTTTTTGTTGCTGCTGTTGTTGTTGTTGTTATTACTGGTGCCGCTGTTGCCGCTGTGGTAGTTACTGCTGTTTGTTGTTGTTTGTCGTTAATAACACATCGAGAGCGAGGACCATGCCTCTCCTTACTTTTTAATGTTCTTTTTTCCTACTCGCCTGGATGCAATAACGAACCATCCACATACACAAAGCAGACATTTTGCGGGCTGTTGAAACCATCTTCACCCTTTATTTCTCTTGCCCTCGTTCAAAAAGGGTTTTGTGCTTCTGTTGCCTACATTATCATTGTTATTATCATCATCATCATCATCATCATTATTATTATTCACCAGCCTGACCTGACCAGCTGGCTGGCCATATAGGGTGTGTTCCTGGCTGACCGACCGACTGACTGGCTGACTAGCCTGACTGCCTGACTGACTGGCGGAGTAAGGGTAAGAAAGGAATGATCGTCCCTGACCGAAGGGAAGACAACACCTGAACCGGCACATTGGCCAACAAACAGGCAGTGTAACAAGCATCCATTGCAGACTATATAACATCTGTCCATTCTGCACGCCTTCTTGTGTGCGACTGTGTGGCCCCCATAGCATTGTCCCCCACCGACCCCTCCACGACGATCATCCGCCATTACGACACAAACGACAGCAAACGACCACCACACTGTAAAAAAATAATAACCGCACTTTCCCTTTCATTTCCCTTCCCTTCCCTCTCTCCCCTCTTGTTAATTGTTTTTGTTCCCAGCACCTTTGAGGCATTCATTCATTCCTCCCCTCCTTCCCTGGTCCTTGCTCATTCCACTCCATTCTCAAGAAGGCTCACCCGTCCCTCCCTTCCCTTTCTCTTTCTTTGTTCCGTCGCTCTTCAAGTCCGTCCTTCCCTCCTCCTCTCCTCCTCCCCTCCCCCCTCGTCCTCAGCATTCCCCCTCCCACCGTCGCAACCCCATACTCATTCGTCACATTCGCGCCCATTCCATTCCATCCAAACAGAACTTTCCGCCGACTGAATTCTCCCCCTGCTGTCTTCCTTACGTATCGAACTCTTGTGTTCGAGTAGAGAGTACGCGGCAGGTTTTTTTTATTCTTTTTTTTTTTTTATCTTTACGTCCGCTCTTCCGGCACCATTCCACACTTTTGTCTCTTCCCACTCCGTCGCCCTTTCTTCCCTCCGCACCACAGCTATCACTATGCCATCTGCTCGACGAGTTAACATGTTTGGGCCCTACGAGCTCCAGCAGACACTGGGAGAGGGTGAATTTGGAAAGGTCAAGCTCGGAAGACACATCGAGACGGACGAAGAGGTAAGTTTTGTGCTCTACCATTTGCCAATTGAACATACTTTTAACACAGGAAAGTGCATGAGCATGGATGAGCATGGGTGGGTATTGGGTGAGAAATGAGAAAAGGGGTGGTAGTCGTCTTTGTTTGCGGCAAAACGTGAGCCCCAGGTACATCCGCTGTTATATCGCCGTGTCTAAAATTCCAGCGCGTCCTATTCGCGCGTCCTTGCTGATTGGCGGCGTTTTGGCTTGACAAGATGGGCGGAGTCAACCAAGACAGTGGAATTGCGTGCCTCACAAAGCCCAAATGGGCCCCATCACCAGCACCGCCATCATCCCCTGTCATCTTCACTAGCGTTCCCTTCGTTTCTGCTTCTTGACCTGATCTATGGTCTTTTACAGGTACAAGGAACGTATCCTTCCATCCGCCCTGTTTTGCCACCTATCTTGGAATAATAGGAAAAGCAAATACAGGCACGACTCTCCACATTCTGTCTCGTTTTCCCCCCTTGGACCGGCACACCGTCGATTACTTATTTCATTAATATTGTCTCCATTACGGCTCACCTTTAATACACTTGTTACTGCCCGACCGCCCGCTCCTTCATCTCCTCTACGAGACAAAGAGATATTATTGCTCCTGACCATTATCAGCTATCAGTTGCTCTCCTTGCCCAAGTCCCCTCATTGCCTGAGGAGGCATTCGTGAGCATGCCGCCAAACCGCAATGCAATGCCTTCTCATCTTCGGCTCTGCAGATTCGTTAACGTTCCTCTTCCAAATTTAATGCATGATGCATCATGAAGAGCGACTTCATATCTCCCAACAGGCGCATGGCTGTACATCGCATGGGCTGACAAGAAAGCCGCTGCATTTTTGTTGATCCATTGAACGCCAAGCGCATCAAAAACCCGTGATATCTATAGCTCTGTCGCTCCCGCTCATCCACATAGGCTATTGAGCCATGTTTACTGTTAGCCTATTCATCAGAACAACGGATAGTTATCCATCCATCTCTTGATATTCTTGGCCTCATCGCCGCCCTTCTCACTCCAGTTCTCCCCTTTTTCATACACCTCCTACACTCGATCTGTCCCTTCCCCTCGAGATCTACAGGCTGTAGATTACCTAACCATCTAGAAGTGGTCTTGGACGCGTGCTCTTCCGCGGAACTGGCGGACGCGCTTGTTTACGTAGGGGCGCACTAGTTTGGTTAAATTGGAAAAGAGCGTGGAGTGCAGGGGCCAAAGTGTGGTCTTTCTATTTGTTTGATCTCGCCAACACAGCAGTATTCGGGAGACTTATGAATTGGCCATATATTGACCCGCTTAGGTTGCCATCAAGTTGATTCGGCGTCAGGCGGTCGACAACACTCCACGGATAAATAAGATCGGCAGAGAAATCGCGGTCTTGCGGGTAAGCCAATGTTGCCATGGAAACATAGAGGCTGTATTGACCATCGAACCCCCTGAGAACTCATTTCAGCCCAACTACACTCTGTCCTTTTATGAACACATAGACAATTCGGCACCCAAACATCATCACTCTGTTTGACGTTATCGAGACGGAGCGGTACATTGGCATCGTGATCGAATATGCATCAGGTAACAAGTCCAAGCCCTCCCTTTGCTTTTTTTTTTTTTTCTTTTTTTTCACGACAATGCATCGGCTGCTTACTATGGGAAAAAGGCTCTTGTATCACTCAACGAGTTACTAATGTGCCTCTGCTTCCCTCATGCTCCTTTTCACTCCTGCATCTCTATGCGTTTTAGGCGGAGAACTATTTGACCACATCCTCGCACATCGATGCTTGAGGGAACGGGAAGCATGTCGACTATTCGCTCAGCTGATGAGCGGTGTGCATTACCTGCACTCGAAGCACATTGTTCATCGCGATCTAAAGCTGGTATGTGCGACTGTCAGCTTCATCACGCGGTACACCGTGATTACGGCCCTCGTATCCTAACCCCACATGCTTGCTTTGTTTATAGGAGAACTTGCTCCTGGACAGGAACAGGAACATCATCATTACCGACTTTGGCTTCGCCAACCAGTTCGACAGCACCTCAAGAGATCTGATGTCGACCTCGTGTGGATCGCCTTGCTATGCTGCGCCTGAATTGGTCATCAGCGATGGCCTCTACGTCGGAACTGGTGTTGATATCTGGAGCTGCGGCGTCATCCTGGTAAGCACCTAATACCGACGTGTCTCATAGATAAACATGTGTAAATGCGCCACTAACCGTGCCATGTATTGTTTACGGCACTACCCTGGGATATCATCATAGTACGCGATGCTAGCAGGATACTTGCCATTTGATGATGATCCAGCCAATCCTGACGGCGAGAACATCAATCAATTGTACAATTACATCCTTGCCACAACGCTTGTCTTCCCCGATCACATCTCAGTCGATGCCCGAAATTTGCTGAAGTTGATGCTCGTACCGGATCCAACCAAGCGCTGCAACATGAGGCGCATTATGGCCCATCGATGGCTTCGCCCTTACGCTCCAATGTTCCAGTACACGATCGAAGACCTCGAGGCATGTACCATCTGCACCCTCATGTTCCAATATCGTGGAGTGTTTCTCTCCGCATTGCATTAACATCGCATTTACTATCTTCGTTATCTGAACACTATAGGCACAGGCTGTGGCGAGGTTGAATGGTACGATATGGGTTCCACCAACACGAACCGTAGCTGCAGATCCCCTCCACCCCCCTTCGCCATCAGAGACCTCACAAACTCGACCTGGCCCACCACTTGCTTCTGCAGATGAGATTATGTCAAGGAGGCACACCATTTGGGTTGAGACGGTGCCCGATACTGCTCCTGTATGGGCCTCCCATCCGATGGTTGGACATGACCAAGATCGTATAGTCCCGGCAGCCGACACATCCATGGAGATTTGTGAGGTGGACATGGACAGAGGTATGGATATTGCTGACAACCACGACCACAACCACGGTCATTACCAGCAAGCATCCTATCATCACCAGCACCAATACGAGCCTCATCAGCACAACTATGCGGAGGCTGGTCCAAGCGAAATGATGTTGGTTGATCCCAAACCGGAGTTGGAACGCATGGAGAACACTCACGAGCAGCAGCAAATGCTGGTACAGGAACAGGATTCCAAACTCGCTGGCTCAATGCTCGAGCATGATGACCCTATGGATACATCGTTGTTAGAACGTAGTGAACCTCAACAAGGGTCGGTGTCCGCCTCGGAGTCCGCTGTATTGGCGACGCCGCCAACTTCCTCCTCAGCTCAAACCCCAGTCCCCAAGGCGAGCCTTGATCTATGCACTGGCCTCGGGGGCGATCCCCTGAAGACCCCAGAGAACCAAACGGTGCCAGCTAATACTGGACATTCCAAGGGGTCAACACCTCAGCCATCCCCTCCTGTTTCACGACGAACTGGATCTCAATACAACAGGGCGCGCCCTACGACCATCCACGGTGAACCCATGCCTCATAGCCAACCTATGCAGACGTCGCCGTTCTATGGACAGACCGCGATGCTCCAGCACCCTTATCAGACGCCATCCACACAGAGCACGAGTCCATCAGTTAGTGGCGCGTCGCAACTTCAACATCAACTTTTGTCGCAACACCAGGAGCGGAAGGAGGAAGAGAGGAAGAAGCACGCACACTCGCAGTCCCATGTCGTACCACAACCGCAGTTTCACCTTCAGTCTCAAGCAGTTCCCCGAACCCACCGCCAGAGCTTCAAAACACCACCAAACTCGCCACCACCAGTCATTCCGGCTCGTAGAGACTCCCTTGCGATCTCGATGCCGTTCCAACTTCCGCCTCAACTGCAGCTCCACCAGCAAGTACAGCATGCACCAGATGCAGAAGACACACATGCACAGACACAAAGACAAGCACAGTCATCGATACCAGCACAATTACAGCAACAGACATCACCAATTTCATCTAATGATAATACTCATGGTACACAACGCAGCAGCGCTCATGTCAAGACGCATCGCAAAGGCCCATCCTCCTCAGGGCGTCTCCTTGGTTTCTTGGGCGGTCTATCGAAGAAACATGGGGACCATGCCAATGGTCACTCAACGCTAATCTCGCCAAAAATGGTACCTGAATCGAGTTTGGCGGATATTGATCAGGAAATACGGTCGGCGCACAGCCACCAACAGCCTACGATCAGTCTGCCCAAAACAGATCCGAGAAAGGAGCCCTCTGTTCAGCATTCGACTCCAACAACGACACTACAAAAGGACATGATAACATCTTATGACGCTTATAATACCAACCAGTCGCAGCGGGGCAAGCGAAGGAAGACACTCAGTTTAGTAGCAGGATCTGCCGATCGGCCACCACACCATAAGCAGCAGCAAATGCTACAGCAGAGTTTGCACCACCCACTCGTCTTGAGACCGCCACAACCCATCACTACAGACGGGTCGCTGTTGACATCGCTGAACGGATATCCAGTTCAGTCAGACCGATCAGCTGGAACCGCACAGAGGATCATGGGTTGGCTGAGACGGAAATCTGTTGGTAAGTTAGAGTGCAGATGGTATTGGCATGAGTTAGGCTCGCGAATTGTCACTCACACTTTATTGTTCTCGAACCATTAGTCAAATCCGCAGCTGAACGACCCTCATTTGATACTACGGATGAAGTTCCCGTCATGAGTTCGTCTCCATCTCCAGGATCAGCCCATGGTAACAGTCCTTCTCCGGTAACTGGACTCAATGGTGGCGCCAGAGGCGATGGCGCCATCTCTCCGGAGGACTCGGAATCCAACCGTGGAGGCAGCATGCATGGCGTGCGTCACACCCCGATGAACGGATACAATGACACCAATGGTCAGAGAACTGGCGCTAGCATTATGACCCCGCAGCAGGCGCTTGTGGAGGGCAGGGATCCTAGCCTGCAGGCGCTCATTCAGGCGTTGCCGCTCAACTGGACGGACGCGAAACTCAAGGTGCACTCGGGAGCAGTGGAGCTGTCGTCGTTATCGTCGCGTCATCCGGCAGAGATTATGTTTGATATCAGAAAGGTCGTTATTGGACTCGGCATGGAGATCAAGTCCGATTCGGATTTCAAGATCAAGTGTGTTCGACGGAAACGAAAAGTTTCTGCGACGAATACGGTATCTAACCCAGGCAACACTGGCGGATCGGTTGCCAATGGTGCTGTAGGTGGAGGTCTCTCTGTGAAGAACATGCTGCAGGGTCATGGCCTGCACCGAAACTTACTCAACTCTGGAGCGGTTGTGGCACCGGACGACACTGCGAGCGTGATGTCAAGTAACCTGTCGATGGACCGCGAGGCTTGGATCTCTACGAAGAGTATATTCGGACCAGGAGCCGTTGCTGGCGGTATGGGAACAGGACCAGCCTCTGTTGTGGGATCGACGACGACGAATGGCAAGAAGAGGAACACCATCAGATCTTTGCTGTGGAGAAACAGCACCACGGTCAGCTTACCTTCACCCCCGCCAACAGCGTCGCTTAATAATATTCCTGGATCAACCGCTATGTCACCAACTCAGACAAGGCAGCTCCCTCAGGTTACGAACGGATCCACGATGGCTCTGGCGTCTCTCCCTCACTTGGGACATGGATCTGGACAGATCAGCACGGCTGCGGGAACTGTGGCGGGACCTGTGACGGACACAGTTACGACGGATGCACCGGTCGATGAGTCTAAGGGCAAGGAAATGATGGAGGGTGCTGTTTCGCGCCAGGAATCCCCGCCAGCGATTGGAATGAGCTCGTCAACGACAGCAACGACGATCGGAGCAGCGACGATGTCGAACTACAATCATCGTCAAGAACCCTCTGACGGCAGTAATGGTACTGTGATCGCCGCCAGTGGCAGTGGCAGTAGCAGTAGCAGCGGCAGCGGCAACGGCAGCTCAGCAGTAGCGCCATCACGGTTCATGATCCCGACGGAACCACTTTATGGCGAGGAGGCGATCGATTCGGGTGAGGAGATCCGGTTCTCGATTGAGTTGTGCCGGATCAAGAATCTGCATGGACTGTATTCGGTCGATATCCGGCGTATGAAGGGCAATTTGTGGGCGTACAAGTTCTTGTACCATGCGGTCTTGAATACGTTGGATCTGCAGGGCAAAGGCGGCTACTTGACGGCCCATTCGATTCAACAACAGCACCAGAGCCAGCACCAGCAACAACAGCAGTTCAACCAGGAACAATTCAACCAGCAACAGTTCAACCAGCAACAGTACCAGCACCAGCAATATCAGGCTATGCCGGTGGTGCAGCAGCATCCGATCGCGATTGCAGCCCAGTAATAATGGTCTTTTTTTTATCTCCTTTCTTCTTAATTATTATTATCTTTTTGTATTTTTTCATGACGATAAAAGAAAATAAAAAAAAATTGAGCGATCCGCGTATGGCGCTATAATATACTTTTATGCACTTTGCCGCTACCTTTGATGAAGGAATAATGTGTTTCACAACCCCTGCAAGAAAATCCACATAAAAAACACTTGGAGCCTAAAGAACAGACCCCCCCCCATCCCCCCACCTCCTCATGAAGCTGCCGCCATGCAAAGACAGAAAAGGTATTAGTTAGGCAATAGACTCGAGTTTCAGGCTAAACGAACTACATGGATTTCCTATGGGAATTGGCTGGCATGCTCAGCACAGCAAATGGATTTCCATCGTCAAAAGAAAAACAAAAGAATGATCTACGCAGGGGTCGAACCTGCAATCTCCTGATTCGTAGTCAGACGCCTTTCCATTGGGCCAGCAGACCTATTTTGTTGAAATAATGGAGAACTTTGATTAATATAAAGCCAAAAATATTGACAATTAGCAAAACTGTGGATTTTAGGGCACCTGGGGCCCCAGTGCCCTCCCAGAATGACCGTATACTGTACAATAGATTACTAAGTATTTTTTGAGCCGCCATAACAAGAGATTGCTCCAGGAACGAGCTGAGAAAACCGATATTTGGGAATTTTATGCTCGTCGACCATGCAAACGGGAGCTGCCCTGGTCCCGTACTCGACCCAGACGCAGCGGGACGCAACGCAGCACCATGATTTGAAATGCCACGCACAGTTTGCAACGCACAGTGCAGACCTGGACTTGAGGAGGATACTGAAGTTGCAGTCCGCGGTACGGCACCATTATCAGTGGACATTGCAGCATCGAACGAGGACCTACATCAAGGATTGGCGGTCGGTAGCATGGGCGCCCACGCTACGGATCTTACACGATAACAACCCGCCAAAGCGCTTATACACCAGCCTGGAAGACTGTCGTTTACGTTCGCACAGGATCAAGAAGCTGCATGGAGATTTGCCGACATTGCAGGCGATGAAGAAACGACATCCAGATACCTACCAAACGGACATATGTCGTAGGTGTGAGAGGGAACCAGAGACGAACGATCATCTTTGGCGTTGTTCAGCTACCTTGTGCGACCAGCGACAAGAGTGGAGGGACGCGGTGGAGGAAGTGGAGTTGAATGGATATCGTGCATGGAGACAGGCAGTGCGAAAATGGGAACAGGAGAGAGAGGAGGCCGAACGGAAGGACAAGCCCTTCACTGCGACTTGTCCCAACTTCTCGGCAACAGGAACGAAGGCTATCTGGGAGTCAATGCAGTGGATTCAGGGGACGGCGGAAAGGCGAGGGACATATCGGGTTGCGGAAGAAGAGGAGCCGGAGAGTGAGGCAGATTGGGAGGTCAAGGACTTATACCGAGGTTTGGTGCCAACGGGACTCATTGAGACCTGGAAGCAGCTATTTACCACCACTAAGTGGATTGCGACGATCATGGTGACAAAGTTCGTGAGCAGGATCGAAGAATTTGGCAGGACCAAGATATGGAACAAACGATGCGAGGACACTGTCGCCTGGGAAAAGTCAGTTGGAATCACCTTCATGAGCAAACGCGCCGGAGGACGCAACGGTGATCGAGGACACCAACGTAGTGTTGGTGATTTCTCTGATTTGAAAGGGAGACGGTTACTTGCAACGGAGATCCAGGAAGGTAGACGGACCGCGGATTATAGGGTGCTACAGCATTGCTTGGGGCGAGGGAAGTTGGACATAATGGAGGGGTTATTCGGTTTAAAAACAACTTTATTAACATTGGATCTGGATTAGGAGACGTGTATCGCGCAACAGGTCACGCAGGAGTTAGGTTAGGCTAGCTATGCGACATGGGTTATGAATTTGACGCCTCAAGCCAACATAGTTGGTAGGGGATGCGGCTCTGCCGTGCATGGAAGGCATCTATGGCTTCAAGGCCTTTGCGGACCATGCGTCTTGTGCTCATGGGGATTTATGTTAATAAAAAAAAAAAAAAAAAAAAAAAAAAAAAAAAAAAAAAAAATCGACCCAGACGCAGCGGATCGGACGCTGTTGGACTGCCTACAAGGGAGGAGGCGATTGACAACTATGGAGGGGATGGGGAAGATACCCTTCTTGTAACAAGTGTTTTCAGCTTTTAACACACTGATGAGATGTGGCAATTGTTGCATAGGCCCTAGGGGCAGGTCCGGGGAATGTGACCTGTCTTTTGGCGACTGTGGATCGGCTCTACTTTGGTGGAAAGGACGACTGTAGTAGATCATTGCTAGTTAGGTCCGATAGATTTGCAGGGTCAACCGACTCGAGAGACAGATTGTTACAGAAAATTGAGTCTTAAAACTTAGACGGAGTAAGGATAGAATGTCAGTGTCAATTGGGCGCAGCAATTCTCAGGGTCTATTTTTTTGCCAAAACATGATGCATCTGTATTTATTTTATTTTATTTTATTTACAGAAACAGTAACAGGAAGCGCATTACGGGGTGAGATGCTCAAGAGAGATATTATGTACAATGATACCTGAGCTGCGGGACACATATGTCTTTTCGTTTTCTTCTAGATACTCTGCAGCCCAGCTTGAAGACTCTGCTGGACCTTTGAATGATGCATCTCCAGCAAAAGTTCCTTGCTCAGCCCCCTCGACTTTGGACTCATCGATCGCCGACCTACCCTCGGCAGCGTATGGATTGCCATCGGTGACGTCGAAGGTGGCGACGGTGGCGGCGTCCCCAATCCCGAAGTCGACAACGACCCTTTCCTCCGTGATTGACCTCCGCCGCCCCCACCGTCCCTGAACCTCGCAGGGACCCTGCTTGAATGTGAATCGTCCTCATCACTCTCCCCTGAAGATGCCGATTTCCTTACAGCCTCCTGGATGATGTTCTCAATATCATTCTCATCTTCCTCCTCAACAATCAAGGTCTCGAGGCTCTTGAGGTGCTGCATCATCTCCTCCTCGAATTTGTCCCGGACAAAGCGCGGTCGGTCCATCACATCCAAGTAGTTGGGGATCGGCCAGCGTAGCTGGCGCTCAGTGACACTGTAGGGTACGGTGCCGACGATAACGGGGACAATTGGGAGTTGGACCAGAGTCGGCCATTTCAGGGTCGAGGTGAGGGTCGGGATCCTGTCTATGTGTAGATTCGCCTTGATGATCTTATCGACAGAGGTCTTGCGTGGTCCTGCGCGCGAGTTCGTATTGTCGTTTTCTGTTGCGTTTCCTGTTTCTGTTCCAGATTCTGCTCCCGTGGATCCTGTTGCGTTGCGAATTAAGGAGATGTCGACTGGAGGAGGGTTCCTCACGCTGGGTGTGAACCAGCTTGCCAAGCCCGAACCACGGCTTGCGATTGGTAAGGAGACTGAGAGGTAGTAGTCAACCTTGTACAGGGGTGTGATGACCTTGTTAGTCGTTGGAATGAGTCCTAGGTTGGAGGGGACTTTGAACTGAACAGATTCTATCCATGTGGAGTCCTTATTGACTGTCTGGGATACGGGCAAGGTCACTGTGTGCACAGTCGTTGGCTCCGCGGTCAAAACAGAGGATGTTGTAGAAGGCGAGGAAGATGAGGCTGGGTAGGAGATAACACGGACCAAGCCGAGATGGATGGAGACCAGGTCAGTCTCGGACGAGTTGGTGATAGTGAGCGACAGCGGTAGAGACTCGCCTGCGGTTGGATACAAGATGCAGATAGGGACGCAAGGATCGCCCATGGGCGGAGGGTGCGTGCGTTAGTCAAATTTGGTTCTCATTGGTCGGAGGATGTACACTGAGCAAATCGATGGACATCGAAGGAACAACAAAAGTCCACAGGGACACAGACACAAAAACCGGCTGGTCTCAATTAAGGTAGATGCGGCGTAAAAAGTAGAAGAAAAATGCGCAAAAGACAATGGACGCACCTGGACAGACTCCGCGCTGAGGACTTTCGAGGGAAGCCTTGACGAGCGGCCGATTGGAGTACGGGTCCATGACCTGGGCCATCTCAATGACTGGAAAGTGAGGGATGGACGTCGGAATCAGCGGGAGGTATTTGAGGTGCACTGCAGGCGAGGAGAGCATGGCCTGGGTCGAAGGATCATCGGGGGTGGTCTGAAAGGAGAGTTCCGCGTGTAGAGAATAAACAACAAAGCGATCTCCGTCCTAATCAAATGCAAGAGCAGCGGCACAAGTAATAAAGCTTGAGCGTCATTTAGGGAAAGTTATTTGATCAAAAAGGGCAAAAAGACAACAAGATAATCATGATGACCTCAAGTAGTATTTTTTTTGTAGAGATGAAATGACAATGTTGATAGGGGTGGATGGAGGAGAGTGTCTGCAACACACAGCATCCTTGCTTATCGGTAGAAAGGAGGCTTACCGTCATGGATGCGGGCAGGTTGACCCTCGGGAACTTTATGTTGAACATGAAGGTGTGCCTCTTGGGATGCAATGGCTCGTCCTCAACAAGCGTGTGTTCGATCTCAAAGAGGCTGTGCTGGTGAGGCCCAGTCCGCGGAGTGTTGTTTCCTTGTCCCTTTGATGAGGAATCTGAACTGACGCGGACTTCAGTTAATGAAGTCGATGAGGATGGCTGTGAAGAAGAATCAAAGTCGCACATGGGTATGGTGTGAAGACAAGAAAAGATGACACGGAGTCGACAGGGTGCCCTGATGGGCTTTGTGAGCTGCAGGTTCAGCTGTCCCTGGAAGACAGTTCCGGGGCCATGGTAGTTGTCGAGACTGCACCTGGTTGGAACCGAGATATAGAAGCCATTGGTGGGTGTGATGAAGGATCGCGCTAGGGCATCCTCAGACGTATTGAAGAACGGAAGTGCCTTTGCGAGTCGCAGCATCTTCGTTCTATGCCTCCTCCTTTACTGCCAGTTCGTGTTGTTTTGTTGGGAGTTAGAAAGACGAAGGAGGGGGAGAGGAGGGTCGAAGCAGTAGACGGAAGTGATGGAATGAGCGAGGGCGATGGAGTGTGAGATGAGCGTAAAAAGGTTAAGTGGTTGAGAGCGAGCAAGAAGGAGAATTTTGTCCTTTTGTGCGACCGACCAAAGAGGAGACAGTTCACCGCCCCCACGTTTAACAAATTGCGCCCACTCCAGATCTAGATCCTCCGCCTTTCCACAACTACAGCCCATATCCACAACACCACCCAGCACCGGCCCCATATTCCTAGACAATACAACCCATGTTTATGGGATCTTAGTCCCTCAATTGCTACGCACATCCCAGTTGGCCACTTGTTTTTCATATCACGCGCTCATGTTTCGCCAAAAATCCTTTTTGCGTTCTAAATATACATGTTGTTATCTATAACTGCATGATGGTCTATTTTTCTTCAACCTGCATGTTTGAAACCTTCCTCTTACTGCAATACAGAAGTTTGTACGTGCAAATAAGCCACGGCGGATCAGGGAGGACTCGAGCGTGGGCAACAGAAAGAAAGGGACGCCGTTCCTGAGTTCCCGACCGACCCCCAGCCTTTTTTATTCTTCTTCCTTCTTTACTTCTTCACCAACACATATCTCCCATTATCTATCGCCATGACTGACACTCAACCCGCCCCCGTTGCTATCGAGGACAGCGGTGTTCCCGAACTCGAGTCCGCCCCCGAGGACGCCACCAAGGTTGTCGAGCACGTCCACGGCCCCAATTGCAGCCACGACCATGAGCACGACCATGAGCACGCCAACGGAGAGGAGCAACAACAGCTCGCTGGACAGAGGAATGACTTCGACCTCCTTGAGGTCAATGGCACCAAGGACAAGACCACAGATCCCTTGGTCAAGGTGCGCATCCTGATCTTTTTCTCATCTCGAATTCTGGTACTTTTCTCATCTGCTTTTTGCAGTTTGCAAATCTGACCAGATTCCCCTTCTTCGTACCCGCTCTCTATACCCATGGAATAGAAATACTTTGAGGCCAAGGAACTGTTTGCCAAAGCCAACGAACGCTTGAACGAGATCCCCGAGGGTGCTGAGACTGAGTTGATCGAGAAGCACAAGGACGATATTGTCGCTGTGACCAAGGACCTCATGCAGGCTTTCTTGCTGGACGAGAAGGCCTGCCAGCTGAACCAGAGGATCCTCAAGCTGGCCGAGCAGTACGAGCTGTATGTCCAGACCTACAACCCCGAGGGCACCTCGACTGCCACCGTCGACTCGGAGGAAGAAGGTGCTGAGCAGCAGACTACCATCTACACCCGGGACTCTGTCATTTTTGGTAAGTGCTTTCCATGCTCTTGTCCTTGTCTTTGATCTGCAGCTCCGCCTCCACCTTGTTCGTTTCCATTTTCCCTTGTCATTGTGTTGGTTGGTTGAGCCATTAGAACATACCTGACTCATGTCAGTGGCCTGCCTGGTTGCAATGATCCCCACGATCTATGAGAACCCAATATATCAACGTTCTGCTCTTTCTTTGTTTGATCACGGTTAATCTGGCGTGGGGCTTGCTTGATGGCGGTGGGATAATGCACTCTTTAGCGCTTGCTGTTGTGTGAGAGCTCCATTGGTCCCTGACGTGCAATCAAGAGACGCCAAATAGATGCGCGGCTCTCATATATTTCCTTCAGTTTGATTTGCACCTATTATTTCTTGAATTCTTTGTTTGGACGCTCACACTTCCCCACCACCCATCATTCACATCATCGGTTGTCCCTGCAAACACTTCAATGTCACACGAGCCTTGTCCCAAACATTCTTCACTTCTTCCATGATTAACCCTGGATTCCATTGTAATGGTTGCTTGGCTACCCGTGCCTTATAGTCATCATGATCCTCTGGAGCGGCGGTCAGTTCGAGCATTGCATCCAGACCTTGACCTTCGCCATCCAGGAGTTCGAGAACATCAAGGGTCGTCTCTTGGAGCTCCGTTCCTCGTGCTACATGGCTCTTCGCAACTTCAAGGTAACAATGTCAAATTCGTGGCGTTGACGTCTGTCTGTCTGTCTGTCTGTTTGTTTGTTGGATGTAATCAAAGAATGAGCACTCCCACTTACTTGACATTTTTCTTTTTGTAACTGTAGGCCTGCAACGATGATCTTGAGACCGCATTGACGGTCGAGCCCATCAACGTCGAGAACCACTCTACCCTCGGTAACGTCTATTATGCCACTCACCAGGCCCAGGACGCCCTTCACCACTTCAAGTCCTTTGTCGAGGTCGCCCACCCCGACTCTCGCACCCTCCCCAACGCCTATTACGCTCTTGCTGTCTTGACTCTCCAGTCCGCACCCAGTGGCACGATCAAGAAGAAGAGCAACCAGGCGCTTAAGCAGGCTGCCGTGCTCAAGGAGGCCCAAGACTACTTCAAAAAGGCTCAGGAGGCCGATCTTCGTTTCAAGGAGCTGTATGGCGTCGTCACTGGCCTCAACGAGATCAAGAGAACCGCCTACGAGGCCTTCCAGATCCGTACTGCCAACCGCAATGGCTTCATCTCGACGGACCCTACTCCCGCTCTGTTGGAGGCCTCTGAGATCTTGAAGAAGTCGTTTAAGAATCCCGGTATTTCTTCATGCGCCAACTGTGGTCGCCCCGACAACGTTGCCAACGACACCCGCTCGCCCGATCAGAAGCCTAAGCCCTTGATCAAGTGCGCCAAGTGCAACAAGGTTGCCTACTGCTCCCGGCCATGCCAGATCACCCACTGGAACGCCTCGCACAAGAACAACTGCAAAAAGTAACTGGACTCTAGCACTTTTAAGGCCGCGTGATCTTTGCTATTCGTTTCTTTTTTTTTCTTGTTTATTTTCAGTATGTCTTTTTTATTTACATATCACGGGAAAAGAAAGGCAGACACTTAGGACGTAGAAAGAAGTGCTCTTGTAATCATGTATAGAGAATATAAAAAGATATTCAAATATTCATGTTGTTCGTTGCTGCGGGGCGCAAAGTACAAACTATAGTATACAATTGCTCTGGCGACATGATATAGCGCTGGCCGTGTTGCATTACAATCCTTTGGCTGCTTGATTTTGAGCCCAGAGCTGTTTGAAGGCCTCGATCTGCTTCTCCTCCTTTTCCTTGTACGCTTGCTTCTTTGCATCGGTGACACTGGAAACAGCACTTGGACCAGAAGGTCTTTGGGAGAACAAATCTCCGTCCGCTCCACCATGTCGCTTCGCTTCTCTGGCCTCCTTCCGCCGCTTCTCAGCCGCCAACATGGATTTAAAATCGTCGCCTGTGCCCAGCAGATCCTGCTCTGGCAACTCAATATCTGGCGACCGCTCTCGTCGACGATACTCATTCTGTACTCGCTTCTTCTCCAACATTGCCTCCCTCCCGGTTGCTTTGGGCACTAATTCCTCAAGGTCGGCCTCTTTGCTCTTACGATGGGCCTTTTGCTCCGCACGCTGCTTTCGACGGTATTGCTGATCTCGTTCCTCCTTTTCGGCAACTACAGGAAGGAGGGGGGGAATATGAATTAGAAACTGTAGTTTCCATCGAATGTCTCAGTCGTAAAGCACGTTCCTAAATGTACCTTCATCCGCTGTCATTGGTTTTCCGTAAGGCCTACTGGGTCCGATTGATGGAGGCATGGTGGGTCCCAAGACTCTGGCAGGGGCAGCAGAGCTTGGCCCGGAGGGCGTTGCTTTTCCAGTGATTCGGTTGACCTCCTGAGCGAAGCGGACATTGGTCATTGTGTCAATCGAGTCTTTGATCGCCTCGACCTTATCCAGATCCGCCTGGTTAATCTTTTTGGTGAACTTCCATTTGTACTTTGTTGTATCTTTGCTGGATAGCTGTGAGGATCGGATGCCCTTGTAGTAGGATTCTATAGTTTATATTATTATCATCACCTTGGGTTAGTACAATGATCATAGCATATTAGAGGCCTTCAGATAAAGGGTTAGTGTGGTGAGTCCGACGTACCATCGAGATCAAAATCGTTCCAGGCGCGGACGAATTTTCTGAAATACCGTCGGGCCTCGTCTGCGGAAAGATCCTCGAAGTACTTCTTCTTGACCTGACGAAGCCATAGCCTGAACTCGGTTGATTTCGAAAAGTAGTCGTCTTCCGAAATGGCTATGATGATACGAGAAGGAAGACAGAGGTATGTCAGAGTATAGAATAGGAGAAAAAGAATGTCACTTCTGGTGACATTGAGGAATAAGCACTCACGCTGAATCATCGACTTTGCTTTCTTGATCAACTCATCCTCCTCGCTCTCGCTATCGGTCTCGCTCCCAGTCTCCAAGACGGATCCCGATCCCGATCTGCTGTCCTGGCTGTCCACAGATGGACTACGTCTTGATGATCGATGGTGGCGACGGTCCTTCTTCCTCTCCTTGTCCTTATCCTTGTCCTTGTCCTTGTCCTTGCTCTTTTCTTTCTCTCTGTTCTTGTCAGTGTCCCGTCTCGAACTCTTCCTAGAGCTCCTGTCACGGTCCTTATCATCGCTATCATAATCATCCTTGTGTCGCGAAGATCGGTGCCGCTTTGGGCTGGAGTCTTCTCTCTTATAAGAGGAGCGATTGTGGTTCGAGGGGGAGGAATGATCATGGCGGCTCCTGTCGTGGTGGTCTCGACCCCTGTCGGACTTGCGGCTGCTGCTAGTATGGGCCGCGTCTGCATCTCTGTTCTCCGGGCTTCTGTCTCGTTTCTTAGCGTTGCTGCTGTTATCGTGGCTAGTATCAGTGCGTCGGTCCTCCGGGTCCCTGTCTCGTCTCTTGCTGCTGCTGCTGCTGCTGCCGTGGTGATAGTCTTTTGAGGAGGACATGATGAGAGCTGCGTGCGTGGTTGAGAGAAAGAGAAACACACGGTCAGCTTAATTTGTTTCTTTTTCTTTACTGGAGCAAGTCACGTGGCGGATCTAGCAGGAAAAAAAGGTTGGGGTCCCTCGCTGGGTTTGTGTCTGACAAAGGGGGGTTAGTTAGACCCGTCTGCGGTATGCTTCCTTTTTTTTTTTTTCCTCCTGGTGCTTGCCCTTGTTCTTGTTGATCCCTTCCCTTCCTTCATCCCTCCGCTTCTCATCCCTCCGCTTTTTTTCCCTTATTCCACCATGGGCGTCGACGCAGAAAGGACCTTCACCTGGTACAGCGAAGCTTTTGTCAATTATATAACATAAATCACAATCCTATTTGTACCTGAAAAAAAAGACTCGGGCAAAGCTGAATCGAATCCTAAACTGTCCCCCCTTGTCCATTCCCATTCCCCTCATCAGGCAAGAGCTCGCGACACACAACACCAAGGGCGATCTGTTTGTGGCTGTTCGTGGCAACGTAAGCTTCTCTTTATTCTACAACTGATTTCTCTTCCTCTGCCCGGGGGTACCAGATACGCATCTCGGCAATTTCTACCTGAGTAAAATGCCCCATCCCGCACTGCGCTCAGGAAACAAAGTTATCTCCCCGATAATGGCCTTGGCTCTCTGCAACAAAGCATACCGAGGTGGCCGCGGTGCTGGGGATACTGTATCTATGCCGGAGGCAGTTGTCAACCTCATTTCTAATGATCAATCGCCTATTTTCTCCTTCCCTCGATGCCATGTTTTCTAGGTCTACGATGTCACCAAGTTCTTGAAGAGACACCCCGGCGGTGATGACACCCTCCTGCTGGGAGCTGGCAGAGATGTCACTCCGGTATGTTTTCGTGTCTGATACGGGAGTACTTGTGCTGTTTTGCCTTTCGTGGAACGCACATGCAACATGTCAATCAATGGGCCGAGATTACATTACCCCTGTGCTAACCGAATCACACCACTCTTTATGCGTTGTCTGCAATAACACTAGGTCTTTGAGATGTACCATGAATTCGGCGTTGTCGATACCATCATGAAGTAAGTCAGCAATATGAGATGAACAGCGTATCTGACATCTCGTCAGACCACGGTTATTAATATCCGCTTCCTTCAAACTGCGTTCTAATAGGAAGTACTATGTCGGCAAGCTGATTACCAACGAGCTGCCGATTTTCCCAGAGCCGACTGACTTCCACAGGGCCGTGAAGACAAGGGTAGAAGGATACTTTAAGAAGCAAGGCAAGGATCCCAAGGTATGTCCTCTGTTTTTGCATGGGGTTTGATTACATTAACTGATGTTCGCGTGAAGACCGTTTTTATTGACATGAGATGTGTATTTTCATCTCCTTTGCTGAGTATAGAACAGACCTGAGATCTGGGGACGCTATTTCCTTATCTTTGGAACATTGTTCGCCTCGTATTATGCACAGTTCTTTGTGCCGTTCGTTGTCGAGCGTACATGGCTCCAAGTCATCTTTGCGATCATCTTGGGCTTCTGCTGCGCCCAGGTTGGACTGAATCCACTCCATGATGCTTCTCACTTTTCAGGTAAGTCCAACCAAAAGAATTATCACTGTCTGCTTTTACGCACAGTGCGTTCAAAGAGCCCCAGAAACTGACAAAGTACAATTGTGATCTATGTTATAGTGACCCACAACCCCACTGTGTGGAAAATATTGGGCGCGACTCACGACTTCTTCAACGGCGCATCGTACCTCGTATGGTTGTACCAGCACATGCTTGGCCACCATCCCTATACCAACATTGCAGGAGCAGACCCAGATGTCGCGACTGCGGAGCGCGATGTTCGCCGCATCAAGCCCCACCAGAAGTGGTTCATCAACCATGTGAACCAGCACCTATTCGTTCCATTCCTCTACGGACTCTTGGCATTCAAGACTCGTTTCCAGGACATCAGCATTTTGTACTTTGTTAAGGCCAACGACGCCATTCGCGTGAACCCACTCTCTCCCTGGCACACTGCCATGTTCTGGGGCGGTAAGGCGTTCTTTTTCTGGTATCGTCTGATCTTGCCATTGCAATACCTCCCCGTACGCAAGGTGTTGTTGTTGTTCACGGTCGCGGACATGATTTCATCGTACTGGCTGGCATTGACCTTCCAGGCCAACCATGTGGTGGAGGAGGTTGAGTGGCCCTTGCCTGATGAGAACGGAGTGATCCAGAAGGATTGGGCAGCCATGCAGGTGGAGACGACGCAGGATTATGCACATGACTCGTATATCTGGACCAGCATCACTGGCAGCTTGAACTACCAAGCTGTGCACCATCTGTTCCCGAACGTGTCCCAACATTATTACCCTGAGATCCTGTTCATCATCCGCCAGGCCTGCATCGAGTACAAGATTCCATATCTTGTCAAGGTAAGAATGAACATCTTATTTCCTTATTTCCATATGACTAAAGGATGCCCGACCTCATTTGATGGTGAGCGCTGTTGAATAACATGATTTGACCTTGTGTTGAAAAATAGGATACCTTCTGGCAGGCATTTTCGTCTCACCTGGAGCATCTGCGTGTCTTGGGTCTTCGCCCGAAAGCAGAGTAGGGTGACCGTCGTTTTGAACCGACTATCCTCCGTACAAGCGCGCGTAGTGTTGAAAAGCCCTTAGATAGGCTCGATTTATTGAAGCATCCTAAAAGACTAACTGTCAAAACCTTGCGTTGTGACCCTTTTCTTATTGTGTGATGATGGTTGGGCGCGTGCGATGTGTTGCTTGCTCAGTCTTGGTTTGTTCAGGGGCGGTAATGAAGCTGCAAAAAATAGGGGTGTATTTGTTGGTGCCCGCCCGCTGTGCGCGTGTGTCCATCCACCTTGCCGTGTGCCCACTTTTTTTTTGTTGTACATGTTCAGTACCTGAAAGACCGGTCGAGAACGACCACAAACAGTTGGACATCACCGTGTTAACAGTGGCAATTGTAACAGCAATCTGGAGAGGAGAAGGGGTTTGTCGTTCCTCTTGCACTCGTAGTAGCCAGCTGACACTGAAGATGCAAATGCGAAGGATAAAAAAGCAAGCTCGTACATGTTTTTAAACTATTGTCTCTTGCCTTTGCTCAGCTCCTCATTGCTCCCTTCTTTAAGGCGTTTGCCGCCTGTGTTCTTTTTTCTCTCGCTCGCTCGCTCGCTTTTTTTTTTTTTTTTTTTTGGTCCTTAAACGACTTCTCTTTGCTCACTCACTTTCACTGACTCTGACGATTCTTCGCGACCTGTGCTTTCCTACCCTTTCCTATTTGACGCTGAAAAGTGATCTGACAGAGAAAAGACTGCAAAGGTTTTGTGCTGGAGACGAGCAGCAAAGGATCGGCTATGGATATCAAAATCGTCTCGTCCATTACTCGCCTGGCAAACTACATGCCTCTCGGGTCCTATGTCATCTACACTGCGCTGTAAGCGGATATCTCTTCCCCCTCCCCCCTCCCCCCAATTATTACTCTTCGCCACAATAGTTATCCATGCCATACACTCATGAATCCTTCTCGTCTCTTTCTTTCCTTCTCACCTGAACGACGGTCCTCAACAGAGAGACATACTCATTCTCGCTCGGTACAGCCCCATCATCAGTAACGACAGTAATTCAGACACCGTCCGCGAACTACACATGCTACTACTATCCAGGAGCAGGCTTCACTTTTACATCCTGCACAAGTGATCAGTCGAATGCGCTGAAGATCTCGCTGGCGATTGGATTCTTCTTGGCGGTGTTCCTGTCGTTCTTGAAGCAGGTCCCTGCGAACGGCACGCCACCACTTGCAGATGATGAGGATGAGCAGCCAAAGTTGACAGCTGGGGGGTCAAAAAGACGGAGGAAATATCGGCGTGGTGTGTGGTAAGTTCTGCAAAGTTCGTCCGTCGTTCTGAAGGGAACGATGGATTTCTGATGCAGCGGAAGGGAATTTTTTTTAACCGACATCGCTACATGGCACTGTATCGTTCTTTTCCTGTTCATGGTTAGTAGCTATGCAGAAGGTACGTTGGTCTCCCTCCTTTCTTTTTTTCTTCGTTAAAGACAGATGAGAGGTGTTCAGGAGATTGACATTTGCCACCAATCTTGGATGGTTAAACTCCCAGGGAACTTTTACTACCTCGACTTTGGCGAGTAAGTCCATCCTCCTATCGCCTATCCCTCGCGTCCTAGAGCCATCCCAAACGCGTCCCCTTACGCCTCTTTCTCGTTCTTGCTACAGCTTCCACGTATGGGGCCATGCTGCATTGTCCTTTGTCGCCTTCGGGACCCTCTCTCTCTTCTCCGCCTCCGTCAGCCAATGTCTCTTCCCAGGCGTCCGCCCCTGGGTCTTTGTCTTCACCCAGATCATCCTCCTAGTAATCTGCTGCTTCATCGCCATGTTCTGGATCGATGACCCCACTCTCTCCATCGGCCTTATGGTGGTCCCCCAAACTGACGTCCACTCAACCCAAACACCCAACGGCAACGTTAACCCCACAACAGGTCCCATTACTACCAGTGCTGCTTTTAGCAGCAGTAATGGTCTAGGAGTAGGCGCAAGCGGGGCTGCGGCGACATATAACGCCAGTACGAGCACCACTGCGCTTCATACAGCTGCGTTCTTGTCACCGAATCTCACCTCCGGAAATAATATGACGCTCGCGTTGTCGCAGGACCATCCCTCTCCCACCTCCATGGGTCTGGCGAACGTGGCCCTCGCGAACACGGTCATGAACTCGGCCATGAGCATGTCCTCGCCCTCTGCAATGTCAAGTACAACTGTTGTGAATAGCGGACCTGGAATTGGAGGAGGAGGAGGAATGGGAGGTGGGGGCGGGCTAAGTCGGATGAGCTCAGTCACGAAAAGCACACCGACCATGTCATCCGTGCACGAGAAACAGCGCTGGGATCATGATCGGGACAATGATAATAACATCGTGGAGGAGGTTTATGAAGAAAAGGACACGGCGATATCAGGGTCGGCGCCGTCCTCAACGGAACGCGTCGTCGAAAAGGAAGAGTCAAATCAACATTTTTCTCTCAAAATGGAGTAGACGCGTAGTTCAAAGAGTCTATAATACCTCTTCTACATGATTAAAATAATGAGGACGATCTCTCCGCACACATACAAAACCGCCGGCTTTATTAGATATTAGCCTGCCTCATGCCTCTGCCTCCATGAGTTTTAAATGTTCTAGTCCACATGCAACTTTCTTGCTCCTTGGGCCGCGGTACTTCCACTGCTGCTCACATTTCGATACTGAGCATCTGCCCTTCGGTGCTGGATACTGCGGCTCCTTGAGTGGTACGACCGGCTCCTCCATGATCTCAATGATCCTGTGCTCTCCTGTCGTTGTCCACGCAATCTCCTTCTCATCCGATACCAGTTTTTCCCCAGAGGCGGGGATAGAGTGTTGCATCCATCCCGGAACATCATTCAATGACTCCTCCGGTATCGACAAAGTCGTCCCATCAGCTCGATAACTGATCCTCAGATAACTCGATGGAGGCCTGAACCGACTCCGTGAAGCCGCCGCACCCTCATTATTATCATTCCTCCTATCCTCGCCACCCTCATCGTCATCCTGGGCTCCCTTCTTGCGCTTGCCGGCCTGCTTCTTGAGTAGACGATTGATCGTTTCCAGTTTGTCCTGTTCTGCGCGCTGTGCAGATTGGTTCTTGCGACGACGCGTGATCTCGCTCCTCTTAAGGGCTAGTTCTTCCTCGGTTTGATGCCGTTTCCGTGATGATGCTACACAAAATAATATATTAAAGATCATCATCATCATCAAATGTTCATGACAAAAGAAGTATATAAGCACTTGAAATACAAAAGACTTACCGACTGGCAACTCAAAGAGCTCGAGCGAGACATCGTGCACATCCAGTTTAGACCGCTGTCGTTTGGTCAACTGGCCACCGAAAGCCATGCCAGGTTGGGGATTCGAAAAGTCGTCGTCGCTGAACTCGTCCTCCTCCTCATCGTCCTGCTGCATCGTAACAGTTTTCTTGCCCTTGGACAACGACGATGATGCCTTATTCGCCGCGCTGCTACTACCGCTAGTCGCGGCCTTTGTCGACAACGGTTTCGTGTTCTCGATATCGTCCTCGTCATCATCTTCTTCCTCTTCTTCCTCCTCCTCTTCATCGTTCTCTTCCTCCATATCCAACTCGTCTTCCACATCCACCTCCTCTTCCTCTTCCTCCTCTTCATCCTGCTCTTCGTCTTCCTCATCAATGCCGTCGTCCTCTTCATCCTCCTCTTGAAGGATCCTGGAATCATTCTCCTCGTCTTCCATATCGACATCCATCTGGTCATCATCCTCATCGTCTTGTCTGCCTCGCCGAGAAGATGTGTCAGAATTAATATCCATGTCAATTTCTCTGGCTCGAGCTCTAGCCCGTCCTGTGGATTGCTTCTTGCGTGGTGATGCCGATCTGGAACGAGTGTCTCTCGAAATGGGTGTGCCCTCATCGTCGTCCTCTTCATCTTCGTCCCGTCCGTTTCCTTCATCATCACTGCTCAGTGGAGTTGACACTATGAGAACACACAGAAAAGATAAAATGTTGGTTAAAATCATACGCGTTTCTCTTTTCCTTGAATGAATTACAACGATGATGACTTACTCCGTCTCTTCTGCCCAGATGTCTTTTGAGAACTTTGTCTGGATCGATTCACATTGGTGGCCGCTACGGCTCCACCCCTCGTAGCAGGCTTCGATCCTTTGTTATTCGCTGCCGCAGTTGCTGATGCTCCGCGTCTTGGTGTTGGTGTTGGAGCCGGTGACTCGTCATCCTCTCCATCCTCCTCATCCTCCTCGCCCTCGCCTTCATCCTCATCTTCATCCCTCAAGCCCTCCGGATCATCCAAATCATCGCCAAACATATCGTCCTCATCCTCATCCTCATCCTCGTCGGGTTCCGCATAATTGACTGCCGGCTTGCGAGATCTAGTAGAAGACGGGACTACAAATGCACTTCGATCTACTGCCGCTGCTGCTTTAGACTGACTCTTGGTCGGCTTGGCTGCCGCCTGTTTCGATGTAGCTGTCCGTGCGGAGGGTCTGGACGATTTTGCGGGGACTGCAGATCCGGGCTTGTTAGATCTGGAGGTAGAGGGTCCTTTGGCGGTAGTGGTGGTGGGTCGACGTCTGGTGCTGGGGCTGCTCTCGCCGTAGACATCATCTTCTGAATCCGCAGGGGTGTCGTCTTCGTCGTCGTCGTCATCAACGTCCTGGTCCTCGCCCTCGCTCGGGGTGAGGATGTCGTCGTCGAATTCGTCGTCGTTGTAGGTGTACTGGGGCTGTTGGGCTGCTCGCCGTGAGGACATGATTACGATGGAAGGTGAATCAGAGACTGAGTGTGATGTGATGCAAGTGATGTCTATCTTTTTTTTTTATTGGACGGAGGATGCATAATAATCCAATCACATCCATCCTTAAAAAAATGCGTTCAAGTTCAATGTGTGATTCGGGCGGAGCTGGCAGGTACGGGCGGCGAGGATATCGCACGCGGATACCGTCGACTGTGCGTGCTACGTGCCTCCCAATGGGAGCCAACTCCAGGCATACGGCCATGGTCACATGTGCTGCGATAATCGTCCAACACCTCGTTCCTCCTTCCTTCTGTATCCTGTCTCTCGTAGGATTCATTTCTCTCCACAAGAAGGTCCTCTAGATACGCGCTCGTGATATCCGCGATCGATTCTGCAGTCGACAATCGATCGTATCCATCATACGGCCGTCCTTGCGTCCTTTTTGGATCATGCAAGCGTAATCCTGTCTCTCGGCCGACTCTTTCTGGCCTGTGCTCTTCTTTCCTAAACACTCGTTTATACTGACGAGACGGTACGCGTTGTTCTCCTGCTGTCGGTGGAAACATGGTTCTTGAGGCCGAGTCGTGCAGATCTGGCAGTATTACTGCTCTTGGCATCCGTGGCCTACGTGGCTCGGCCGCACGAGGTAGGCGCCGAGGCGGAACAGGCAACGAAGGCGGGACTCTAAGGGCTGGAGATGGCGGCATCATCACCCCATTCCTGTGTGCCTTCCCGGGGACCATCGTCCGGTCCTGCACGCGTGGCGCATGCTCTGAGGGAAACGACTTTGGTTCGAATTGTGGGACCCAAGGCACATCGATGCACGGATTCGAGATCTCTTTGATAGGACTACTTCCCTGAATCGAGGAACTGTGGTCGTTGTCGCGAGGTCCTGGTGATAAAGCATCGCACAGCCGTTGGTGTATCCCTGGCCCAGCTTCGGACCGACGGCATTGCTTCCAGACAATGAAGTACGCGGCCGCAAGGATGACTATACCCATGATGACTAATCCGACAATTGCGGCAGCGGGCATTTCAGCAGAGGTAGAGGAGGACGGAGGGATGGTTTCAGATGGGGATAGTCGGTCGGGTGGGAGGGTGAACTCGGGGGAGATGGGGTCCAGACCTGGGAGGAAAACAGGGGTTGGCGGGGCTGGCGAGAGAATGAAGGGTGGGGATTGACTACAGAGCACGGGTTCGATGGGGCTGTTCACGTTGGTACACCATAACTCCAAGTGGACTCTCTATTTGAACGCGTTTTTTTTTTTTTTTTGCAGATATCATTTCAGCAGGAGATCGCCACCGAACAACTGAACATCCAATAAATAATATAATAATAAAATACGGATGGACCTACCAGGACACCTTTGACATTCGGAAAAGTAATCCTTATCTGCTGAACACCTTGGAGGACCTCTGGCCAAGCCTTGAGAAGGACCGGGTTCTTATCGTTTTGCAATAATTTAAGCACAACCGAGTACCAATTAAGATTGGAGGTCATTATCCAACCAATGTCAATGGTTATACCCGAGTTGGCATCATAAGGACGCGACCCAAACAGCGTGAAGTCCAGAAGCATATGTGGTTGAAGAGGTGAAGAAGATGGGTGTGAAGTGTTTTTCATTGCACTATGCGTAATATTCAATGGGGCCATTTGAATCAGGTGAGTTCGGTCCAGAGCTTGGTTCTGAAGATTGATGATCAAGGAAGAAAGTACAGTATAGTAGAGTGAGGTGGAGTATAGAGATGAGATGATGCGCTGTTGTTGACTCGCAACGGACGGACAATGGATACCGCAAATATATTCGCGTCTTTGTGGTCATTTTGTAGAGAAATCAAGATAAAGCCTGCCTTCTCTTTCAAGTTCGCGATCGTCGCTATAAAGCATCCACGACAAAGACGAAGGCTGTATCTCGTATTATTATTTTTATATTAGAAACAACTCTATGTTGTATTACGATAACGACGAACTAAAATAAGGGTATTGTACAAAGACACGGTCAAGGCGCGACCTCCCCCTAGATCAGGTCAAAAGCTATGTAGGCAAGTCCAAGGGTGCTCAAGATATCCACCAACTGCGCGATCGCATACAACGACGTCAACTTCAGTAACAATCTCGCCTCTCTTCTCAGCTCATGGAACTGCAGGCCCAATCCGATGCTAACAAAACTCATCGTCGAGTACCATTCGCCCACCATAAACGAAAAGGAATTCACCAGCTCTCTGTCCTCTGACGGCACCACCGTGTTAAACAACACTGCCGTCAAAACAAACCCCAGCACAAACTTCGGGAATCGGCTCCAGAGCAATGTGCGGTACGGTACCGGCTTGAAATCCGACTTGGAGCGTAACAGGTCGTCCTCGAGCGAGTTGTGCAGCGCTCGCATGCGACGCTCCTCACGCTGTGTCCACACCGCGGCAACACCGACCGAAATAGGACCGATGAGTACGTTCTGGACCATCTTGACCACGGCTGCGGTCTGGACGGCCGCATCGTCGCCATAGATCGTTGCCGCCGCGATGACCGCTCCAGTCGAATCGACACATCCACCAAACCAGGCGCCAGATACCTGGGGACCAACGTTGATCGCCTTTGCGATATAGGGCAGCGCAATAATCGACGGAATCGTGAAGACAGAGATGATCGCAATGGGCAGGTCAGCTTTCTTGCCTGCACCCAAGGAGGCCGCAAGGGCAATGGCGGCAGAGGATCCGCAGATAAAGGTCGCGCCGGACATGATCATCGAGGTCTGGAAGTCGATCTTGAGCCAGCTGGTGCCGATCATAGCGACGACCACGAACAGCGAAGGAGTGTCGATCCATGAGACAAACAGGGCGCGAGGTGCCAGAGGCTTCAGAACCTCAAAGTTAATGCTGCATTTTTGGGGGGGGAGGGAAGGGATGGGTTGTATGTCGACGGATAAGGTTTTTTTTGCGGGTTAGAATAAGTAAATTGAATTGATGACGCCAGATGATGCCACCAGGCCATTGCATACACACACATAAATAAAGAAGCGCCTGTCTTCCTACTCTTCCGTCTCCATTCCCAACGGACCAACCATGAACACGACTGTTTGTGTTCTTTTGAGAAAGTATTATTCCCATCAGTGCGCCGTCGAATCCCAGTCTAAGCTGAATTTATCCAAGTTAACCTACCACAGCAGTACCAAGGACGTGGCGATGTAAAGCTCTGTCTGCTGAGCGACCTTGAGCCAGGGCGGCAAGGGTTTCGACCGTCCGTCCGGTTGCGGAGATCCGGCCATCACGTTCCTAAGGACGGCTCCGAATAGAATCGCCCAGATGGAATCTCCCAGACTCGCGCTCTTGATGCTCTTCTGTGCCGCCAACCACTTGCTCAGGAAACTCAGGAAATAGACCACCAGGTAGCCCTTCCAGAAATCCTTCCAGGCCTTGGCCTTGACGGCCCACAATGCCAGCCAGACCAAGAGCCCTTGAAGAGGGAAGAGGACCAACAGATCCAGACTTTGATTGCCGTGGAGGGAATCGAATGGGTTGGAGTTCCAAATCTCAAAATGTGCTGCGGGGATCCCGTTGTGGACAGCGATGGCGATCATGGCAAAGAGGAACAGACCGATCCAACATGGCCACCAGTCCAGATCATTCCAGCCCATCAGCCAAGGATGTCGGCTCAGGAGGGTTTGGGGTTGAGGTGCGTCTTTGTCTTTCGTACTGGTCATTTTTGATTCGTCTGCGTCCGCTAGTGTGAGCTCATTCTTTTTTCCAGAGAGAGTATGGTTGCTGTTGTTCGAATCTGATGTAGCTGAGGAAATGGACATGGGGTTTCGGGTGGTCAAGGCTGGAGTGGGGACATTGTCATTCGAAGGGGCCACTGCTTCTGGGTCTGGTAATGAATCTGGGGTGTAGTGGGGAGGGGTATCGAGTGAAGACATATCGTCGCCGGAGTGGAATGTGCTGGTGTTGAGGTGGCCGAGTTGATCGGCTGCCGAGGGCCTGTGATGGCGGGTATGTTGTTGTTCTGAGGACATTGGAAAGGGTCTCTCTGTGTGTGTGCTTCAGTTGCTGTTCCTGAAAAAAAGGGAATGAAGGACGTGGTAAGTTGTTTGAAAGGTTCCGGTTGGAGAGAAGTGTAAAGGTCAAAAGGTGAAAAACCAAGAAAAGAGAAAGATAAGGTAGCAAAGGGCGGGTATGTTTCTTGTTGTTTAAATATGGTTTTTCGTACTTTGTTCCCACAGTGGAGCGGAGAGAGTCCGCCGCAGAGGGCGCTTTCCCATCTCACTTGCACTCTGTCCTTCTTGACCTCTTCCTCCTGTCACCAATTGCGCTGCAGGGATCGGATGGATAAACCCCTTCTCATATTATCCCTCTGTTGGCTGTGTGCATAGGCTACTAAAGATGTAGATGCATTCAGCATCGTCCTCCTTTTCATGTGTACGAGAACACTAATGAAATAAAAAAAAACCTCTCCCCTCTCAAGTGGGTTCCGCGCCTCGGCCGAACGGACATCCAAATAAATACTTTGTTGCGCCAATGCCATGTTCTTTCTCTATTGCAGCAGGCCTGCTGTGCCATTGACCATGATCCACTTACTCATCTCTCTGCTAGTCGCCTCTGCCCACTTATTCTGTTCAAAAACATAGAACAGGTGGGGCTAGGAGGGAGACAAAAAAAACTGTCGCTCAGGGCAAAATAGGACCTTTTTTTCCCTTCCCACCCTCATAGCCTCCAGCAAAGGAAAATGAAGCCGCTGCAATTCGAGTCACCATTCATAGTGCCAATTCGTACAAGGTTCAGTTTGCTGCATTGTTTGGAGAGCCACGGACGAGGGAAAATATCGAGGGTCCCCCCACAGTGGTTTACGGGTATGTAGAGGATGCTGCTTTGTTTTTAAGTTGGTTGGTGTAGCATGCATTCCATGGATGCCTGACCTTGAAAGACTCCACCGTAGTTTTCATTATTTATTTTTAAACGCAACAGCTGTCTAACCGGGTTGGCGTCCCTCTTAATGTTTCTAGATAGATGCGTGTTCTTTTTTTAATATTTCTTTAGCTATCGTCGACATGTCAGGATCATCCCGGGGCGCCATGCTGTCATAACTGACGACCGTGTTTATTATGTCCGAGACAGATGACTCAACCTGCATCTTTTGACCGTGGAGGGAGTCCGTTTTTTTTGGGGAGCCTGTCGTCTGGGGGAAGAGGCTTTCCTTTTAGGGACACAACGGACCAAGCAGGGTTGTCTGCCATTGGGTCATGCTTGGGAAAATGAAGGTGCGTAGATATGATTTTATTGTTCTTCGATAGTCAATAGTCAATGGCGATACATAAAACGAAGGTGGTGTTCATAAAAAAAAAAATGCAGAGAGGTAGTTCTGCAGGACACGAAATAACTGAGGCTATCTAGAACCACATGTGGAAGAGGCGTAAATACATCATCTTGGCGAATTGCGTGAGAATAAAGTACGACAGCAAGGCGCCAACCAGGTAGGCGTAGAAAATGCCCGGGAGAGTGACGAAACTTAGTATGTCGCGGAACACTGGGATATAGGGAAGGACCAGGACAATCGTCGCGATGATCACCGTGCCAACCATCACTGGAAGGGCAGCGTTGGTCTGCACAAATGCCAGTTTGGGTGAGCGGATCACGTAGATGACAAGCAGCTGTGACAGAGCCCCCTCCGTGAACCAAGACGTTTGGAAGAGCAGAACCTTCTGTGGGTCGTCTGAAGTCTGGACACCAAAGTAGAACCAACCAAACAGGAAGGTTGTGATATCAAAGATCGAAGACCAGGGACCCATGAAAAGCATGAAGCGCAAGATAGAACGGATGTTCCAGCGGTGCGGAACCATCAAAAATTCCTTATCCATATGGTCCCAAGGGATGGTGACCTGGGAAATGTCATAGAGTAGGTTCTGGGCTAGAATATGGATCGGAAGCATGGGCAGGAAGGGCAGCCAGGAGGACGCGACCAACATCGAGAACACGTTTCCAAAGTTAGAGGAGATGGCCATCATGATGTACTTCATGGTATTACCGTAGGTGGTCCGACCCACGACAACGGAATCCGCAACGACAACAAGCGACTTCTCTAGCAGAATCACATCTGCGGATTCCTTGGCAATATCCGTAGCAGTGTCGACCGAGATGCCAACGTCGGCCTCGGCCAAGGCGGGAGCGTCGTTGATGCCATCGCCGAGGAAGCCCACGACGCGGTTAGAGCGCTTCAGGGCACGGACGACCAAGGACTTTTGCAGAGGTGTCAACTTCGCAAAAATGGTCGCATCGCGCGCAACCTTGGTAATCTGCTCGTCGTCAAGACCGTTCAGGTCTTCGGTCGTGACAACGGACTTGATAGGAAGGTTGATTTGCTGACAAACCTTGCGGCAGACGGCAGCCGAGTCGCCAGTCAAGACCTTGATTTCGACCCCGAGAGTCATGAGTTCCTTTATAGCAGGGCCGGTCGATCCCTTCGGAGGGTCAAGGAAACCAATCAAGCCAGCGAAGACCATGTCGCATTCATCAGATATGCCGTAGTTATCCTTGATCTTGTCCACGTCTCGGTAGGCTACAGCGACAACCCGGACACCATCGATATTCAGATCCTTGTTCATCTCAAGGATGTGAGCGACCATTTCGGGTGTCAAAGTGTGGATCTGGCCACTCTCCAGTTCCTCGAGCGTGTCGAGAGTAGCGGTAGTACCATCAATATCAACCATCTGGATGTCAAAGGCCGGTTTACCATTCCGTGGGATTATAATTTTGGTGCAAACACTCAACATTTCCTCGACGGCGCCCTTGGAGATGAGCATGGTAATGCACGTGGAGGTGTCCTGGAGCACGACCGACATGCGGCGCCGGACGAAATCGAAGGGAATCTCATCTTGCTTAAGATAACGAGCAGCAAAGGCTACAGCAGCAGGCTTCAGGTTCGTTCCTACGTCCTTGCCGTTGCCGGATTCATACATGGGCAGAGCAGAGGCCGTCTTCTCAAAATATTCGACGACAGCGACATCGAGCAAGTTCTTGAGGCCGGTCTGGAAGCGCGAGTTCAGGAAGGCAAGCTGGAGCGAATGCATGGAGGCCTTGCCGTGGTAGTCGAGGTGGCGAACAAGGACGACTTTGTTCTCCGTCAGAGTGCCAGTCTTGTCGGTGCAGAGGATATCCATCGATCCGAGGTTGATAATAGAATCTAAGTTCTTGACGATGCAGTGCTTCTTGGACATCAAGTAGGCGCCTCGAGCCAAGTTCGAGTTGACAATCATGGGAAGCATTTCGGGGGTGAGACCAACGGCAACAGACAGGGCAAAGAGCACAGCATCGGTCCAGTTTTTGTGCACGAAACCGTTGATCAGGAGCACAGGAGGGACCATCACAGCCATGATTCCGAAGAACACCCATGAGATGTTGCGGACGCCCATTTGGAAGGCATTCTCGGGGCGACGCTTCGCCAACTCCTTGGCCATCGAACCGAAGAACGTGTTTATGCCAGTCTTTTCGACCAGGACCGTGGCTGTACCCGAGACGACAGACGTGCCCATGTAGCACATGTCAGGGCAACTGAGGTCGACGTCGTCACCGGTTGCAGCAGTGCTCCTGAGATCGATGCGGCGGATACCGAAGCACGCATAAATACTTCGTATGAGCGAATCCTTGAGAGAGTAGTCATCAGTGGGGGCTGCAACAGGGGGAGGCTGCAAAGTCGAGCGCTGTCCGAGCTCAACCACATTAAAGCGGGTATTCTTGTCAATAAGGATGGCAGACGCGTCCAAGGGAACCACTTTGCTTTCCATGACCTCATACGAACTCTGCTGTCTCGCGTTCAGGGCATCCATGGCTTCTGAATAAGCACTGAACTTCTCGACAGGTATGGCCTCCCCAGTCAGAGCAGCCTGAGACACAAAGAGATCCTTCGAGTCTATGATCTTGACGTCCGCTGGGATCAAGTCACCAGCGGAAAGCTGGACCCAATCGCCAGGAACAATATCCTCGATGGGGACATCCGTTTGAACCGTCGCGTGGTTTAAGATCTTGATCACGTCCTCTGGCGTGGGATCGCGATCTTCAGGACAGGAATACTGGCGGGTAACAGTGATCATGGTCGACACCAGGGACTTGAGGGCCTTGGCAGCTGAAGCAGATTTCCACTCCTGCCAGAAACGGAGTCCAGTCGAGATTGCGACCATGATGAACATGATGCTGCCTCCGTTGTTGTCGCCGGTCAGGATCGTGGAGGTACCAAGGATGCAAAGCAGGATATTGAAGGGATGAACCAGAGCATGGAACAGTAGTTTGTACCAAGCTTGTTCGTTTTCAAAACTGATGATATTATTGCCATGGATCGCCCTGGCTCTCTCAACCTGTTCGTTGTTGAGGGGCAGAAGGTCCGCAACCCCAGGGGAGGCAGGGGAGGTGGCGCTGATAGAGGTAGCAGAGGCGACCCCACCATAGACATTGCCATGGTCGGCCGTGAGGGTGTCGATGAGCTGATCGACGTCCGTAGGGATGTGAGACGACATAGCGATAGCTCAAAGGGGGATGGGTGGGACCAAGGACCTTAGGGTGGTTTATACGAGGACTGATGCGTGCAGAAGAAAGAGACAGCACAGCAGTAGTTAGAACAACTGGATCAATGGATAATACATGACGGAGGAGCATGAAGCTGAGCGACAGAGTGCATTGATAGGGCATACCTGGATCACACAGACGAGGGACTCGCTGTTCTGGGAGGAGATGTGGGTCGCCAGTGCTGTAGACAACCGAGGATGGGACAGAAGGATTAAGCGCCGATTAATAAGATTCCTAGCATCAGTCGAAGGCGCTGATGGCAGTATAGAAATACTTGCGCTTACCAATTGACGAGTGTAGGGAAAGGGGGCAAGTCGACGCCAATTCTTGGATAGGATTCGGGGTAGAGCTGCGGAGAAGGATGTTTGCTAGTGAGTGTTGGCAACAAAGAACCGGAGGTTGGCGTTGTTGTCCGATAAGGGTGTAAGAGGGTGGGCTGGGTGTTTAATGGGAAACGAGGTGGCTCTTTATATACTGAAGGCACATCTCCATGGAGAAGGAAATATACATTTTTACGCGCTGGCGTATCTTCAGCATTCTACGACAAAGGAACAACAAAAGGAGCCTGCGGCACCAACCTTATTCTATGGCAACTGGATGAGACAAAAAAAAAACGCCTACAATAGAGTCGACGACAGAGCCAATATGCGGAACAAGGATTCCCAGCGTTCGTCGTCCCTCTGCCTCCTCGGACCGTGCTTTATCTCTGAGCGGACTTTTCTATGGACTCTATGCGGCTGTTGAGTGGTGCGCACAAAAAGGAACGAGAAACTCCAATGAGGCGTACATGGACGTTTAAGGGAATCAAAATGCCTCATCTGTCCATGTGGACTCGGCGCACGAACATATTTTTTTTTATATACCCTGCGTGTCATTCTGCAGGTAATCAATAACTGTAGAGATGCTGGTGCGTAATTTGGATATTGCTCGGCGCAAACAAAAAAAAAAAAGAAAGAAAGCCTGACCGAGGACCGCGTAGATCGAATAATAAAAAAGCTATGATTAGGTACTTTTTGTTCAAAGACGTCGTTCGAGTTCGATTGTGCGCTCTTTTCTCGATCCAGCAAGCGCTCACAGCTTTTTCTACGTCAAAATATAGGCGGGAATAAAATTTGTTCTGCGCCCAAGTTGTAGGAATGTGAGTGATCTGAATGTACGTGAAGCGTAGAAAACAATGTCGACTCGGGACCGTGCGAGACACTCCTTCTATCTCTGGGACGTACAGACTATACAAAAAAAGAAGAACACATATGCTTTGTACACTTTCCTCTTATTTCGATCGGTACGCCCAAGAAGAAACTACAAGGCTTACGCGGGCGCAGGTTGTTGACGACCGATACACATCCAGAAACACAACCCATGCGCCATGTTACTTAAGGGACTTGGAATAGTCACATTCTGTCGTTCACATTTTTTTTGACTGCACTAATCTCACAGGTGGGGTATGGCCAAAGGCCTAGTAGCAAGGTGCGATTGCGATTTCCAGGATATATTATTTTGTTCTTCATGTTTGACTGCACCGGACCATACTGAATTGCAAAGCACAAATGCGGGTGCGACATTCTATGGTCTAGAGCACCGATATCGTGGATGGACCTGCAGAGATCAAATAATGCGCACCATTTCGCACCATAGATAAGCAAACCAGAAATGGACCGAAATATGGTTGACCTTCACGTCTCCCATAAAGATCAATATCCAAGATCCCGCCGAGCACTCTTGAGCGACAACAGTGTCTCGTTTCTCGTAGTAAAAGATCTTATGGACGTATGATGATCCCTTGTTTCCCTCTGTAATGGCCGCTGCAACTGTTGTTAGATGCAAAAGGGGCCTGAAGAGGATTTAGATTGACTTGCCAAAATTTAGCCAGAGCCATAGGTTTTAGTACAAGAGGGCGCTGCGAGTGCGGTCTATCGGATTGATGTATCGAAGACAGTCGCCATGGAAGTGTAGAAGAGGGGCGACGTCTATGGCGAGGATATACAAGAGAGGTGGTTGGACGGTCTGAGTAATGTCCAGCGGCGTGGTATCCTTCGCATAGACGTACGCTATGAGATATCCAATGTCCTTAGCAGGGAAAGACGCGTTGAAGCATTCCACTGCACTTGTAGTCGTGATAGGCCCTGCACGCACAGACCTTTGCTTCCGAGTGGTGCGCTCGAATTCGCCCACTGCTGGTTATGTCCTCGGCCATGTGGAACATCGGACCCCGAAATGGAAAGAGCACACTCTTCATAAATCCAGCCAACTGCGAATCCATCTTACTCTTCTCTCTCATCATCCTTTTACTGCATCCTCATCACTCATCGCAGAATGTCACGCCAGCAGGTTCTCACCCTTGCCTCCTCACGGTTCAACAGTCTCCCCCTCAGCGTCGGCCATCGGTAAAACACAAAAACGAAACGGCAGCTCGAATAATGATAGGCGGGTGATTCTCTCGCTAGGTGTGCGATTGACCTGGATGTGCCGGTGTCGATAACCCCTATCCTATTCCGTCTTGGCACCCTTTCCCTACCCACCTAACTGCAACTGCTTCGTCTCATAGAGGCGCATCCGAGCAATGGCCTGAAAACTCGATCATCTCCATGGCTCAGGCCGTCAAGGACGGTGCTGACGGTCTCGAAGGGGGTAAGGGCTCAGTTGCCAAACATCTCAAGGACTGGCAGGGCAGTTGAACATACGAACGCAAGAATATTCAGCCGGAACATCATACATGACTACATAGACCTCCACCTTACTTCAGACGGCGAGATCATTGTCATGCATGACCCCTCCCTCGAACGAACAACAAACGGCACAGGACTAGTCAAGGATCGGCCCTGGAATGGATACATTGACGGACTCAAATCCAAGAAGGAACCCCATGTCGGCGTTCCCCGCTGCATTGATGTTCTTGCCTTCCTGGCCCAGGAGGGTAACGAGAAGGTCTGGTGGAACATTGATATCAAGGTGAGCTGTCTTATCCTATGTTTGTTTATCATGAACATTATATCACCGGGGCCTGTCATACTGCAAAGGAGACTCCGGCTTGGCCTTCCTTAGCGCAATTTCTATTTTTGTTTTCTGGGTATCCTTGCTCCCTCGTCTGGATGCCTGGTTGTATACATGATCCTGTAGCGCTTTTGTTCTATGGCAACTATTACGACTATTACGACTAGTTTATGAGAAACGCATCGAATCTTTGTCTGGCTGATAGAACACGCGTTCTTTGCGTACACATTTGCGAGGCTCGCATCCAATCGATCGTACCATGCATCGACATCGATTGCGTGCTCAGTTACTAATCCTTCTCCGCCTACCAATTTTTTTTTTTTTTTTTTTTTTTTTTTTTGCTTATAGATGAATAACTCACCTGCACTACTGTTCTCCAAGTTCGCAAAGCTGATCGAGGAAAACTTCCCCGGCCGGGATTTCTCATCCCAGATTGTCCTGGGCCTTTGGCACCCAAAGTTCCTCCCTGCTGCGGACAAGTACCTTCCAAAATTCAGTCGAATCCACATTGGATTCAGTATCCCAATCGCGCGGCAACACTTCCCACCGAGCGCCGTGGATGGATACAGCATCAACTTTATGGTCCTATCCACGCCCGCAGGACGACAGTTCATCAAGGAGATGCAGGCAGCTGGGAAGTCGATCCTGGCCTGGACGGTTAACGACATGGCGGAGGCGCGGGAGTGTGTCAAGATGGGTGTCGATTATGTTCTCACGGATCGGACAAAGACACTTCACAAGCTTCTTCATGAGTATGAGGCATTGGGCAGGGATGGAGTCGATCAAAAGTATGCTGATGAGGTCTTCGACACCTGGAGCCGATGGTCCAGATACACGTTCTGGAGGGCATTGATCTGGGTATTCCTAACAGCGCGGTTCAATAGTGCGACCAGACGGTTGAATCTGGAGCCAGACTTGGACTTGGATTTGCCGAGGGAAGTCTTCACGAAGTAGAAACAAACAAGGCAAAGCGGTTGAGTGTATGAGAAAGTGGCTATGGATACCAAATAGTTAGGACATTGAGAAATTCAAAGGCCCTAGAGACAATAGAGAGAATGCCAAGGACATGCATGATTAATGCACACTCCACAGAAGGTTGCACATTCCAGTGGTCTCTCCTATTTCCTCCTTGACGATATAAACCAAGGATCATCAAAAAGTTTGCTCTTCTGTGGGGATCCCTTTTGTCCTCCCCCCCCCCTTCTTTTTTTTTTTGATCCCCCTTGAAGACGAGAAAGGCAAGATGCCGAGGGCGACAATGATGATCCTTACCCATTGCAAGGAGATAATGGCCTTGTCCCCAGTGCGAGTGATGCACACGGCAGAGCTAGGGGGAAGCATCATGAAGAGTGCGGTTTTCGGACATGGGTAATGCTTCTTGGCACCTCTCCTTCTCAACAGGCACGCTCTTCACTTTCCTCATTCCGACATTCATCGGCATTCTTGAATCTTCCTTCGATCTGAAATCACTTCAGGGCCTGGACGAACTTTATTATTATTATGGCCATATTGTACACACCCGTTTCCCAGCGCTCCTCGAGCCCAGACCATTCTCGAAGCATCGGGGATCTGGAGAGCCACGGAGACCGGGACCATGCCAAAAAACCGCTCCAGCTGACGTTGCCCCAGCGACAACTTGTCGGCGTGCTCGTCTTTGTCTGGCTGCTGTGTCTCTGGGTTTGGCTGAAAGTCCTGGTATGGCCATTGAAGAACAACGCACGACCCAATGGCACGCACTGGCCAATTGCGCACGTTCCTGAACACAATTCTCTCTTTGAATAGGAAGCGAATGCCGCCCAACGTAGCCCATTGCTCTTGTCAACGAACGTACTTTTGAACACTACCGACCTCTACCACACATTAACTCTCCCACTATTGCGCCTCACCAACCGTACGAAGCTGATCAGCACTCGATGTGGATCCACCACGCTGGCTCCACATCTGCTCACATTCCTCAGCAATGATCTGTACGACCTGTCACAACAAACACCACCGCCACCACCAGCCGACGGAGAATCACCCATCATAACCCAGGCCCACAGAAGGCCATCACGGTACCTGATTGCGGTCGTCCTACAAGATTCAGAGACGGTCCTGCCAGACCTATTAAGCCGGATCCTGGAGGTCATTGCGGTGCTGGGTCCAAATAACTGCCATTTATCGATTGTGGACCGCGCCTCGACAGATAAAACCAGGGAAACCTTGCGATTCCTGAGCCGCTTTTTGGACGATTATAATGAAGAGAATACACAATCTTTGGATGGGTATACACTGGGGCGCAGTAAGGAAAGAGAGACTATCAAACAGACAGGAGACAAATTAGCAGGTGCGGAAAGTAGGCGAAGGCATTTATCTTATACGATCACGACCCTAGTACCAAGGGATAATTCCTTGAAGCAGACGACGGGAACCAGGAATATGGCGCTGCGCGCACTGTTGGATAGGGGTTCGGAAGAGTTGTTCGATGAAGAGGTTGTTCGAAACAAGGCAGTGGCAGAGGAGCAAACTGAGCATGGTGAGGTGAAGGAATCCTTTGACGAGGTGATCCTGTTGGATCCGGTGGTGACATGTGCGGAGGATATTCTAGAGTTGATTTTTCAGAGTCGGCTTCAGAACGCAGATTTGACATGCGGAATGGATATTGGGCACACGGTGCGCCTTCAAGAGTCGGATTCCGTAGAAACAGAAAAGACGTTGGAGCAAGGAGGTAAGACTGCGGTATGACAAGGTCGGCTTATATTTCAAGCATCATTAATTCTGCTAACATTTTATTCATATCATTGTCACTCTACACGCTTGTGCTAGTCTACGACAGCGTAAGTATTCACTACACGTTCACATCAATCCATACACACAGCTCGCTCAACTACAAAGAAGGTGCTGCTCAGAGCACTGACTAGGTCCTTTCGTCTTTCACAAAGTCGCTCACTAGGGACATATTCGGTCAAAAGCTGCAGCAAGACCCCACGGACCTATCCATCTTCTCCACCGACACCGAGACTCAAACTCGTTTTCTGAAACGTCTCCCCTTCCAAGTCGAGTCCTGCTGGAGCGGCGCCATTATCTTACGAGCCTCCAACTTATCCTCCATCCCTTTCTCTGATCCTTTTAACCCGCAAGACTACCAATCAGTCGGCCAATGCAACCAAACCGACGATCGTGTGAAGCTCATCCAATATCTAAGGCAGTCTTCATCTGCATTTGAATCCTACAGTCCACGAGTAATCGTTGTCCCGAGCATCCCATTCCCATATTCCTCTAAAGACTATGTCAACCAAGGCCGGTTCAATGGCTGGGGACTCTGGCCAAAGACCGAGAAGCAGTACCGGGACCAACTCGAAAGCAAGCTGGAGGCCGAGAGCCGGCATCCACTGTATGGGTACAGGCCCTCGACAGCGAGTTATGGGTATATTCTGCGAGTCAAAAAAGACGGAGACCAGGACCCGTTTGTGGAAGGCATGGAGAAGGATGAGAAGAGCAGCGAGGCAGATGTAGAGAAGTGGGGAGCCGAGTCGCTGGTGGTCTCGGAAGAGGTTACGGTGGCGTTAAAGACGAAGCTGGAGGAGATCGGTGCGGCGTTTGGGGTGCAGGATATTCAGAATGCGGTGATATTGAAGACGGAGGGGGAGATGATCGGTAAATGGCGCGAGCGCTCTGCTTCCAGCGCCTGGGAGTGTTGAGCCCGTCGTGTCTCAAGAGCTTGTTTAATTGCCATAGTACGACCAACCATACTTAAGAAACCCCAGCCCCTCCCCCCATAACAAAAAAGTAACGGCAGTTTGTTCTGCAGACTTTTCTAAAAAACCTTACAACCAATTTAGAGGGCTAATGTTTCTTAGAAACACACCTTTTCTAAAGCCAGTTTCAACCGTATTTACATGTATACTCCTCAATGTCATCCCTCATGGAATTTGCAACTTTGTCCTAACCGCTCTTTCGTACTTTCGTTTGATGAAATGGGAGGAAAAAAAAAAAAAAAAAACCTGAGAAGATCGACCAACGAGCGCGTTGGCAACAGGAACGAGAGCTGCTTATGAGGAGAGGGGAAGGAGCACCAGTTTGAGTGCCTGGGAACAAGTAGTGGGAGCCATGAGCAAGATAATCATGGAAGGAAATACATAAGAAAAGCACAGCGTAAAGTAGGCTCCAGCTGAGAAGCGTGCAACAGATGAAGGACAAGAGAGTGATAAAGAACTATATGCTTATAAAACTGTTTGTCCATGGACTTATCCTGATTAGAGACCCTGCATAGCACTTTTCAGGATGGTGCGGCGCCTGTAGGAGGCACAGTGCTTTTAGGACAGCATGGGACGTAGGGATACTGTTATACGGCGCCCATGGAGGGCATGGTGGTTCCTGGTGTGGAACAAACCTTATCTTAACGTGCTCAGCCTTCGATTCCACCGCGTATAAAGCGCTCTCCCTCTACATACGTCTCTCTCCCACTTGTTCCCTTCGCCGTCTTGTTCTGCCCAAATTCATCCCAAGATGCCCATCCGGCCACTCGACCTCCCGGAGATTAGGGAACACATCGGCCTCTTCCTGAGCAAGCAAGATCTTCTCTGCTGCATCCTCGTCTGCCAAAAATGGCACCAGTCCTTTAAGCATCTACTGTATCGAGATATTGATTTCCTTAAATGCAGATGGTGGATGGGGCCACCATTGGATCACCTATACAGTCCCTTATCCGGCGACCATCAACACCCACGCCATATCAGCTACTCCAGCCATGTCCGACGCCTCAATTATGTATGCGAGCGGCGCTTTGATTACCTTAAACCGACATACACAAACCTAGAAAGCCTCTCTCTTGTCTGGGACTTCAACGACGACGGTGGAGTACAGCAGCATCATCATGGCCAGCTGGTCGATTTTATACAGCGACACCATTCAACCCTCAAAGAAATCGCCGTCTCTGAAACTACTCTTGGCTTGCCGGTGTACCTGTGGGAGCTTCTCGCAGAAGAGACCCTGTTTCCCAAGCTGATGACCCTTACTGTCACGGAAGACCGGCGCTCTGATCAAGGCAGGTCCCCTGCCTTCTGGAGAGCCTGCGCAAGAGTCCAGGCGCTCGAACTCGACGGCTTTCGATATGATGTCCCTGACAGTCCGCAGGTATGGCCCGAGTTCAACTGCCTGGAGAGCCTTATCTTGCACAAATCTGAATCACATTACATCTCTAAGCAAGTCGAGCTACTGCCATTACTGACAAAGTGCCCTCGACTAAAGTCTCTCCAATGGGTGCTTCATCGTCGGTACTACAGTTGCAGCTGCTGCAGCGACATCGAAGATGACGCAGACGATCCTGATGTCACTACCTGTAGTGTCCAGATTATCGATGGGCTTGCCGATCTGATCACATCGGCCAGACTATTGCATCTCACAAGCTTGGAGCTGACCATGCATCCTTACGATGGACCTATTCAGTCCACCCGAGACGCACTGTTGGCTGCCTTCGCCAAGCTTCTGAACAACCTTACCTTGCCCTTGACTCGTTTTGGCCTATACGACTTTGATATCGACTCCCATTTAACCTTCCCTGCAATGCAGCGGCACTTTGCAACAATCCGGTTCCTGGACATTAGCATGATCCCCTCGGACTCAAGCTGGATGGTGCAGACAATCATGACCTCGTGCCCATTGTTGGAGGACTTTTCAGGGGACGTAATTCGGGTGCTGGACATGATGGAGGGGGCGCCGTGGGTCTGTTTTGGACTACAGATACTCCGTCTCGTTTTTGAAGTTGACCCGGAGAACCGCACTCCTGGAAGGACCAAGAAGGATCAATGCCTATTTGCGTACAGGCAGTTATCCAGGTTGAGTCGGCTCCGAGAACTGGATTACCATGGTAGGAACAGTACCCTAGAAGACTGGCACAATGAAGAACGGCTTTCGTCTATCCTTATACAGTCATCAAGGCACAACCGAGACCTGTGCTTTGAGCCGCATATTCAAGGTGTCCACGTCTATTCCCATCATTACTGGCATTCGGACTATCCACGGCCAGAGGACTTTGAGCAAAAGTAGCACACGTCTTGATATAAAATGCGCGATGTACTGTATTCACCCGAATCCGGTCCACTTGCGCAGTACTCTGTTGTCTGTCATATTGATCCTCGTTGGTGATCGACCGCAGGAACTTGGTAGCTCTGACACCCCCCCCCCCCCCTCCTCCTCCTCCTCCTCTCTCTCTCTCCCATAATCCACCTTGGTTCTTGTAACAGCACCAGCCGGTTGACCATGGCCAGTCAGGGTCTTCATCAACGTCAGAACTCAACGACCGGGTGCTCAGGAGGAGGAAGATTACTACTGCATCTATGATGAAGTGGACAAGTTGAACCGAACGCTGAACTTCAAATAGACATTGAGAATCCATCAACCTGCCAGTTGTATTCCTGTGATCTGTCTGTGCTGTTACAATTAGCAAAAAGATCTGAGCACCGAAGAAGCAGCCAAGTGTTTATAGCGATATTGATTTTTGTTCCTTCGATGGTGGGAAAAGCATCTTTCGATCCAGAACAGGCTGTGAGAGTGATCAACATGCTTGACAGCGAAATCACAGGAAATGATGTTATTTATGACATGCAGGTTCCTCTCAAGATTGGCGGTAAAGGAAGGCGCAGGGAGAAGCGAATCAGGAGCAGCATTGGTCCGAAAAAGAGGGAATGGTAGCACAAACTGAACACTGAAGGCAAGATAGAAAAAGATCCTATGAAAGCTCAGGAGAGTAGGAATGCACAATGAAGGAAGGCGACAACAGGTGGTAGAAAATCATAGAGCAGTAATGATTCTTAACAGAAACACTGAAAGAGACGCGTCAGACGACATGCACAGGCGCACCGATGGATTGACAGACAAGCAAGCTGTGCCAGCTGTGCTATAAGCAGTGATAGACGCGTGCTAGAGGATATCTGCCGCGTAAAAGTGGAAGTTATATGGGCACAAATGCTGCAGCTAAGCAGTGACGTACCGGTCGACAAGCACTAGTTGACGAATTAACTGCCGGAGATTATTTGCAAATAGAAAATAGACTGATCGACTTCCTTTTTTTTTTTTAATTTCTTTTGTTACAATTGCTATATGTTTCAAAATGCTATCTTGATATCAAATGGGAGGGGGGAAGGTTTTTACGCCTTAACGGTCTCGACATCAATGTTCTTCAACGCATGCGAGAATGGGCAGATCTGGTGCGCGACCTCGACCGCACGATCAAAGTCCTGACCCTCCAATCCAGACTTGGCAACCTGCAACTTGACAGCCAATTGGAATCCCTTGGGCTGCTTAGGACCAATGCTGACAAAGGAGGTGATCGTAGTCTCGGGATCGAGCTTCAACTTCAGCTCCTTGGCCGCGGCCGCGAGCGCACCTCCGAAGCAGGCAGAATAGCCGCCTCCGAGCAGCTCTTCAGGGTTGGTGCCTGGACCACCTACAGTTTTTTTTAAAATAAAAATAAGAGAAAGAAAGAGCGGTGGTGAATAACTGCGTGCAGGAGGGTGAGGGAGTGCGAGGGATGAGGCGCAATAAGATGTCCAGGTTGCGCAGTGCAACAACGACAGACGGGGCGCCGTTGAAATCAACGCTATTTGCGTCCTTTTTCATCTCGATAAGCGCATAATCGAAATTGTATTTTCTGCATACGTCAAGGTGATCAGGTCCCCTCTTCCAGTCGTCGTTGCTCAGATACTCTATCCTCTCTGATGAATAATGTACCTTTGGTGCCAAACTCCTTGGGGGTATCCAGATGCAGATCGAGGTTACCAGTCTTGGTCGTGAGATGGCCGTTTCTGATCATTGCACACGCGCGTATTTAAAAAGTAGAATAGGGGTCAGTTGCGACTCATCAAGATAAAAATTGTAATTGGCATTTCGTGAGAAAATCGTTACAACCCACTAAAGGGATCGCGCACGCGAAGTAGACAAGCGAATCGATAACAACGATGCAGACCCCCCGTTCACGCTCTCTTCATTCTAGGCAATGCAGTGCAGCGTAGTGCCAATTCCTCAATTCGGCGGTGTCTTACCTGGCGCCCTTGACAGTGGACTCGGCGGTGTAGATGGGCTTGAAGGAGAGCTGGCGGGCAGCGATTGTGAGAGGAGCAGCGGCCAAGTGCAGACGCGTAGCAGGACGAACGGCAGTGCGGAGGAGAGACATGGTTGGTTATGAGAAGGGATACTTGTTGAGAGTGGAGAGGGGTTGGGTTGAGAATGGAGAGTGTGAGAAATGAGGTTGAAGAAGAGGAATGGAAGTGAGTGACCCCCAAAAGACGAAAAGACGTGACGCACTTTTGTTCCCACATACACTTGTCTCGAGCCATCCTTTCCTCAATCTCCACTATGCCCAAAAGAAATCACTGGTTACACAGCTCCGGTCCCTCAAACTGTCGAACGCTCTGACCCTGACACTTCAGCTTCCAAATCATACAAAATCCCAAACGAAGTATACGCTTCACAATATGCAATTCATCTCAAAATCCACGCTAAGCGAGAACACAATCCATCTCTCTCTCATGTCGCTCTCTCAAAAATGTTGAATAGGCATCCTAGAACAGCCGCTGATACACTTAAAAAGGAAGACAAGATCCGTCAAGCAGTGGCGACACTGTGGCCTGTGGCAACAAGAACGATTGTACGCATCAGGCCAAGACCAATGGCGGTTGTGGAAGAGGCCGTTTATACCTGGTATAAACAACAAGGATCTTTAGGTACGGAAGCTCATGCAGTTGCTCGTTTCTGAAAGCACATTCCTTAGTCCATATACTTTGATAGGCATTAACATATCTGACTGTCGCCTGAAAGGAACTGCTGTGATGATGTGGATCCTCATGAAAGATTTCTTTCGTCCTGAACATAAGCCAGAGCTGATCGCCTTTTCAAATGGTTGGCTCCAAAAGCTCAAGAGATAGAGAGCACTCGAGAGCTACATCGACCATAGTGAAAGCGAATCGGTCAATTTGGATCAGATCTCTATCGTTCTCAAATTGCACAACACCAGTTTCGGCTGTACGACTCGGTTGTTCACACAAAAGTGTTTCGCCCTTTATTAAGAGTAAAAGACTAATGACGCAGGACCCATGGGAGAGGTACCGAGAGTCTCATCGAAAACACGGTTTGCTGATGAAGAGTACAGCCACTCACCATCGCTATCCTCGTCCTCATTCTCCTCCCTCGAATACGCCTCGCACATCTCCACCGTCTTCATGACACAACCCTACGACAAAGACAAAAGTGAACACCGAAACCACTGTGTAACAACAATGCATAGGAACAAGACATGAAACTGCCTATTGATTCATCTTACCCTGACTTGCAATAGGTGGACGAGTCCCTGGGCCTGGGGCTTCCATGTTGTGGTAGTGGAGGGTAGCAGGCACGAGTCGTACAAGTGCAATAACATAATGTAAGCACTGAAGGGGCACGCCTTCATCTCCATCGTCTTGAAACCTCGACCTAAAGAAAGTGTTAGCAGACTCTAGCTGCAACCTTTTAAACAGACCAATGGCGTTGAATGGCTTACCTCCAGAGTATATTGCAAAGAAGCGCGCCTGGCTGCGAAAGTGGATACTGGGCTGTTCCCGTAGCCGGTGGGATGCGATGAGGTGGAGGTCTTTGAACAGCGTCACATCAACTTCGCGCAAGAACTTGGTCGACATCTCATCCCACTCCTTGAGATTCTCTACTACAAACCAGTCGCGCTTGTTGGTTGTGTCTCTGGCTACCAGATCCAGCGTCCGTCCACTCTGTTCACGCGGTGTGGGGGTCTCCACGTCGACCTTGCGCACTATGTCCCTCCTCTTCCCCGACTCCAGGCCCGCCTTTTCTCCATCAATCATTGTCAGCCCGTCCACATCCGACAACATGCCCTTCATGATCGGCCATGCTTCCCTGCACTAAAACGACTCTGACAGATCTTTGTTGCCAAATGAACACGGCTTTGTGATGTACAGCTGTGTCCTAAATCCGTAGAGCACTCTGTTAGTTTAGCCTACCTTTCCATGGGGTAATAGTGAGAACAATCGACTTACCATGACAGAAAAGATCTCAGCACCAGCTCACACGAATACCGGTCTTCCTTCGGGACAGGCGCTGACGCGACATGCTCTCCTTTGACAAGAGCCTTCCTGGCGTCACGCAGATACCTCTCGGTCGTCTCTGGTAATCTGGGAAGTTGGAAGTCATCTAGCTCCTTCATCTCCTTCCACTCATCCTTGGTAAAGAGCGCCTTCGTCCTCTCACAGCCAAAGCCAATCGTATATGAACGCATTCTATAACACGTGTAAAATGCATGAAGACAGTGTACGGTGTTAATACACTGCGCAAAATACAAAAGTACGTGTTATAGAGTAAAAGACGTACTTGAAATTGGCCTTTCGCTTCAGGTTTGCATTGTGGAGGATCTCTTCAACAGTTCTGCCGCTTCTGAGCTTCCAGAATTGTGACCGATTCATCGCGGCAATGGGCTATCGTAGGAGTAAGCACAGAGCACCTGTTAGTCTCTATCTCCAGGAATTATGTATTCATACTATCTAGTTTCCTTTAAGATACTCTGGAGTGTTGACTCGGCGTGCATACCTCTTTTTGGTTGCTCAGATCGGGCTCTGTGCTGGTCGTGGTCGTGGTCGACGTCAAGTCTCCATCCGTGGTCGATCGCTTCCGCTTCTTGAAGCTTGGTGCTGATGATGACGATGACGATGACGATGAGGGCGCTGAGGACATCCTGGCGGCAGCTCGACTAGATGATTCGCTATCTGTATATCATATTACGGTAAGAGTACAGGGGGTTTACCATCGACCACTCACACTTCAAACGCGCTTGTGCTGCAAGGGAGATCACTATCTTGAATCAAAAAGCAACGCAATATAGCCTGAGAAACAGGGCCATTGAACGTATCTAGATGGTCAATGGCGTTCTTCTCTGCCGAATGCATGACTCTCGCTGTGGTGCGGTTCACCGTGATAATAGTCCGGACTCTGGCCTCTTTCTCTGACCTCTCTGCCTCCTGTTCAAGTCTGCGATTGCTCCAATATCGCTTCAAGGCTCCGTTTTTCTTGTCGGCATAATACCTCTCCTTCAACAGGATAAGCGATGCTTCCGTTTTTGGGTCAGAGTCCTTCGCCAATTCCGTCAGACCACCAATCCAAACACTGCATGCGTTTATTTCTGAGAGCTCAGGAACGCTGTCGAAGAAGTCGAAGTGGCCGCAGGCTGGTAGATTTGGGTGTTTTGTGAAGTATTCTTCGAGCTTGTGGTGAACCATTCTTGGTTTTGAGGACGGGAAAAGTGGTTGAAAGGATAAGAGAGGTGACAAAGAACAGCACTCATCAGCAATCTAAACAGTTCGGCAGCATCTTTTTTTTGGGTGGAGGGGAAAAGGGAAGGCAGCGCAGGCTGCTCGTAAAGCAAGAAGCCAGATGTCTGCACTTCCAGGTCGAATATCTGCCTCCTGCGATTAGCGACGAGCTTTTAGATATCCTCCTGGAGCTCATGCACCAACTCCCAGACTCCCATGTCGTATGGTAACCACTGCTCTCTACAAGGGTTACGTGGACCGCATGGTCTCATCCAAGGTGGCTGATAAATGAACTACCTGCGCTAGAAGATGCTGGTCTTGACAGCACTTCCAGGTTGAACACCACCCTTTTGTAGCTAAGGAAGTATCCTCCTGGAGCTCATGCACCAACTCCAGACTCCCATGGTAACCACTGCTCTCTACAAGAGTTGCGTGGACCGCATGGTCTCATACAGGGCGGTTGTCAAGACAATCAGCACCACAAACGAAACAGTCTTCAAAGCACGGTGTACTTACCTTTCAAATGTAGAAGAGGGAGGATTGGTGAGCAAGCGAGTTGATGGAATGACCAAGAAGAGTCTAACACGCCTGTGACTTTTACAATTCAAAAAATGATGGGCAGCACCAAGATGGGCGAAGCCAACCACCAACCCGATCCCCATGCCATTCAAGTCAGAACGCCAACAGCTACTATCCGACCTGGAGCAGCTCATCATTCTCACGATCCTTAACGATGACAATGAAGGAACAGAGGATGCAATCGCGCTGTACCACCCTGTTGATGAGTCGCGCTAGGGAAGGAGAAGAAGGTGAAGATTCGTCGTGTGATGGTTGTTCCATGTTGAGTTGTAGATGGATGAGGCGATGCAATCGCAAAGCTGGAAAATCAGACGCGGTTACTAGCTGTGAGCAAACGCGCCGTAGAGGCAAACGAAATCCACCATAGTGACGAAGTTTGAAAGGGCGCGTTCTATGGCGCGTTTGTGTGTGCAGCATGTTTCGGACTAATGAGTACGCGTGCGAATGTTATTATTTGTTTCTGTGACGCGACTCAAATGTCTATTGCGAACAGCATGCTTGGAATCCTTTGCCGCTCGCTTCATTCTAAGGGAGCCTCTGAACCACTCTATTCATGCTTCTATATTGTCAGAATACACCAATGACACTCTCTTACGGAGCGCGTTCATAGTACATGTTGAACATAATTGGGTCCTTTTTGTCTTTGCATCGACGTGTCACACCTCTCTTTCTGTATGTCTGATATAAAAAAAAAATGTTCAGCTATGATTAGAAATAGATGCTAGATGGAAACATGTGTTATTGCGACAAGGAGTGGCATAGCTATGCGGAGTGCATCAGCCCGCACTGGCGGTCGGTGCGTGTTTGGTGCGTCTCAGGACAGCAGTGAGAAGAAAGGAAGATATAAAAGTCGAAAACGGTATTAATGCGATTTCTTCTTGGAAATGTGCATTTAGTCAGGAGAGACACACGGAGGATGTTTCTCTCGGGCGCAGTGCGCATGTAGACTATGTGTAGGATCGGTTTCTTGGCAAAACAAGAACGTATAAGTTTAGTCCGCAGGGGCTGAGTGTTATGCCGCGCTGTACGTACGCTTATTGAAAGAATGAAAATAGACGGGAACAGGAAATAGAAGGGTTCTATTTTGTGAGTATGCCCAATGTACCAAAAGCGCACATTTTTGTCGTGCTCTGTTGCACCCCACCGTACTGATGATTGGGTCAAGAAAGAAGATGCTCCTCAAGACGACCTTCAAGTGCGGGTGGTTTCCATCCGCTTATCCCATCCGTCGGCATTGACGTGAGCAGAAAAGAGCTTGTTCAAATTGCGGGAAGAGTGTTCATATCAGAGGGAACATCTCTGCATATGGCGAGTATGATAAAGATGGATGTTGTCCCATGCGCGTTCTTAGAAGTACACTTTCTCCCCTAAAAATAGGTCGCGCCTCACAACATACTCTTGCAGGCCCAATCGTCCCTGTCCCTCTATGCCTTCCACAGCCCTTTAAATACATACAGCCACCTGCCCTGCATACGACTTCCTCTCTCACTCTCTCTCACACCCCTCATCTCTTTCTCGCCCTCATTCCATCCTCCTCATCCCTTTCCTTCTCCATTCCCCCTCCTTAACTACTACACATAAAAACAAACAACATGTCGCAGGACAAGGGATACTACGCTTCTCAACCCCCTCAATACCCTCAACAGGCCGTCTATGGACAGCCTGCCTACGGTCAGCCTGGCTATCCTCCCCAGCCCTATGGTGCTCCTCAGCCCTACGGTGCCCCCCAGCCCGCCTACGGCCAGCAGCCCTACCCAGCCTCCCCCGGCGGATACTACCAACGTGAGTCCTCTTCTCCTACTAGCCTTTTGCAGTTGAAGCACAGCAGCTGGTGCCGAAAATCTAATATTATTCTTTACCTCTCGTTCTATCTCATGGGATCTGCATAGCCGCACCACAGCCCCAGGTCATCATCCAGCAAACGGCACCCCCACCACAAAACAACAAGAGCGACGACTTGTGCTTTGGATGGTAAGGGATCTCTCTCTCTCTCTCCTTTTTTTTTTTTTCTCTCCTCCCTGTATGGACCAACGAAAAAAAAAAAAACCAAGGCTCTATCATACATCTTCACTATCTTGTATGTCCATTCATTTCATCGGCTCACTTTTTGGGAAAGAGCTTGGGGTGTGTATGTGTGTGTTGTGGACGAGAGCCCTATAGCGTGCTTTTGAAAATCTCGGGAATGAACTCCTCTGCTCGCCACTTGACTACCGCCAAACGCGGCACGACCAGCAACTGGGTACAGGGAATAGCGATATTGGTGCCGACCTTTTTTTTTTTCTTTCTCTCGCCACAGCCACACTCCATTTCGAAAGGATGGTTGCGGGGGATAATGTTGGAAAACGGATATTATTTTAACGATCACAATGGTTTGAGGGATTAATTTCTAAATGGCCAATTTACCGACCCGAAAAATGTACCACTCGCCGCGGTATCCTCTTTCCCTCTGTGCAACAGCAATAGCATCAACAAAAGATCCTTTGGAACTTGACTGACTAACCGTAAACCAAACAAAACAATCCTTTTTATTCTACTTTAATAGTGCTCTTGGTGCCTGCTTGTGCTGCTGTCTAGAGGTAAGCAACCAACTACACCCTTGTTCGAAAAAAAGAAAAAAAAAACTCTACGAACTATACATGCAATGAAGAACCGATATCTAACAAGTTTTTCAATTAACCGTAATTTAGGGTTGCTGCTAAGTCCTTATATCCCCTCTCTCCCCAGTCTCCCGCTCCCGGTTTCTTCTACCTATGCGCTGTGCTCCAGGATACAACTTCAGACTCGTGCGCGGAGTATAACGAAATCGATGCAAAACCGCGTTTTTTTTTTGTTACAACGACCATCACCCCGTTTACCTCTTTAGTCTTGTAGTCTTGTATGTATCTTAAAGTCTTGGAATAATAAACTCCCCTCCCTGTATTTTAATGCACCCAACTCACGAACACACCATGAAGACCGGTCTCCTCTCTACTATTTATTCTTTTATCCGGCTGCCTCTTATTGCCCTGATATCAGAGCTTTGGTGAATATGATAATGCGCGTGTTTTTTATTCATTGATACAAGATGATAGAATCGAGTGTTGAATTTGCTGTGCAAGTATGTATGATTGAAACAAAACAAGAACGAAAAAAAGTGAGTGAAGAGAGAGTATGGTGTCTGCGCCTAAACACGAAAAGGCGGGTATATCTATGGTCCTATTATCAGTCCTATAAACCACATATGCGAATGCGGAAAAAAAAAGTATATTCTCGTACGATACGGACGAGTTCATGAAAAAGAGAGTAGGGAGGGTTGAATGTTCGTTTGAAGGATTGTTCCTGTTCTTGCCGTTCTCCCCAACCATCGTACCGACCAGTGACCGGGTGACCAATGACCAAGGCGGTTCCGAATGCGTTATCGATCCTTCCTTTTTGATGATCGCTCTCCATATTACTGTCGTTACTGCTTGCCTGCCTGCCTGCCTGTCTGTCTGTCTGTCTGTCTGTCTGTCTGTCTGTCTGTCGTCATTCGTCAGTAATCGCCAGCTTCGAGCTGATCCTGCTCACTCCACTCGGGTTGTCTCCAAGGCGCGATCTTCTCGACCTTAGCCGCAGCCGAGTCCAACTGTCCCGCCTTCTTGCCCTTGGGTTTCGAACGGATCGATTTGTAATACATCCGTTTTTCGAGCTTCGCCTGGGTCTTGGCTTCGCGTGACAGCGGTTTGTCCTTGTCGTTCTCGTCATTGTCGTCATTGATGGAGCCGTTTCGGTACTCGCGGAAATGTTCCTCGGGTAGAGGTTCGTTCAGGACAATGGTCTGGAACTTTGAGGGGCGCTTCGAGGAACTAGAAAAGGTTTTTTATATAAGAAAAAGAGAAAGAGGGAAAAAAGAGAGAGGGAGGTTTGTTAGATATCGATTGATGGTCGTGCTTGGATGGATCCTGTGCATTCCTCAGCTTTGACCCTCCCCTATGTTAAGCACAAAACAAGGTACCACACTAAGGCATAGACCATGCCTGAAGAACAACCAAAAAAAAAAGGGTCTATCCCTTTCCGATCCTTGGGCTCCATGTAAAAGACACAAGATTTTTTTTTTTGCTCCAAAGTATCCAATCTGCTCCATTCATAAAAACTTACCCAGGCACGACCTTACTCAAGGCCTCCATAGGATCTTCGCTGTTACCGCGGAGGATAGCATCCACATAGATCTTGCACCAATTCTTCTTCCTATCCGAACGCTTCATGGGCTTGACCGTCATCCCCCCTGAAGACTTGCCCGCAGCCTCCTGTTTCTTGTACAACAGCCGCTGCGCATGTTTCGACATGATGGGCTCATCCGTCGACATGTTCGAGCAGGTGGACGAGCTCGAGAACGACCGTCCCATGGCGACTCCACCCCCTCCGAAGGTCAGGGTATTTCCGGTACTACGGAGTTCCTGCTCAAGTTTCTTCTGTCTGTACCAATCCAGGCGCTTCTTTTCTTCGGTCTCTTCGAATTTCATCAGTCGGAACCAGACCTCGTTCATCTCTTGGCTGTGGACAACGAGGTTGTAGAACTTGCGGGAAAGTTCGGAGATGGTGAGCATTTGGAAGGGAGGCAGACGGGAGAGGATTTGTTGGAGGATAGGGGCTGGGAGGGTGGAGAAGATGTCTCGCCGACGATACTTCTTATTCTTGGAGAGGCGGTGCTGGGGTGAGGTTGGAGAGGAGAGCGAGGTGTCGGTGTCAGTATCGCTAAGGTCAGAGTCAGAGTAACTTGAGTAGTCAGAGGAGTAGTCGGAGGAGTCCAATCGGTCCGTGGTGAGTAGGGAGAGGTGCTGCTTGTTGGATGTTGTTGAGGCTGCGGTAGTCGAGGTGGCGGAAGGTGTTCCTATCCCGGCGGTAGCGGGGCCAGTAGTTGAGGGTCTTGTCTTGATGAGGTGTGGCATGGTGTTTGATCGATCGATTGAGAGTGTGGGTGTGGGTGTTGTGGTCAATGTGGAAGAGTGCAGTGAAGGAATGGAATGAAAGGAATGAAAGGAATGAAGAATCAATGGATGTGAGATAAATATAAAGGTGTGAAAAAACAAATAAAGTTGAGTGTGTTGTGGAGGTCACTTTCTTTTTCAATCGCCGAGGCGCAGTGCGCAAATGCTCATGCAGCATCATTTTATTTGGCTTCATAAGCACTTTCCGATCATGTCCCCCCTCCTCTCCTCTCTCCGAACCCACAGCACTGGTAAAATAAAATAATAAAATAACCAGATATGAAAGACAAGCAGATCCAGACTACACCGTAAAAGGAGTTTCCTCCAAAACGAGGAGAAACTATGACGACAATGACGATTTAATATTTACGAGAACCGAGACACCCGTGTGCTCCGTGTTGAACCTGAACTGCACGGACTCTCTTCTGCTGCATCTGCCCCAATATTGTTCTTCTTTGTCGGCTCATCCTGTTGTTGTCCCTGCTGTTTCTGTTTCCTCAGATACGGCTCCACCTCCTCGATGGTCAATGGCAATTCCGGGATCGGCAGTGTCCTGTAATAAAGTGACTTGATATGTCCCGCAATATTCTCGATATCTTCTAGTCTCGAGTCCAGAACCTCCCACCATGCTGGATATGTCGGTAAGGGTACGCCTGCTTCCCGTGCTGCCAGCCAGATGACACTGCATGCGATCGTCGGTGGTTGGTAGCAAATGTATATACTTGTCCTCAATCTAATCGCAGAATGAAGAACACCGTCATTATATATATCTGATGCAAAATGTACCAAAAAGTCTTGTAAAAGAATACGCAAAGGTTACCCGTCATTTAAAAACCCCCAGGCACGTTGTGGGATAGTAGGATGCTCTGTCAGCTCCAGGACCTTGAGGTAGTTGACCATGATCGCGTAGGGCAGCTGCACATGGACATTGAAGCCAAGTTTCTTGAGAATCTGCATTTCTGCGATCACTACCGCGTTCTTCAGCTCGTAAAACTCCTAATTACGAAAGAAATGTCGATAGTCCTCGTCAATCCATGTATTCCCTTTGCAGAACCCAATGGTCTCACTATACAACTGGAAAGAAACCGTGAACTGCACACACATTTCCAAAGAGAACAAGAGGATCCAAGGGCTTGCGTCGAAACCGTTTGCAGAGGTGATCCACCACATTGACCAAGTCCGTTAGGCGACAGGGACATTCTTCTACTTTTGCAGCCAAGAATATTGATCCCATCGCAATATCCTAGTCAAGGGCACATCAACAAAACAGAGATATGAAGAGAGTTGAGTATTCGTCCGCACAATGTTGGATCCAATGACTGAAAAATCCAGTAAAGGTTGTTGAATTGCGATGGGTTATTGTATTCCTGCGAGAAAAACTCTTACTCGAACGGCGAATTTGTGGAGAGATGCTTGGTAAAAGAACCGTTGGAAGAGGATCTGAGCGGTCGCCATCGCCACCTGTGGCCTAAACAAGAAGGAAATGCCCGCCCACTACGAATCAGACACAGGGTCTCGAAACAAAGGCGTTTTTTTTTCTTCACAATGTTGCGTTGTTCGCTTCCTGCATCTTCTGCTTCTTCGATCTTTTGTTTCCTCGGCTCCATTGTTGGTTCTCCTGTGCGATGGTATCCATGCTACTTGACAGCAGTTCTGATTTTATACATCTCCCTACGCCATAATAGTCATCCTCAGATTGCGTTGCTGCTTTTGCTGTTTGATCTGCAGTTTGTGCTGGCGGTGGTCCTGGAGGGTGATTGACTTACAGCTTCATGAGGATGCCAGCAGTTTGAATGAGATGACAGCCGAGCTGACGCAGGTTGTCCTCCTGTTCTTCCGAGACGCCGTCCTCGCGTGAAGGTGTCCGCTGCAGTTGTTCGAGTGTCAGGAGCGCATTCTGGAGCGAAAGCTTCTGAGACATGACTTGAGGCCGAGGGGGGTCTTTGAAGGGCGATTCGTGCGGAGCGCGCTGATCGCTTTCTTCAGGGCAGAAGGAGGTCCCTTATGTAGGCCGGAAATATTTGAGGAAAATGTCTTATACGTCATAATAATCCTGAATAAACATATCCTTCACTCTTATCCCCCAACCACCGCGACGATACACCGCTTGCAATCGACAACACGTTATGATACGCCCCGGACGTGAGCCAGTCAATCTCATCTCAGAGCCAGGTCGATGAGAACATGGATCAGACATTGGTAGCCCTCGCAGACGCTCTAGTAAGATATGCAAGGTCTGCTCGTTTAATGGAGGGTGGCGACAGCCAGCGACAACCAACGACTCTCCAGGGACGACTTCATCACCTACGACGACGTCTATAACATTCTGTATGCGTTGACTTCCAAACAAATGAGAAAGAATGACGACCCACTCATTTATGCTCGGCTTTGGATGGAGGGTCTTGAGAACTAAAAGTACTTCACCTATTACGACCGGGAACACGGCCTCTATCATGGATTTTGATCGCCATGGCAGCTGAATGAGCTGCGAAAGTGGGGGAGTGGGGGGATGTATTTTGCTTTGATGGCACACATCAAGCCTTGGAGGGATGGCTCGGTCAGCTAAAAGCAAGGATGGATACGATGTGCAGCAGCGAGTTTCAGCCGATGGTTGTTATCGCCGATCAGGGCCAAAACGAGATTAACGCCATCCGGACCGTCTACCCATGCAGAGTCCGCATCTTTTCGCATCTTTTACTGTGCTTGGCATGTGCTGCAGGCATGCGAGCGAAAATTCACTCTTTAAAACCTTGGTGTGGTTCATTTCTCTACAGAAGAGAGGAAGCAAAGGAAGGACAAGGCAAGTGCAGCTGCTTCAGGCAATATTGAGCCTTGATTGCGCAGACATACAGTTGTTATCTTTACTAACCAACTCTTTATTTATCATCAGATACGAGCAGAGCTTCGAGAGATTCTCCATGCAAGAACCGTGGAACGGGCAGACGCATTAGTTGCCGCCTTCAGGGATACATGGCAAGAGCGTGCACCAGGGTTATTGCAATACCTCGACAAGAACTATCTCGATTCTGATGCGGATAGGCGGCACTGGATGTTTTGTTATCGCCAGGACGTTTCCTATGCATGGATAAACACAAACAACTACATAGAGCCCTGGCACAACACTTTGAAGAAACATTTTTTTCAAAGACAAACAGCAGCAACGGATCGACGCCGTTGTTTATATCCTTGTTCAAAGGGCAGTTCCTCGCTACCAACAGATGTGCATCCGATCCGGCACACAGTTCAGGTTGGGAGAATGTCTCCAGCACGGAGGAAGGCACTACAGGCTAGAATTCAGGCCATCAATTACATTGACCGTAGGCGGACTCAAGGACCTGAAGCGGTCCTTTTACTCCAGACTGCCGACGATACAGTACTGAGAGTCGGATCCTTCACGAACCCCAGCGACTTTTATGAAGTGAAAGTTGACTGGACTAAAGGTGCGGTCGGTCAATTCAGCAGTTGCACCACCTGTCCCGACTTTTCCAACACTAAACTGTGTTGCAAGCACATAGCACTGGTAACAATAGAACTGCCCTACACCGAGTTCTATTACGATGGGCATTGGGAGGTCAGGGGCCAGTCTCTTTTGATGGATCCATCGTTGGATCAGGCCGGTTTTTCAGCATCAACTGCACCTGCGACGCCGACGGCTACACAGCTTGCCATTCACTATATTCAAGGTCTCTCTAACATGCTAAATATCATGGACAACAAGCACCCTCTCTCCAACCACGAAGAGGTTCTGGACGCTTTGAGAAAGACTTGCGAAGTGTGCGACAAGCATATTCCTGTTCTGGCAACTCACGAGCTTAGTCACAAGCGTGCAAGACAACGTTGAATAAAGATCATTGGCAACCATTTCATATCTTCAGTTAACCCATCTACAATGTTCCTCAATTGCTTTTGATCCGGTTTACAGTTGCTCACTTGGGATGACGAGAAATCAGTCAATCAACAACAAGAATTTATGGGGTGCTCCTCTTCACCATCCAAGAAACCCGCGAACAACACACATGGTACAAGAGCGACGATAACCACCGCCATAGTGCACGTAGAAGTAAACTCTGTTACATGAGCCCCTTGATGTATATATACATAATGCAGGTAGTTTTGTTGAAATCCATGAGGCAGTTCCTGAGTTCTTGGCTGCTATATCCTGGAAGAGTCATATTTTTCCAACCAAGACTACTTTCGAGCCAGAGAACTCATGTTTTGGTCTATGTACATGGTTGTATTTCTGCGCTCATTGGATTCTGCACTGAAAACTAAATATACTGGCGAACCTTTGTTGGTTTTTGAAGATTTTCTATCGTGCTTCATCGTTTTTATTGTTTTGGTGCAGAACAATAACTGAAATGGATATCAAGTCTAGCACTTGGACGCGTCTTTTTACATCCTGCAACAACTACGGATATTAAAATTCCTCAGAAACGATTGAAACCAGCTGGAGACATGTCTTTAGGGATTCTCTATCGACCTCAAAAGGAACAACCTCAATCGGTTATGTTTTGGGGGACTTTACTCATACCACTCTACCATGACGCCTAGACTGTAGGTCTGCACCTCCTATACGAATAGACCCCCCTACCATAATGCCACGTTGTGTCACGTTTAACCTACTTGACCTCTAGGGCTTTCTTCTTTCCGCGAGGAAGAAGATTTGCATTCATGTGTGCTTGAGTTACACAAAAATGAGCGAAGGCGAAGCTTTTCAAGCATGGCGTACACGCAAGGATCGTTCCCACACTCTCTCTTTTTGTTTCTTTTTTATCCCCTCTCTCACCACGCCATTCCCTTCTGTCCACCCATACACCCACGTCCTCTATCCATCCTCCATCCTCCCATCAAGCGTCCTTCGAAGCGTGGATTTATTCCCTTTCATCAGACTCTGCTTGCCATATCTCTATCTTCACTTTTTTCCTACCGGGCTCGTTCTCAGCACCCAGACGTCCAACCAAAGGTAACAATCAAGAATGGCCCTCAGGCGCGCCAATAGGACACTGTTCTTACAGTGGAAAGAGAGAAAACAGATGCAGCTCCACAGTTTCCTGACTCCACAGATTGTCCAGGATAGGCGATTCTCTGGTGTCCGAATAGATCATCTGACGAGTGGATAACTCGCCTTCCTTCCTCCGGATCATCTGAATCCCTTGCCAAAGAGCATGGATTATCGATCGAGTAGGTGTGGGTGCGAGCTTTGATTGTGAGTGGGCGTGTGGTTGTCAGCGTTAGTGAAAAATGGCTACCCTACAGACTGCTGGCGGATTGACCACTATTGACTGTCAGTGAATCGAGCACCACCAAAATCAAAAAGCGCCCTTCGCAAATACGCTAAAACGACGCGTGAATTCGACATCCACAATCACGCCTTCAACGACGCCTGTTAGCCTGCGTCGACTTAGACATCATCCCTGGGCCATCTCAGACCGACTGATTCACATGCCGTCTAAGGCGCACATTATCTCTTTCGCCTTACTCCATGTAAGGCACATCAATATACTCATATTACTGTAGTTCAGCCAATGACTTTTGTGCAGCTGCTAATTGATCAATGGTTCCTTCTTTCTATGTACCTTAGCGCTGCCATCTTTGATTCCTCCTTTGGCCTTCCATATTATCAGCGCGATAGCCTTGATACTGCAAAAGGCGAGAGCAATGAGTAACCCTGCTTGACTTTTTGCTTCATTTCCTCACAGCAGGCACTTATTGCATCTTTTCTATCTCGTTGGATACAACAGTAGAAAAACTACCATGACTAACCCATCGAACACCCCACCATCTGGCATTGGGAGATCTGCCAAGAACGCATTAGTGCCGTCATCGACTACCCAGGGTCGATCTATCAGCCATATGGAATCGCAGCTGTATCATCTGAGCAAACCAATCTGAGCCCCGATGGCGATGACAAGTCGATCTCGTCTCAGCGCATTAGAATGCGAGACAGAATTCGCCATTTTTTCCAGCCAGATAAATCGGAAGTAAAAAACGTCAAGACTCAAGCTGCTAGACCCGAGAGAAAGATCCACCATGCCCGAGCTTCCAGCATCGGGGCTCGAGATGACATTGACTATATGGGCTCCAGCATCAAAGTCAGCAGCCCTGAAATTGGGACAGACCTCACGAACGTAATGACAGCGGCTCGCTTGCATGTTTTCTCCGAGAATATAAGCCTAACACCCACCAGCGTTGCGGTACCAAAGCTTGGTGCACGCATCGACACTACATCCCAACTTGCCTTTTGCATCAGCCTTCTCTCCAGGAACCTGGCTTTGTCCCCGCACAGCGAAGGTTTCGAGGGAGCTTCCGATCAAACAAAGGAAGCCTGGCAGTATATGTCTACCGATAGTGCACATCGCGTGTGGGTCGATGCCATTGAGCAGAATCCAGTCGAACAGGACCATATCCGCTGGCTCGCTACCCGAAGGATAGGGGAATTCGCCAAGGCCACCCTTTAGGCTTCAGGCAAAGATACTTTACCGCTCATGGAGGAGGTCAAGGAGTTCCTGGACAGTGACCGACAGGTTTTCTTGGTGCTGGGCGATTCAGGATCAGGAAAATCGACATTCAAAAGACATCTTAAGCCCAAGCTATCGAAGAAGTACAAGCAGGGGCGAGGGACTCGGAGGAGGCGCAGAGGCATTGGCTTCGTTGCTAGAACATAGTAGCGGCACGATCAGATCGGACTATATAAGGGGGCCTTGGCATTGGCTTATTGCATTGCGAACTCGTTTGTGTCCAACGCACTTGCTAATCGTTCGACAGAGTGTGGATATCGTTTGTACTGTTTATTTAGGATCTTTCGTGTTATCCAGAACAAGTCAAGGCACGGACTTTTAGCAGGTGAGGGAGAGGGACGAAATCTGGCGCCAGCTCAGGCCCTCGGATGGCTTCGAACAACGGATGGGCTCACACTGCATGGTTTGCTTGCCGTTGGCCCAGACCGCACCACGCATGACGCTGTTCTGGGGTCCTTCATAGAAACCGTTGATCCAAGAGCCGGCGTTGATATAGCTGACACCGCCTGACTTGTCGTCACAGAGGCCAAGAAAGTTCGTATGGGTCACAATGTCCCTGATGAATCCCTCCTGATCCTTAGCCGAGGTATCTGCAGTATGGCATTGGCAGAGAGTCATTTTGGCGTTGCCCAGGTATGAGCAGTAGACTTGGCCGGCCTTGAGAGTTTGAGTGGGGGCGGTGTATGCGGTTGTCAAGGCGCATCTGGTGCCCTTAACGGTGTGCATGCCGTTAGAGCGTCCAGAGCTGAGAATGAAGGCGGCCTGGGCGGCGCTGATGGCAGTAGCAAGGACGAGGGCAGCGGCAGAGATGATCTTGACCATTTTGGAGGATGATGTTTTGGAGAGTTGGTTGATTGGAGAGGGTTGTGTGAGTGTGAGGAATACTTCTTTTTACGCGCCGAGGGAAGCGTTTTTTATGCCTTTTCCAAGGTTCTTCTGGATGGGTCTGATCTGATCAAAAGCGCACAATGCCACATCATTTTTCTTTACGAGAGTCGGGTCTTCAATCGTCTTCGCCCTTACCCTTACCCTCGCCCTCACTCTCGCCCGCTGTCAGAGGACTGTAACAAAATACAGCCCATGGGTTGTTCACACCCATTAATTACTACGGAGACGTGGAAAGGTCACTGTATATGCTCTTTCTCACGACATTACAATTTGTCGATAGCCTTCGGCAAAAATAATTTTATTCTCCTCTCCTAGCAAGAAGGAAGGAATAAAGTGGCTTCGAAGTGGAACCCGGCTCCTGGCGCTTCACCCTTAACCCTGGCTTTCGCAGCAAAAAAGAGAGCATATTCAATTCACGCATATATCGCTCACAAAAGGGCGGTCGATTCAGTCCGTCAGTAAGTTGGCGTGAGAGTTAACAGTGAACGGCCTCTGTAAGCACTTGCTTGAGTTGGGGTGTAGGCGCGCGACCTCGCTCTATCCACACAGACAGGCTCCTTGTTCTTGGTCGACCCAAACGACGCCGTGTCTCTGACTCCTCGCCTTGCTCAAACACCCTTATAAAAACAGTGCTAGTGTCCCAGTCACCCAGGTACGAAGGGGTGCTACAAGGAGTTAGCCCGTTGGCGACTAAGTAGACGATTTCCTCGCCGATATTCCAACAGCCATCCGTTCCTCTCTTGTAACGCGAGTAGAAAAAAAGATAGCACTGCCCAAGTAACGCTGCCGCCCAAATACCAAGTAAGTACATACATGCAACTCATGCATTGGATGAATTCAAACACGCTATAACAACATTACTCTAACCGACACCATGTACACATGGATATCTTGCCGGAACAGGTCCAGTCTGTCTATTCCGTCCACTGCGCAAGCAGAACACCGTCAATTTCGCGTCCAGATAGGTAATGCGCGTTATTGTATTTTATATGTGCATCTGTGCAGCCAATTGAGTACTCTACACCCCGTTATTGAGCTATCTATTGCTCGCTATTGCTATAGCTACCTTCGTTCGCATCCTTCACCTCGCCCATCCACCAGCCGTCAGAACGCCTTGTGCCTTCGTTCGAAAATCTTCACCATCCAGTCAAGGGTACGACGAACGAACGATCCATGTCGTCAATTTGTTCCGCCTCATCAAGCAAGCACAGTCGCTCATATCATCTTCTTATCACAATCAATATTTTTAGGATCTCCACCACGACCAACAAATCTCAGCACCTCTCATCGCCCCATAGCCCTCAGCCGACCGCTCGCTCTGCCCCCCACAAATCCCAACAGAAACAGGACGACCAGGACGACGACAGCGAGTCGATATCGTCTCAGCACCTCAGAAAACGGGACAAGGTTCGCAATTTTCGATTTAGCGATTCCAAGGACAAGGACAAGGACAAGCACCGGGCTATTGGGGTGTTGCCAAAGACCAGCAGTCGACCTGTCAGCATTGCTCCCAGAGTCGATGTCGACAATGCGGTGGCCAGTCTCAAAGTCAACACTCCCGATTCGACAACCCAATTCTCAACCGCGTCGACTACGGCTCGTATGGATGTGTTTCCTCAGAACGTGAGCGCACTTGCAATCAAGATCACTTTGCCCAAGCCGAACGAGAGGATCGATAATACTTCTCAATTAGCATTATGCTGCAGCATTCTCCTGGAATACCTGGCATCCTCTTTGCCAAGCAGCGATAATATACGCAGGATTCAGGATTTCGCCACCGATGATGGTTTATGGCTGAGTGCCCTTATGTGCCCCGAAAATCATTTTCCTGGAGGTCAAGTAGGTTAAACGTGACACAACGTGGCATTATGGTAGGGGGGTCTATTCGTATAGGAGGTGCAGACCTACAGTCTAGGCGTCATGGTAGAGTGGTATGAGTAAAGTCCCCCAAAACATAACCGATTGAGGTTGTTCCTTTTGAGGTCGATAGAGAATCCCTAAAGACATGTCTCCAGCTGGTTTCAATCGTTTCTGAGGAATTTTAATATCCGTAGTTGTTGCAGGATGTAAAAAGACGCGTCCAAGTGCTAGACTTGATATCCATTTCAGTTATTGTTCTGCACCAAAACAATAAAAACGATGAAGCACGATAGAAAATCTTCAAAAACCAACAAAGGTTCGCCAGTATATTTAGTTTTCAGTGCAGAATCCAATGAGCGCAGAAATACAACCATGTACATAGACCAAAACATGAGTTCTCTGGCTCGAAAGTAGTCTTGGTTGGAAAAATATGACTCTTCCAGGATATAGCAGCCAAGAACTCAGGAACTGCCTCATGGATTTCAACAAAACTACCTGCATTATGTATATATACATCAAGGGGCTCATGTAACAGAGTTTACTTCTACGTGCACTATGGCGGTGGTTATCGTCGCTCTTGTACCATGTGTGTTGTTCGCGGGTTTCTTGGATGGTGAAGAGGAGCACCCCATAAATTCTTGTTGTTGATTGACTGATTTCTCGTCATCCCAAGTGAGCAACTGTAAACCGGATCAAAAGCAATTGAGGAACATTGTAGATGGGTTAACTGAAGATATGAAATGGTTGCCAATGATCTTTATTCAACGTTGTCTTGCACGCTTGTGACTAAGCTCGTGAGTTGCCAGAACAGGAATATGCTTGTCGCACACTTCGCAAGTCTTTCTCAAAGCGTCCAGAACCTCTTCGTGGTTGGAGAGAGGGTGCTTGTTGTCCATGATATTTAGCATGTTAGAGAGACCTTGAATATAGTGAATGGCAAGCTGTGTAGCCGTCGGCGTCGCAGGTGCAGTTGATGCTGAAAAACCGGCCTGATCCAACGATGGATCCATCAAAAGAGACTGGCCCCTGACCTCCCAATGCCCATCGTAATAGAACTCGGTGTAGGGCAGTTCTATTGTTACCAGTGCTATGTGCTTGCAACACAGTTTAGTGTTGGAAAAGTCGGGACAGGTGGTGCAACTGCTGAATTGACCGACCGCACCTTTAGTCCAGTCAACTTTCACTTCATAAAAGTCGCTGGGGTTCGTGAAGGATCCGACTCTCAGTACTGTATCGTCGGCAGTCTGGAGTAAAAGGACCGCTTCAGGTCCTTGAGTCCGCCTACGGTCAATGTAATTGATGGCCTGAATTCTAGCCTGTAGTGCCTTCCTCCGTGCTGGAGACATTCTCCCAACCTGAACTGTGTGCCGGATCGGATGCACATCTGTTGGTAGCGAGGAACTGCCCTTTGAACAAGGATATAAACAACGGCGTCGATCCGTTGCTGCTGTTTGTCTTTGAAAAAAATGTTTCTTCAAAGTGTTGTGCCAGGGCTCTATGTAGTTGTTTGTGTTTATCCATGCATAGGAAACGTCCTGGCGATAACAAAACATCCAGTGCCGCCTATCCGCATCAGAATCGAGATAGTTCTTGTCGAGGTATTGCAATAACCCTGGTGCACGCTCTTGCCATGTATCCCTGAAGGCGGCAACTAATGCGTCTGCCCGTTCCACGGTTCTTGCATGGAGAATCTCTCGAAGCTCTGCTCGTATCTGATGATAAATAAAGAGTTGGTTAGTAAAGATAACAACTGTATGTCTGCGCAATCAAGGCTCAATATTGCCTGAAGCAGCTGCACTTGCCTTGTCCTTCCTTTGCTTCCTCTCTTCTGTAGAGAAATGAACCACACCAAGGTTTTAAAGAGTGAATTTTCGCTCGCATGCCTGCAGCACATGCCAAGCACAGTAAAAGATGCGAAAAGATGCGGACTCTGCATGGGTAGACGGTCCGGATGGCGTTAATCTCGTTTTGGCCCTGATCGGCGATAACAACCATCGGCTGAAACTCGCTGCTGCACATCGTATCCATCCTTGCTTTTAGCTGACCGAGCCATCCCTCCAAGGCTTGATGTGTGCCATCAAAGCAAAATACATCCCCCCACTCCCCCACTTTCGCAGCTCATTCAGCTGCCATGGCGATCAAAATCCATGATAGAGGCCGTGTTCCCGGTCGTAATAGGTGAAGTACTTTTAGTTCTCAAGACCCTCCATCCAAAGCCGAGCATAAATGAGTGGGTCGTCATTCTTTCTCATTTGTTTGGAAGTCAACGCATACAGAATGTTATAGACGTCGTCGTAGGTGATGAAGTCGTCCCTGGAGAGTCGTTGGTTGTCGCTGGCTGTCGCCACCCTCCATTAAACGAGCAGACCTTGCATATCTTACTAGAGCGTCTGCGAGGGCTACCAATGTCTGATCCATGTTCTCATCGACCTGGCTCTGAGATGAGATTGACTGGCTCACGTCCGGGGCGTATCATAACGTGTTGTCGATTGCAAGCGGTGTATCGTCGCGGTGGTTGGGGGATAAGAGTGAAGGATATGTTTATTCAGGATTATTATGACGTATAAGAAATTTTGTAGCATTTTCCTCAAATATTTCCGAGGGGAGATGTATCACGTGCAACTATTCCAGACTAGGGGGGAGGGGAAAGGAAAGGTGAAATGATAAAAAAGGGAGAACTGTAAGGATGCCGTCATTTCGGTAAGCCCGGATTCATGCGCGAGAACGAGAAAGAGACGTTTTAGACTCGCGCGCTGGTTCGAAGAAGAAGACAAAAGATACCAAGGACCCTGTCATTACCTCTTTTTATTGCTTTTGTTGGTATGGTTCCAGCTCATCATCACATCACCTATGACAACCAACCAGCCAACCAACGAACCAACGGACCAACGGGCCAGTCCACCAGGCGGCCTGAGTTGCATGGTAGAAATGCAACCGAGAGATAGAGACAGGCGAGAGAGAGAGGCAGAGGGAGAGAGGGAAGAGAAGGCAGAAGTAAGAGCGGTAATGAGAGTGAGATTGAGAGACCGCGCGCAACACATCAGGAAACGATGTAATATAACACGTCGTTGACGCAAGGATACGCGCGATCGGATGGGTGCTGAGCTCACTCCAGGCTAGAGGGTGGCATCGGTGTATATAAGAGGCCCCTCTGCTCCCAGCGACAGCTCCACTTTCTTTTCTTCACATTCCTTTTTTTCTTCTTCTTCTTCCCTTTTGTATAAATAAAAGCTGTTTCTTTTCTTTCTCACACCCCCACATTTGCATCCCTTTCTTCACTCCCTTGTACATATTCTCTCCCTTTTCTCATCTCATCGACATTACTCATTCCGCTTTCACTCGAACAGAAAGCAATGTCGTCTGCAAAGCAACGACGCGCAGGGTCTAGGACCAATAGCGTAAGTATCTCCCCTTCTCCTCTCCCTCTCTGTAGCCTACCTTGTCACACCACATTCCTCGCCTTCTTATCCTTCTTCTCGTGCGCGTACATGCGTATGTATGTGAATACGTGCAAATGGGGCGTCGCTATTCTCCGCTGCGTGGATGGGCTTGTTGCACGAGCCATCCAAATGCTCAGCAAATTTCACTCTTGTGTATCATTTCACTGTATATGACGAAAGAAGTGTGGTGGTATGTGCATCATAGTGGCAATGACATCGCTAACAATCGATTCATCACCCGTTTTTTGGTCTATAGCAGATCTCCCCATCATCTAGCCCACCATTGCCTCCGGCGCCGATTTTGGCCCAGAACCGGGGCTCAGCATCTCCTCGTCACCAAAAGGACGACGGCGACCTCGTCGTACCCACGCCTGTCCCCATCATCCGCTCGCGTTCCTCCCAAAAGAACGTTACCATCACACAAGCACCAGGTCGTCCACAGGTCCAAGCGCCGCCCGAACCAGCCACACGCACCGATCTCGCTCGTGCCGCGGTTCCCGTCCCTAGCGGCAGTGTCAAAAAGGGTTCTCTCCGTCGCTTCATGACCCGTGTGCTCCTCGTCTATCTGGGTTACACCCTCTTCTTTGTTTGCCCACAAACCAAGGATCCGAGCTCAAACGCGGTTTGCGATGGCATCGTCCGTTTCCAGAACTGGCTCCGTCCTTACTCTGAACCCATCACCAAGCAATTCGAACCCTATGTTGACCAGTACGGTCGTCCGATCTACAACAAGGGTCAGAAGTATTATTCCAATGTTGCCCAGCCCGTAATCAAGTCTGCACAGGACAAGGCCTGGACTTCTTATAGCCAGTATGCTCAACCTCATATCAACAGGGCCTTCGATACAATCTACGACGATAATGTCAAGGCCCACGTCAACCGATACCAGAAGCAGGCACAGCACCATGTTGGGCGCGTTCGCGACCACGCCTGGCGCCTCCATGCGACCCATGTCCAGCCCGTTGTCAACAAGGTCTCGCCACATACTCAATCTGTTTGGGACCGTGCTTCGACTGGAGTGGCTCGAGTCTATGGTACCGCCTTGGCTTTGTACATGAACCACGTCAACCCGTACGCAGAGCATACCTTTGCTGTTGTGTATGATGCGGCCGAAAACGCCAAGGAGTCCTTTGCGAAGCACACGGACGAGATCTTCCACACCCGTTTCAGTAAGCAGAACCAGTCCAAGCCAGGCCGTGCCGCGACCCGTGCGGCCGAGAAGGCCAGACTCGCACAGAAGAAGGCCCATGAGGCTGCCAAGGTCGCGGAGAAGAAGGCCAAGCAGGCCAAGGCTGATGCGGATGCTCAGGCAGGCAGTGCCAAGGATACGCTTTTGAAGAAGGCCGCGAACGCGCAGAAGGCTGCAGAGGAGGCCACGGCACACGCTCAGAAGCTCGCGAACGAGTACTCGGCTTTGCTCAAGGCTACCGTGCTCGAAAAGGTCGACACTATCAAAGAGGCAACTACACATACCAAGAAACAACATCAGAAGGGCGGTATGCCTAGCGCTAATGACATCAAGGAGGCCATCAACGAGAAGGCCTCTGGCGCCCAAAAGGTTGTTAACGAGTACTCGGATTCCATCAAGGCTGCGGTTATCGGAAAGGCTGGCGATGCCAAGAAGGCTGCCGTGGACAGCAAGCAGGCCGCGGTGTCGAATGCTGAAGAGGTCAGGGCCACTGCCGCAGAGAAGGGACATAATGCTCAGAAGATGGCGGAGCAGTTTGTCGGAACCGTGTCTGAGACCGTCGCCAAGAAGGCACAGGACGCGCAGAAGGCCGCTTCGGACGAGGCCGAGTACCTGCGCAACCTGGCGGATGAGACCATGCAGGACGCTAGCAAGATGTCGGATGGTATCAAGAAGACTCTGCTCGAAAAGGCACGTGAGGCCAAGGAGCGCGTCCAGGGAGCCGGTGCCTATATCGTCGATAGCGTCGTCGGTTCCACGCATAATGCCAAGGAAGTTATTGAAGACGAGGCTGAGCGCGTTGCAGACTATGCTGGCGAGAAGAAGGCTGCCTTGGAGAAGTTTGCAGTGGAAGAGGCCGCCGCGTTGAAGCTTGCAAAGATGCAGAAGGAGAAGGAAGCAAAGAAGATGGCTGATGACGCATCGATTAAGGCTCAACAGGCGTATGACTCTGCAAGCAAGCAAGCTGATGACCTCAAGAAGAATGCTCAGGACCGTGTCAAAAACGCACAAGATACTGCCCAGGTCCAGACCGAAAGCATCAAGAAGGCTGCACACAGCCACGCCAAGAATGCCCAGGTCCAGACCGAAAGCATCAAGGACGCCGCACATAGCCATGTCAAGGGTGCACAGGAGACTGTCCAGGGCCAGGCCGAAAGCCTCAAGAAGGCTGCTCAGGACCAGGTTAAGAATGCACAAGTTCAGACCGAGAGCATCAAGAAGGCCGCTCATAGCCATGCCAAGAATGCTCAAGTCCAGACCGAAAGTATCAAGGACGCCGCACATAGCCACGTCAAGGGTGTACATGAGACTGTCCAGGACCAGGCTGAAAGCCTCAAGAAGACTGCTCAGGGTCGTGCTAAGAATGCTCAGGAGGTTGCTCAGGATCAGGCACAATGGATCAAGTCTTCAGCAGACCAGATCGTGATGGGTGGCAAGGAGAATACCGACAAGGCCAAGGACTATGTTTCCCAGCAGGTTAAGGGTGCCGGCGAGAAGGTCGAGCAGACCAAGGAGACTGTGAAGCACAAGGCTCATGATGCGCACGCTGCATCGAAGGCATCATTGGCGGCTATGCTCGCTGGCATCGAGGCCTCGTTCGGCAAGTTCCACAACTACGAGGACACGGAGAGCAAAAACCTATGGACGAAGCTGCAGGACGCGATCGATGAGCACATTACCGGCGCCAAGAAGTCAGCCCAGGATCTCGAGAAGGCCAACCGCGAGACATACGCGACTTTTGAGTCCTATGTTAAAGACTGGCGCAACCGAGGCGGCGATCTTGAGAGTCGTCTATCGGAGCTGCAGCAGCAATCTGTGGATTCGATCAAGAAGATTGGAAACAAGGCCGAGGAGGACCGTACAAAGGCCAGATCCAAGGCCGAGATCCTAGCCAACAACGTCGAGGTACACCTGTCTGGTCTGAAGGACTTTTTGGCGGACCGTCTGAAGGCTTCAAAGGAGACTGCGATGTCGGATCTGCACGTGTTCAAGAATACGAACAGCAAGGACGATGAAAAGACGGTAGCAGACAAGTTGGTGGAGTTGGAGCAGGCAGCCAAGAACCGCTTGGAGAGTGCTGGTGCGGATGCACGGACGAAGGCATATGAGTTGTTGAAGCAGGTAGAGGAGATCTGGACAGATTCAGAGGTGCAGTCGCGAGACTACGTGAAGCGGACAAGGGAGCTGGCGAACAAGGCTCGTGAGGATGCGAAGGCCTCCGTGGGGGGATCGACTGAGAAGATCAAATCTGCAAAAGAGGGTGCTGGCGAGTACTTGAAGGAGAAGAAGAACGAGATCCAGGGCAAGATGATGGGTGAGGAGCCCCGTGTCCGAGTTGCGGAGGAGGAGCCAGGCTCAGGTCATCGTCATCATCGTCATTAGTTCACAGTAGCTTCTTTTCTGTACGTTTTCAATGTCATTTGATGAATGGTTTGAAATATATAAATATGAAAGCCTTTTATGCACACTTTGTTCTCTCTGAGGTTCTTGGTAGACTCGTACTAATGTTAAATGCTATGGATTGGAATGATAGACTAGTAATAGACTATGATAAAGAGAAAGAGAGACTTTTGAGAGCTATGGATTGTTGGGAAAGAGAAAGAGCGAAGGAGAGAGCTGGTGCGACCACGGAGCAAACGGATGCGCTCCCGAAAATGAGGATGCACACAAACAAATAGAGTTGCCTATTACCTGGCTGGGATTAGACCGTTAGTTCTCACGGCGGAGAGACCTTCTTCCTCTTGAGAAATGAGTGTGTACATGTACTGTACACACACAAAATGAGGGAGCAGGAGCCTCGAAGAGGCGAGCGAGAGGCGAGCGAGATTAAGGTTGCTGTGTGCGAGAGAGCAAAAGAGGACACTCCTCGCTGCTAGGATTGGTCAATGGAAAATAAGGGTGTGACAAGAACGAGGTGTGCATGGAGTGGATTCGATTGGATTGCGTGCGTGGCAAAGAAAGAGCAGCCCAACCCACCAAGGAAACGCGACCCAAGTCCAACCGTTTTGTTGTTGACAACTACACCCGTGTTTAATCCTTTTTTTTCTCATTCTCATCTCATCTCACCTCATCTCTTCTTTTTCGTTTTTCTTCCTTCCTTCTTTTTTCTTTTTTCTTTTTTCTTGGTCTTCATCCTATCCACTTGGACCAGCCAGCACCTGTTTTAGAACCAGCTTTGCCCCTCGGACCAAAAACAATCATCTCACACCTCAAAGCGGATTCAGGAACAACTCCAGAAACATAATAAGGAAAAACAAAAAAAGATGCCATCAACCTCACTGCTCGTCCTGAGCGCACTCACGGCCTTGGTCGGCGTCGCTGTCTACCTCCCCAGTAAGTTTGCTTTTGCAGTGCTCCCTAGAAGAAAAAAAATGAATGATGAAGGAATGAACCTTGCCTTTGACCGATTACTAACAACCTACTTTGTCTGATCTCCCATTCTCTTTGCATACGTTTTTATTTTCATATATATATTTTTTTCCCCTTACCTTCAGTGCAAAGAACGACAACGCTTTTGGAGGGCCCATCAGTTGTGGAGAACTTTGGCATGGAACGGTGCAAGCGCGTTTCCGGTGAGTTCTTTTTTTTTTTGCTAATGCGTGGGAATAAGATGTCGCCATTATGAGATAGAGTCTCGCTCATCCTCGGACCCAAAGCACTAAACAGAAACTAAACTACTTCCTGCCTTTCAATGTTGTATGTCTGCTTTGTGTATTTGGTGGATATTTGCTTTCAGGACCTGCATACTGTGATGATGTCCGTATCCAGCGCAACCTCAACCTCGGATTCTTGGCCTGCGATCCCTCATTGCCTCACCGCAACTTTGCAGCCAGCGTCTTTGATGAGGCCAAGATGACTGAAGATGGTGCACTCTGGGTCTATGACCTCAACAAGGTAATCATGTCGCCAATCTTTTTTTTTTTATACTTGTCATTGCTTGGAAGCAAGAAGAACAAGAAGAGTTTGTCGGTTAAAGATCTGCGTGAATAACAAATGAATTTATTTATTTTTGTTGTCCAGCCTGGATCACCTGCAGAAAAGCTGACGATCAAGGGCTTTGAGGGCCCGTTCCACCCAAGTGGCATCTCGTTCGCACCGACCTCTGAGGATGGTACTCCCGCACGCGTCGTCGTCCTGGTCGTGAACCACGTCCCATTGGAAGTTCCCCGGGTCGAGGTCCTGTACTACTACCCTGCCCGTAAATCCCTGGTCTACAAGAAGACGATTTCGAGCGAACACTTCTTTGCGGCCAACAAGATCGCGGCGTCGGCCTCGCCGATGGTCCACCAACACGATGACACACCCTCGTTCCATGTCGTTAATGACCACGGCTACAATCTCACGGACTGGAAGCGTGAATATGAGGAGAAGTACAATTTGCCCGCAGCTTCGTTGGTGTATTATAACGCGCGCGCGGATATAGCACAGGAGGTCGGATGGCGGTTCCAAATGCCTACAGGCGTAGCGTCCTCACATGAGCCGGATTCATTGTGGATCGCTCAGGCCAAGGGTGGTACGGTCGATTTGTACAAGTCCCATATTCTATCGGCGGAGCATCAGGAGCAGAAGGTGTTGAGTGCGGACACGCGCGAGAGGCTGACGATTGCGTGGCCAGGGATGATGAATGAGGAAATCATGCACACCAAGGCCGTGAATGTCGGAGTCGATTATGAGCCCGAGTTCAAGACGTTGGTGACGGTATCGCATCCAAAGTGGAACGACTATGTGCAGGTCGCAAAGGAGAAGTTGCAGGATCGCGAGGCGGTCCCGTCCAAGAAGGCGGGATTCGTAGTCTCGAAGGGAAACCTGTACCCGGTCAGAGTGGGCGAGACGCGCCCGAAGCCGAGAAAGGACGCGGTGTTTGATCCGGAGGAGACACCGAGGAAGTATAGGTACCAGTTGTTCGTGGAGCCGGTGATTAGCAATGATGGAAGTGAGTTTGGATCGCCCTCCGCGATCGCGGTCTCGGGACAGAGGGTGTTGGTCTCGAGCCATTATGAACAGGGATTCCTCGACTGCGACATTTCGCCTTAAGAAACAATAAGGCAGAGGTACCTGTATTTTATCCATACCACGCCCCATGTCACGCTTGACCTTGGGAGTAGTACCAATTTCCAATTGCTTTACCCCGTAGCTACATAATAAACAGCCTGTTTTTTTTCTCTATCTATAATGGCAACAACGGCTACAGACAGCGACTGAGAACAACAAAAGCACAGGAATTTATGTATGTGAAGGATGTAATGCAAATGCGATGCAATATGCAATGCAGTCGTAAGCTCTGTTATTCGACTTGCAGCAGCATCTTTCATATGTAGACTACGTCATAAAAAAGCCCTTTGCTTTCCCATGGACACCTTGGAAGGCACATATGCGGATACTGGACCATGTGTCCCATGGTATACATGGTGTAATAGCACAGGGACGGGGATGGGGCATGATGTGTGCAACACCGGGTTGTGTTTGTTCTCTTTACCGCGCTCTTTTTTCTCTCCTTTCTCTCCAAATGAGAGCTTCGTGCGACCATGGCAACTGGTTCATCGGTTGGGGGCAATGGGACAAATGGGACTATACACAGCTACTATACTGGGTGACAGTGCCTTTTTCTTTCCGCCTCTTTCTTCTCCTTCCTTATTCTTCCATTATCTCATTTTTCTTCAATCTTTATCTCTTCCTACTCCCTTCTTTTCTTTTCTCCGCCTTTCTTTGCCGCTACTCTCCACCTTCCACCTTCCGCTTCCTCATCCACCCCACCCTCCTTCTTCTTTTGCATCGAGAACAGGAAAAAGATGGCTCAGTTTACTGTTCCGTTGGAAGAAACCCCGCCTGGAAGTCCACGGTCACCAACCACTCCCTCGACCTCGTCCAGGTACGCACAGGACGGTGCCCAACACCACGAGCAACTGATGTTCAGGGGAAGCAGGATATGAAGCGAAAAGAAAGAGGACAGATAACCAAGGAGGTGTCCATTACCTGGGATCTTAATCCTCCGTGGAGAATGAACCCTCGACAGCAGATTGATGCCTTGATATTCTTTCGGACTCTTTCTTCGCTTCTTTTATCATCGTTCTTTTTCGAGCCAAATCAACTCCTTCCTTTTTTTTAATACTTCACACTCACTAATCGAATCCTTCTTTATCGCCACCTCCATCGCTTTCAAGGTCCAGAGTCCAGTCCCCGCCGCTCTCAGCAACTAGGAGATCGCCCTCAACAGGACGAACGAACAACACCAGTGCTTCAATTGACCAGTATCAGCAGCAGGATTACCCCCCACCATACCTTTCACGCGCGTCATCACGCCACCCCCCACAACAGCAGCAGACAGTATCGTCCTCTTATCGTCCTCCATCGTCTTCCTTTCAAGCAGGAACAGCAGCCGGGGCAGCAGGAGCAGCAGGAGCACCAGCAGGCGCCGACACGAGTAGCACAAGCATTGGCAGTTCACATAGCTTTAGTAGCCTCAACGGCACCGCCCGCGAGGGAGCGATTATCAGCAACAGCATCCTCAACAACGCCGTCAGTCAGAGCATCCTTGCCAACAGTGGTGGGACCGGCGGAGGTCAAAACAGCAATAACAGCTTTTTCACGGTCAAGCACAGTCGAGGTCTTTCCACAGGTACAATGTCAACAACTATCAGTCCTATAACACAGCAGCAGCAGCAACAGCAACAGGCCCAGCAGCAGCAGCAGCAACAACAACAGGTCCAGCAACAACAGGTTCAGCAACAACAACAACAACAACAACAACAACAACAATACGGACAGAGCGCCAACTCCTCTCCAGGATCGTCCGGATCGATCAGTCGTCCACCAATGAGCACTCATAGGCAGCATCTGCCATCATCACCATCATCGCCTTCGTCTGGAAGTAATGTCAACAGTCAGTCGATTCCTGCACACATGAACTCCTCGTTCTCATCTGTCGGATCAGGCGAAGCTATTGTCGCACACCCAGGGGCAGCAGCAGCAGCAGCAGTACAGAATATTTCGACGACGACACAGGAGAATGCGGGCTATGCCGAGGGTCAAACCGTATCGGCCGATTCTGTCCCGACCCTGGGCCCTTCACCCTCGGTCCCAAAAGCCGTAGCCGCACACTCGGATTCGGCTCACGAGAGAGGAGTGTCCAGCCCTGGTGCGACGTCGTCGGCCCATATTGCCGGAACACCGACCTCGTCCCCTTCGCGCCAGCATATCCATCCTGGACATCCGCACCCCCACAGCCATCACCATCAGCGCGCGCAGAGTGCAGGTAGTCATCATCATCATCACGCGGGGTCGAGATCAGGCTCAGGTTCAGGGGCAGGAGCAGGAAGTCACTCATCATCGTCGAGAAGGCATAGGGGCAGGGGCGAGAGTCAGACGACGACGATCACGACAGCGGCTGCAGCGGCGGCTGCAAGGCCGAGCACGACGGTTTCACCCGCACCGACTCCAGCGATGCATTGGTCCAGAGCAAAGGTCCATGGACAGATACCGCCAAAGGAACTGAGGGCACAAACGGTGAACTTGGTCGGAGAGTCTGTGTATATCTTTGGAGGATGCGATTCAAAGAATTGTTTTAATACGTTGTACATCTTTGATGCTGGTAAGTACATGACAGTAGAGCTATGCAAATGCTTTCAATTGCTTTCAATTACTTCCAATTGCTGTTTTCAGCTCACAACCACGTTTTGGCTCGCACTTGGATAGATACGATGCATTGGTCGCAGCCAAAGACATATGGATCTATCCCGCCACCATGTCGTGCTCATTCCTCAACATTAGTCGATAATAAGCGGCTCTATGTCTTTGGAGGTGGTGATGGTCCACATTATTTCAATGAGCTCTATATGCTCGACACAGGTACGGGATTGCGCCTTGTATGTTTCAAAAAAGCCCTTTTATTGTTTATCACAAGCGCATGGAGAGAAAAAAAACAACAACAACGTGTTTGCGTTTAACGAACGGATTTGGTGTTGTTTTTTATTTAGACACGTTAACATGGACAAATCCACAAACAACTGGAGATAAACCCTGTCGCCGCCGCGCGCATACGACTTGTGTGTATAACAACTGCATCTACGTGTTCGGAGGAGGCGATGGGGTGCAGGCTCTGAACGACACATTTAAGCTGGATCTGACAGAGATGAGGTGGAGTGAAATCAGGACGACGGGTCAGGTTCCGATCGCCCGGGGTTATCACACCAGCAACCTGATAAAGTCGCAGTTTATTGTCTACGGAGGAAGCGATGGACACGAGTGCTTCCCGGACGTGCACGTCTTGGATCTCGGTACGTGGGAGCGACGTTCAAGGATAGGGATGCCAAACGTGGGCTGTTTGAACAAAGTGGAGGTTGACTGATTGATTGATTGACTGACTGACTGGTTGAATGGGCTTTCGATTAATAGACACGCAAGAATGGGTGAAGATTGACATTAATAGGGCATTACCAAGGCTGTCACATACGGCCACACAGGTAGGCTCGTATCTGTTTGTGATCGGTGGACACGATGGCAGCCGGTACTCTTGCGATGTTGTAATGCTGAACTTGGGTAAGGATAAAAAAAAAAGGGCTTTAAGGGGTTCTTTTCTATGCATTTGCGGCAAGCAAAACCTGGACAAACATTGTATTGATTTTCTAATGGATGTTTGTATGCCCTTGGTACGATGGATGTAGTGACATGGTCTTGGGAAACCAGAAAGATTTATGGGATTCCACCTGCAGGACGGGGATACCATGCATCATTGCTGTACGACTCGCGGCTCTTTGTGTTTGGCGGATACGACGGACAGACGGTTTTTGACGACATTTACATCCTGGACCTGAGTACTTGTGCGTATCTACCGCAGATCACGGATTTCCAGGTAATAAATAAATAAATAAATAAAAAAGTGAAAACGAGAGAAAGAAAGAACTCGAAATGTCATGGAGTGTAAAGGCATGACATGTAGTGGTCCAATGTGTTTGTCGATATTAACGCGTTGGGTGTCGTCGTCGTCGTTTCTTTAGATTTTACTCCGTCGCGTTGATCAGGACGAGGAGGACGGAAATTACGGCGGGCGCGCGGCCCAACAGCTGCTGCAACAGTGAGTGGAGCACGGCACAGGTCTACGAGACTCCAATGGATTGAACTTGGAACGAGGGTGAAGAAAAAAAAAATAGAGTACATTAACAGCCCAATCGAGTGATAAAGGTCAAGAGGTACTGTTGTTGTCTATAGAGAGGAAGAAGGACGAGAGCAAAGGGATGGTTCTCGATCTAATTGTCCAACAATAAAACAAAATAAAAAAAGAATGCACCTATCTTACCCATGACCAGAAGACGACCTGTCCATCGATTGAACAACACTTCAGGGGTTGTTATTTTCGAAAAGTATTATAAAAAAAAACAAGGGTCAAGGCGAATGTTGATGGACGCTCAGAGCGAACTAGCCCAAGTAAGCCAGGGAAGGGGGGGAGGGGGGTGGTTGGGTTCATACATAAGAACCGTGTACAACGTGAACGTCAACAAAATGCGAAGCGAACAAATAGCAGCTCAATCCGATCGATCATTTATGAAGAAGCTCTTTATTTTTATTTTTTTCCAACCGAGCCCTTGAGATTGAACTGTAGACGGCGAATAGGCCTTGGGGGGGAGGGGACACATGGATATAGACTAAATGTGCAGGGCCGTAAACGTAAACAGTATTAACGTTCAGCACCAATAATACGACCACGGAGGAGGGATATGTTGTGATAAAGAGAGAAGAAAAAACGCGGCGGAGGCTATGTGCGTACCCTAGGAAGGGGTTGTTCTAAATTGCCCCGGGGTATGATGCAGATAAGTTTCCCCCCCATTTTCTAGTGTCATTTGTTTATGGTTGCATAAAAGAATTTTACATATTTTAGCCGTGACTCCGCCCCATGCGGGCTAGTAGGAATCGATATCAAATACAATCGCGGATTTCTTTTAGTGTTTGTACATGTAGGAAAGGCTGCGGAGAAAAAAGAAAGAAAGAAAGAAAGAGATAAAGAGAAATAGAAAGAGTGAGTGAGCGAGTGAGAGTGGGAGAGAGACGAATTGCTGGTTTGTTGTTGAGAGCATAAGACAAGCATGCAAGCGAGCGAGCAAGTAAAAGGAAGAGAGCGTAATTTGTATGAAGGGCACTGTGCTACTGTGTACAGTACAAAGACAGGGAGGGCACTGCAGGGATAGTCTGTCGTAGATTTTGTGAGTCCGAGTTTTGGTTTATGTAATATGGGCAGCACAAGAACTAACTAGGTTTTGACCGGAGTGGATTTCATCCGATCCAGATTCAGATTTCAATCGCTTATTCGAATTCCTTGCCACGTTGTTGTTGTTTTTTTTCTTTCCTTTAAACCAGATGGCAAGAGTGGGTCAGGGTCATTCAAAGCTTTTTCGTTATCCATCATGTTTAGTCTAATAGACTGCATGTGAACTTATGCCCTATGAATGCGGTTGTGAATCCTGCAGAAAAGTTTTTTCTCTTCTTGGGATCCGTGGATTGATTCACTTCGATGGTTACATGAGAGCTAAACAACACATGCACACGCGTCTTGACGCCTGCTATGAGGATGAGACATTGTGCTCTTTATCAAAGGCAGAACAAATATTATGCTGCCTAACCCGATTGCACTACTGCACTACGAAAAAAAACCCCCTCTTTAACGATGAAAACAAGTTAGACGATGGGTTCAGGAGAGGCGGTCTAACCAGAGAGCAAGGCGCTCTGAGAGATAGGCTGTAGTGCAGATACCTCTTTTGTCTTTGCATGTGAGAATTGTATGCGGACAAAAAGATAGGACCAAAGAGAGAGAGGGAAGGCGAGAGAGATAGAGAGCAAAGGACGTGGTTGCGCATGTCTTGCTTCCAACTGCAGTTGTTGTTCTTGTTCCTAGTCCTATCCTTATTAGAACTGCTGTTGACGTTGCTGATGTTTGCAAAACGAAAGGTACTCGAACATGCGTTCCACTTGAACGAATAGGATCGAGACCGATATTTGCGGATGATATCCAAGTAGAGGATCGCCTGCTGCTTTTTTTATTTTTTTTTATTCTTTTTATTCATTGCACACAGACGTGCTGTCCAATAGATTTATGAATGAAGCGCGGAAAAAGAATGAAAGAAAAGGAAGGTACACACGCTTACGGTGCCTATGATGGTTCAGGTACACATGTTTAGGTGCGCTGTTGTTTGTTGATGTTGCACTGGCAAGGGTCTTTTTTAGTTCCTTATTTCGTTCGATGGCTCAATCGGACTCTTTTCAATTGATTCAAAAATGGCGTTTTCTAAGGAAAATCATATTAACAAAAATAGGACTAGCTTCGTATTTTCTGCCTCGTCATTAGTCGGCTCCTCTCCCTTTGTCATCCGCCGCCCTTTCTCTCCGATCTGTCCTTCCTTCTCCACGTCTCTCCCACCTCTCTCTCCCTTCTCATCTCTCTTTCTCCTTCCTCTCGCTCTCTCTCACATTTCTTTTTCTTTTCTCTCGCACTTCTTTCTGTTGTCGCTCTCACTCTCGAATCTCATTCCCCTTTCCGTAGCTCTCTCAATTGCTCTTCCAAGACAGTTCCTGAGATCGACGCCGCTTTCTTTTTCTTTTTTTTTCTTCATTCCCTCGCCCTCGCTCTCGCCCTCTCTCATTAACCTCCTCTACACATTATTGATACTGAGCAATCATCAGACACACACGCACACACGCACACACGCACACACGCATACACAGCCACCTACTTTCCATCCTCCATCCTTACTTCCTTCCACACGCCAAAACTGCTATTCCTTCGATTCTTCTCACTCACGCAGTAACAATTGCACCACAACAATAACGGCGACATGGGAAACGGCTCCAGTAGAGATTACGAAGATGCTTTTGAAAATGAAGGCATGTCCCTTTAGCGCAACCGAACTATTAATATCAAGAATTTGTTAGCCTACCAACCTACAGTAGCAAACAATCACACTCAACTGACCACCTCAATTGACTCTTTTCTTTAATAACTTGCAGTCAATCTCCTTAACTTCAAGCTGCTGAAGAGCATCGGCCGCGGGTCTTTTGGCAAGGTAAAGGAAATCACAGCAACCTGACTTGCTCATTCAATTTTAGCAATGACCCATGGACATGACTCATGAGGGAGGGGACAGCAGTAGCACACTCGGCACACGCTGAGACGCTATGCAGGACAGGAACACGGCGAAGTAAAATATAATATACATACGTATATGCGATACATTATTCCCATGAAACCTATTACATTCACAAATGGCATTCACCACATTCAGCAACCGATTCCACATTGCGATCTACCACCTGGGATCTAGGACAGGGCTCATCGTGCGTGATCCCCCCTTTTATGCTTGTCCGATCAGTTCATCATCTTTAGTCCCAGTCGACAGGCGCGGCTCTCTTAGTTTGTTGTAAACCTTCACACCACACCATAACATACACACGCACACAAAATAACTCTAAATTCCGAAGCCCAGAAGACATAACGGCTAAAATCCCATGCTTCCGATTATTAAAGTCAGAGAAAGAGAGAGTGGAGTTACGGGACCGGATTAGGACTTTTCTGAGGTTAGGCGACACCAATGAATGTATCCTTCTGCGGACACATGAAAAAAAAATTTAGGTGCAATTGTGAGCTTGCACGAGGATCAGAACCAAAGAGAGACAAGGGAAAAAAAGAGAGCGGGGAACCATAGTAATTCTTTTTGGTAGATCTGCCCCATACTGCCCCATCTGTTTGTTTCCCTTGAGCAAACTTCACACGCGATCGATCTCGAATAACAAACGATTCAGGGGGGAGTGGACAAGCGGCTCAAATCAATAGATCGGAAATTGTTGTTCTCAAGGAACTGCAGCGCTAAGCTAACCCTTTTTATTACCTGGGATTTTATTTTATTTTTTGCTGTATGTTTACCAGGTCCGGATGGTCGAGAGGCGCGATACTGGAAAGGTATATGCCCTAAAGTATATCTCCAAGGCACAGGTCATCAAGATGGACGCGGTACGGAACGTACTACGGGAACGTCAGATCCTCGAAACACTCGACCACCCCTTTGTGGTCAACATGCGTTTCGCATTTCAAGACGACGAATACATGTACATGTGCATGGATCTCATGTAAGCGAATCTTTTTTTTTTTTTTTTTTTTTACTATTTTGCAGGCATGTTGCTCTAATATCTCACTCTAATTTTATTTTATTTTCACAACTGTAAAAACTACAGGATGGGTGGCGATCTGCGGTTCCATCTGAACAGGCGGCAGTTTGGAGAGGACGTCGTGCGGTTCTGGGTCGCTGAGCTGAGCTCTGCCATAATACACTTGCATTCTCAAGGCATCGTACACCGGGACATCAAGCCCGATAATGTGCTCCTGGACGAGAAGGGACATGCACATCTCACAGACTTCAACATTGGATGCAAACTCACGCCACAGAAGCCAATGCTGACCTCACAATCAGGAACGGTCGCATACATGGCGCCAGAGGTCTTTGTCGGATCAGGGTACGGCACCAGTGTGGACTGGTGGGCCCTGGGCGTGATGTTCTACGAGGCGATCTATAACCGGCGGCCGTTCCAGACCGATAGCGTCAGCGATCTCAAAAAAGCGATCCCTACTCAGACGATAGAGTATCCGGAGAAGGAGGGTCTCTCACGCGAGTGCATTTCGGCCATGCGCGGGGTATGTCGACATCTCTTTTTATCATGGCATCAAAAACGGGGGGCTCATTTCATATGATATTTCGATTCCTCATGAGAAATCTTATTTTTAATACATGGGTTGTATGTAATGAAAAAATAGTTCCTGACAAGAGACCCAAAGGAAAGATTGGGGATCAAGGGCGGTATGGAGGGAATCCGAAGACATCCATTCTTCCAGGCGGGCGCGTACCAGGGCAATCTCGATAACTGGTGGTATATGCTCGAGACCAAGCAGCTCACGCCGAAATTCCAGCCGTCGACAGAGCAAAACAATTTTGACGCGACATTTGATCTGGAGGAACTCTTGCTAGACGACGAGCCGCTTACGTACCGATCCACACGGAAGCGAGCGCAGAGGATGATCAAAGAGAAGGACAAGGCCTTGAAGGAAGAGAATGCGCGGTTGAAGGCCGAGCAGGAGGCAGCGTTGGCAGCGACAGAGTTGGCGATGCAGGCCATGGCCGTCTCCGCGGAGGAATACAACGCGAGCAATACATGGGATCAACAGCAGAATCGGTCCGAGAAGAATAAGCTGATGAAAAAGAGGTCCAAGCTCTATTTAGGGGGAGGAAAGGACAGCGATAACAGTAACTCGAGCAGCACCAACAGCAGCCATATACATCTTTCCCAGCCGCTGCCCATGCCCCAAAACTACCTGCAGCAGCAACAACAGCCATCACAGCATGCGGGGTCTCCGCAGCCAAGGCAACCGCAGTACCAGTCCATAGGGGATTCTACTACAGGAGGACGTGGGATGCCTATACCACCGAATGTACAGTTCCCAACGCCTCCGCCTCCGTCTGCGTCTCGTCACTCAGGTCAAGCGGTTCGGAGCCAGCCAGGCGCGTACGGTCGTCATCCCACCGCTTCTTTGCCACCGCCTCCGACTCAGAATCCTCCGCTGAACCCACCGCAGCAGCCCCAGCAAAAGCCCGGGGTACCGGTAAGTGCCACTGGAGCAGGGGTGATGCACAGTGGAAGCACATCAAGTGGATACACATACTCGACCTCGGGGCCCCAAGGTCATGGAGTCACGGCGATCTATCTGTCCAAGCCAGCGGTACCGTCAAAGGCAAACGGTTACTCGTCATCATATAATCCTCCAGCCCAGGCTCCGCATCATAAAAGCAGAAAGAATTACTGTGATGAGGACGATCTGACGGGACGGTCGTATCCTGGCTCGTCGCAGCAGCAGCAGCAGCAGCAGCAGCAACAACAGCAACAGCAACAGCAACAGCACCAATATCAGCAGCAGTATCAGCAGCAGGTACAACAACAACAACAGCAGCAGCAGACATCAACGTCAACGTCGTCATCCTCTTCTCTCGGCGGGGGAGCACCCTTGCCCCATCCTCTGCCCATGCGTAGTGCGATGCAGCCCAACCCTCTCCAAAAGCAACAACAGCAACAACAGCAACAGCAGGCACAGCAGCAGTACATCTCCCAACCACCGTACTCGAACCAACAACAACAGTACCAAGGCCCGGTCCATCGACAGACATCCCCAATGCCTGCCACGACCACGAACGCGAACGCGAACGCAAAGACGTCGGCGGCGGATCCGACGATGGCTTCGGCCAACATGTCACGGAAGGAGAAGTTTGCGTACCAGATGGCGTTAATCGACCGAGAGTTCACGACGTTTGATTATACGGTATATGAGAACTATAATGGACTCATCGACCCCGTCACCATGTCTGTGGGCGATCCGCCAGAGTGGGTGCGAAATCGCGATCAGTGAACGTGAACGTGGGCGTGAGCGTCTAGAATGTTTCCCCACAGCTACTGGTGAGGGGAATTGCATGAGAGATGGGAGGTGATGGGGAATGAGGGTCGGGATACGATAGATCCCTGGACTCTGAAACGGCCACTGCAATGCCGTGGTCTCCTTCCTTCATTCCTACCTCTGTTGGTTGATCTCATTTTGGTCTTTGGGCCTCACCTATTAACTAAATCGATCCTATAGACGGCTTGCTTTACTATTAATTAATATAATAATCATGTACAGTACAATACAATCGCGATACATTGTGGGCGAAACAAACTCTGGTTCTGTCTTGAAACGCATTGTGTTCGTGTCGGTAATGAAATGTTTGTAAAAAAAAAGGTACATATAAAAAAAAAATATGTGGATGGTGCATAGTTGGATGGAATGAACGTTGTGAAAAATCACTCCCTGTTGCGTCTGAGCGCTCCGCTTCGCGCTTTCGGATCCAGATTCAACCCTACCTCAAAAAAACCGAATGCCACATGTAACGGTCGAGCATCGAACGAATCAGCAGCGGCACTCGCACGCGTTTAACGGGTCCAGTCCAACGAGCAACCGATGATCGGAGACCAGCGGCGTCTAGAATCGGTCCAAGATTGCAGGAAGGAAAAATAAAATAAAATAAAATGCTTCAGAGTGCGGTGTAATAGATGGGGTAATGGTAATAGTGGTATGGGATAAGAAGGACATGACGTCCCTGCATCCAGGTAGGGGTCCCACCGGTGGTGTATATGTTTCGGGTAATAGTAATAATAAAAAGTAATCGTCTCAGTGGGAAAATGCACTTTTGCTGTGAGACAAAGTCGCGGCCAAACGTCGTGTTCGTGGGAAGAAGGCGGTTTTGGATACTGACCAATAACATAATATGGTTGGGGCAGCACAGCGTCCACGGAGGAAAACGCGTTCATCGCAAGGAAACTGAACGCGATTTCGCCGGACTGAGACACCATTCGTTGTGGAACAGCAAAGTTGGTGACACAGGAATGGAGCTCGCGGAGGCCGTTCTGGCGGTGAAAAAAGGGCTTCCGCCTATCCTCTCAAACCCCATGGAGTATAGGGACTTTTGCTCATCATTACTGATTTACTGACCTTGTTTGATTGAATTGCACCACCTCCGGCGATCCCTTTTTTTCCATTTACACTTCCTCTCTTTTTTTCTTTCGCGTCATATGGAACGTAGACGACTGGGTGGATTGAATGCGATCGCTTATAGTAGTGTAAAAAAATTGTCTTCTATCCTGCATCTCCTTTGTAGTCGAGAACCCAGTTCCAACTTCCATACCTTCCTGACCACAAAAAAACAACACGGCGCAACCCAACTGCCTCCTTGGTTCCTGCCCGACTTTTATCGCACATTCAAACGCTCGTTCATATTTTTTCTCCCCCGTCCTTACATTTTTTTTCTTTTTTTTCTTTTCCTTTCTCTTTCTCCCAGCAAAGGATACCCCCCTTCTTTTTAATACCTCCCTCACACAGCACTTTCTCTTCTCCACACAGTACTTTCTTTCACGGAAGTTTTTCTCTGCCTCCCTTTTTTTTTTTTTTTCGAATCTTCTCGGAGATCTGTAGATCGGATGGAGACCGCCACAGCCCCACCGGGCGCACTCCCGTCCAATCTTTTCAGCAAAGTGACTTTTAGCAAGTTTATCCGTGGAGGCAAGTTCATGCGCTCTGTCGAAGCTCTCCGCCGAGGATCGGCATCGACGCTCGCCTCAGCCGAGACCATGGTTGAGACTAACCCAGCCGCCATTCCGACCAAGGATGATGGTAAAGAGGACGGCTCAACAACGACAGATAAGGATGAGGAATTCGAAGTTGGAGATGGGGCCTCGGGGTTGAGCTTGCGCGGTGAACGATCTGAGGGTGTCAGGACCTATAAAGTGGTCGCGAGTCTTGTGTAAGCTAGTTCTATCGTGTGCTCTAAGTGTGGTCTTTGAGAATTTTTTTGGTTTCAAAATGTTCGTTGAAGTCAACTAATGTGATACTCTTGCTTTCCTTCATCTGTGTTACTGCTGCTACTGTTTTTTCTCTTTTCTTTTCTTTTCTTTTCTTTTTTTTGGACGTGAATGGATTTGCATAGGTGTGTGATTGCAGGAACGGGGACGTTGGGGATGCCGCATGCGGTCGCGCAGTCAGGATGGCTGGGTACATTGGTCGTTGCCCTGGCGCTGTTCATGTCTACGACTACGGGAAACATGCTCATCAAGTGTCTTTACTTGAAGTCGTGAGTTCTCTCTCTTCCACTCCTCCTTTCTCTCACTACCTCTCTCTCCCTCTCTCTCCCCCTTCCTCTTCCTCTTTTTTTCCCCTCTGCTCCTCTCTTGCATTCGCTGACAAGTGCTCGAGAAATAACACTTCTCTATTGTTTTTCGATCTGTTGACCGCACCCTTCGTTGTGTGTAGTAACACTCGCAGGAATTCATACCAAGAGATCGCACGAGACGCCTACGGTCCCATAGGCTGCTACTTCGCTGTCGGAACCGTGGGTCTAAATCTTTTCGGGTGCGCGATCCTCTACATCATCCTCGCTGGAACTCTGATTCAGACCATGGTGAACACAGGGCACGAGGATGATAGCAGTGCGCCAATGCCCATTTATGTCTATGTAATCGCTTGCTCGGCTTTCGTCTGGGCCTGTTTGATCTGTACAAAGTCAATGAAAGAAATTGCCCTGCTTAGGTAAACGAAAATGAAAAGACTTCGTTGTCACTAGAAGGACTGAGCAAACGTTCATACTAATTGCCACGTGGGATTTTGACGTTTAATAGTATCGTAGGAGCGGGCGCAACCCTCGGTGTGGTCCTGATTACCGTCGGAATGTCGATCGAGCTGCTTCAGGAGCGTGCTGCTGTGACCCTATCCGCAGCACACAAGCTCGTTGACTGGTCCAAGATCCCGATGTCGTTTGCGACCATTGCGTTCGCGTATGGTGGAAATGTGGTCTACCCGCATTTGGAGCAGAGTATGCGATACCCGCGCAGCTGGTCCAAGGCCCTGTGGCTGGCACTGTCGCTTTGCTTTGTGATGTATATCATGATCGCCGTGGCCGGGTACATGGCCTTTGGAAGCGATACCCGGAATCCTATTTTGGACAATTTGCCTCATGGTATGTTTTGTGGTATGCTGTCTAGAATGCTTTTCTTTTTTTTTTTCCTACGGCTACTAACCGTATTTAATATACTCTATTTTTGTGGAAAACCCCCCCCCCCTTCCCAGGAGCATGGTCGATTGTGGCGCATTCGCTGATCACCCTACACGTGCTTCTCGCCGCCCCGATCCTGCTAACCTCGTTGGCCATGATGATCGAATCCGCGCTCGAGATGCGGTCGCCGTCATTCGCCCAGGGAACCAAAATCCAACAGTTCCTAAAACGTGCGATTCCTCGGACGATCATCATTGTTTTGGTCGCACTGATTGCGTCTGTGATCCCGTTCTTCGGGGACGTGATGGACCTGCTGGGGGCCCTGACGACCTGCTTGCTGGTCTTTATCATGCCGATCTTGTTCTATTACCGATTGGGGGGCATGAGCAATGCGTCGATAGCTGGTCGATTATGGGCGTGGTTTATTTTTTTGGTCGGAGTGGTGGCTATGGTACTGGGGACGTATGATGCGACGAAGCATTTAGTACGGGATATTAAAAGCAAGTAGACTAGCGCCGGGGTACCATGAAGGCATGTAAGCATGCCATGGCTATGTAATTGGCAGATCTATTCTTTGTATTCTGCAGGAACGCAAGCAGAAACGTGTATTGTAATAAAAATGTATATCTTTTTATTCTTCTTCGATCAAGGGTCGCATGCATTATCGCCCCATGTATGGATAGCTCGCTGCACATGATGGCATGTAGCAATAGCTCAAAGAGACATGTACATGTACGGGATTCCTGGATGAACCTGGCTGTTTAAGCCGGTGCATACTTCTGTATGGATCGGAGACTTGAGATAAGAGAGCATGGGTATTTTCGATGGGCTAAGATCAGGGGAACCGAGATGATGGTACATGTCCTCCTCCCCCTTCCCCCACGCTATTGAAGCTCTTTAGGCAGGGTTACATCATTTTTCTAAATTGGAAAACTCTCCAACAATTTTATTTTTTGTTTGTGTCGGCCTGCTTCCCCTACAGTCGAAACTCGTTTTTAGGCCGGGGTTTCTTAACAAAACGCGGCCAACAAATTTAATTTGAAAATTAAACTGAACCTCTCTGAGCGGGTTATTCTAAAGGCTGAGTGCCTTACCAAAATGTATCACAGTAAACAAAAATATATATTTTTCAATTCATTCGAGGCGTGGCTCTCACGTGAGCCTATGTAACTGTAAAAATGATCCTCTTTAATTGTTCAGTAATCGATCGAGCCACCATCCACCTCCAGCACCTTTCGGACTCTAGTGTTCATGGTAGTGACCAAGGCTCGTATCTCTTCTGGCGCGATGGAGTCCCATATTTCCTTGATCACCTCCATCGTCTCTTGATTGCTAGTGGGCTTTTTGAGTAGCTTGTTAAGGTGCTTCTTGATGATCCACCAAATGATTTCAATGGGATTCAAATCAGGAGAGTTGGGTGGTCATGCTATCTTTTTGATCCCATTCTCCTCTCGCCATTTTCGTTGCGTTTTGCTTGTGTGAATATGAGCGTTATCTTCCATCAATTTCACGTCCCCCATTTCGGCCATGAACCTCTTGAGTTCGGCTTCCTAAACGGTATCTATAAAGCCTTGACCTTTGTTGTAATCACCGTCGATGAAAACAAGCTTTGATTTTCGGTCTCCACAAATCGCGCCCCATATAATAACCTTGGATCTTCCACTTCTCAGCAAAGGGATGATGTTCTCAGGCAAATATTTCTCCTCTGCCGTACGCCAGCTGACCGGGTGGGGGGATCGGTCGACTCTTGGCAACGCGTATGGAGACAAATGAGAAATATATATATATTCCATAGCTCTGTACCTATTTGTTCCTTATCTAGCAACTTGAATATGCTCCTAAGCTTTCCCTGACTTTGCCTCCTGAAACTATTATTATCCTACTTTGCCTTGCCTCGCTTAGAAAAGGTCATCTTGACTCTGTATAAGCATAGGTTCGCGACACGGGCTGATATTTGCGTCAAGGGCAGAGGCTTTGAGATGTGTTCTGGTGAGGTCGTTGGACTCCAGCGAGAAAATAATGTGGCGGAAGCGAGATGGGACTTATTCCGGTTAACTCGGTTCGGAAAGGCCGTGCTGGATACGGGTAGCCTGTTCCCCCCCCCCCCCTGTTCCACATTGCGTACAGGAAGGACCAGTACCTTCGCCTCATTGACAAGGTCCGCGACTTGTACCTGTTGCAGAAGGTTGACCAATTTGCCATACCAACACAGACGAATGAAGTCGCGTCACTGGTTGCAGGCCTTCCAACACTTACCCAGGTCAAGGTGTGCTATCTGGCTGCTCAAGAATATCTATATTGAGTCAATGTACAGACAGCCAACAGTCGTTGCTCTTTACTCTTATAGATTAATATCGAAGCGATGTCCAAGTCAGATATGAGTTCCCTCAAACGAAACTGGAACTTTGGCGACTCCCCAAAGAACTTAAAGAAACGGCTACATTAGGGACCTATATCATGCTATGCAATCAGGAAACAGAATAAACAAATCGTTGGTGGATGCAGGAGTGGGCAGTGCGTATGTTTATACTAGATGCAGCCCGTGGTTCCGGCACGGCATGTCGTGTGTGGATTCGAGTGCCAGTGCATAAATCCTCTTCTGTCAACGTAAAAGCTCTACTCTTAGCCCAGGACCACCATACTGCTAGTCTCAATGTGGGCGGTTGCCAAGGGGCGTCGTATATTCAAGTTCCCTCCCCCCCCCCCCCCCCCCCCCCCCCCTCTTCTTTTTTTTTTTTTTTTTATCAGCGGAGAAACCTTGGCAGGAACATAAAAAAATAAAGAATCAGAATCAGAACCAGAATCATTTATTGATAAAACATTGCACGATCAAGTCAGGACTTGGCAGGAACACATGCCCTACAGGGAGGCTTGCGTTGTTCCTGGGACCTGGGCCGAGGCCTTGGTTCGCGGCATCAATGTAGAGAAAAGTGCATTGCAGACTGAGGTTCTGTGATAATAAAGCTGGGTCAATTTATATGTCTTCGGGCAGGATCTGGAGCTTGAACTTGCTGCTTGATGAACTTGGACTTGGTGCTTGGTGGACGCGGCCATGATGCTGAAGCAAGACAGACGTCGACTCGGCTCGCTTGACTAGAAACTCGCTGTCGCTGTCGTGACCTGGAACTCGTGGCCTTTATGTTTGCATTCATACTTGCATTTGCCATGAAGGCTGCCATGAGCAGCTCATTCCAGTCAGAAGTACATGCTGCGTCGTGAAGGAGAGAGAGGATAGAGTTGCTAGGCGACGCGTCAAAGTGACAGCGCTCAGCTGGGCGAAGCTCTATTATTTACGGTCTCGCAGCCACAACCTACTCTCTGGAGCACAGCTTGCGGTCTGCCTCTTTTTTTTTTTTTTTTTTTTTTTTGGCTACCCATCGACATCTCTCCACTTTATTCCCTTACTAACAATGATAACGAACAAAAGATCCAAAGTACTCAAGGCAACTTCGGCATCACTATCGCCAGCAAAGAATGTGCAATCGTGAACACACAAGATGGCATTCTCGGCAACGCGAAAAAAAAAAAACTTGCAAAGCGTTAACACTTTCATGCAGATCCAACAACCAAGAAGTCGCCCTCGAAAGAATGTAACAATCATTATAAATGCATCGCTATCACCATTCAACACGCGGCATACACTCGAAGCATATACCACCAGTGTAGAGCGATTAACGAGTCAGGGGATGTAACAAAGCTGAAACAAGGAGGAGCTACGACTGTGGGATACGTTTTGGCGACATAAGCATCGTTAAGGGATGGCTTTACCCTTCCCAATGAGACATTATGATTAAGAGGCTACAGCTGTAGAAAGACATTGACTCCGGTAGTAAGCTCCAGAGTCAATAGCCATGGCTGCTTCAACACAAATTTCGCGCCGCTAGACTACTAATAAGGATCCTGTTCCTGTTCCTGGCCCATAAAAAAAATCGTCATATCCACTGAAACTTCACAGCCTTGAGCTGTGGACGCACGTATTCAACGAAGGCTGCTGTCCCTAGATATTAGTGGCGTTATTGAATTGGTGGCAGCATTTCCGTTTCAACGTACTTCCTTGAAATTTGCCCTGTCTATTCAGAAAAGATTGCTACAGGTTTGCTCCACAAGTATTTAGGTTGCGAAAGATGTCTAATGTTTGTTATGTGAGTACGTACACATGTTTGCGCAGAGTAAACAAATGTGCACAGCCAGTTCACGGCACGATCCAATCTCAGGACGTACGAATAAACAAGACGTCCATTTGACTAGAGAGACTCGGGCATTTTGTCGCGCGACAGAACTTTCATCCCCTGTACTGGTGAAGAAAGTCAGCGTAGCTATCATAATGTATGCAGCACACATACTTTTACGAGGGGGAAGTGGAGAGAGGGGGAAAGTGAAAAATGGCACATCACATGTACTCCCAAGTGAACTATCCAATGAGTATCCAATGGACTGGGTTACCTGCGAGCATGACATGGTACTCTTTTCTTTCTCCACCCATTTTTCGACCCATAAGAGGCATTAATTATCATACCATAGGCACTGAAAAGTCTCATTTCGTCATGACAAAGTGAGATGAAAGAGAGGACCGGGTATAGGAAATTGGGAGGAGTTCTTGCAGATTGGCCGTTTTGTCCTTTTTTTCTTTTGACGCTCTGTTGTGATAGGGCAGTCGACCATTGGAACTGACTCCTCCCTAGCGACTCAAGGCCGCGTCGCGGTTTGAATCTAGCGACTTGTCCACTAATAATTTTTTTGTTACTATTTTATTCAATCGATTTATTTTTTCTCCTTTCTAGAAACATTGGGCTGACTTTTTGTCCGCAGATACATCGATAGTGTCTGGGCTGAGAAGACACTTCACATGTATGTAGGCGATTGCTTGCTGGGACGGTGAGAGATCAAATATATCTGTGGCATCGCAAGGGCTTTATATAATGACAATCCACACGCCCTAAGGTACCCCTGGGATCGAGGGGTTAGGAGAAGAAAGGTGCGTTGTAGTCATCGTGAAAGTAATGGTCGTCTTCTCCCTTTTTTTTCCGTGCCGACCATAGGCGGCAAAAAAAGGGCCATTAGGCCGAACTGAAGCCATCCAATATCTTGGCCCTTTGGGCCTTGGACTAGTTTCCCACATGCGTCTCTAATTGAAATGACACTAACCATAACGATGTACGAAGTAGCTCAGCAAAATGTATTTACTTCATAGCATTCGCGATATCGTATTTTTTTTTAAGGATCGTCGTCATCTTTTAATTAGAAGAATTTATTGCTCAAACAAATCCCAGACGGGATCCGTGGCACCTCCTGGTGACTGGATGGAGACTGGGAACCATTTTCAAACCCCTTTGCAACGAAGAGACAGGTTGGACACATACAATGACTGGAAATAGACCGTGGGATAGTTGGGATCCGGAGAAAAAAGAATAGACAAGTAAAGCTTACCCGAGGATCCAGAACTTGCTTTTTTAAACAGCAAAAGGGCCGTATGCGATCGATGGATGTAGTTGTGAGAAGGGTCTTGTACCTGTCCCTTGTACATTATGGGGCCCGAAAAGGCATGGAGGTTCCCATAGACAGCTAACCGATCTAAGGCACACGTATTATCAGTGGCAGGAACATGTACAGCCATCACAGCCAGTGTAAGGGAACCCTCTTTTTTTCGCCCTTTTTTGATTTCTCTTATGAACTCTGTTTCTCCTTATCATCGTCGTCTTCTGGTGGTCCTTCAAATATAAAACCGGCCGCCGGCCACCCTCTTCAGCCTGTTTTTTTTCTTCTTTTTTTCTCTTCAAGCATCCCTAACCGAACTTCATTGTCCTTTTCCGAGCCTCAACGCCCACACCTCTTACCTTCCTTCATTCCTTCCTTCCCTCCCTCCTCCTCTCCTCCACCACATCACTTACTTTCCCACGATTACCTTATTTCCATCCCTGCTTCATTCCTTATCAATCATCTTCATATATCTTTCTTTCTTAAGGTATCAACACCATGAATGCCCCTGATCAGCACGATGACACCCATGTCAATGTTGCTGGTGACCCACCACAGCGCGGCCGTAGTTCTCTTTTGAATACCACCTCCACGAACGCAAATAACCACGGCACCACACTCTCACCGATGCGATCCAATCCTGGTTCCAGGGCTAACTCCCGTACCCGGCAATCATCGTCCCGGCCTGGATCTCGTCCAGCTTCCCGTCCAGTTTCATGGATCGTCCAGACCAATTCAGAATACGCCAACATGTTTGAGAACTATGGTGGTCACGGATCTCACACCGTATCCGATGCTGAGGAGGACAGTGCCTCGATGGCCGAGAAGGGTGCTGGTTCCTCGGGCTCATCCACCAAGCGTCCACATAGTTCAAGAACTCCGTCCTATATCATACCATCGAACGAAAAGATGGTCATCCCCGGTTCGACTCGTCCTAGCAAGGGCCAAACGCCAGCCCAGGCTGGTACGCTGATCTGCGAGGATATGGAGACGGATAGTTCTCATGACGGCCAATTGCGAGGTCAGCCCCCGCGTGGCACCGTTACGCCATTAAAGGCCAGTCTCTTACTCGGAAAGGCCTTCGTGGGTACCGGAGTCTTGTTCTTGCCTAAGGCATTTATGAACGGAGGTAAGGTTTCAAGACGTTCATCCATTCCGATTTTTGTGTTCGGAGGTTTATTGTTTATCTTGATTTCCATTATGTAGTCTCAGATCTCTGACCACAGCTATTCTTGTTGCTCTTGTCGTTTAGGTATTCTGTTCTCCTGTCTGACATTAGCGTTCGTGGCCATTATCTGCTGCATCGCCTTCCTAATGCTGGTCAAGGTCCGACTGGTAGTACGCGAGTCCTTCCAGGACATTGGTCTGGTCCTTTTTGGCAAATACATGCGCTTCGCCGTGCTACTCTCCGTAGCACTCTCGCAAGTCGGATTCTGCTGTGCGTACCTGATCTTTGTCTCCCAGAACATTGATGCCGTCGTTCAGACGTTCACGAAGTGCACGTTCCATGGAATCGAGCAGAAATACTATATCCTGATCACTCTCGTGATCCTGATCCCCCTGGTCCTGATCCGTCGAATGTCGATCCTCTCGCTGCCCAGTATGCTGGCCAATCTCTTCATCATTTTTGGCATCGTCTACCTCTGGTACTTCAGCATCCATAACTTGGCTGAGAACGGTGTCGGCCCCAACATTACGTTGTTCAACCGGGATGACTTTGCCCTATTTATCGGAACTGCCGTCTTTTCGTTTGAGGGCATTGGTCTTGGTAAGTTTGACCGGAGATCGACCGAACTAGTGCAAAAGAAAGGAAAAGAAAAAACATTGAATCTGACCGCTCATTCCCGTTGTTTATTCTAGTTATCCCCATTACCGAATCTATGGCCGAGCCTGAAAAGTTCCCTCGCGTCCTCGCCATAACTATCTCTGTCGTAGCTATGATTTTCATGAGCGTCGGTGCGCTTTGCTACTCTAGTTTCGGTAGCAACGTCCAGACAATCGTCGTGCTGAACCTGCCCATCAAGGACGGATGGACCATCACCGTCGAGATCCTGTACTCGCTTGCCATCATCCTCTCGGTTCCTCTGATGTTGTCCCCAGCTTCCAAGATTCTCGAGCACGGTATCTTTGGGGCCAAATCCGGTGCTTTGAGTACCAAGGTCAAGATGCAGAAGAACGTTCTCCGTATCGCCCTGATCTGCGTCTGTGCCCTCGTCAGTTTCGGGGTCGGTGGACCCAACCTGGACAAGTTTGTCTCGTTCGTCGGTTCCGTGGCCTGCATGCCTCTGTGCTTTATCTTCCCAGCCATGTTCCATTACAAGGCCTGCGCCAAGACTCTCAAGGCGAAGATTGGAGATTGGATCATGGGCGTTGTTGGTATCATAGCCATGGTCTTTACCCTTTACATCACTATCCGGAGCTGGGTTGTCGTCTCCGCTCCCGACGCCGCGATCGACCGCTGCGCGGCCTTTGCTTAGAATTCTTTACCCCTTCCGCCTGTACTATATATCCACTTAAAAAATAATAAATGATAAATGAATCTGGGATTGCCAGTCCCCTCACCTGACTATTGCCCTGTGTAAACAAACCTTTTTCTTTCTTTTTTTTTTTTTTTTTTTTGTGCTGGACGAAGGAATCATCCCCCCTCTGTACACCTCCGCCGTCTCCACACCATTCATCTTGCTCGTTCCTCTCTCCATTCCTGCTACTCCATTTAACACCACACATACACATATATATACATATATAATGGGAAAGGACCAGTTCTCACGATCGGGCAACAAGGCGCCTCGCCATGATCCCCTCCACGTTCAGCTTATGGGTGCCTCCGAGAACGACCCTCTGCCTCAGGGCAAGCAGCCCAGAGCCAAGGCTGCCAGAAACGAGCGCAAGAACAAGCCCGATGCAGTATGTTGAAAAGAAAAAAAAAAGAAGCTCCCCCTCACTCCCTGTCCGTTAAATCGGGTTACCGAAAGGTCAATTGAATATACATATCGAATCAAGGGAATGCCTAACACCGTCTCTTAACCCCCCTCGTTTTTTTTTTTATTTTATTTTTTTTATTTTTTACTTGGACAACATAGAACTTTGTCGACGCCAAGCTGTCGAGAAAGATTCTGTCGATTGCACAGGAGCAGCAGGACGAGATCAGACGGGAACAGCGTGGAGGTCTTTCCTCAGACGACGAGGACGAGGAGGAGAACACATTCGGCAAGAAGGCCACATCAGGAGGACCCAACAAGAGTTTCATCCCCACGATCGGCGACAGCGACGAGGAGGATTCCGATGTGGAGGACGCTGATGACTTTGGAACGTTTGACGAGATCGAGATTGACCAGCGCGATGCCGAGCTCTTGGCCAAGTTCATGCCTGCAGCACCTAGGGAGAAGAAGACACTTGCGGATTTGATCATGGAAAAAATCAACGCCCAGAATGCAGCCAACGCCGCCGCGGCTGCTGCTGCATCTGGCGCGGGCGATGTGGTCGTTCCAGGATCGGAAAAGAAGAAGGGACCCCTGGATTCAGCTATGGATTATGCGGACGATGATGAAACGGGAGCGGACCGACCGATGCCCATGGGATTGAGCCCCAAGGTCGTGGAGGTCTATTCCAAGGTCGGGTTGTTGTTATCCCGTTACAAGTCTGGAAAGTTGCCCAAGGCCTTCAAGATCATCCCGTCACTGCAGAACTGGGAGGAGATTCTTTATATTACCGCACCGGAGAACTGGACGGTTCATGCGACATATCAGGCAACGAGGATCTTCACCTCGAACTTGAAGGAGAAACAGGCCCACAAGTTTTTCAGCCTGGTGTTGCTGGACAAAATCCGGGATGATATCGCCGAGAGCAAGAAGTTGAACTATCATCTGTATATGGCGCTTAAGAAGTCGTTGTACAAGAGCAAGGCCTTTTTCAAGGGCATCTTGTTCCCGCTCTGCGAGTCCGGTACCTGCACACTGAAGGAGGCCGCGATCGTCGGATCTGTCATCACCAAAGTTAGTATACCTGTCTTGCACTCTGCTGCCGCCCTCTTGCGGCTGGCTGACATGGAGTACACTGGTAAGTTACCATCATCCGTTTACAAATTCCGGTCATACCCTCTCAAAACCTGACGTTCTAACATACCTATTTGATTTTGTCCGCTTTCCCCTCCCTTCCTCTCTCTCTCTCTCTCTCTCTTTTAGGACCCAACTCTCTCTTCATCCGCGTATTACTCGACAAGAAGTACGCTCTGCCCTACAAGGTCATTGACGCACTAGTCGATCACTTTTTGCGGTTCAAGATGGATCCACGGCCAATGCCTGTGCTCTGGCACCAGGCTTTCTTGATCTTTGCTCAACGCTACAAGTCCGATATCACACCCGACCAGAAGCAGGCCCTGATCGACCTCTTGCGCTTCAAGTCCCACGAAGGCATCTCACCCGAGATCAGGAGGGAACTCGTTAACAGCGTCGCCCGTGGAGAAATGTTGCCAGAGCCCACGGACGATGATATGTTGATGGACATCTAAAGAACGTCTTTCTTTTTTTTTGTCAGTCATATTATCGCGCGCGCACACATCCCTACATTCCTTCTTCATCATCTTCATCTAAATCGGCATTTTTTTCAGTTCTTTTTTTTTTCATTTATCGAAGCACTCATAAAAAAAAACAAGTAATAACATAACATAGCATCGTTGCAATTTTTGTATTCTATTGATGAATACTTTTATTGCCGCTTCATTTGAAATTCGCGAACAATCGATCAATAAGTTCCTGGTTCGTGCTCCTTTTACATGACTCGTCGCAACTCGTTGATGGACATGTATCTCGAAAAGATCACGTAGAGCTTTCGAAACCACACCATCTGGGACTCATGCTTCTCCATTGCGCGCTTGGCCTGGAAGATCGCCTTGGGAGAGCTCACGAACAAAAGTTCCAAGGGCCTGCTCAGGCTCCGGTTGTTCACACGGTTGGAGCCGCCGGCCAGGGGGGCTGCACCTCCGAGGCTCATCCATCCGGACATCAGAGGCATGAGGGACTCGGTCATGAGCATGGTCATAGGCAGATCCAGTAGGGAGATGTACTTGCGGAGGAGCGACACGGATTTGAGGACGTAGCAGGTCTTCACGGGAGTACGTTCCTTGAAGGTCTGGATAAAGTAGCTGTGTAGAAAGTTATGAAAAAAAAAGAGGACAAAGGTGAAGATGGTTGGTGAGTGAAGTTCTTCTTGTCCAATGTGTGATATATCGCTTTCAAAAGCCCATTTGAATGCTCCTGTTGGTTGTTTTTTTTTTTTTTTTTTTTTTTTTTTTTTTTGCTCCTGAAGAGTCTTACGTTAATCCGACATAGCAGGCGATATGGTTAGTGTGTGCCGAGACGCCCTTCTCGTCAAACGTAATGAGCTTGTAGAGAAAGAGAGTGAGAGAGAGAGAGAGCGAAGAGAGGCAAAGATATAGTTGAGTATCGGGCTTGTAGCACAAATCAATCATTACAATAAAAAAAAAAAACGCCCAGATTCTCCAGATCACTTACAGTCTCGATATTGTGCTTCTTGGCAAAGAGATTCATCTGATCGCCCACCAACGACGGGTCCCAGAGTTCATTAGGGCCATCCTTGAGTTCCCTAGAGTCATCCGCCCCACCCAAAAATAAATAACGTCCGATAAGTCTACCGTTTTCTGCTTTTTCTGTTCAGTTGACACGTCAAAATTGGAGGATCGGGACACAAGTCCTACTAAAACGTACTCTCGTTCCAAGATCGTAACATGTGTCTCGCGGATCCCAAAGGACTTGCAACTCGCGACCAGCTCCTTCTTCCTAGTCTCCCCCAATCCATCATGGTTTCCTATCAACAACAATATAGAAAAAAAAAACAAGCACAATACAAACGTATTCACATAACAGGGTTATCTTCTCCATTTTCTATGCCTCATCGTACTCAGTTTGAAATCGGTATATCTACATTCTGGCAACCATACCACTGGACATGCACAAGACTCTGACGATGTTTCCGTGCTCAGGTCGGGTCAGTTCTGCCAGGGTCGGGCCAAAGAACATGACTTCATCATCCGGATGGGCGATCACAAGTGCGATGCTGGTCCTGGTCATGGGAGTCATGAGAAACCGGCCGTTAAAGAAACCGTAGCCGCATACTGCCGTGAACAGCAGAGCATAAAAGGCATATTCCATCATTTTTGGAAAGAGTGCAAGCAAAAAAAAAAAAAAAGAAAAGAGAGTGAGTGAAGGAGAGAGTACGTGAGAAGGTAGTTCGTTTCGCGCTTGCATTCATATATTCAAACAGCATGGATCGCAGTCCAGCAGCACGGTAGATCTTCAAGCCACTTCTGCACGAAGTTCCATTGTTGAGGTCGTCCATTACAGGCTGGACGGAAATGCACCCGGATCTATGCCCCGCGTTCGATTGGATCGCGCGCGACGTCCATACCGATTACCATTAAGTTTTATTTGTGTACCGTGGTTTGATTGATCGTATCGCCTAACGTTTTCCTATGAAGAACACTTTTCTTCTGAATGCCTCATATCCCGTTATCTCCTCGTCTAGCTCCATGCCATTCCAAGGTATTGCTCTCGCTGCATTCAATTGTCAAAGGGGTTGTTGTTTAAAATTCCTTTATTGTTCGTTCAAAAAATAATCGAGCGGTTGGCTATCCTAATTTTTTTTTTTTTGTTTTTGTTATTTTTGTTGTTGGTTGTCTTGCTGTTGAGTGAACTCGTCTCCTTTGCTTATCAATTACCTCCGCTGCTTTGTGCTCCCTCCTTCTCCCAAATTGCTGACAAAAGAGTTAAAAAAACGGATATAGCGGAGACTCATTTAAGCGTAGATAAGACGGAAGATGTCGTTACTGACGTAGTAGTTGCCACCCTCGGCCTTCAGGACAAAAGTTTGGGTGTAGAACTGAGGGTTGGTCTCATCGTCAATCTAGAAGAGAACAGAACAAAAGAAAGTTCTACGTTAGCCGATACTCACTGTGCCTCCGCAATTACTGCTCCATGTCACCATTTTTTTTTCTTTTCTCTTATGGATAAGAAAAAACAACAAAGACTCGTACCAAGAGCTGACCGGTGACACTAATGACGATGCCATCCGTACCGAGAGGCTGAGCATCCAAAGTAGCGACCTTATGGCTGACCTTCTGGAAGGGAAGGGACTAGTTGTGCCGGAATCATGTGGGTGAATACCCCCAAAAAAAAAAAAAAAAAAGCGTCAATACGAATCCATTGCGCCCAATTTTCGCTGTCAAGGTGCCCTGAAAAGCTGAAGGTCGTCTTTGCACTTACGACCAACTTGGAGACAATGTTGACTGCACCCTGAGTCTCCTGGCTCTCCCAAGACATCATCGAAAGATCCCTCTATGGTTTTTTATAAAAATAAGCAATATTCGTTTATAGGTTAGTGGCGAGGCGACTTGGGTTAACGACAACGCGCTGAGGGGTTGAGAGATTGCAGGAATGCGTAGTTTAAGACATACGTAGAGAGGGACCAAAGCGTTACGATTGGTATCGAAGGTCTGGTAGTAAAAGGTGACGAAGGATTCGGCAACGGTCTTGAATTCAGCCATGGTAGTTTATGTGCCAGAATGGAGGGGGGAGAGGAGGGAAGATGATCGATGGTTGATGGCAAGGAAAAGAAAAACACTAAAGCGCGCGTGTCATCATGCTAATTAAGGGTTGAAATATCTAAGTATTTCATCCTGGAAATAATGTGTCATTATTGCCATGCACCAAAAATAGAGCTCAGGAATCTGGGATGCAATAGGGATCTGGCCCCTGGAAGGAGTAAACTTTGAGAGATAACGGAAGCCTGGTCTTCCTTTTATACTCTGTGTTCGGAGCGTTTTTTTTTTTTTAAGAGGGAAGGGAGAGGGAAGAAGGTCTCGCCGCGTTGGTCTAGACAAGGGCCAATGCAGGGTATAACTCGCCCGCCCATCCGTCTGTGGAACTATGGTTCAGACGCGCGCGCACTGAGCATAGAAAACGTAACTGAAGGTGATTTTTTTTTCTTGTCACCGTGCCATTCCACCGTGCCAGGTTGTGCAATATAGAAAAAAAAAAAAAATTAAAAAAAGCTTAATTATAGAGAGACCGACTGCATTCAAAACGTTCGAAGTGGAGAGCGGAGGGTGGAGACTGCAGTCGGACCACTTGGACATCTCGGAAATTCACTCTGCTCCAGCTTCTTTCTAATGGATCCCACTCTTTTCTCCGTCCACGGACTATGAAAACGAATTCAACTTCCGTTGGGGGGCGCCAAAAGAGAGAAACAAAGAAAGAACGAGGACATCGTCGGTGTGAATGTGGCCGAGTCCTTTCTGTTTTCTACCCTCCTCCTTTCGTTCTTTCGTCCTTCTTTCTTTCTTTCCTCCTTACTGCATCTCCTTCTCCCTATCGCCACACAGCTGTTTTCTCCTTCTTTCATCCCCAATCGTCCTTATCCTTGGTTCCATTCTTCATCCTCTCCACTCTTTCAGGCCGTTGAACACTTCTTTTCCCCCCTTATACCCACCCAATTCTAACCTTTCCCCTCCTCCTTTTCTGCCCTTGCTCCTAAACACCACTCCCCAAAGCCTCAACCTTCCCTTCGCTCGCACTTCCCCTCTTTTGCTCATTTCGCCACGAAACTGCAATGTCGACATTGTCCCGAACCCGCTCTCTCATTCCACGTCAGGCACACCTTAACCTGCCTCGTCTCACTGGCCAGGCACGTCTTTATACCAATACCACATCCAGGGCAGCACCGGTCAGAGCGGTAGCAGCCACCGTCCCAAGATCCCTCTTTACCACTGCATCTCCTCTGTCCTACCATCGAGCCCGTCCTGCAGGCACAGCATCAGGAACACCGCTGTTGACGCTCTCAAAAGCGATCCAGGGCTCGTTTTTCTCGACCTCTGCACGCTGTGCGGACCCCTCGATCACAACGCCGGTGCCGACACCTGTAGCTCCTGAACAGATTTTGAGCCAGAACCAACCAGAGGATGAGACCAAACATGCGGTGGTCTCAACATTCGATCTCTTTTCCATCGGTATTGGACCCAGTTCAAGGTAAAAAAAAAAAAAAAAAAAAGATATTTATATGTTATGATAGGAACTTGATGATATGTCAAACACATGGTGGTGGGTTTTATTTTATTTTTGTTTGTCGAAACACATGGTCGCATGGCTCTTTTTTACTGCTTCATTGTTCATGGCCTAGGCCAATGTGCAGCAGCAGCAGGAGGTGATGAAATGGATTTTTTTCTTTTATTTTTGTTGGGCGTTTTTATTTTTGTTGTTTATGTGTTTGGAAAGGGATGAAGCAAGTGGAGCGAGTGAGCGGGCGAGTAAGCGAGCGAGTGTGTGTGTGGAGGAGTACGAAAAAGTTATGCAGGCGAGATGGGGATGTATATGTGAAAATACATCGTGCCACTGAGCGCACTGATTGGCCCCCCTCCAGAGCGTGAGAAGAACAAGAGATATAATAGGAAAAGGGCTCATTCTCCAAGTGATGTACGGATGTCGCCACCAAATGAAAACGTTCATTAGACTAATGCCCCTTGGTTCTCTCGTTCTAGTCACACAGTCGGACCCATGCGCGCAGCAAAGATCTTTGTGACCGATCTGAAGGACCACAGCGTGCTCGACAAGGTATGGCAATTCGGAACCGATTGACCTGGAAACTACACCTCCCTCGACTCTCGCACTCGGAGGGAAATGAACATTTATAGTGATTCAACTCACGCCTATATGTTTTTCTTCTTTGTTTGTCCCCCCTTATCATTTCCAACTGTGCTGCTTTTCAACCTGCGCACGACTCGGAACATTGATATTTGTGGTTATCGACTTAAAAAAAAAAAAAGGTCGCTTCCCTTCGAATTGATCTCTTTGGATCCCTGGCCCTGACGGGCATTGGCCACGGTACCCCAGACTCTATTCTCATGGGTAAGATTTATTTCTTACGCTTCTTTATGACGACATGGGCCCATGGTAATGACGATTTTTTGTTAATACACAACACCCCAATTCAATGTCATTTTAGGAATGGAGGGAGAATCACCCGAGTCCGTAGAGACATCAACCATCCAGGCACGCCTGAAGGCCATTGACGAGCAAAAGGCCCTGACCCTGGACTCGACCAACCGCATCAAATTCGACCCGGCCAAGGATCTGGTCTTCCATTATTTTGAATCGCTCCCCCAGCACCCGAACGGCATGCGCTTCTGCGCCTTCAACGACCAGGGCGACCTCCTGGCTACGAACGAGTACTTCTCCATCGGAGGAGGCTTCGTCGTTAACGAACGTACACAGCTCGCACACGGAGAGAACGTCTTCTACAAGAACGAGCAGGATAAGCAGACCAAGGCCAATAAGGTCGTCCCCCAGACCCGTCGGAGCCAGGATCTCGCCACCGCAGCGTTGCCGTTTACGAATGCAACAGAGCTTTTGGAGTTGTGTCAGCGCGAGAACATGACGATTGCTCAGGTCGTGCTCGAGAACGAACTGCGTTGGCGGTCGATGGAGGAGATCAAGGAGAAGACCTTTGCGATCTGGAACACGATGGATAACGCTATCAAGAACGGATGTCTCTCAAGCGAAGAGATGCTCCCCGGTCGACTGCGCGTTCGTCGCCGTGCGCCCGGACTGTACAAGAAGCTGTTGAAGGGTCTCTATACGACGACGCCGCTTTACAAGGACACCAGCGTCTCTGCAGGCGGTAAGGGTGGGTTGCTGGGAACGGGTTCTGGATTGACGAACCAGACGTCTGAACGCGGGATCGATAAGGTCCTGCCGAAACGTGCGGTCAAACGTCTGATGTTGCCTGCGCTCGATTACCTGAGTGTCTACGCCATCGCGGTCAATGAGGAGAACGCCGCAGGAGGACGCGTTGTGACGGCGCCGACCAATGGTGCTGCGGGTGTCATCCCTGCGGTACTGAAGTACTACCTCGAGTTCATCTCTGACAACCCGGAACAGGACATTATGGAGTTCATCCTTACGACGGCCGCAATCGGCATGTTGTACAAGCGAGGCGCGTCTATTTCTGCAGCGGAGATGGGATGTCAGGGAGAGGTCGGTGTGGCCTGCTCGATGGCCTCGGCTGGGTTCGCGGCTGTGATGGGAGGCACGGTCCAGCAGGTCGAGAATGCGGCTGAGATTGGGATGGAGCATAACTTGGGCTTGACCTGTGATCCTATCGATGGACTGGTACAGATTCCTTGTATCGAACGAAACGCGCTGGGAGCCGTCAAGGCTGTTACGGCGGCCCAGTTGGCCCTGAACGGAGATGGACATCACCGTGTGACCTTGGACCAGGTCATTGAGACGATGCGTCAGACCGGAAATGATATGCAGGCCAAGTACAAGGAAACCTCTCAGGGAGGACTCAGTGTTTGCGTCCCTGTGTGTTAATCGAAGGAAGGAGAAAGAGAGACCACACCAAGTACCATTTCAGCTCACCCACTCACCCACTCACCCACTCACTCACTCACTCACTCACTCACTCATTAGAAGATAGCCATCCCCATTATTTTTAGCATTTTTTCCTTTTCTTTTCTTTTCTGTCAAATGTAAAAGCGTGTATTCTTAATTTTTCACAAGGAAGCAAGTCTGATCATGATCATATTCATGTTCGTACTGCTTACAAACGTCCCAATAGGTAGAAGGGACAGGGGAGAGAGACATGTTCGCGTGAATGAGTGGGTTACTAGCAGGCATGTCATCTACCAGATCATCGTTACTAAGTGTCCTTTCTTTTCAATCGTTCAGAACCTTTTAAGACGAGCTTTATTGAGGAGAGAGAAGAGTGAGAGAACATTAGCGGGGCATGATGTATAAGTAGTATGGACTATGGCAAAAAAAAAAAAAAAAAAAGAGGATTTGTGATATGGTTATTCTTGCAAGAATATAACTGGCAATTTGATGAATGATCTATATATATGTCACTAAGAAAAAATGGAGCAAAAGTATCGACAATGAAGCCCCTAGGGACGAGGGACTGACCGTTAGGACCACATGGTCCTAGATTTTGTCGGCGGCGGGACATATTTTGAAGTATTGGCCAGGATACTCGACCCACCACGCTCGGACGGTACCTGGACCTTATAATCATGATACTCATCAGTCTCTCCCGGATTCACGCCCGAACTCATTTCTGACTCCCGACGTGCTCTTCGGAGCTCCCCCAGCAGATCAGCCTTGTACCGCTCATCCGAGTGGTATGACTCCCTCGGAGTATCATTCTCTGGAAACTGCTTTGGGCTTCTTTCCGGATACTGTTGTGGACTCGCCACGATCTTTGAGCTACTCGTGTTCGATCCCGGCGTGACCATTCCCGTGTTGAAATCCTGGGTCGTTCGCTTCGCATACGGGTAATCCTCCATCCTCTGGGACGTACCGCCCACGGTCGCATTCGCGGTCATTGATGAAGAGGGTGCCGACGTGACCGCATTCGCGCTCACAGGTAAAGGCGGCATGGTTGCGCTATGCCTCGGTGGGGGCGGATAAAACTCGACTGTCGAGCCTGATGCCGGGGGTGGCCTACTTATTTCCTCCCGCTGCGTCTGCTGTTGCTGTTGCTGTTGCTGTTGCTGCAGTTTCTGCAGTTTCTGTTGCTGCTGCTTCTGAAGCACCTCCGCCATGTTCTGATGATACAATTGCTGTTCCCGGAGCTGCTCCGCGTACGCCAGATGTGCCAGCGCTTCTTGTGAGGTCGGATCATCGGATGTATCCGTCGGGTCAAGTGGATCAAACGTGTACTCGTTGTAGTCTCCATACGCCACATCCATAGTTCCCGGAGTGTCCAGGTAGCCGTCTGGTTCTTCTGTATATCCGCTCATGCCTGTAGGTGCGATCACGGGTGCTCGGATCGTGTACCCATTGCCATCTGCCGCTTCTGATGCCGTCGTTACCGGATCCATGTCGTATGATTGTTGTTTCTGGAGCGCGTAGTTGTTGTTGTAGTATGTCTCGTTGTCGATGGTCGTCGGCGCTGGCACTGACACTGGCACTGGCACTGGCACTGGTACTGGCACTGGCACTGGCTGTTGTGGCGGCACCCTTGCCTGCTGTTGCTACGCATGCGCACGCACACACAAGCAAAAAAAAATAAAACATGCATCAGATTGTGTGCTCAGAATCGCAAATGAATAAGGTATCACACTACAACAGAGCAGTATTTAAATAATCTCTTACATAGGGCTGCTGCTGGCGTCCTTGGTTGAAATATCCAGACGAATTCCGATGCTGGGTCTGCTGCATAGGCGGGACAACACGCGGGGTTTGATACTGATGCTGCTGGTACGGAAGCGACGGCACTGGTTGTTGCTGAGGCATAGGGCGCGCCAGCTGCTGCTGCTGCTGCACCTGCATCTGTTGTCTTTGCAACAGTCTCCTCCTCTCTGCCTCTACAGCGATCGCCTCCGCCTCTGACCTCTCATGCTGCTTCGGATCCTCTCTCACCACCGATGAGGTCACCGTAAGCGGCGAGCTCGTGATCATGTCCTCTGTCAAGTCCTTAAAAATCAAGGGCCGGCTTCGGAATAGGAGAATCAAGAGGATGGTGGACAAAAAGAACATGACCCCACAGACTGCACAACCGACGATCTGCGACTGCCACAGTCGGCAACGCACCGTCTCGTCATACCCGTCCGTCGGGCACAAAAAGTCCGTTGGCAATTGATTGGCGAAGGCCTGGTAAAACTGCCAGGCGGCCGCAAACAGAAACAGGGCCGAAAACAACGCGTTGAGGACACACTCCTGGACCGTCGGCCTCCCGTTCTCATAGATTCTCGACTGAAAGATCCACAGAAGTGTTTGCAATGCGCCCGCGGCACCTATTTTTTTTTTTTGCATGAAAAAAAAACCATCAAATAGGGGATTAGATGTGTCAAGCAAGGACCCAAAGGCCAACAGGAAAAAAACAATCTATATTAAGAAACCAATGGCATAGATGCCTACACCCAGATGGGTTTTCTTTTGGTCCTGTCCTGTCCCGTCCGGGAAAGACCCAAAGTACATGAGTATCACAGCCCTCCCCCTAGACCCTCAGCTTGGTCCTCCAAAAAGTGAAAAGTACCAGAAACCATGAGCTAAACATCGCATGTCTTTTGCGCCACCTTTACGGCCTTGGTCTGAACTCTGAGCCGCAAAATGGCATCATAATCAGGTATTTGAGAGCATGTCGCACGGTTTTGGGGGGCCATATGTTACCATGCGGAATGCGAACCCTAGTTCCTTCTTTCTCTCGCTCTCCTTGGTATGATGTATTCCCATTGATTTTTTTCTGGTGCGCCCATGTGTTGTATCAAAAAATGCGGGAGGCGGAGGCGGGTTTGCTGAAGATAATGGGCTGCATTATGATTTTTCTCCTGCTTTGCCACTCGGGATCGAGGTCGGTTTGAAGTTTGAGAAACAAGCACTTACTGATGATCAGGAGATAGTACGACAGCCAGCTAAAGTCGTAATGGCTGCCTTCGGCCTTCTTGACCTTGCTGGTAATGACTGTTGCAAGACAGAGTTTAGAAGGAAAAGAAAAATAATAGAAAGTGTGAGTAGATGATTCAGGGACCGTCTCTGCGTGATTTTGCATTGGATTCGATAAGCATGATGCATGAAGTAAGGCTCTTACTCAGTTCAGCATAGAGACAGGCGCAGGTCTAGAAGAGGTAGAAGAGGGCGACAGACAACGAGGGTAGAGAGCAATTGTCAGCTTTGCGGTTGTTGTTTTGAGGTTATTGTGAATATGGTTGGCGTGAATACGGTACCCCAGCAACAATGATGAACATGACCGTATGGATCACTCTGGCCGCAAGTCTGCTGAACATGGTGGATGGATGTTGACGGCCCTCGTCCTTTGCCGGTGTGGAAAGAGTGTGTGTGTGTGTCTGGTGTTATGGGGGATGGACAGCGGGTGTGCTCAGGAGGGAGTGTGTGAGGCGAGAGATACACTCCAACGGCAGAGTGAAGATTGAACGACGTGGTATGGAGTGAGGTGACGGAGCAGGGGGAAGGTGAGAGAAAGAGAGAAAGAGGGTAATATGTCAAGGAGATGGTCGGGATGGAATGAACGGATGAATGAACGAGTGGACGAAGAGAGGCAAGCAGGCAGGCGGTGGGATGTGCTCGATGTGCAGCACCCAGAAGGCAGAAGGTGGGAGGGACCCAGACACGCCCAAAAGGCTGAGATTTAAGGTGTACGACATCTCCTCTTACTCCTGCCGCCCAATTATTGCTTCATTATGTTCATCCAATCCCTCTCTTCCCGTTCCCAGGTCCGACCTGGCAAGCGGGGACCCCTTCTAGTCTACATCTCTTGCCATGGCATCCGCAGATATTCCAGCAACACGCCTCTCAGTCGCATCTACATTCACCCACGGATAGCTCCCAGGGAATCTTCTTGACATATCCCAGTCCCTTCGTCTCGTATAACCGTTTCCTCGTTGTTTGTTCAAGCCAGCCTACGTTTGTGTGAAACGCCTATTTTTTTATTATTTTTTTTTGAAGTAGTCACCAACACGGATATACTCACCTCCATGTACACACACGAATCTCTTTTTCTTTATTGCAATCAACAACCCAACTCAAACATCGATTGTCAAACGGTCTAGGGGAGAAAGAATTTCTTCGCGTCCTTGCAAGGACTATAGAAGTCGAACTAAACATCCATGGGAAACAGAACCCTCCTTGACGCGGACCAAAGCATTGCCATTGAATTAAAGCAAGCTCCGGAGGGATATAGTCTCGTATCTCGTCCCACTGGGTGCTGAACGGTGGTTCATGCAAACCTCAAGACGATAGGAGTTACAGCAGCATCGACGTGGCTACATTTACTGCAGGACTCCCTTGAGCTCTGGCGTACGGCCCGCTTGAACTCTACTCCAGGTCAGATGGCCTGTAATATCCAGCCTAGCCTATGGGGTATTCGTCGTCAATATGCCCTTCAAAGCTCCCTAGAGCTGCTTGCACGTACGGTACAACGCCAACAGCGCCCATCTGCGTGCAGATAGCGCTAACAACCATCACTATTTTCTTGACCACACACACAACAGACGACAACAACAGCACTGCACGCGCTTCGGTCCCCACCCTCCCTTCCCACCAGTGCCTGTTTGCGTCTCGTCTGTCTATATAAAAAGGCATCGCCAACTCCCTCCTTTCTTCCCATTCCCTCTCCCTCTTCCACTCTCTCCAAACAAACAACTCCTTCTCTCCTCCTCACACTTCTTCCCCTCCACATACACACTCAACTTTTCAATATGTCTGCCGTCGTCAACCTCGTCAGGACCAACCCTGCTTTGGCACCCCTCTTCATCTTCGGCGGCTCCGGCATCGTCGGTGGTGTTGCGTAAGTTTCTCCCTCTCCTTTCACACTTAATCCTAACCCGAACAGAACGTGCACCATCCTCGTCTCAGTTGGCCTGTCTCTACCGCCTTCTTCAACCCCCCTTACTAACTAACATTCGCGATTTCAACCTCACATCCTTCAATAGATACATTGGCCACTGTTTGGCGAACGGACCTGACGTTATCATCAATAAAACCGCCGCCGAGAAGCCCTGGAACCGTATCCAGCCCCATGAGAACGCCAAGGTACAGACATACAGACACAACAAGCATTCGCTCCTCACCCCCTTATTTTTTCCTGTTTCTCATTATGCATCGTAAACTAACTCCCCCTCCTCCCAACACACATAGCTCTGGTCTCCTAACAAGGAATTCTGGCAGCAGCGCAAGGAACGTGTCGAGCAGTCCAAGAAGGTCTGAGGACAATGCAACCTCGATAGGCGCCAATTCGACTACTGAACGGAGGGGGTGGGGAAGCGTTGAAACGAGATTCTCTGGCAGTGTCGCCATCGCATCCTTTCGTCCGCTTTCACGTCTTCGATGTTTCTATTCTTCATTCTATATCTCTCCACTCCAAGACCAAAAAAAAAAAAAAAAAAAAGGGAAGGAAAAAGAAACACCTTCCTGAACTCCTTTGTACATAACGATGTCCTCAGTTAGAAACTAGAGAACAAATAAAATAAAATAAAAAAGAAACCCAGAAAGTATGAGCTTGAATGATATGAACGTCGTTTTTGTCGGACTCCGGATTTCCGTCAGGCATAGTTTCTTCCCCACATGCGATATTGTTTTTTTCCCCACACACACATACACATTTGGATACACCTTTGGTGGCCTGCCCTGCGGAAACATCAGAACCGAGTCCGCCGCAGAAAGTGGATAAGAGCGAATGGATTGGCACAACCGCTGCTTAAGGTTCTAATCATGCGAACACAAAAGCACGAAATTAGTTGGACACCCATCCAATCCAATCATGGCCTGCTACGGTGCTTATCAGTCCACAGACAGGGCGACAAACAGTTCCTGGATAGCACAAACAACTGCCAGGGGCTCTTGTCTTCCACTGGAGACTCGAGCGCAGAGAGCGCGATATTAGAAGGAGGAAGTACCCATTCGCATGATATGAAAGATATGAAAGATATGAAAGGTATGAAAGGTATGAAAGATATGAAGGTGGCGTCCTTCTCTTTGCCTGCTGGTTGGAGCCGTACTCAGTCCTCTCAGGAGACCCATGTAGTCGTAACAGCGCAACAAACGAACGAAGTTATCAGCGTATATCCGATAGACCGCACGCCATAAAGTAGTTCTTTTTTTTTGCTCGGCTCCCGTAGTATCGTTTTTCTGAACGCATGAATTCTTTGCTCGGACCACGACTATCGCCTCGTCACCATACAGTTGCCCCTCACACGACGGAGGGGGACACGGTTCATGGCCACGGCTCGCTTCCTGCGTGTTCAGTTCCAGACAAGGCTAACCACGCTCAGGCACAAATGCAACCGATTTGGTGCCACACGACAACACGACGACGACAACGCCGTAAATCCATTGATTAAAAGTCCAGAGACAAGGGCAGTATTTGCATAGTATGAATAAACAGTATGCTTTTTATTCCCTTTTTTTTTTTCTTCTTCTTTCATGTGTATGATCGACAAGTCAGAAAAATAAATAAAAGAAAAGACCTTAAACAAGCGGCGCACTTTATTTAAGCCTTGGTGGCCTTGACAGCCTTGTTGACAATCTCGCGACGCTATCATATTCACAAAAACGACACCAGCAACAACGATAACGACAGCAGCGATAATCAAACAGAATACAAGAACGAACATTAGAACCAAGAAATACTTCACTTCCAATGGATCATCCAAAGATATATATATAAACACAAGTGTTCGAGAATAAACAATGGAACTTACAAGAGCCTTGTACTTCTGGAGCTTGAAGCGGTCAAAGTCGCTGTTGGCAGCACGCTGGGTACGCGAGGCAATCTTCTTGGCCCACGAGGTCTTGGCCCAGTTACCGGCAAGATCCTGCTTCTCAATCGCCTTCTTGAGGACGACCTGGCCAGCGTTGCGGGGGACCTTGACCACCAAGGGAGTCAAAGTCAGGCGACGGAAGGCATAGGCACCGCGGGCAATGCCGGTGGTGGGACCCTCAATCAGAGCCTATAAAAAAGAAAAGGTATCCGTGAGTGTTAAGATACACATTACGCGCGATATTGTACTGGTGTTCCAGTTGAGCGTACGACGTTGTAGAGTAAAAAGAAAAAGAAAAAAAGATTGAAGCCGAGTCCGGGCTGCAAAGCGTAGATCGATCCTGGTTTCTTGCCGCTTCTCTATTCATCCCTCGTTCCCTGTGGAAAAAGTACGTTGCCTTCGTTTGATGGAGTTGTTTGAACCCCCCCACTACTCAAGTCGACAACTTTGTCTCGTTCGTCCCGCCTTCATCCTGAGCAGCTCTCCGCTACTTCGTCGCCATTTATCCTGCTATACCAATTTGTATATCAATTATGGCGCCATAAAGCCATGCTGTCCCCTGACTTGTTGTTCCATTGCTCTTAAAGAGGTCGCCGTCGGTCCCATAAACGTTTTCAACTCGCTTCCTTATCCAAAAAAAATAAAATAAAAAAATGCGCAAGATATCCCTTTGAATTCCTGATCTGCCCAGTAAAAATAATAGAGAAGGCACATACACGGTTGTGGTCAATGATATCGACAATGACGGCGAGCTTGCCGGCATCGGGGCCATAGTTGACCATGACAACACGGCCAATCTCAACGACACGCTGGAAAGTAGGAGTGCGCTATTTTTGTGAGAATTGTTGAAGAGGAAGAAGATAGGCTCCGTTAGAGATCTCGCACTATTTTTTTTTTTTTTTTTTTTTGGCTGAAGGCTGTTGATGTCTGTCCGAATCCTGTCGTGATGCAATCCTGGAGTTTTAGGTCGCAGCTGTCTTTGTGAGTAATAATCGTGGTTACACCCTTGTTCGTGGCCCTCTTTCTTTGCCGAGTGGATGAGATGCATGACCTTGGTGTGTTCAGTTCTGTCAAAGCGCATCGTCCTGCTTGGCTGTTGTTGAGTAATCCTAGACTGATGAGGGTGTCCTCCCGGACAAAAGAAAAAGGATCTGCGATCCGTCCTCTTGTCCGGATGATCCTGCTTGATCCGATAAACACCATGCGATCTGCAGAATCAAAGCTCCACCCCGCAATGGACGAAGACATCCTGAATCCATGCATCTCCAGATCCCGTTTTCAAAAAAAAAAAAAAAAAGACCCGGGCGACGTATACGGATGGATAGAGTGCTGCGAGAGCTGTCGATTGATGGTGTCTCCGTTGATGTTGTCGATAGATGGATCGATGGGTTTGTTGGCTCGCCAATGGATAGCTATCCCCCACTTGTCCACTCTCCGCCTTGTATAAATCTGTACCATTGTAAATTGATGTAGCAAAGAGGAGGATTCAATCGCAGCCCAGCCCAACTCAATTCTATATCTGGTTCATTTTGCTTGCGCTGCTTCTCTTAAGGGCTTGGTAGGAAATTCGCGTTGCTTCACGATGCTCAAAACCCCCTGGATATACACCTAGAGGAACCAACATACACACTATATTGCAAACAACTCTGTAGAAGAAATATAAAAATTACTGGGTACGGCGTCTTTTTATTATCTACAAAGAGTTTGGCACTCGAGGCTTCTTGTGTTGTGTTGTGTTGTGTTGTGTTAATAGTATTAAGGTCTATGGTATACAAAAAAGAAAGACTCTTTACACAATCCCGTCCGTCTATTCCTCAGTTCTTGCGTTGGGAATGGCACTTGCGGTGGAAATCAATGGTCTCAATATCACGCTTGTTGTGCCCGTACTTATGGCTAGAGGGAGATGACTTCTTGCTATTCGCCTTCTTGCGGTGCAACTCAAGTGCACGCTTGTGATGCTTGTGATACTTGTGATGCTCGTGATGCTTATGATGCTCGTGATGCTTGTGGTGCTTGTGGTGCTTGTGATGCTTTCCATAATGATGCTTCTTCCCCCACTTTGACTTGTGAGGGTGCGAAGACTTGCGATGGAACCTCAGGTTCTCGCCCTGCGTAGTCGCCTCCATAGTAACGTCCTGCTTGGTCACGACCTCAGCTACAGGTGCAACAACCTTCATTGGAGCAGGCTCAGAGGCAGGTGCTTGGGCAACTTTAGGGATGGCAGTCATAGTGAAAGCAACAGGCACCTGAGCCGCGATGGGGGCGACTGGGAAACCTGACAGGTCACGACGCTGCTTCTTAGCGGAGTTCTTACGGTGGTAAGAGTGTTCGGCCTTGCGGTGGTGCTGGACATGACGGGGCTCCAAGCGGAAGGCTGCCTGCTGGCCGTGGCGGACATCTGCGGTGACCATGGCGCCGACGAGGGCTGAGGCCAAGAGAACAGAGAGAACGGAACGCATGGTGGTATATGATGATTTGGAATAGTGTATGTTGAAACTATGTTGTGTGTAGAAGAAAATGAATGGCCAGCAGATTAGGAGCCGAGATTTTATATTGTTCGCGTCCTTTGGGTCGAAACAAGCGGCCATGAGTGTGTATCTATGAGGTTTGGCGGCATGCATGCATACATGCGCACATGCAGGCAGCATCAGCCCGTGATTCGTGCGATACATTCGTGCAAAGAAGAAAAAAAAATGCCCTAGAAAAGACTGAAAGAGGTTGTCAAGGCGGGCGACACTGGAATGTAAACCATGAGAGAGAGACAGCGCGACGGGCGGAGAAATAGATTGCTCGTCCTCTTTTCGGGGAAGATAATCAATCCATCTTCCCAATTCCCAAATGACCCGCCTTTTACCTACCCTTGGGAGCGCGTATGCACAAATGCATATTCATTCTGTACTGAGAATGTAATGCATGTAAGGACAGATTGATACTTGTTATCCTCATCCTTAAACTGTAGCGGCATTCAACACGTTTAGACAAGCAAACGATATGCCCTACCATTTTTCGATAGACCCCTTCGAGTCTAGACCGTTGCCGTTTGCGCCGGCGGCTTTGCATGTTAGATATAATTGCGTATTTTTTGTTCATGGATGATACGCCATTCCGCTGCGGCCAAAACGAGAACCCTGTGCTCCTCGTGTACTCAACCGAGCGCTGTATGCCATGGTGGTATTTTACATGTACATTTTTATTTTCCTCATTCATAGCGATCAATAACCCCGATTGTACTGGTTTGGCCCTTGCTGGTACCGTCCACGTTGCTGATCAACATAACTTGGACCATTTACTACGCTTCCAACCACACTTCCACCGACACCCGGATTCACTCCTCCACCTAGACCAGTGGGACCTCCTGGATGTCCGCCGTATGGATTGGGTGGGCCGCGATGACCACTCATGTCAGTCAGCATGACCGTGTCAGCGTACTTGTTGCCGTTTCCGAGGCCCGCCTCTCGCGACAACGCTTGTCCGTGCTGGAGTGGATGGTTCGGCCTTCCAGGTCGAGGTCCATACCCGCCAACGACGCTTCCCTGGTTCGAGCCGCTCAAAACGGTGCTGGTGTCGGAAGGCTGTCGCCTGTGCGCCTGTGCATGTGGGTGTGGTTTGGGCGGATATTGCGAAGGTTGGTAGCCGCCACCCGCACTATAAGCGCCCTCGCTGACCTCACTCCGATCGTCCGCAAAATCATATTGCTGATCCTGCCGCCGCATATTGCGATTGTGATAATGCTGTGCGTGGTTGTCCTGTCGCAAAGGTCTGGTATCACCATCGTCGTCCATAGTAGGAGTGTAGGGTCTAGGCGCAGGAGAATACGGCCGTGCTGGTGCCTGTGGATACTGGCGACGGTATGGGTCGTTGGGTACGGGCATGGCCTTGCGAAGTCCTGGGGATCCCATGTATGGTGACTGTGCTGCAAGTCTAGGCGTACCACCTGGAGCAGGGGATCCTCTGCTTCCCTCCTCAAGAAGGCCGATGTTGGGAAGCGTTGGTTTCTGCAGAGGAGTGTCACCGCCCTTGCCTGACTTCTTGGCTGCTTCTTGTGAGCGCTGCTTAGCCTTCTTTTTAACGATCTCGTCGATTCTATTTATCAACAATAAGTATGCGTTAACAAAAAAATAAAAATAAAAATGCAATATCCATTCATTCAAAAATACTACTGTGGCTTCCTGCTGACATACCTCTTATCGATCTTGTGACAACAAAACTCTTTCAAGTTACCCTGAATTTGGATAACCAAAGGGATGTATAGGCAGACCGCGACGATCATGAGGAGGACTGAGATGATCCAGAGCGTGAGCGTGAATGTTTGGAGACCCATGGTAACAAGCGTCATTGAGTCATATCCGTCATAGTTCCAAAACGCGAGGCCGTGGGTGGCCCACTCGCCACGGACGACCGTGATGAGAACGAGTCCGTTGATGACTTGCCTGGGTCCATCCGCAAACATGAGCCGTTTCCAGCCTAAATGAATAGTTTCGGTTCAAAATGTGTTGTCAGGCGCCAATGTAATAAGACAAACTATTTCCTGCTAGCTCCAGTTCATTCCTGCGATGGTGCTCGGGTATCCTGATGTATTTATTACCTCTGAATGTGAAGAAGCAGAAGAACGCAACTTCGTCGATAGTCTTTTTCGAGTTGTGGATCCTTTCGAATAGACAAAAATGGGCGTAACTCTTGATGGCATAATATCGGTACGCAATCATGCTGGTGAACGCATAACTAATATCTCGACTTTGGATGATAGCAATGGCCTTTTTGATATCCCAGGCCAGCAAAATGAAGGACAGAATGATACAGGCAGCGAAAATCCACTAGTCAAAGCATGCAGAGCAAACAAAGACGAGGTGTGTTAGAGTGTATGGTCGAATAACTAGTGTAAGAGGCGCCATCTCAAGTCTGTCCATGACAGTATGGAGCGGGTTGTCCAGGATCCCTCACCTTGTAAATCTCAAATGAGATCTTGATGTTCTCTATTAAAGGAAAAAGCGCCGCAGTGGTAGGTTGGTATTAGTGTTATGAGAAGGGGGAGGGGGAACTCTTGTTCTTCCTACATGGGTTCCTGAAAATGACAAACGAGATCCTATCCTCATACCATATGTGATCTGACCGTTCTCGACACCGAGTTTCGAGACCCAGTTCTTTGAGACCAACAAGTTGACGGCCGTCCTAGCAACAGTGAAAAGAGGGGGGCGGAGAGTTGCAGAGAAGCGGTCGATGGAGGGATGGAGGGATATGGAAGCGGGGAAACAACGATGAGCAGCTTGGCCTGGTATTGGAGGCGGATACATTCCGCACTGCAGAAAAAAGCTCATATCAGTGTGCATTTAAAAAGAGATGCAGCATCAGTGGATTACCATAAATCGGCACAGTAGATGAGGATTCCTTTGATGACGATGGCAAAGACGAGCGAGTACTTGAACTTGCGCCAGGGAGAGTTGTCGACATAGTCCTCGACATCGATAAAGTCGAACTTGTGGTCCTGGACCTTCTGCCGTCTCCAGTCAGCTAAACATCAAATTCATTCATTTAGAGGAGTGGATAAACCTCATTGGTGAGCGGAATACACGCGCGAGGAGACCCAGATAGGAAATAGGATATACGATATACGATATAGGATATTGGGATAGAACGCGGCACAGGGACAAGAGCGTCTCTTGTAAAAAAATGGTCCGGGGATAAAAATAACTTTGCGCAACAAATTCCAAAGCCCAAAATTAGAATCCCATTGCCCTTTGGATATTCAAATAACAAAACATAGGCAGACAACAGACAGCACACAGTCAACATACAGACAAACATGGTTTTGGATGGGTTGCCTGTGTCATTGTTGGGCTGTAGACAAGGACAGTTCAGAAAAGTGAAAAGTACATGCTGTGCCAAGTCCAAAAGGTGTGAAATTAAATAAAGAAAAGTCGTCGATGGAGGGCTGTATGTACTTCAGCGGGATGATCATACTATCGCCTCCAATTCTCCGAGGAAACGACGAAAGAACGCTCGCACGCCCACACAGCCCATGACAAAGAAATGAGACAGAGTTGTTTGACAATACCAGTTGTGCACTCTTCGAGCAGATTGTGCCTGGATGTGGTATCAATTGGGTGTCATTGTCGAGTATAAGGAGGAGGAGGAGGAGGAGGAGGAGGGGGGGAACAAGGTTGGATATGAAACGACGAGAACGGTAAACAGAACTTACTGGACATGCTGTGTGATATGTGTGTAACTGGAGATGTGAGATCTGTCCGCGGCTAAAGGCGGTTGGGCAAGTCCTGGGCGAATGTAAAGCGAGGGAGGGAGGAAGACTCAAATGGAGTGGGATCAGTTGTGATGGGGCGAGTGTGAATGCAAGGATTCCGAGGGAAGTGGAAGGGAAGGGAACTGATCCAGAGGCCTTGTAGGTAGGATTCAGGGCAAAAAGTGTTCTATTGCTGGGTCGTTAGATTGGGACGGGTAAATTGGTATGCAGTCGTGGGAGGGGATTCAGGGGTCCAGTCAGCAGTGATGCAAGGGATGAGATGAGATGATGATGATGATGACGATGACGATGATGATGATGATGATGGGATGGGATGATGATGATGGAATTGAATGCGAGGAGCGGGAAGGGAGGCGGAGGACAAAGAAAAGAGAAGAGAAAGGGCAGGAGTATCAATTGGTCTTTGTCTCTTTCGTTACTTTGCGGCCAGCCTAGCCCATCCATCGCTCTCGCACTTTCCTCCGCTTACAAAATGAAATTTGACCAAAGCACCACAGCGTCCATGCGATGTGTGTACGTGTTTGTGTGTAACGGTGTACGGGCATGGGTGCAGCCCACCAAGGAGCGTTGTTGTAAGCAGGGCCTGTGGTCTAGTGCTAGGGGGCCAGGGTATTCTATGAGGATAGACTATAGTCTAGTCTGTCTATCGTGCAAAAGATACCTGCTCTGCCGTAAGCACGCTTCACTGAAGCAAACCAGAGGCTTGTCCCAAACCATCCCGAGTCAGCGCTCGCTGTTCCTGGTTTTACATTGCTGTGAGACAATGCGCGCGGGGCAATGGATTTGCTGAACCATCAACAAAAAACCCCCCTACCAACAGGGTGTTCACACATCTTTACGAGAGTTACTATTCAAATCATCCTTCGCTCACTTGATATACACTTTGTGAAGGATTAGTCAACAGGTGGGTCCACAACTACAGTTCTGATCTTCATCCTCAGGAGCCATGCGGCAAGCAAGCGATACTTCACTTCATTTAAACTGTGCCCATACGATATGCGTCTCCATCCATGGCATAATCCGACGCGGCGGAGTCATCCTCACAAAGAAGTTGAAAAAACGACAACGGCACCATTAAAGAGATTCTTTGCTGTATCCAAAGGACATTCTATGCCTTACTGGATACCACCGCCACTGCAAGGCTTCTACACGTCTAGGACATCGATATCGACCTCTGGTTTGATTACACGGGGTGATCGATAACCTACCTGCCCATAAAATCAGGGTTGGTCATTTCTACATAACAGAGACTTCCTCCTCAAACACTCGCATCATTGAACCCTTTTTACTTCCTCAAGAGCGCCGTCCCCGTGACGGTGCCTATCCTGCCTCAGCCATAAACTACTCGGGCCTTTTTTCATGGACACCCAGTTCCCAAACGCGTACCAACTCAACTGCTGGCAGTACAGGAGGTCGCGCCAGCCTCCTTGAATGATTTCCCTTTTTTAAAAAATTCTCTTTTTGACATGAAGCAAGGACTCCTCTGCCTTTACCTTACAGGCCTCAACAGCACCATCTCCTTGCCACGCGCAGGCGCGTAGTATCCTCTGGATGTTAAAAATACCATTGAGTAATACGATCTCAAGTGTTTAGGTGGATGCACTCGAGAATACTACCCAAGGGGAGGCAAATCTTTCATTAAGCACACATATACAGCTCACACGCATACACAATAATGCGTCCACAGCGGGTCCCCAGGAGGACCAAGGATCGTCATCGCCGTCAACCAAAGCGGACATATTTCAAGCCAATGGCGAAGTGCAGGCATCTCTGTTCTTTGTTTTGGATAGTGATTCTTTCGCGGATATATGTTTTCAATCCCTCGAGGATCAATGGCAGAGGCAAGCAGACGAGCGTTGGTCACCTTCATTTTACGCTGGGTGGACCAGGACGTTCATTAATTCACCCGCCTGGACTCCTTGGTCCTTTTAGATCCACACGATCTCCTTTTCATGCTCATCCAGTGCAGTCTCTCTCCCTTCTCCTTTATTGCCCTGATTAGTTCGACAGACGGAAAAAGAGGACCGTGGAGACGCATCTCAACAGGTTAGCAGGATAATATGCTCCCTCCCTTTTTTCACTTCTGAGTTAAAATAAGGAATTTTTATGCCTACAGTGTGCATGGTCAATGCAGAGCGCTCAATTTTACGGCTGCAGACATAGCCCTCGGACCGGATGGGATAGTCTGCATGCCTCAAAAGGGCCCACCTGGAGTCCAGGATCAAAGAAGGGAGTCGAAGAAGATGAATATCAAGAACCTTTGTTTCTCTTTTCTCGACTTGTCACTGTTTTGTTTGAAATACCATCCTTTTTCCTCCAGTCTTTGTCTCCTGCCTCCTATTGTTCTACGAACAATCGAACAATCGAACAATCGAACAATCGCATAATCCGGGGCGGACCCTTCAGACAAACCACCTCTAGCAATCCCTTCATCCATACAACTCCCTCTTTCATAAGACTCCTTTATAAGTACTATCTGTCAACATGGAAAATCCTTGGTTGTCTCCATCGTGTCCGTTCTCCAATCCACCTTCTTCCCTCTGCGACCTTCTCCACGCAATCAAACAGCTGAGCATCTCCCACAAGGCATCATCACCAAAATCAATGGAGACCTCTACAGCAGTTCATCAATTCCGACGCACTTCGACCGCCTCGCAGGCCGCCCTCGAAGACAACGTTCGCGTCCTGTGTGACATGGTCGACAGCGTTCTGAGAACTAGCGCCGAATTTTCTCCACTCCGAATCGACGTTCGACCACTCTACCCTAGAGGCACCTACATGAGTCAATGTCAAGAATCAAAGTCCTCCTTATCCGCAATGTCCCCCAAGACGTTTAGCATGGCGAAAACAGCTATCTGTCAGGTGGACGACGCTGTTGTTTCTCGACTGAGCAGAGACACTCTGCTGAATCTTTTCCCGAGTCCTCCTCAGGCACCCCTGAAGTCCAGAACAACATGTGCGACGTGTCCTACAGCGCCTCCAACGCCAAACACACGCCCAGTCCAAGCTCCTCCGAAATATCGCTCACGGAAAGCCGGCAGGAACCGAAACTGGGTCATCACTTCTGGCCTCTTTCTGACGCCCCCTACGGTAGATGAGCAAGAATTTCACTTTGGCACTAGCCCTGGAATGTCACGCGCCAGCGACGCGACGCTTAGGTGGAGCACGATGAAACATGGTCTAGCGGCGCCAGCTCTCTATCCGCCTCGTCATCCGCTATCACCTTGCAGTCCTGTGTCAGCTTTGGAAACGCTTGTGGAGCGTCAAGACCAGGATCGAGTCGTCAACAAGCAGATGGCATCGGGATCAATTAACAAGCATCCAGCCTCCTCTCGGAAACCTTCCACGTCAGCGCCTTCCCCAGTGTCCCCTCTGGAACACCTAGACGAATTATCACAGCATCTATTGAACATTGAAACGCAGCTGCGAAGGCCTTCGTTTCTCATGAATGGCAGGATGTCCATCCTATCGACTTTGTTTACCTCAGCTTCAGAAGCGTCAGCTGTGGAGAAACACGATTCACGGGAGCGCCTGTTGGCAGAGCTTTCCTTGGCAGTCGGAAGTGTTGACATGCCCTCACCTTCTGAGGCGTCCATCTTTGTCATCGAGCCAGTTATCGACACCATTGAGCAGGCTCCCTGCGAGTCAGAAGAAGAAGAAATGGACTGGCGAGCCTGGCATGACGCATGGAGGCGAAGGAGAATGAAGCCCGAACACGAATCACCCTCGTCTTCCACAACTTCGCTTCCTGTCCCATCTTACTCCTCCCCCAACTCTAAAAGCTGCAGCCCAAAGGATTCGACGAATAATTCCTCGGCCGGTTTCCTGAGGCGCCGAAAAGGAAAGAGTCAAGATGCCATGGGAATGCTGACGCCGAAGCCGACATTAAAGTCGCGCAAATTCTTTTCAGTCCATTCCTCGCCCTCATCCGCTACTCCATCTGAGGGATCTTCTACAGCGTCAGCAGAGGGTGATAATATGAAGTGGGGTGATCGCTTTCAAATGCTGGTCCAAAATTTCCAGTTCACGGCTGTATTGCACTCAAAGAAGTTGATCGATATTCTGCCGAAGAGCCGATGGTCGAGACGCTCACGGGCTCGGACGTCTCCCGAACCAAACAAAAAGTAGGAAGGCGCGTGAAGAACTTCCCCTCTCCTCCCCCCCACCTACCTACCCACCTACCCACCCACCCAAAAAAAAAAAAAAAAAAAAAAAAGGCTGTGATGATCTCGTTTTGCTTCCCGATGGCGACTGAGCGCACCGCGCGCTCTTACTCGACTCCTCCCACTCTATTCCCTCCGACCCTTGTCACAAACGCCGTAATCATGACTGACACGAACACCGACTACTGCAACGCCTTGCATCGCCACGACACCGTTTCTATTTCATAATGGACTATACGGCCATGACACCATTCCGAGCGACATCTTTTATTATCCATTTATAGTGTAGACCACATGTACATATCGCATTATCATAATAGTAATACTAATAATAATAATGTTAATATCCAACACATACAGCATTGTACTTGCGTTGTGGGAGCGGCATGTCTATGATGCATTGTACAAAGCGAAATCAACAGAAGCACAACATGTTTGTTGTTGTTGTTGATGGGAAATCGCCTGTGCGTGAGATACCTGGCCGTTTGCATCAAAATACATTTCGAATCACTGTGGACAACAAGACGAGATTATCAGCATCTCTCTCTTTCTTTTTTTTCGTGTTTGGCCTTGAGGAGATTCAATCATAAAGTGCAGTTCACTGTGCTCTTACTCCATGTCCACCGCCTGTTATTTCAGACCGCTGATTGGTCATAGGAAGCCAAGATCGTCGGGGGGCGCACTAGTGAGAACTAAGCATTGGCCAGCAATCCCCACCCGTTTCTCCTAGACTAACAGGGCCCAGGGGTTTAAACAAAGTGTGTTTCTTTGCTAGTGATTGAGACCCGATCGATAGATTTTCCAGGGATACGACCGTTGAGTGGTCGAGAATGAGGTGACAAGGGTGACCCGACAAAGAGCTTCTTTTCCTTCCTTCTTGAAAGTAAAAAAATAAAAATTGAATCTCCCCGAATAACAATTCTTTTTTCATACTCCACCTTCTTGTTCATGTCCACAGTCCGTCCCACGATGCTTTACTTTGCGTTGCTCCTCCATGCACACAGTCTTCGCCCACAGACAGAGAGACAGCCAGGAGGCTCTTCGTAACGCAATGGTAATCGCGAAGGAGGATCATTGAGCCATTTCCTAGTGGGATGATGATATGAGCTTGCTTTCGGAGATGACCATTGGCCCATTGCGGCTTTTTTTTCTTTTTCTTTTTCAAAAAAAAAACATATCCCCGCCATGAGTGGGACAAAGACGGAACCGGACATGCAACGCTGACACGTTCTGTATCTGAGTAAGATTGGTATAACATCTACACTTGAAATTGAATAAAGGAGTGTATAGAAAATCATAGGAAACGTCTTCAGAAGGAGATGAGAGACACTCTATTGAACCAATGAACCAACCAACTGAGTAAAGTCCATGCAGGGCGTTTTTTTTTCTTATTCATAATTCACACTCCATCCATTCGATGGCGATCTCAGGTAGCAGAATGGTGCATGGGCAGATGGTGGGCTTGTCTTTCTTTCTTTTTTCTTTTCTTCCGCATCTTCTTTTCCTCTCCTTCTTTCTTCATCGCTTTCTGTGTCTTCTCCTTTCTTCCTTTTTTTAATGCTGTTTTGTGCTGCAGACCCATTCCTCGGTTTGTTCTCTCGCTACTTTCCCACCCTTTCCGTATAGCTGAATCTGCATTATTTTTTTGTGAAACAAACAAACAGCGATCAGACCACCGCTGCCACCGTTGGATGCATAGTCCTGTACCTCGCATCTTTCCTTGTACCCGTCCTTGCACCCTTGTATCCTTCCTTGTACCCATTTACTGCACATTCCTTCTTTGCATAACACCATGGCTACTTCTACACCCACTTCATCTTCATCTTCATCCTCACGACAAACCGACAGCCAAATCCAACTCAACATCGAGCGCAATCACCGCACACTCCCCCTCCCCTCAACCCTCTCACCCTCCCAGCCATCTAATTACCCTTCTATCCCCCGTTTCCCCCCCACTGCCTCCAACAGGGTCAATGGAACCTATACCCTCACCACCCCCACTGCCCGCAGCAATACCCCTCATTCACGCATCGGAACCAGTAGTGCATCAAGTTCTCCGCCAGGAACACCTCCTAGTGGTTTACGAAAGTACTACCTCAATGCTGCGTTCCAACGGTCTCAGCATCCCATCTACCCCATGGGCTCGGGTTCAGCACCTGGACCGTCTACAACGCTACATCGTCCTAGTATCTCGATCTCTATCCCGCTGCAGAACACAAGGATCCAGGTCCCGAGGCCAGCACTGGCGAAAAGGTCTTATTCTGCGGATCAGCTGAAGACGAACGAGCCAGAGATCATGGTGACAACGCCTGGGGGTACGAGCTCGACAGAGAGTCATGTCCTGACCTTGCAGCGCGCGCTTTCTGACCTGATCGAGAATGAGAGCAGAGAAGAAGAGGTCGAGGATGAGATCCTCGATGATGGGCCTATCACCATGAGGACACGGAAATCACCATCGCCTTCGTCGTCATCTACTCCGCCAGGGACACCTCCCCACAAGAAGGGCGCTACAAAATACCCAAAGGTAGTTGTCGATCGGCTGGATCCTGAGAAGTCCCCGGCGGCGACGGCTCTGCTGACACATGGAGCCGGAGGATCGGATGTGACGTTGGCGGCGACCGCGGATATGGCAGAGAAGGAGACACGGAGCAGTAGCAGTAGCGTCAAGGCTAAGAAGAGGGCCATCAGTCGACTCTCGAAATTCCTGTATCGGGATGCGTCGATGGCTCCAGTAGATAATCAGGAATATAACCTAGCTACGAACACGAACGCTGATCTCACTCGACAGCCATCCAAGGGCGGTGTGCTCAGCAACTTGCTGAAACTACAGGGTAGCGGGCGTCAATCCAAGGTGTGTCTCTTTCTTGGTCAATATACCAGTCCGCGTCCTATTCCCCCGGCTAGAAAAACCATACTAACCAGCCTGGGACAATCTCTTCCAATCCTCATTTGTGCCAACAGCGTGTGTCGCGATCAAAGACATCCAAGGAGAAAAAAATAAAGCGCCCGGTTCTGTACAGTCGCTCCGCTAACCACTCGGCCGCCTCCCTCCACACCAAATCCGTCTTTGGGACCTACCCACCCTTGCCAGCAACACCCTCCCAACCACCAATGACGACCGCCACCACCACCCTCTCGAACTTCCAGCCCAACCCCCGCAACAACACCGGCGGTCGCGTCCCCATCCAATTCGACAACTCCTTTGGCCAATCCTTCTCCGCCATGAACTCTCCCTTCCAATCCCCCAATATCTCGCCCCGTGGATCCTTCTCTGCCGGCGAGAACGCCTTCTTGTTTGGCGCCTCCGGTAGCGGGACCAACAGCCCCGGCAGTATCGGCATCGGTGTCGCGGCCCTGTCGAACGAAGAAAAGATGCGGATCACGATTGCGGTCGCAGATATCCTTGAACGCCAGGATTATATCCTACGACTGGCCAAGTCCATGATCAAATACGGCGCACCCTCACACCGGCTCGAAGCTGCGATCGACCATTCCGCCCGGACGCTCGAACTCAACCTCCAATGTGTCTACCTTCCGAACGTGATGATCATCGCCTTTACGGATTATGAGACCCATACCTCGGAGACCCATCTCCTCAAGGTCTCTGCAGGGCTAGATATGTACAAATGTGCACTCGTCCATCAGGTCCATAAGCTGGTGACCCATTCCTCAATCCCTGTGGAGGAGGCGATCATGAGGTTGGACGCGATCAACTCGGAAAAGGACGCGAATCCTCGATGGCTCACCGTGCTGGCCTATGCGGTAGCATCCTTTTGTACCGCACCCATGTTCTTCAAGGGCTCTTGGATTGATGCAGGGGTTTCCTTCTTGATCGGCGGCGCTGTTGGGATGCTAGTCTGGCTCTCCGAAAAGGCTCCCAGTTACGCCCATATCAGCGAGATCACCATATCCGTCATCGTCGCCTTGGTTGCAGAAGCACTCCATCGCTATAATGTCTGTCAGGGCGCCGTCAAGCTGGCTGGGATCGTCATCATCCTCCCCGGGTACACTATCACCTGTGCAATCCTCGAACTCAGTTCCCGACACATCATCTCGGGTTCTGTCCGACTCTTCTACGCCATCATGTTCTCGCTCTTGCTCGGGTATGGTCTCACCATCGGTGCCTCGATCTGGACGCTCTTCGATCCTTCGAGCCAGGGCGAAAAATTCACGAACACCTGCCCCTCGGACCCACTCGATCCGAAATGGAACATTCTCTTCGTCCCTCTGTTCGCGATCTCGCTCAATATCTGGATAAAGGCCCACGCACGACAGTGGCTCCTGGCCACGATCCTCTCCATCGTCGGTTACGCCGTTAGTTATTCATCCTCGACCTACGCGGGTGCCAAGACTGAGGTCTCCTCGGCCCTCGCGGCCTTTGCGATCGGGCTCCTTGGGAACGTGTACCAGCGATTGACAAGACAGTTGACTTTCCAGGCCGTGGTCTGCGCGGTGTTCTTTTTGGTCCCCGGATCCATGGGTCTCAAGGGGGCCATGTCACTGTTCACGGACGACATGACCGGCGGAGTGAACTTTGCACTCCAGATGGTGATCACGGCGATCGCGATCAGTGTCGGACTCTTTACCTCGGCCTTGGTTGTTTATCCCATGGGCAAGAAGACTCGCTCCGCTCAAATGACTTTCTAGGATACAGACAGAAAGTGCTATGGCCTTTTGCAGATAAAATATACAATATGATACCCCGTCTTTATTTAAATAATAATAATCCACAACCTGACAAAATAACTAAATATAAAAAATACATAACAAGAGTATTCCCGCCTTGTCCCCTCTCACAGAACATCGACCATCTTCCACCCGCTAACGCTCTCAGGATCCGGCAACAGCTGTGTGGTACTCCAATAGATCGGATCGAGTTTCATTGCAATTACCGATACCGTGCCATTCCTCGCCTGGATCTTGATCCGTACATATCCTTGCGACTGAGCCGCATCATCCGCGTTGATTGGCGACACCGGTTCCTCCGTCACCTCATAGCCCTCCGAGAACGCACCTGTCGGTGCTCTAAAGTCCGTCGGACTTAATTGCATCGTTGCGATTCCGAGTCCGGGCCCAGGTGCAAGTGTAGGTGCAGATGGAAGTGCAAGTGCAGGTGCAGGTGCAGGTGTAGGTACTGATGCAGGCGCTGGCGTGGCACTATCATCACACGGATGCAAACCCTCCAAAGCCTGCAAAGCCAGGCCCTCGGGATGGGCCAACATATGCGAGACCATCGCGGACAACCTCCTAGTATTCCCTAGAAGCGGATTCTGTCCCCACGACAAGCGCTTCAACCCGACCTCACAAACACTTCCTTGTCGAGACCTCACCACCTTGTTCTCATGACGATGCACCGCATCCAAAAACTCGTCCAGATTCGCCACAGGAATTCCATCGACCTCTGTAATCCACACCCCCGGTCGCAACGCCGTCGATGCAGGAGAACCATAGAGTGTGCAGGAGACGTACACACCCGTCGGGACGTTCGACACTTGTTCGAGTACAGCCTTATAGGGCATCTGGATCAGCGCGCCGGCCCATTGGATGATCCGGTTCGTGTCTGTTCCCAGCAATGGAACCGTCGGTACCTTCAGCTGGAGCTCCTTGCCTTCACGCAAGACCGTCTGCCGAAGCAGAAAAAGAATTGTATATAAAGATCAGTAATAAGGCCCTTCTTTTCCCATTGTCCTGAACAGAATCCAAAAAAAAAAAAAAAAAAAAAAAAAAAAAATTATAGAAAGCTAAGCTTTCTCTTACCATCTGAACAAATTCCACTTCCCGAGCCCGATCCAGGTCCTTCATACTCGTCGCCACCTTGCCCTCGAGCTCCAGCACGATATCTCCGACCTTCAACATCTGGCTGCAAGGGTTCGTCGTATCCAACAGACTCAGCACGTACAACAGCTGGTGCTTCGAGTTCGGATCACTCTCGATTCTCTGAACCCATCGGTCCGTCAACCCCAACGACCTCGCCGCCGCAATCCGCATCGTCCAGAACTCGACATCCAATGCCCTCAACTTTGGGTACTCGCCCCGCATGAACGGCTCAATCACCGTCTTCACGCCCGCCACATCCAGTCCAGACATGAAAGTAATATCGTTTCCTTTCTCGTCCTGCGACGAGTAATTCACCCACAGCGCCTGCACCTTCCCCTCGTTATCACAGAGTACTCCTCCCTGTGTTCCCACGGGATCATCGATCTTGATCCCCTCCACGTTCATGGCTCTCCACCGAGGAGGAGAACACTCACGCGTGCCAATGTTCCCGACATTCGACACCGTCGTCTTCTTGATCACTGGCGACTGATCCGTGCCCACGCCCACCAGATAGCATTCATCCCCCTGCATCAATGGCTTATCACTGAACGTCGCAGGCTTCACCGGTGTATCCGCCAACAGCTCTGAATCGTACGTCAGGACCACGAAATTGTAGTGCGGATGCAGATACACCAGTCGACCGGGGATGATCACACTGTTCGCGAATGTGATGAAGATGTCTCCAATCGAGATTGGGATCGTGTCGCGATCGCAGACCACCAACGGCGGGTTCGTCGATACTACGAGTCCGGTGCCGTAGAACTGAGTCGCCTTCATACCATCGACCAGGAAGGGCAGATGGAAGTCAACCGCGACAAACGATGGCATCAGCACCGGTGCCGGGTGAAGTGATGGGTTGATCCTCGGATAGATCGCTGTTGCTGGTGCATACGGCTGGGATGGCGGTGGCGGCGGCAAATCCGTAAAGTCCCAAATACCCGTTTTGTCTGTGTAAAGAACATGGGAACATAGGAGTGATGAAGTACGATGGGTTAGACCTATGGTGTATGCTTTCACTAGATGCGTTTTCAATCACACTTTTTTTTTTTTTTTCGAACTCCATTCTTTCGAGGACTTGTAAACATTACCATTGCGAACGCCGACGCGGCACCTGTGCCAGTGACGGTCGACATGCATAATCATGATCTTCTCTTTGAATGCCTTCTGAAGCGTATAGAACCGAATCGGAACACGCGCGCCATCAGGCAAGGTCGAGATCGCATGGATGAAGGCGTCCAGGTTCGGGGTCGGAATGTTGTTGACCGCAACAATGATGCTCTTGCGCCAGGCACTTGCGGATGCCAGCATATGGCCCGAGGTCGCAACATAGACACCTCCGCATGGCTGGCCATACGAATGCGCGAGCTGGTACGACAGCTCGTTGACCACACCTCCTCCGACCTCCACAAATCGGTCCGGCGTGATCGAATGTAGGTCCTGAACAGTCAACGTGAACGTCAACAGCTTCGAGTTCGATCCTCGGATGACCGTCAATGCGATCTTCTCGCCCACAGAATCATCAATGACCATGAACAGCTGGATAAAATTTGCGATGAGCTCACCGTTGCATTGGATCACAATGTCTCCGGGAATGAGCTGGTCCGCGGCCGGACCCTTCGGCAACACGGACTTGATGATCAACATTCCAGTCTCGTTCGGGAAATGCTGGCGGATCTGCTTCTCCATCGAGATTTTCAAGCCCAGACGGCGCAGCTCATCGTAGGGGAAATATTCGAAATCCGTCTGCAGTGTACCACGTGGTACCTGCTCTCCTGCCTGAATGAACTTGAGAGCCCGCTTGACGCGATCCAATGGCAGGTAGTACGATGAAGATGCCTTGCTAGCACCTCCAGCATTCAGCGCGACCGCATGTCCCTCGATATCGAGAACAGGGCTTCCTGAGGACCCACCGCTGGTAGAGGATGCGGCCTGGAGGTAGAACGTATTGAAGTCGTTGTACTCGCCCTGCCCATACTCCGGAGCCTGTCGATCCAATCGAGCGAGTGTTCCTGCCAGGATAGAGAGTTTCTCACCAGCGTCGTTTCCGACCACACGGATCTCGAGTCCGACACGGGCCCTTTCGGGGCTCAGGGGGATCTCCTCGAGGCGCATGAACCTGACCTTGGAGGTATCGAACTGCATGAACCCAAAGTCGTGGACGGGATCGCGGTAAATGGGCTTGAGTTCGACCTCCTCGTAGTTGGAGAGGATTGCGAGTGCGAGGATGGGTGCGGGCGAGACGACATGTCGGTTCGTGAGGATGATGCCGCGCTTCGCGTCGACGAGGAACCCCGTTGCAGAATAAGCACCTATGGTAACGATGTTGCAAGGAATGTATGGTTAGTGCTCATTTTGTGTAGAAATTATTGGCATGGACTGGATGAGCAGTCTGGACTGTCGTCGCAACTAAACTGTCCCACTACTCTGGGTTGCAAAGGAAAAAAGATCACAGAAACAAATATGGTCTCGCCCAACGTAATGGATGCAATGCGAGTGTGTACGTTATGTATACGCTAACATGACAAAGGAAGAGTCACCATCATCATCATCGTTCATGCCATCCCCCCAATGACCGATATTGCCTCTCATCACATTTTTTTTGTCCTTTTTAGCATGTCGCTATAAAAAATTAGTACAAGAAATCCGACCTACCAGAAGTCTCCGTGTCGAAGCTTCGGACGTGATTAGCCGTAATTGACACAATGGACCGAATCGAGCGTTCCAGTGTCGACTCCCACGTCTGCGTCGTCAGCTTTGGCGTGTCCGACGCAACCCCGAGCGGCTGTGGGATCCCACCAATGTTCGTCATCGCCAGATTGTTCAACGCCATCGTCGGCCCCCCACCCACACCGCCACCGCCGCCGCCGCCTCCGCTTCCACCTCCGCTGCCTGACGGAAGCACGCCATGCAATGACCCGCGGTTGTGCAACATGTGCTCCTCCTCGTTCGAATCATCGTCCTGATGGTCGTTCCCGCCACCGCCACCGCCACCGCCGCCACCGCCACCGACGCTGCTCTTATGGGTGTTAGAAGACGATCCTTGACCGGTCCAAAGTCCCTGCTTCTGAGCCTCTTCTGCGGTGAGGATCCCGAACATCTCTGAGGGATCAACAGCACGGCCGTTCATGGCCTGAGCCCATGTGAGGCCGAAGGCGAGAGATTTGGAACGACCTCGACCGGATCGTCCGCCCGTACCGACGAATTTCTCGGGGTGAGAGGGTTCGGGGGAGGGACGGGTCTGTTCTTGACGTGCAAAGAATTCGAGGGTCTCCTTGTCGGCGTTGAGGCAGTTGAGGGATTCACGACGGGCACGGTTCATGGTTGCGCGGGTGTGGATGTGATACAAGGACACGAAGAATATGCAGAATACAAATAAAAAGAGGCTAACTGTTGGAAGAAAGGGAGGAGTCGATCTGAACGCAGAAAAGGGAGTGAAGAGGGTGAAGGAGTTGTAGAAGGGGAGTGAGTGGAGAGTGAAGAGGAGAAAGAGATGAGATGTGTGGGGTTCGTTGGAGTAAAAAGAGATAATGAGATAAAGAGATAAAGAGATGAAGAGAGAAAGACAGAAAGAAATAGCGGGGGACAGGTGGGATGGGTGTGTGTTACACATCCATGGGCTGGTCGTCTGGGCCATTAGAAAAAAAAATGACACACGTCCACGGCCAATCCTTCCAGCCTGTTTCACCCTTCCTCCTTACGTGTTCCCGTGGGGGGGGGGGGGGGGGGGGGGATATTCCGCCCTAGCAGCAGACTAAGATCCTCCTGCCGATGGGACTGCCTGTTCCATGCGACAGAACAGGGCTCATCCCCCCACCCCTCCCTCCAATTCGCCCATCCACCCATAGACCATGCGCTCCAGCCATCTATGTGCTTGCCGCACCAATCCTCTCGCTTTCTTCTCGCTTACCCATCTCTAAGGCACCATGGCCATGCCTCCCCCCTGCCATGATTCGTCCATTCGTCTCTTCCCCCCTCTTTTCCCCTTATCTCGCATTCTCTCGCTTTTGAATATGCTCCCGACCTTTTTGCAGGCAGTCCTTCTTTTAGATTCAAACGGGCTGTGACAAACGCAACCATGGCAACCATGCAACCAAGCATCTGAAGATAGACGGCCCCAAAGGCCCCCCACAATGTTGTTTTTTATAAATATTATTGCGTATCATAGGTTAGTTACCCAGGATGATTTATTCTACTATCCATAAAACTTCCCTCATCCTCTCTTTCTCTCTCGCTCCCCCCCCCCCCCCCCCCCCCCTCCTCTCTCATCACACCACATATCTCGGCAAAGACTCCGCAAGGCTACGGATCGGACGCGAACTCTCCAGATCCAACGCATACCAGAGACACTCCTTCGCACGCGTCAACCGGCCCGTCGCCTCAAACACCTTGCCCAAGTAGAACCATGCCTCCGCACAATCCCATCCAAGGCCCTTCGTCGTCGTCTCCAACACTCCCTCCGCCATCTCCATCGACCCTGCATCCAGATACGACCGACCCACCCGCGCCAGACATGTGGGGTGATACGGTGCTAACGCCAGTGCCTTCGAAAACGAAACCGAAGCCGTTTCCTGATCACCCTGCGCAGCGTACAACAAACCCAACTAGTCAGATCGTAATAAAAAAAGAAAAGAAAAGAAAAAGAAATAGAGAGGGTCAGACTCGTAACTACAAAAAAAAAAAAACTATCGCCTTGTGAGACACAACAACGAAATCCAAAATCGTACCTGGTACCAGACTTCAGGATTCGAGGCATCGACACGTTCAGCCTCCTCAATCGACTTTGACGCGTCCTCCATCTTGCCGAGTCGCCGAAACGTTGACGCAGACAACAGCCACAGGGTGACCAGCACCTTGTTGGACCTTGCTGTGCGCATCACCGATTTTGTTGTCGCGCGTTGCTGCACCATAATTGGGAGACTGAGCACAGACCGGATCAAAGAAGTATTCCCAGGTGCTGCTACTCCTGCTGCAGCTGCAGCTGCAGCTGCAGGTGGAGGAATACGTCGGTTCTTGGAATTCGTCGACCCAACTGAAGATGCGATCGATGACGCGTAGTTGGGTTTGGGGACATCTACAGATCATATTGTCGAGCATCGCAACGGGTTAGGACCAACAGAAAAAGAGGACCCTTGTTTCCATAAAGAAGCCATTCCTGTGATGAACCCCCACTTACCGAGACTGTTGCTATATACTCCATTCGGTACCGGTGCAATATCGGACGTCACACCATTCCTACTCCGGGAGCTCAAGATGCTACCCGCGCGAGCACGTCCCGTCACGGCCGGTCCAGAAGCAATATCCACATCACTCTGATTCCGTCGTCGAATATTCTGAATATCATAAAGACTCTCACCCATGGAGCCCGGTTCTGCCGCAAACACCTTCGTATACAGCCCAAATAACAACTCTTGAGGCTGCAATGCAGATTCCGGTCCATGAACATGGTCCTGAAGAACAGCCTGAGTAATTCGCAGCGACAAATACTCCTCACCATCCGCCTGCGAAGCCGAGAACCCATCCGTTTGAGCAAGGTCCCACTCCGATTCCTTCAAGCCCACGGCGCAGATATCCAGAGCACGTCTGTAATCCTTCTGAGATGAAAGCAACAGAGCCAAGAGATGCCACGACGGAATATGGGAGGGGTTGATACTCAGACTCTGCTTCACCGCCAATATTGCCTTTGGAATCTCCCGCATCTCCCCCAGCTGGAGTGCAAGCAAGTAGTGGCCCTCAAACGCCAAGGGCAAAATCTGAATCGCTTTTGCAAGTGACTCTGCGGCCTTGGCATAAAGACCGGGCCGCTTTTCTGGTTCGTGCGCTGTTATGGAGATGAATGAGGGAGAGTTGCTTGCCACGTTAACCAAACATCCTCTCTTTTTTGTAAGTCACTGGCATTTGTTAAAAACAGGTGCTTACTCTGAGATGCCTGCAGTCCATACGCGACTCCCTGATACTTGTAGGCATTGTTGAGGAGCTCCTTGATTTCCTCGTGTTGCTGAAGGTGCCGGTGGATGTGATCCAGGGCGTTACTTGCGCACTTTAGGGCCTCATCTGCCTTATTCAACTCCCTGCCGTAGAGCAGAGACCCTGCGACCATAACTGTCGCAACGTCGTATTTGGACTCGATGTCCAGTCGAACACGGTCCTCGTGGGTCAAGGCCTCATCCGCAGGGACGATATTAGCCTTTGAGTTGATCTCGACCATATCCAGGTATGCCTTCAACGCCAGCTCGGCCTCATCGTACTGACCCATCTCAACAAGCGCAAAGAACAAAAAGCGCATGATCCGCGGTGACTGGAACGTCTTTTGGGAGGCCCGATAGATAGTCTAGGATCGATTTGTAAATGAAAAAGCAGAATCCCGTTGTGTTAGTGCCATTCTCCCATCGTAGAGTAAGAAGTCATCCTATCGAGAAATCAGCTTCACGCGCGTTACCTCGACTAACGCTCGCTTGTCGGCATCGTTGCCTGGTCCCAGCAACTTGCGATCCTCCATGATCTGCTCAATCATCACCAAGATCCGCCAGTTCTTTTCATCCGCCCTTGGGAACCTTGTGATGGCGTAGAGTGCGTCCTCCCAATAGGCATGAATCTGCGCCATCTCCAGACCTATCACCGCAGGATATAATTGCGATGGATCCCTATTGGTAAGAATGTAATGAGTGGAGATATCAGCATCCTGCTTATTCTTTCACAGCAACATGACTAATGCGTCGATCTGCCATACAGCAAGACTTACTCGTCTCCATTGGCGCTCCCACTTGTGATGCTCTGGTACGTAGACATCTTGAATGACAAAGAGAGTGTCTGGGAAAAGTGACGATAGAGACTTGCGCGTCTTGGCAGTCTGAAATTGACTGGCCACGATAATGCCTGGTTGTGATACATTCTAAATGAACGAATGGCTGCCAACTGGTCCCTGTAAAGGCGAATAGATATCGAAAGAGGATGAGAATGCGGACTCTTGTCGCTCCTGGTTGTTTTCGGCAGAGGGTTCTTCCCGAAACCGGTCCGAACAAAAAAAAAGAAAAAAAAAAAAACTTACCCAAGACGCAGCTTCAATAAGCTGCCCCTGTACAGCGCATGCTCTGTCCATGAGAACAGCTCTTCGCTCTTTTCATTGGGACTAGACTGGATCAGGTTTGAGACGTGGTCATAGAAAACAATAGCTTCCGGGACCCTGCCCTCTTCCTCCAATACTTTTCCTTTAACCGTCAGTCCGCAGGCCATCAATGCCAAATTGTATCCAGTCACGATTTTGGTTGGAGGGAGCTGGATGTTTTGAAGATAGTGCGAGACTCTCTGAAGGCGATCTGGTGCGTTTGTGGCCAAGGCTGCTCGTGCCAATACTATCGCGGCATACTATTTCTCAACACATTGCGATAAGCGTGAACCAAGTTAGCAATCGCGAGCGAACCTGCCAAAGACACAATCTCAGAAATAGCATAGCTTATTCTTTTCTCACCTCCTGATGCTCCTCAGGTCCCTTGGGCAGCGATCGCTCAAGCTTCTCCACTGCATCCTGGATCGCCTCCGGTTGGATGCGTGGACTGTCAGCAATTGACTCTGGGGTATCATCCAAGGAGACCATGTACGTCCATTGCTGAGCCCTCTGGGTTTTGATCTCTGCTTCGCCGACTGCCATCTCCAGCATGGCCGAGTTTGCTAATACTGTTTGGGTTGGTTCAGTTCAACAAAGAGCGTTAATGATGCTGCAACACTCTCACGAAAATATACAGGCAATTGGACGCCGCTGTGGCTCTCTAATCTCCCATATCCTTGATGAGGTGAGCAGACAATAAGTTATAGCGCTGCCAATCGCAGGTCAGAGCCTCAAGGCGATAAGAATACTGGCGGGCTGTTCCTGAAATAATGACTGTGTCCGTGATAGTGGTGAGATTGTCAAGGGGATACAACAGCAATACCCCTGTTCATCACTGACAGATCCCCCCCTCCTCCCCCACGAGTCCCTGAAATCCTGTGCCTCTTGCTCAGCTGAGTTGTCTCATTGTCCAGCTGGTCTGTCGTACACTCCTTAGACGAGTTCCTATTTGGACTCTCTTCAGTTTGTCGAGGGTAGCCCGGTGTGAGCAAGGAAGGTCAAACAAAGAACACTTCATTACCAACACCATCCTTGTTGTGCTTGACGTAGCGACGGGCAAACTCTGGGAAGGCAGCATAGTTGGCCCTGGCCCTGGCATTCTGGAAGTCGCGCTCGATAGTCTGTGCTTTGGAAGACAGGGTCATAGTCGGTGCGCGGAGGTAAGAGGGTGAGCAGTAGGGATTAAGGTGATGGGAGAAAACTTTATAATAAGAAGGGTACAGTCGAGGTGGTTAGCTGCAAGAGACAGCTGGTAGGGAGAGGGGTAAGGGTGGGGGGGGGGGGGGGGGGGGGGGAGAGATGGGGATTCAAGTTGAGGAAGAGAAAGAGATGAAGGAAGAGATGTAGAGGTGAGATGGACCAGAAGGCATGCGAGAAAACGACGAGTGCGATCAACAAACTGTCGGCAGCAGCGACCCCAAATGAAATTACTGGATGATTATTTTTGGCCAATAGACATAGACAAATGATTCTATGTGGCTGCATCAAAAGAAAACGCGCGCATTAGGGAACAGGCAGGCACCTTCAAGGTTTGCCACCAATTGGATACCACATTCCGGTGCGATCTCTCTTTCAGACGCCTCTATAAGCATCTCTCCCTCCCACGCACACTTCTGATTGTTGAAGGTTGAAGGAAGGGAGGGGACCAGGAACCTTTCTTTGCCCACCACATATTTCTATCGCTTCATCGCCACTCACAGCGGTCAATGACCCTACATTGATGGGAATATTTGGACAATAGGTTTACTTCGTAGGTTGTCCGCAATGCCATTCTTGTGCAACGATCCTCTTCTTTATACTTTGACTCAATTTCGCTGTGTCCTTTCTTGCCCACCTCTCCCCCTTGAGAGCACGCACACAAACTTGTTTCTATTTGTGCGCGTGCTTGCTCTTGTTTGTGTTGCGGAATGTGCAAGAATGAGAAAACGCGGTTTCACTGTGGAGAAGAAGCGGGATAGTGCACCACCAAGCACCAACTTGCAAAGCGCTCATGACCAATGGGGCGTTTCCAGCAGCAATTGTTTGCTCCATTCAAGAAACTCCGGAATGTCTGTAATCCATGCAGTCGCTTTAAGAGGTGTGCTGTACAATCCTCGGTTCAAGAAAAAACGACTTGGCTCTTTGAAGGTCTCCTTTACTGCGAAGAAGCCCGGGGAGATTATGAGTAATGCTGATACAATTCAGCTGAAGCACATTTGACGTTACAAAGCAGCAATTCACACCGGTTCCAGTCAGATTTCTTTTCAATTGCTCGAGGAGTACAGCACAGAGTTAATAGTATATTCGTGTGATGGATGCAGTAGGAGTGAAAGACGTATCAACAAGGTCGACTTGTTTGTGAAATGTACAAATATCGAGGATCACTTCAGACAGCAACAGGCTCCCATGCTGCCAATTCTTGCTCCACTCGGATCAAAAATGGATCGTTGATCAAGCTTCCAAGTCCCATCAGCGACTTGCTGCCACTGGATTCACTGCTCTCATTGCTGAGGCTCCTCTCGAGGGCGTGTCCGTTGGTCGCATCGCTGGTAAACGATCCTTCCATAAAGTCCTGGCCATTGGGCTCGACGCCATCCATCGATGTCTCGTTGTCAGGAGACTCCGAGGTCGAAATGATTTCGCCCGCAGTGGAATCCTTTGGTGCGTTTAACTCTTCTTCGGCCTTCTCACCCACAACATCAGCCATTTCCGTGGCGTCTGATTCCAGTGCGACGTTTGAGTCGTCTGCAGTCCCTGCATCGTCTGAGCTGTCTTTGCTGTCCTTACCCTTCAGCAAGCTGTTCTTCAGCCACGGCATGCGCCTTCCGAGCGAGACGAGCATTTTCTGAAGCTTGGTCTCTGATTCTTCATGTCGCCATTGCTCCTTGAAGTTTATCCTCTCGGGCGAGTCCCTGTACTCATCAAAAAGCTTTGTCTGTTGATGAACATAGATTATCTATTGTCAGTCATGCTTCATTTACAAAACATAAAATCATTTGACAATGTATTGAAACGAGGGAATAAAAACATTACCCATGTTCCCATTTCTTCCTCAGGCAATTCGGCATCCTCGATCAAGTCATACAAGAGTCGCTTAGGGTGGCCGCGTTCCTGAGGCAACTGGCTGATGTAGAACCAGTTGATGACAGAGGACAAGCCAGGCAAATGTTCATCATACGGGCCTATCAAACAGCAAAAACGGTCAAGTTAATATTAACATACTTTGCCACGCGATCCGAAACTGAATATTGATTCATTATCCATACCAACAATGGCCCCTACGAACGGTTCCTCGTTCATAGATTCGTCCTTGAAGAGGCTCTGGTAATTGGTCTGATTCTCAATGTCGACCAAGGATGGATCTGGAGTAAAGGTGGGATGCGAATGATACCAGCCTACGATCCTCATGTTCTTCTTTTCAATCTCTTGTCGCACCTCAAACTCAGATGTCGGGTCCATCTCGACATTGATATGGTTTTGACCAGTTGGCAGAGAGCGGCAAGGAAAAATAGCCTTGATGTGGATGGTCCTAGTTGCTACATCCCATTCACCTGCAAGGAACCCGATAATCTCTGAGGTCATCAGGTGAGCGTGGAAATCCATGCCCAAGAGAACGTTTGACTGGACTTTGATTCCAAATGGTTGGCAACCGAGCACACCCGAGTTGGGCTGTCCACAGAATGGCTCGCACTTGACCATGGTGAGGGGATCCAGGTCGGCTGCTGCTTGGCGATAATTGATAGACGGACGTTCCCTGACATTACGAAGTCTTGCTTTGGAGTAGTCTGTCCTTCCTGCGTATGCCAGGTCTGATAATGAGCTAGATGACTCCTTGGTTGGCTTCGTGGGCTTGCGTCTAGATGAATCGTGGATGGAAATAGCGTTTATCAGTATCCTCCCCCTGCTATCCTTCGACCGTAACAAAATACACTCTATTACAATTCAATACATACATTCTCAGCTCCTTCATCTCCTTTACAACAGCATCCTTCGCGCTTTCCTTGACATTCTCTGCGGGCACTGCCGCCTTTTTCTCCTTGGCCAAGGCCCTCTCAGCTTTCGCTAGCGCCCCAGATTGCGGTGTGAAGATGGTACCGCCCTGAGCAGGAAGGAGAGAGGGATCGTCCAGTGCCCTCTGTGATAGATATGGGCGCGCAGCAGACGAATATGGGTCAAGATCGTTTCCAGAAAGAGTGTATCCAGGTCCTGTCTCCAGCACTTTGGGTGGGAGGGGTATGTTGTCCCTGAATAGTTTGATAAAGTGTTTCTGTGCATGACTCCTGATAGAATTGGCGTCGCGTGTCGCAACGTGTTCTTCCACCTAGCAATAATAGAGGTAGAACAAAGATGCGTGCACCTCCAGATGAGTATCAGCTGTATAAATATGCGCGAGCCATTGCCAAATTAATATTCAGATTGAGCCACAAAAGTCAGCTTACACGGCGCCAGTTACGACCAAATATATCAAGAGCCTCCACAAATGCCCTCTCTTCCACATCTGAGTATACACCCGTATTGTACACGGCCGTCTTTGTTGTAGGCGCCGTCTCCTTGATTTTCTTTTCCTTGGGTGGAGCGGCAGGAGTGGACGACGTCACGGACGTTGATGCTGGAACTTTTGTGCTCTGGTCATCCATCGAGGCCTTGGACACAGGCGGGTCTGCAGAATCCGCTACGACTACGGTGCTGTCGCTGGTACTTGCTGTGTCAATGGTCGATTCTGATGCGTTGGTGACAGCAGCCTTTTTAGGGGTCGGCTTCGATGGCGGCGGCGGTGGTGGAGGCGCTTTTTTTGTCCTCTTCCTCGCATGCCCTCCTGCAGAACATGGACAGAAAATCTTGACGTTAGTCAATGGGAATATTTGAATGAATATGTTGCTGGGAAAGTGGGTGTCATAAAAGCGACATACCGCTACGTCTGCTTTTGGACTTTGGCCTATAGTTGTAGTCATTCCTATAGTCGTCATCATCGTCCGAGTAGTCCGCGTCTCCCAGGCTGCCATAGTTTGTATCGTTGTTGTATTCCGCGTAATATGCGTGATCATCGCCACCTTCTTGGGCAAGCAGTTGAGCAATCAGGGCAGAGCTCATTTCTTCCTCTTCCTCTTTGCTCAAAACCTTATCGCTCGTATCGGCCGCCGATGCGGAGTGATCATCGAGTTTTTGCCGCTTGTTGGACTTGGATCCCATGGCTACAGCTTTCTTGGGAGGCATCGAGATTAGGTCAATGAGGGTCTGTGGCAGAATGACAAGTAGAGGACCTAGTCGCGCGCGCTCCAACGGAAATGCACCCCCCCCAAAAAAAAAAAAAATCACTTCGCGTGACGTCAATATATGTGAAAATCCAGGAACCGTTTCTCAGGAACGCGTTTTATTCTGGCATCAGTTAATCAACCCTCGCTACAAGGAACCCGAAGTCGATGAAGGCCGGGAAAGGTACCATACATGTATGTATGTATGCCTTCCCGAATAAAGAAAGAAAAAAAGCGCCCCTCAAAGTATATGCAGCTGAAAGAGACCAGACTTTCAGCTAAAGTTACAGAAGGTTCTCAGGAATGCATCCTGATCAGCGGCATGCGATAATTCTATGTTTTATAGATGCTGGAGGTGTAGATCTGCTCATGAGACATCTTGGACGATGTGCAGTGCCTAACCACTCTGGAGCACAAAGTGTCGGTACTTCGGAATAGTCTCCACTGTAATAAGCACTGCTTAGGTGAGCACTGGCGTAATCATGTCTAGGCCCTTCCTTGCTGTGTTGCGGGTGGTTCTCCCCGGAGGCACTGCAGACCAACGAAATTAAATCACCGGCCCGCCGGTCTGCTTAAATTGATGGCGCTCGTGCCTGGTTAACAAAGCACCGCCAGTGTTCTAAACCGCAGCGTAAACTTTCATTTGCCCCACCGAAACTTCCACTAACATGTATCCCATCAGGGGAACGCGGTTGCCTGTTGTTTCGGAGAGCAACCCTTGACATAAGGTTGGTTCTTGTGGTAGGGTTCCGATCTGGGATAGAAAAAAGAGGTGTTACATGGATTCATGCAACCATATATGTTTCCGGCAATGCGCCACAACGGGTAATCGATGACTCTCATGGGACGAGCGGGAACAGTTGGCATAGGAGCGGGACCAAATCCTCAGGACCTCCATGGTTCGTGCGACACAAAAAATAACAATAAAAGAGATGGAACAATCTCCATTATGCACCACATCTAGGGCAGAGGCGCACTCCACACCTTACATACTGTGCAGCTCATACACACCAATGCAGGCCAGTCCTACCCTGCCTCCCGGTGTTCTTGGGCCCCTATCCCATCCTCCTCGGAGAGATTTTTTATTTTCCCATCTTTTTTAGTTTACGTTTGCTATCTCGGTTGTGCTCACAGGGCTCGCGCCCCCTTCTCTCTCTATGTCCCTTCAGTAAGCCATGTTTGACAAGCAGCGTCATACAGACATGTCTGTCCCGCCCAGGCGCAGTCAAGTCAATGCCCAATGGGTCACCAGGTGTATGGGATTGGGTTTATTAATAGCGCGCTCTCTCTTGTCGTTCAGTGAGTCGACAATCCGTCTACGTACGTTCGAGTTGTGTTTCGACCAGAGGTGACACTGAACACAAACAACGTGCTCTGATGGGCTACACGGTGCGACGCAAAGGGCTCCTCGTCTTTTGCAGCAAGCAGGCGCACGAATGGAGGACTGGAGAATTGGATGTGCTGGATGCAACCAAAGATAAAGCCCACTGAGCGAGCCCCATCTCTTTTTTTTTTTTTTTTTTTTCAGGAACCAAATGAAAAATTTAAACCTTACTGTATATACACACTGCCCTGTCTGGCGCCTAGACAAGTGAGCCGTATGGGTCCCAGATCATGATTACCCCAGCCGGTTTCCTTTCCCACCCTCCTTTATTGCTCCCGAGTCCCGAGAGACTAAAGTCATGAAAAACAAACAAAACCTCCATTCAAATTACACAGTAGCCATCTCTGGTGCGATGGTGTGTTTTCGGGCAACCAACACCTGGCCTAGATTCATGTTTAGCCCTGATGTGTGCGTTCCAAACCTATCAACGTCGTCATTTTCCCCCTCCCCTCTTCTGCTGGCGCCTCCCTTTCTTTTTTTTTTTCTTTTCCTGTGCAGCAGATGTTTTGTTGATAAGGGAGGGAAGCATGGTAGTCAGGGTTATCTTGGGCGTGACCTAATGATGCGTTTGTACAGGATGGGGATGACGACCCATGGGTCCTTTGGGAGGTGTTTGTTTTGTTGATGAGGGCCATGCTGTCTGTCGCTCGGTATATTGGTCCGTACTGCAGTATGTCGGTGGGCGGTCTACATGGTGTCGGTCGCTCAATAGAGTTCCTTCCCCCCTGTGCTCATGCTCACGTCCGTTCGCTGGTCACATCAAACACTCTTTTGCACGCCAGAATACACATGCACCGGAGCGCACGAGCTCGTTTTGCGTTGCCATGCAGCGTGAGATGGTATAAGCTCCACTTTAATAAATAGTAATGAGAGGGGCGGGTTTGTAAAGAGGAGGAATAGGAAAGTTTTATTTGTTCTAGGGATGTCTACATGTATGGCCCTATACCGCGTTTGACATAGTGCAAAGCTTCATTCATTCCACTTGCCCCTACACACCGACCCAACCTGCGTTCCTTTCTCGCCTTAGACAAGCATCCATGGTCACTTTTTCTCTTTTGCTGGGTCCATCCTTGTGTAGGAATGAATCAGGGAGCGGGGAACGCACATGCAAGGCTGTGTAGGTGGGCAGACAAGACAGACAGGCAGTGTGTCGAGGCCCCTCCCCCTTCCCTTGGGTCCACCTCTGCTCTCAGCCGGGCTGCATTGTGATGTACCCAAGCCATCAGGGGACATGGCTTTTTCTTACAAATCCAGATGTTGCCGTGTGTCCAGTGTTGTGTTGTCCTGTTGGTGATGTGTGTCGACCTTAGCGCCCGAATGCAGTGAATGAGCTGTTTATATTGGATTGTTTAATGGTGGATGGGATGGGACCGATCGATCGCCCTGTATTCTATTTAATTGAATGAGTAGAAAGGGAATCGTAAACAAAAGGACAAGACCATCGCATCGCATCCATGCCCAGGAGTAGTCATTCCTCCCAACCCAGCCCTGCCCTGCCCTGCCCTGCTGTCCCCATGCCCAGCCCTTCCCAGTGCTCCTGCTCCCAATGCTCCTGCGCGATGCTTTTATGCTTTACTTTAACATCTCTTTCTTGAGCTGGCTGCAGTTGGTCTTGGTTTTCCTTGGAGGTGCTCTGTTGCCTGTATGGTGCCCCTATCATGCGCTCTTAGCCAAGAAAAAAAGGAAAAAAAGGTATCAGAGAGGAAGGGCTCAGAGATACCGATACCACGGCGGGTGCAAAGGATGTATAGACTACCAATCCAATTCAGGATTAAATCAATAGCTGGGTTGTTATTCAATACAGTCTGGTAGCACTCCCTCCCGAAAAAATGATTCTGTTCGATCCCACACGGCTTACGACCGATGATGGGGTAACCAGCTCTCCGCCCTCCGTCCGGCGACCCACCACCCCTTCCCTCTTCCCCCGTCACCTTCCCTCTCTTTCTTTTCTTTATCTTTTCCTTTTCCTTCTCTCTTCCCCCTCCTTCCCCTCTCCCCACCCTCCTCCTCCCCATCCCCACCCCTACACCGCCTTCTTATTCACGGACCATCTCCCCTGTTCCCCCACTGTGCACCATCCTCGTACCGCCATATACCATACTACCATCCACCAACTCAACGGCGACCATCTCCACACACTCGCACTCGCACTCGCACTCTCTCCGTCCCCGCCGCACCGTACACACGCCACCAATATCATACACAGGCACACAGGCACACCTCTTCATCAGGTACACTATACTCTCTCTCTCTCTCTCTCTCTCCCACACACAGCAGCAGCACACCTCTCTCACTATCCTGGCCCATGCTCTTCGCTTTTTATCAATTATCCCGCCTCCCTGTCCTTCTTTCTTCCTCGTCCAATTCACACCTTCACATACACAAGAAGGATGCAATTGGCCCAGTAGAAGCTTGAGCTTCCCCCTTGCCTCCCTTCTCGGTGCCGTCCTCATTCACTCGCCGTTGGAACACTTTTTTTTTAGTATTATTTGCTTTCCTGACCGTAGTCACTGCCACATTTACTTTTCTGGATATTCGCCCTCTAGGCATGGGCGTTGGCTTTACCTCTTGTCGGCGCTTTTTTTATTTTTTATTTTTTATCCCCCGCTCTCTATCCCACTTCCTGTCTATCCCCTCTTCGCACGACTGTGCCCCGCGCCGCCACCTTCCAGGTCACCCGCAGCGCAGACCAAAAATTCAATTGTTTATTTCCCTTTTTTCCTGGGGGGTGGGGGGTGGGAGTCGGGTTCGGGCTCTTTATCTGCCTGGGTCCAGCCTCAGGCCGATTCCTTTTCTGTACGCGTGCCGACTTTGTTAGACACAACCGACCGGGGGCGGCATAGACCACAAAATTTTTCTCGTCCAATCAACTCGCCTTCAGAGCCGGCCTGGATCTAAACACTGCTTTGCTCTTTTATTTCATGGTGTAACTGGTCCCAACTCTTGCAGCTGTATTCGTAATCGACGAGAGGCGGCTGTTGCTGACTATGCCGGAGGGGATCTACATTGTCAGGCGTAACACACGTACCTGTATCACACACTCCTGACTAACCATATATCTTTCTGCTTTTTATTATACTTTAACAGTGCACATCCACTCATATACCATCCAACATGAAAGAAATGCGAGAAATGCGTGGCGATATGCGCGCTGAGATGCGTGCCGAGATTCGCGACGTTCGTGAGATGAACAACAACACAGCACAAGAGGTCACATCCATCACGGAGCTACAGTCAATGTTGGCACGGTTCTGGGATGCACATTCCCGCCAATTCAGAGGTAGGTGTAGAAAATGGCCAGGAAAACAGACGCATTGGAAGGACCGGCTTCAAAAAGACAGGTTACTGACTTGCATAAATTGCATCCTGTCGTCTTTCGCTGTGCTTCATCTATTCATCTGCTCCTATTAGAAATCGAGAGTTCATTAACCGGCCAACTTTCCACACTCATTCAAAAGAATGGGTTCCTCTGCCAAAAGATTGAAAATCTGCAGCGCATTAACACCGATCTGGAATACAAGTTTTCTATCACTACCTCGGAGCTCGAGAGGGCACGGAGGGAGTATTCCGAGCTACAAGCAAAGTATGAGCTCCGGAATGCGAATTACAAGGACCTTAAGGATGTCTGCTACCAGCTCGACGCTCAGCTCTGCAAGAAGAACGGCACCAATCCAGAGGAGTCCATCATGTCCCGTATGGAATTGGCATCCGCCGATCGTAAGAAGCGTCGACTCTCGGTGGATTTGACCGAAGGGGATTCTGATACTGGATTCTCTCCTTATGAGGAGAACGAACCGGCGACAGCCTCGGTAGTGCCACCTAGCATTCGCTCTATCGTCCCCATGGGCGTCCCAAGGCCAGTATCACCACCCTCAGCCGGCACTACCCAAAGTACATGGACATGTCTCTGGAAGAACTGCAACCAAGTGTTCACGGCGCTCGATTGGTTGGTCAGTCATGTTGAAGAGCAACACATTGGTCTGGGCAAGGTAATAACCGCATTTCGCCTATTTAACAAAATGTATATATAGAAAAAGAAGATACAATACTGATCTGGCCTTCATTATTATGCTTCTAGTCACAATACACTTGCGAATGGGAGAACTGCGTCGTGAAGCAGAAGCCGTTCCACAAGCACCATCAGGTGATACGCCATATGCGGACCCATACTGGCGAGAAACCCTTTATCTGCAATGTCGAAGGCTGCGGCAAGAAGTTTGCCCGGTCTGATTCTCTTTTGGAGCACTCACGCAAGCACAACGGTACCCCTGTGGACTATTACAGGATGATGGAGATTAGCTCGCAGCGCGAACAGGACGCCAAGCACCTCAACGGCCTCATGTTGCAAATGGACACGATCCAGGAACATCAGTCGCATCTCGAGAACGGCGGCGGATCCGACCAGATGGGTGGCGGTCCTGGTGCTGACAGTCGCTCGAGCAGCCCTTCGCGTGATCAGCGCCCGTCTGAGCAGCAATCGCAGCAGCAGTACGGACCGGCGGGCCAACCTGGAGCTTCTGAGCCCATCGACCTCGACTCTACAGAGGGTCTGGAGCATCCCAGCAGGGACATGAACGCCTCTGTGTCCCGCGAGGGCATGTCATATGGACCTGCACCCTCCGCCCAGCGTGAACATCACCGTCCGGATATGCCTAGCCCCTCCCATAACACTGGCCACCCCTCTCAGCATGGCCCCTATCATCCGGGTCAGGCGCAGCATCAGCATCAGCATCGGCCACAACAGCCTGCCCACCCACAATATTCCCAGAGCATGCCACGCGATCAGTCGGACATGAGGCCGTTGCACAGGGGTCGCGGACATGCGCATACCTCATCTCTCGGCATGTCAAGGATGGAAATCCAGGATTTGGCGCGTCCGAGAGCGTTTGGACACTCACACTCTCGCTCAATGGACTATGGAAGAATGGACTCAAGACCTCCCTTCCATCCCGGCGACATTGGCCATTCCCAGACGCCTTCTCTTGATTACTCCCGCATGGACATGAGTGCATATCAGCGTAAGGACCGCGGACATTCCCACACGCCCTCTTTGGAGATGCCTCCGATCCCAGGTCAACAAATGCACCGCCTGGACGAGCGTCGATCAGCTCATCATGGCTACGTGACGGCAGACGAACAGCAGATGCGCCACCAACACCATCTCCAGCAGCAGCAGCAACAACAGCAGCAGCACCAGGCTAGCCAGCAGCCACAGTTCCATGGCTCTCAGTCGCAAAAGGGAGCGTACACACATCTTCCACGCCAGCGACACCCTCAGGAGCACCAACATGACCAGATGACCCAGCAGCAATTGAAGCAGCAACATCAGCAACAGCCTCAACAACAGCCGCAGCAGCCTAATGAGATGTCAAATGATTCCGCAGCACCAGAGCAGGCGGACTCGCCCATCTCGAGCCCCACGCCAAGAACGCCACAGTCGAGCACGCAAGAGGAGTCATTGGCAGGAGGTCTCGCTGGTGCAGCTGAATTGTGCGCGCGCTCATCGGTCGGTCCAATGGAGGAGGATGCCAAGAGCGCTGTCGCTGTTGTGTAAAAGCGCTCGATACGGGGGTGAATATCAGGATTTACTTTTTATGTGTTTGCATTGTTTCTTCTTTTTTTCTTCTTTTCTTTCTTCCCTTAACCTTTGCCTTTGTTGTTATGTTCTGTTCTTGAGCCGATGTTCATGCTTCTGCTTGCTTTCTTTCTCTTTCATTTCGGTTTCCTCTCTCTCTCTTTCCCCATATACCACTTCTTCTGTCTTCATTCTCTCTTTGCTTGTGATATATACAATACCATTTCACTGTCTCTTTGCTCCTGTACTCTTTTTTTTTCACTATGTCTTTCTTTCACGTCTTTCTTTTGTTTTCGCCACCAAAAAACCCCCCTACCCCTTGCACACAGAAAAAAAGCTGCTTTGAAACGAAATGTCTTGCAATAAATAAGAAATTGAACATCCTTTTACTTTGCAATGAAACTTGCTCCGCGATGTAATGTACAAGCTAGGGCCTTTTCTTTTGACCGCCCTTGAGGCATGGCGGTAATTGGTAATGTTCAATACGCTGTCCTCGAATAGGTCGGACAGCCCGATAGGCGTCCCTGCTGCCCTTGCATTGCAATGTGTTAATGGGCCAGTCAATAATAAAAATGTCGTGCGGCCTAGAAAGCATAGCATATCAACAAAGAGGAGCTACAAGGAAAAGCATCATAGCCGGCCAAGCGTAGACAAGTAGTAAAATTGCTGTAAGTTTGACCAACTCAGTTCATATGCCGCCTTACGGCCACCTCTGGGGACTCCTTTCTCTCGCGGGAAGGGGGTCTCTGTATTGGCCGCCTTTAACCAAAAGGAGTTTCCTAGCATGGGGTTCCACCCCTGATACATCCGCTCTCCGAAAGTTCCATGAAACAATCGTCCAATGTTATTATTGACAGGGCAACGTATTTGTATGTACAAAGAATCTGTAGAAGCAGCCGCGAGTCGAGCAGTGGTGGTGTTCCCTTTATCTTTTTTGTCCGCACCTCACTTCCATCGAGATGAGGTTTCCCTTTTTGATAAAGCGTTGGACGGAAGGAAATGAACATTTAGTATTCCGTCGTTGTGCTGAAGCGATAGAGTATAATAAACATGTTTAATAACTGTCTTGATGATCCCAATCCTTCATGTCCTCAGGAGGAGCCTTTGGAGGAGGATGTCCGCGGAGTTCCTCCAGTGCTCAGTGTTATATGTCCCAAGCGCCGCCCTTGTGCTCTGTATACCTAACCAGACATTCAGCCATACTCCTTCTTACTTTTCTGCACTGTACTTGATGCTCATCTATTCCCGTCTGTCTTTTTCGGCGAAGTTCCTCCACTTGATAATACAGGAAACTATCAGATATCTTGATTGGCTCACCCTCCACACGCATGGTAGGTCGGTGAGCGTAGTCCATGGTGAGATTTGATCTTTGGTACGTTTCAGGCTGTTGAATTTCTCCTCGCGCCATCGCGCTGTCAATCCGTCAATGTCCCTGCTGAACCCCTGCCGCGACTGCTCAATGGATGATATTTTTTCCTGCCTCTATTACCATTATCGTTGTCCCAAAGATAGACCTACACGTTTATGAAGACGTCCTTCCCATCACTCAAGCGCTTCCTTTCTGCATTCCAGGCACGCGTAAATCGCTCTTTATAGTCGTCACTGAAAATAGGTCGGAAGTTCTTCTGGGTAGTGCTGTTCGTAGGCTGCACATACGGGGTAGGTTCAGGCCACTTCAGCGTTTTATCCTTTAGGGCGTCTACATACATCTTCACACGTCCCAGCAGAACGAGAAAGTTATCACCTGCTTTGAAATGTTTCCATGTGGGAGTGAACCAATTCTTGACCGCGTGACAATGGATAAGCGGATCGCCTTCCCGATGGTGCAATTTGATGTGGACCTATTCTAGAAGTTCCAAGGAGTGTTGGACTCGGTCGAAGAATCCTCAAATGAGGAGGAAGCGGAGCGGGTGTCCTGTGGAGAAGGCTCCGGAACCCTGGAGCTTGTCTTCAGAGACAGGGATAACCGGTACGGTTGCTGCCTGGAAGGAGAGGAGGGGAGCTTAGTGAAAGACATCGTTGGTGTGTGTGAAGACAAGGGTGCAGGGGCGGTGTTTGTTCATAAAATTTAATAGTAGCCAAACCAATTTAACTAAGCTTGGCTAGGATTGGTCTGAAGGGCGCCTCCACCTCCGACGAACCAAATTTTCACTTGGAAAGTCTCACTTTCATCATTTACGAAGGGGGACGAAGCTGCCTCATTCACTTGCAGCTCCCGGGGGTTTATTTTTTATCCGCTTCAGCCATTACCCTTGGTTAGTGGGGCCCACCTCAAATCATCCTACTTAGTTTAGTGAGTATGGTGATCAGTACTCGTCGGAGGTATTGTCTCGAGCTACTTGTTCATCTGCTCCCTGATTTATCCGACTCGGCTGCCTCGGACTTACTCATAAGATCCGCCCCTGCTCTCCTTTGTCTTCAAGGCAGTCGCCTTTATTGTTCTCTCTTCTTGTAATCAAGATCCTGATCTGGATTTGTACCTAGCCACCCGCTGTCATGAAAAAAAAGAACCTGGTTCGCCATTTCGATGAGCTCAGGAGCGTGCGATATTCCCCCAAAGGTAAAAAACAGTTACGATCATGCCACTTAGCATATATCCTTGAGAATTTAAAATAAATGTAGTGGCCATGTACAGTTTCATGTCATATAAGACAATGAGCGACGTCCCTTTGAGCAGGCCCACTGGCACAAAACGATGTAAATGGTATAGAAAATGAAATATATGTACCTGATGTATTCATAGCAACAATAAATCTAACAACGGGAGCATTTACTCCACAGTACAGAGATACAAGCTGCTGTGTTCCTGTACTGTTTCTGTACCTCACTTGCGGGCCATGTACCTCACATTCAAACTCAATTGTTGATGTTTCAGCGTGTTCTTGACGCGTGCATTGATTTGGGCGCAGTAGTATCGCTCACGTATCTTTTTTTTTTTTCGTGATTAAGCTTCATTGTCGTTTTCTGAGTCTAACATTGGATGGGCCAACGTTTCTTAGCTCACTTCTATCGATGCATCCAATGCCTACTACTCTTAATCAATGCAAGACCTACCTTGCGCTGCGGAAGGTACGCTTTCGGCTATACACTTTATGCACTAGGTATACAAATACAAATGTATGGACTGCAAGCAAAACAAGCAATAAAAAGACATTTTGTGATGCAAGATACGAAGGTGACTCCAGCGTCAGTGTGCTTCGGGCACTCAAGCTTGCCAAGTCTGTCGTCTTCAATCGAACAGTAGCAAAATTCATCAGACTAGATATTGGCTACAGTGGAGTAGTTGGGCTGGCACAGCCAAGGCAAGTGTCGTTGTTGGGTAGAGAAGTACGTTTTTCCGCGCGACTGATCTAGATATCTTGATCCATGGGCTAATTTGATTCTGTTCTACTCCTCTCTAGGTTGAGAAGAAACTTATTCCTGATCTCTCGAACCCAGACGGGTGGCGCGACATCAAAGCCCTCATTGCTAAGTGGTGCCCCGGAGGAACGTCAAGTACGCCGGACACAGGCTTTTTAGGGCAAGGCACAAAATGATTCTACCGTATCTGTTATGCGTAGCTGTGAGGTTTACTCCACCAAAGTGACACATTCCGGGCGTCATGCAGGGGCATCGAATATCACTTGGGGTTAAGTCTGGACAATATACGTTACCTGGGCCGATGGGATATAGGCCAGACGGAGGTCCTATACGTTCCCAAGGATCCGGTCATTGGTGCCTTTTATATGGCACACTTCAACAAGCATGATGAGCCCTATTTGATCGAGCACGATCTCGTCACCCCACCACTGGAGTTGCAGCGCCTGATCTCTTCTTGGATCGAGCATAGCTTCGAGAAGGACATGCCTAGCAAGACGGCATACTGGATTATCGAGTGTGACCAAGAGGTGGCCGGTGTAGATCCAAATGTTGCAACGGACGGCGACATATACTTGGATCGCATTGGGGAGACAACATCAACAAATAAGCCCACCACCAAGCTTGTCAGCAGTGCCTCAGTCGACCGGGTTGGTTTCCTTTAGCTGCTACTTTGATTGCGACGTGTGATTCTTCAGGGTGCGGTACTCTATACGAAACCCAACAGCCAGAGACTAATGTTGACCAACGACCTCATCACTTCATTACCGCATACCTTTCAAAACAAGCTGTCTCTGGAATTTAAGAAACGGCCCCTAAGCGTAATTGAAGCGCCTCGACAGCACTCAACCGCCATCGATTCTAATATGCAAGTCAACAGTCAGACCATTGTTGACGCGATCAACACTCTAGCCCAACAAGTGCAACACCAGAATGGGAATGGGAGCGGGAACGGGAACTGGAGGTAGCTCAAGGGATATCTTAGGCGATTCAGGAGCACCTGACACACTTGAGTGGGACCTTGGCATGAGGTGTGTTCCAGGGGGTCCAAGAGTTCTAGGGACATTTACTCCTTTTAACAGTTTTATACGGCACAAATGTCTCTAGGTTCAATCAATCTGTCACTGTTTCTGGGTCTGCCTTTGTATCCCGTCGCATAGCAGCAGGTATGGGCCGAATCCTGGGGACCAATTCTGCAGGCAAAAGACCGTCAAATCAATTCGAGAAGCCCTTGCCCGTAGCTAAAGCAAAAAAAAAAAAAAAAAAAAGAAGACTAGGGAGCCACAATAAAACATATCATTGATACGACGTTTCTTTATTTTTATTGAGCGAAAGAAGTAGATTCAGTTCCCGTTCTGCTGGCTAGAAAAGTTGCTGTTCTCTATACTCTCCTCCGTAATCTCGGTCCGGTCATAGTATGTCTTGCTCCTTATTTCTATCCATGGCGTCCGCTCTCGTATAAGTATTGCAGGTAGCCCACCGATGACCACAAATGCTTTGTCCCTGAGGTATCATGCGCAATGCGACTCCAGCATGAGCAGCCTGTGGAGATCTCAAAGCAGATAAAAACATTGTTCGATCGGGCCAATTCACATGTTCTGGTTGTGGTGGCCAGCACGACGTGCCCAAGTTCTCTGGTCGCGTTCTATGTGCGCCATTCCGCGTATTATTCTTCTTTGGATGTTAAACATGGAGCTGTAGAGCAGTGCTGTTTCGGCTATCACTCTACTGCTGTTCAGTTTGCTTTGTTAGTTCTCAAGTTTATTTGGAAGGCATTCGGTGATGTACGTACAATGTCCAGGGCAATAATGCTATGTTTCACGAGGCAAGGAGCGAAGTCCAGCTCACATCACTCCCTTCCACGTTTGTTTGTTTAACTCCACTGCTAGAATCGATACAGACCAACTTTATATAGACGCTGCAAACGAGTAGTAACAGAATATTGATTCACAACGACATTGAGCTTATAATGTTGGTTTCTTTTTTTTTTTGTTTTTGTGCTGTGATGCAACACTCTATACAATGCCAAACATCCAGCATCCGTCTATCCAAATATCCTGTATCCTTTTCTCCCAGTGTTGACTCTTCGATCTGTATTCCCGGCGCGTCCTGCTTTAATGACTGAGGTACTTGCGACCCTTGAGAAGGCGGTTATGGATGATCTTTCGGCCGCCTCTTGACTTCATTCTGGCCAAGAAACCGTGGCGGCGCTTACGGACCCGTTGAGAGGGTTGGAATTCACGACCATAGGAAACGAAGCGAGCCTGACTTGACCTAGCGTTCAGACGATTGCATGGATGAAGCGATCAGTTTGTGGTCAAAGTCAGGCGTCGAGGACGGGGGAAAAGTGATTTGCTGGCGAGAATAATGTATGATTATAGTCCTAAAGCTGCAGTTATGAGGCGAGCACATCCTGCATATTTCGTTTGCTGACGATTAATCCGCGATGGTCGCATACAAAAGTATTTTTCCTGGACGCACCCCGAATTAGCGCCATTTACTTGTATCTGCTGTCCTGTTGAACCCCGCAATAGCAATGTCCTTCTTCTAAGCTAAGGGTCGGATCTTTGATGAATGGTTCTGGTCGAGCGAACGTTCGCTGTCCTCCGTAAACAGTGTTTGATCCTGGGAAGAGACCAACGATGTATACCGTGTTGTTGATGCACTATCTCTCAGCCAATGTAGACGTCCATGCCGTGATCTGTACTGCTTTTTCTAACGCCAACAATGACACAGGTAGTATCCTAAATGATGGTTGTTGCGTCGCGACCGCCTGGGATAAGAAAAATGTATTACCCAAAAACAGAAGGAAGACGGAATCCTGTCAGTGATGAAAAGATAGAGCTGGTTGTTGAGGTGATACCGACGGCTGGCGATGGTGCTGCCGAGATGGCTGTGAACTGCGTCCTATAGTCATATCGAGTTCGAGGTGAGTTAGAGCCAGGGAGTCTTGATCAGACAGGGCAACTTGGTGAGGTTGATCTAGTGAATCCGTTTGCTCAATGTTCCTGGTTACCTGGCGACAGGAGCTAGCTTTGTGCGGAGCGATGTGAATGCGGCGAACATAGTATGCGGTAAATGACGTTTGAGTGCAAGCGAGGTTGAAGGCAATGAGAGGGCGGAGAGAGGGAGTGTTCGTCGGGCTAAGATGGACGAATTGTCAACAAAGGGATATTTCGCTGTCACGGACTTTAGAATCTTGCCCCTGAGATCGAATCCGGGGTAGTTGGGTGGTATCTGGCGTCCGTGCTTCACATTGATCGGTCGCTTGCATCCAATTTCTATCTGTCCTTCCACATCTTTCCTCAAACAGACCGCGTTGTTCTCTCATCGATCGTAGAAGTTACGTTTCTTTCCTTTGCGCCCAGAGTGTTGGGTCAGCTGCGCTCGTTTCTTGTGCAACTTTGATATTCGAGCCACAACTGCAGACCCCGAGATCCAGTGGAGTATACGGTTCGGACAAAATTCTTTAATAAAGAGACAAAGCAGAGCATTCGAAATACTCCTGTACCCCTTCTTCTCCTCGTGTCCGACTCATCGAACAAAATGCCTGCTCAAGTTCTCATCTCGAAGCTCGGTCTCTCCCTATCCGCCGCCACCAGGCTCCAAACCCTGGCGCCATTCTTAACTCCATCCGTGTCCCTTAACCTTGTCCTCGGAGGATACCATCTCATGTCAGGCCTTCTGCTCGGCGTTGTCAAGTACTACCAAATTCACACCTCCAAGACTTACACCGCTCACCCATACATTTCAACCGCCCACCGCGCTGCTTTGATGTACGGTTTCGCATCGTTCCAATTGGCCGGTGTCGCCTTGGTCTCGTCCTGGACAGAGTTCACCAACACTGCAGCCACGATCGCCACGCAAACGTTCTTTGTCTCGGCAGTGATGACATACGCGATCCATGGGTTCCTGAGAGATACGACCAACCAGCTTAAACAGCCGCACAAACTGGGGGAAAAGAGAGCGCTGCCGCCCTGGATGGTTCAAGGGTTCATGATCTCGCTCGTCCTGGCTGAAGTCCTTGGCTGCGGCGTCCTTTGTGCTGGCATGGTCAAGACTATCGTCGATGTATTCAAGACAACAACCGTATCCATATCCATGTAAATCTAGTTTTCTTGGGCATCTTCAATGACTGAAATACAAACAAAAAGGTGTATCATTTATTGCCTAAACGTGTACATTGTAGTAATGAGGGAAAAGGGAGTGTGTTCTGTGCTGAGGGCGGAGACAGTGTGCGGAAGAGACCGACGCAGTTTGCTTAGCAGCATCCCCCGCTGGACTGCGCTGGCAGCTGCTGTCCTGATCCGACCTTGATGTTCTTGCTGGCTCCAGTGGGGGTGACAGTCGTAGCACCCATGCGATCCTTGATCTGCTTGGCCATCGTCATGAAAGCCTGCTCAACATTGGTGGCGCTCTTGGCCGAAGTCTCCAAGAACGGAATGGCAAGTTGGTCAGCAAATTCCTACAATTATACAGTCGGTTAGATACGCAGGTACGCAGCAACAAGTCAGCAGTTCAAAAACAATGTGTTTGCGGTTCATTTTCATTCTACAGCGCAAAAGGAGCCGCAGTTAAATGTCTTTGCACATTACCTTGGCAGCAGTGTACTCAACAACCTTCTTGTCAGTCAAGTCGCTCTTGTTTCCGACCAACAGCTTGTTGACACCCTCGGAAGCATAGCGGTCAATTTCAGAGAGCCACTGCTTCACGTTTGCGAAGGTATCCTGATCCGTGACATCATAGACGACAATGATGCCGTGCGCTCCACGATAATAGGACGAGGTAATGGTGCGGAAACGCTCCTGACCAGCGCTATGTTACACACGAATAATAAAACAGGAAGAAAAAATAGGGTCAGGCCTGGGCGCAATATCGCAGTGAAAGGATGAGTAGTGAGTGCTGCATGGAGGATGTCCTTACGTGTCCCACTAAGAGATGTTCATTCAAGCAATTGAAGAAGGAGAGCGCTGTGGTTAGTAAGGTCATTTATTAACAGTAGTAGCAGAGCCAAGCAAAAGAAATGTGCAGAATAACTACTTACGATTTGCAGCTTGACGGTCTTACCCTCGAGCTCAATGGTGCGGATTTTCTATTGTGCGAAGAGAACGGTCGAAAGTGTCAAAAGGGCATATATTCGTGGCCTTCTGTCCCAACATCGATAGAGCAAAGTAGAGTGTTCATGGATGCTGTCCGTCCAACATTGTCCTTTGCGGTTGATGGCGTCCTTGTTCTCGTCAAACTCCTGCGTATTCTTGCTGCTTTTCTTCTGCTTTCCTGATAAAAAGCTGGCTTGTTGCTTTTCAGTTGAAGAAAAGGAGGCACTTACAAAGTCCACACCGATGGTCGAGATGTAGCTCTCGGTGTAGGTATCGTCCGCAAAACGAAGGAGCAAACAACTCTTGCCGACACCGCTGTCACCAATCAACAACAGCTTGAAAAGATAATCGCTATGATGGCAATATAGGAAATAGAAGCCGGTTAATCTTTAATCTCGTATTGAGTGTGGTTCTGGTGCTCAAAGAATATCGAGACCCTTGGATTGGGCTCGAGTGAGACAGCCAAGCTCAGGAAAAGAGGCTACTGAGTATTTGAATGAGCACAGTGTAGTGTAAGCATAGATATCAGGAAGTGCAGTCAATCTTACTATTCAGGGTTCATGGTGGGAAAAGAGTATTAGATGATCTAAGTCTTGTGTAGGGATAGAAGAGTTTGGTTGATTTCAAAAGAAGAGAGAGGATGGATGTTGTTGATGAAGGTTCAGAATGAGCGAATAAAAAGAAAGAAAAAGCACAGGGGACCAAGTGCACAAGGGCATGTCCTTTTCAGCTGCAAAATGTGAATCAGCCCAAGCACCAACAATACAGGTCACTGCGTCATCGTCTACGGCACTCTTAGTGCAGGCGCGTCGAATGTTTATCCTGCCATGCCTCCTTTCCCTTCAAGCAGACAGACATAGACTATTGCGCATTCTTTATTGCATTTTCGAAGGCGTTGCTGGAGTTGGTCGGTCCATTGCTTTATTTGTGAGCGTATTCGTTTAAGCGACTGCAGGAACGCGAAGACATGCGACAATCCACTGTTCTTGAGCTCAATCGACGCGCCTTGGAACAATACTCAAGTCGTATTGCTTAATCCATGATGTCCCGAAGATACTTCTCTTCCGCAAGTGATAGCTCCCTCCAGATCTGAGATGTGTCCAAGCCCCATATTCGTCCACCCTCTCGACTAAATCCACCATTGCCACACTGGGGAGGGCCTCTTGGGACAGGAAAAGAGTCTAGTATGGCCCTGGGATTGGACGCAGGTAGCGAAACGGTGGCGAATCACAAGGCGAGTTCGAGCGCATCGACGTCGTTGCCCCGCAAAACAACCTGGTCATACGTCCCAAGCGGGGTCTGCAGTGTGTTAATCCTGATACGGCGCTCCTCTGCATCCACAGCGATAAAGATGCCTTGGACGGGTTTACTGAGAAGGATTAAATAGTTAGTAAGGATGGTCATTCTTCAGAATAAAAGGCAAAACAAGAAGGAAACGAGATATGACAAGTACCTGTCCGGGACGAGTGCTGTACATTTGGACTTGTGTTGAGCTACAGCGAGCCAGAACAGCAGCGATCTCTTGCGAAGGGCGATGGCGATCTCCTGATCAGTCCTGGTGCTGTCGGTGTCCATGGCAGTTGTGTTGATGGCGATCTAGTTTTCTTTCGTCAGTTGGGGGCCCGAACTTGAACTCGCCTAGCCCTGCAGCTGGACCTGAACCTCAGTTTGAGCTTCAATGCAGACTGCTTTCGTGGAGCGTGGCCCAACAGACCAACTGACCTCACTTTGCTGCCTTGTTCCCCCTCCTCGCGTACAAACACATCCATCTCCTGCCCATTCAACTCCTCTCATCAACCAAACAAAAGTTCTTTTGTATCCTCCTCCCTTACATCTCAGCATGTCCTTCTCTGATACTGACGAAGGGATTCTCCCGCAGGACAGTCTGCGCAACGAGACCCCTCCTCCAGTCGAGACCGAGCCCGAACCCGAGCCCTATACGGCATTCACCACCATCGTCCGTCCGGCCCCAGGCGCGAAGTGCTGCAACACCAGCACACTCCTGCACCAGCCTCACACCTCTCTCTTTGTCACATCCGCTACTAAAGTCGCCGATGGCCTCACCGCCAGCTCCTTTGTCGCCTACACCATCAAGATTGGGGTATATACATACACGCTACTCATGCCGATATGCGTTAAGCTGCTCTCCGCACCTCTTGATTCACTAACTCTTATCCTTCTGCCTGCCCTTCTTCGCTGACAGGATAGCGAGGTCAAGAGACGTTACTCCGAATTTGAATCGCTGCGAAAGGTGCTCTGTAGAATCTATCCCACGTTGATTGTGCCGCCCATCCCAGAGAAGCATACCATTTGTAAGTGGTCTGGATGCTAGGGTTGTCCATCTGGTCTCTATTTTATAAAAACAGTATTCCTTGGAAGAAGCGCCCGGCTAAAGCACCGTACCGCCTTTTCATTATACCTATCATAGCAAATTACGCCAACTTACAGAACAAGAGCAAGGAGGATGCGCTGATGGTGGAGAAACGAAAGCGCATGCTGCAGAAGTTCCTGAACAGACTGGCCAAACATGAGATCCTGTCGTACGAACATGTTTTTCACAAGTTCTTAGAGGCCGAGGTGTCTTGGGTAAGTATCGTGCTGCATTCCCGTGTCCCTCCTATGCTACGGCTACAGGAAATAAATGGCTAACGTGAATTCAATTGATATTTTGTTCAATGCGATAGTCTGAGGCAATGCACTCTGCTCCAGTATCAACACTTCCAAAAAACCCGCTCAATGCAACCTTGACAGCCAGCTCGTCTACACTTTCGCTTTCGCGTTCGGCATCTATGCCTCCATCTCCTTCAGCACCCTCGGTGACTTCACCAGGACCAAACAGCCCTAGCCAGGCCATGGCACCACCGCCTCTGAGACAGCCAGACCCCCGATTTATCGATAGCGAGGTCTTCACCCAAAAGTTTTCCAACCAGCTCTCTGGAAGTATGGACCGCAGTCAGAAGAAGGTCCTCCGTAAGCTGAAAGGTATGGTCCATTTCATGGCAATGCACTACTTGACTGACCTAGAGGTTTAGTTTGCCATCAATTTTTTTTTTTTTGTTAACTAACATCTAATCTTACCTACGCTTCTTAGAACTTGCTGATGACAACTCTGAACTGGGCGCGACTCTAAATGGATTCAGCTTAAACGAGTCTGAGCACTCGCCGCTTGGGGTAGCCATCGAAAGAGTTGGCGAGGCTGCCGACTCTAGTTTCTTTGCCACGACTGATCTGGTGAGGATACTTTGCGTCCTCACGAGCTATTGCTGAAACAATGGGAAACGCAAACAATGACTAATCTCTCATCTCTCCCTCTACTGTCATGGTTAGATGCAAGCGTTGGAAATTAAAGTCAATGAACCCCTGCAAGAGTACATTCAATACGCCAACATCATCAAGACTATTCTCAAATTCAGGCACCAAAAGCACATTCAATCTGAAAGCACAGCCGATCAACTTGAAGCCAAGAGGAGCTCGCTGGAAAATCTCGAGAGAATGGAGACAGAGGCCAAGAGAATCGAGGACGCATTAAAACGTGAACGCTCTCTCACTTCGGGAAGCACCTCGGCCGCCGAAACTCCAGGTCGTAACGACGTATCGCATCAGCACAATCCTTCAGCTGACACTCACTCTGTCTCGGAGGAGGTCACATTCACCAACGAGCCCGAGTCGATCAGCACGGAGCCTCCAGAGAATGCAGAGTCTCATAACCCATACGCTCGCACGTCTTCTGTGAGCTCGAATGGCAATCAGGATCCAACCAATCCCTATGCACAGCTTCCTCCCGCTAATCCATACACTCATACCCACACCCCTCCCTCAAGCAACCCGAAGCGCAGAAGCACTCGCCTCAATGTGTTTAGTGCTCTCAGTCATACGATCCACGGCATCATTGATGTGGATCCTGAAGCCACTAGACGCAACAATATTGGAAAGACGCGTGACGCTATTGCTCAGGTAAGGCATTCAATCGGATCTCCATGAGTGCACTGGATTGTGTCTTCTCTCACAACTAATGCGTCCTGACTGTCTATTAATTTTGTCCGCAGCTGGAAGAGCAGCTGGAGACCACGAACGCAGATCTGGACAAAATCTCACGGGCAGTGCAGGGAGATTTGGATCGTTTCCAGCGTCAAAAGATCAAGGATATGAAAGAGATTCTGCTGGAGTATGCTAAAGCACATCAGAAGTGGTGCCAAAAGGTAACTTCATGACCCTCGGTTGCTCCGTGACCATCACTCCATACTGCTGTTATCCTGGACGTTAACACTTTTCAACTCGTTTATGGCGACTCTAGAACTTGGGATCATGGCAGGAGGCCAATGCAGTCGTCGAACAGATACCAGTTTAAAGCGAGTGTCGCATGTATAGCAACAAGGGTTTCCGAAGGAGTTTTGAGTGTTGATCCCGGTTTTGATAGCAGATGCAGCAATAATAAAGTCGTCGATATTGACAAATTCAACTTGAACGCATTTTTTTTTTCAAATTATTTTACTGTTCTCGCTCAAAGGGCTGATACGTCCTTCTTGTCCTCTGTCAGGTATTTCCTGCACGCGTTGTATTCCTTGTCTGAGCTCCAACCCTCGGCCTTGACAATCGTCATGACTATTTGTCCAGATTTGCAGCCGATCTTGACCAATGCCCTCCCCAGAAATAAACGTAATGCTCTTCCAGGTGGCGTAACCTTAGCTGAGGTAAGGGCCAGTTTCCGGATGATAGGTTCGAGCTCATCCTGTCCCTTGTATGGCTGTCCGTCCAAGCAGAAATAAATATTTGGCGAAAGCTGGACAACATTGGCAGCCATGGCCAATGTCTGGAGACCGAGCTGTTTGCAGATCTTGTTGAGACAGATCAGGTCTTGGCCACGATAGACAAGCAGATGTTGGTCTCCCAACATGGACGAGTTGACGGATCCAGGCCAGATGGCGAAAAGCTCAATGCTGGAGATCTCCACGATCAGAGCCAGGGGTTCGATATCTGCTGTGGGTTTGTAGAGTAGATCCTGCAACTGCGCTGACTGAATGAGTGCTCGGTTATGTTGTAGAATCTTTTCTTTGTTGCTATTATCGGCCATTGTGGTATCCTGGCCTTTCTGTCCGTCTGCTTTACTCGTATTGCTGCCGCTACCGATGCTAATGGGGTTACTAGGCCTGCCTTCGTTTCCTGAGAAAATTCCATGTGTCCTGGCAGTACTGGCCTCCTTGACGAATTCCCGCCATTCCTTGACGATGACATGTTTGACCTTGATGTTTTTCAGAATCATGGTCACCTCGGGTTTGATCCGGTCCTCTGGTCGGGTGGGGAATCCACTGTAGATGTATTCTGTCCCAAGCGACAGCTTTTGAACAAGATTATTGAGTTTGAAATATCTGGCCTCCTTGAGCAGGTTGCTGCGATGGATCTTGTCCCGGACATGGATTTCGTATCCCTGAAGATGGCTGAGGATGTCTTTGAAGAGCTCTGGAGACCGACAGAAGAAGGTCGGAGTGAGGTTACGGTCCGCGAAGGGCTCGAGAAGCGCAAAGAAATTGGGCGAGTCGTTAAGAATGGTTTCTCGAGCGACCTTGAAGAGCGTTCCGCTCACGTTTACGAACCTATGGGGTCAATTGAATTAAGCAAGATGTATTAACAATCATGAAAAAAGGGAGTCTTGAGTGGATGCACCAGGCAGAAGAGAAGGACTTACATGGTCTGGCGCAGGTTCTCGATGAGGCGATTCAACTTATAGAAATGTGCGTCCATCATGAGATTCTCGAGATGCACCTCGTCCCTGGCCGCAACGTAATATCCTTGCATGTGCTTCACGATATCGCGAAACACATCCGGATTGCGGTTGATATACATCATCTTTGTAGTACTCTCATCCCGATTCGGATTTGTAAAGACTGACAGGAGGCAATTGATACAGATACACGCGCGTGTCGTGCCACGAGAAAGAAAAAAACGGACAGCATTGTAAGAGATACACGAAATAAACGCGTCTGAGAAAAGGTACAATTGCGCCAGTACTTTGGGTACTTACTCTCGGAAAAGAAGTTGGGCGCGTCATATTGAATCGCTGACATGGTCAGGGGGAAATTCTCACCTGAGACGACGATAGTGTAGAATGACCGTGGGTCCGAGGTGGTCAGGGGCGGCAGTGGCCGCGGGGCTGCCGAAATCGACATTGATGGATATAAGGGAATAGGCCTTCTGGGGTCCACTTTACTCGGTATGCGGGGTCAACTGGACTCCTAAGGCTGGCTGCAATGTATTTCTAAATGTGTGTAAAGAACCGAGACAAGGTCAAATGGAATTGCGAGGATGGTGAGATGCAAAATGGGATGTGTGATGCCAGGGATGTTAGCTTCACTGGACCTACCCCTGTTAAAGTACCTGGGTGGCTTGATATGAAAGGTTCATCTAGAAAGCGCGTCTTTCAGGGTCCATGCAGCCTCTTCTCTCTTTGTTCCACAAAAGCACTTCCTCAGCATGGCTTTACCAGGAAACTTGCAGTCATCTCATTTCACAAGGAATGTAAGTGCCTTGATCTGGAAGAACGGGGGCCTATTTATAATGAAATCGCACATCATGGAACAGCAACTCATGGACCCAGACGAGCTATTTAATGGGTATCAGATCGACGGTCTGAACACACAGCAAATGCACACTGCCACAAATTCATGGAGCTCATCTGCGTTATTCCCACTCCGCCAAGTTTGATATGTCATGTCATTCCATCTAGCAGCTCCAGGGACTAGCCATTGTATTTGAACTTGCGTGTTTTTTTCATTTTCTTGCGGGCCTCTTCGTGGACCGATCAACCTGCATATCATCGAAAATTATGCCCTCAAGAAGATGACAGCGACTCTATGCTTGTTCATCATCCATATCCACTTTCACTTTATATATTGGTCCCTTTTCCTGACTCCTTGCATTTTTAACTTTTTTTTCTTCTCTGATAACACCCCATTACAATATCCTCTACGACACTCTTCATACCAACTAGCCTTTTGCATCCATTGCATGGCCCAATCTAATGCAATCGTCAGTATTGGAACGTATCTTCATTTTCATGTTTGTGCACCAGCGGGTCTTGTCTAAGGGAACGTTACTGATTGCCATATTCAATACCAAACTCTACAGAGTCGACATTTCTCATTGCCAAATAAAGTTGACCTCTTTGCATTGCCTTGGAGATCGCAGCAAAGAGCTCGTGATCCAAATTACTAGCACAGCATGCAGATAGACGCGTCTTCGTTTACTCGTTTGTATGTCATTGCCACTATAGAGTCACTCAAATAGATTGTTTGGAGCCATTCTTTATTGCATTGTCTGCTATTCCTACAATTCCTACAATTCCTATCGGCACCATCGGCTCAACTTGCTATCAGTCAACCTTGGTTGCAAAGGTTGTGCAGAGTACACCACGGGCAGGTTGCAAGTCATCGTACTCCGAAAAAAAAACCGCACAAGGCCCAAAGAGACCAAGTGGATAAAAAAAAGGGTTCAGAAACATTCTCAGGAACTCTTTTGTTTTTGCATGAAGAAAAGGCGAAGCTCCTTGGCCCGAAGGCACGACCTGAGGTGATGATAACCAGAGGGGAGTAGGGGAGTGGGGGAATTTGGTGCTCCCGGCCCAAATGCACTGCTAGGGTTAATAAACCCTCTGGGGAGCGGGTATAATCCACAGGTTGAAAACCTGGGATGGGTTGCCGAGGGCACGCAATCAGTGAGGGGTTACAGCCCCAGGATCGAAGTCAAAGCTCCTGGAACCTCTATATTGCCGAGGGCACGCAAGGGTGAAGAGATTCAGTCCCAAGGTCGAAGTCAAAACTCCTGGGACCTCTATATTGCCGAGGGCACGCAAAGGTGGAGAAATTTAGTCCCAGGATCGAAGTCAAAACTCCTAGGACCTCTATATTGCCGAGGGCACGCAAGGGTGAAGAGATTCAGTCCCAAGATCGAAGTCAAAACTCCTGGGACCTCTATATTTTCTATCTAGGGAGTGGTGGAGAGGTAGTGGCGGAATGGACTTCCTGACGAGAGTGCATGTGGAGGAGGGTTGCTGACGAGAGTGCGTATGGAGGAGGGCTGCTGACGAGAGTGAGCACAAGAGGTGGAAGTGAGGTGGAGGAGAGTGGGACTGGGTAAAGAACGAAAGGCGAGGTTGTGTCAGTGAAGAGAAGAGGTATGGGGTAGAGAGTGGAGAGTAGAAGGTGAAGAGCAAAGAAAAAAAACTTATATCATACGTACCTGGAAAGAGACTTGCCGTAGAGCGCGTGGGGAAGAGTGTGGGGAGGTGGAGAAGGTGGGGAAGGGGGAAGAGGGAACGTGTAAGAGGAAAGAAAGAGATAGAACAAAGTCGAACTTTAAATGTGCCGCGTGGTCGGTGGCTGAGTCGATAGCAAGGGGTCTACGGAGACCGGAGGGCTCATATGGCCGCTGGGAACTGGGGGGACGGACTACGGGGAACGAGACGGTAGTGAGCGTGTGCCTAGGAGTGAGCGAACAACGCGCACGGCTCATCAGAGAAAAAGGAATCTTCATTCAGCGCTGTTCACCATGAGCTCAACTTACATCAACATCGCCTTTGCCAGCGATGAGTATACTTTTGACAGCAAAAGTGTATGGTCGCGAACATGTTGCCACCAATTTCATGTTGAAGGTTGTTGAAGGTTGTTGAAGGTTGCTGATGTTCTGTTCGCGTGGTTTCTTAACAACCTTAAAAAAGGAGTGCCAACAAATAGCGCACCAACCACACGCGACTCAGCCCAAGCGAGCACTGCCATTAAAGTTTGCTGCATGGTTCATATTTACTGCAGCAGAGAAGAGGCGGCGGACGCAGCGCCACCATCCTATGAAAGGACAAGAACGTTGTCTCTATACTAATATCATCTCGACCAGTGCGTGCAAGCGATTGCAATTCGAAAAATCCGAGTCCTCGTGGAGAAGACAAGAATAAACGATAAGAACACAGTGAACATGAGGTCCACAAAGAGACATCCACTGCGGAAGAAATTCTTTTTTCTTCATCGGTATTGCCTTTGCCTGCAGCAATAGCAAAGAGACTTTCGTGCTGGCAGGGAGTGAGGAGGAAAGGAAACACTAAAATGGTTGGCGAGCCATTTCTGTGCGATAAAGACATGCTCAAACGCAGTAAACGAATATATTATGGATGAAAACAAATGAGTTGACCGCCTTTAATGTTCACTCAAATGGCCCCTGGGTCAACTCAAATGGCCCCTGGGTCAACTCAAATTGTGCCTGCGCCCAAAACTATAGACAGACTGGATCATCCATCCCATTTCGCCTTCCTACACTCCCATATTCCATTTATTCGCTTTCATAGGCACCATCAAGCTCAGCATCAGCCTGGTCTTCTTCGTCTAGGGTAAGTGTAGCTTCGTTGATGCATGCCTCCTTGAAGTGGTAGAACATGGTGCTGCTACGGTTTGATCCATATATTCGATGAAGGATAAAGCGCATGTCTCCTCTTTCAATCTCGCTGCGCAATGGCGTACGATCATAGCAGCCGAATAACATTTGTTGGGTCCCTTTACAAAGGGCTGTCTCAACCGCAGATAGTGCAACACTTCGCATGGCTGCATGAGGTGAGAGGTACAGAGATCGAGTAGGGGGGAAAGGCCGTTTGCGCCGTTTGTTTTGAGTGGGCCTTTTATTTTCATTTTTGTACGCTGTGTCATTTGAGTGGACATTATTATGGGTCAAAATGAGCTGACCTGAGTTGCCCGGTCAACTCAAACGTATACACCATAAACTATTACTGTGATCTAAATCATTGTGCGTAATATACTTGAACTGAGGATAACAGCTTATAAGTATGTTTGCTTATTTTCAAGTCTTGGTGGATGCACTACGGCATACCGGATTGGAGGGAGTGTGCCCCCTGCGGATGGCATCCCTTCAGAACTTGAAGATTCCCTTGGTGCCAGCACTCAACTCCTGGTATCTCTGACTCTCCTTCCATGCAGCATAGCTGGGGTGGCTATTGACAGTCTCATAAACCTTCCAGATGTTAGGAGTCTTCTCGGCCGAGAAGGGAGCCTCCTTTGCACCCGCGGGTCTCAACAGAAGGATGCGATCGACAAACACGGCAGTCTTCAGATCAGCGAGAGTGAAGGAATCGCCAACGTAGTGACCGTTCGATCCGTTCTTCTTGAGGTGCTCCTCGTGGATAGCGGCGATCTTCGAAATGGTCTCGTCATAGAACTTGTTGGCCTCCTCGACACGGTTCTCGGGGGCGGCATCGATGACCTTGGGCCTGAAGGCGAGCCAGACAGTATCGATGGAGGTGAAGTACTGCTCGACCTTGTGGTGCTCGTACTCGTTCTTTCCGTAGAGGTGGAACTTGTTAGAGAGGTAGCGCTCAATTGCCTGGGACTCTGCGAGCTCGAGAACGGTTCCATCGGAGGTGGTCTCGTACACGACAGGCAGGACGCCGAAAGGGGTGTGGGACTTTTGAGCGGGCCAGTCCTAAATACACGAGTTGCAATGACAAACGCGTTAGTAAAAGCCTTCAAGTGTGAGAAAAAAAAAATCTAATTTCGGATGACTTACGGCTGTTAGCTCCTCCCACTTGGCACCGGCAAAGGCAAGGAGGGCACGGATCAACTCACCGCGACCGTGGAGACCAAAGTAAAGGACCTTGAAGGTCGAATCTGAGGACTTGACAGCCTGGCTGAGGACATCACTGCTGGCATGAGTTGGGACAGGAAGAGAGACGACCATTGTGAGGGGGATTCTGTTGTGTTAGAGCTGTGCTGCTGAGGAGGGCTTTTAGTTGGTAAGCTTCTGTGGATTGATAATGAGAAGAGTGGTGGGAAAAAGAGGGTAAGCGAGCACCCTTTATAATTTTCTAAGTCCATCCTTATGACCTTGGTCCTCAGTCAATTGTAGGCACTATACTGTATATGTACATGCCCGTGTCGTCAACTAGCGTGATATAATTCTTTCGAACCACACCACAATGGGGTTTTGGTCCAAAAACTCTATTTTTGTCTGCACTGCGCATTTTACACCCAGGCCCAATTACTTCCTGCTCTTCCCAAGACGCCGTGCTTATTAATTCAAACTGATGTACGCCTTTTTTCGACCCCTGATGTCCGCATCTCTTCAGCGCACGCGTCCGATGGAGTCCAAGTGAACCGCGTGCCAAATGGTCCAGGTTTATTCACGTCGAAAGCCACCACTCTGTTGGTAGCCTCCCCTTTCACTATGACACGGTTTCAAGCGGATTCAATTGCGCAATCAGGAAGGGGAGCGGAGGAGGAGGGGAGGGGAGGGGGGAGCTAAGGAGCCATCGCCATTAACACAACGGGTTTGAGCCGTGTAACATATAGATTTTATTTTTCAAAGCCAGAGATCCCGTTTATCGCACGCAATTTCTGCATATCGTTCCTTGACTCATTGTCTCTGTCTCTTCTCCTCCGTCACTTTACTTGCGGTAGGCCTTCAACTCCTCATCATTCCATGACAAGGACTTTCCACTGAGCGATTTGGGTGCCTTGACAGCCAAAGCAGCAATGACGTATCCAGGCTCATCGGGGTGGAGCAATGACTTGGACGAATGCAGCTCCAAGAACTTTGAGTGCTCTGTAGGGGTCATCTTATCACCACCTAATGCAGATTGGTAAATTCGTAGGCTGATTAGTTGTTTTCACTTTTAGGTCTTCAATGCCCTCCCTCGATTTACAAAATGATCCCTTACCTTGGCTACGAATAACGCCCTGCATTTCAGTGTCGACAACTCCGGGGCGAACCGAGATCGAGGTCAGCTCAGACTCCTCCTTGGCAAGTGTTTCACCAAACATCTTCAGCGCTGCCTTCGACCTACATATTGCATGAGGAAGTGGGAATGCCAATGTATGAATTGATCTGTAATCCCATGTGAAAGCATGCAGGGGAGAAAAATCATTATGTCTTTTCAACTTACGAGCAGTAAGCTCCCCATCCGTGGTAAGCGCTGTTGGCGGCGCCAGAGCTGACGAAAACAACACGGCCCTTGGACTCGCGCAGGGCAGGGAGGGCGTGCTGGACTAAGGTAAGGATCGAGAAGAAGTTGATATCGAAAGCCCTGCACGTTGTTGCAGTTGAATAAAGAAACAGTGAGCGGAGTGAACGATATTAACTGCAGTCGGCAAATAATGCAATATTGAGTAAGCAGGCAATTGACATACTGTTTCCAATCCTCAACAGATGTGCTGGCGATAGATCCCAAAGGCTCGAGAACTCTACAAAGGGTTATTGGTTGCAAATGTGAGCGGACACACACAGTTTGGTGCAATTTGTCGATCAGATCTGGGTCCGCCCGAGATACAGCGAAAACACTGTAACATACCCAGCGTTAAGGACAAGGCCATCGATACGTCCACTCCAAGACTTTTTGGCCAAAGAGATGAGCTCCTTGGTTGTGGACTCGGCGGTGACATCGCCAACGATGAATTTGAAGCGGTCTTTGAGCTTAAGATCTTCCTCGATGTGCTTCGACAGCTGTTCAAGGGCGTCCTTGGAGCGGGCAACACCAACGATGTTGGCGCCGAGGTTCTGGATCGCGAGCAAGGCGATGCTCTTGCCGATACCGCGCGAGACTCCAGTGACGATGAGAGTAGGATTGGTCATGGTGTCTAAGTGATGAATGGAAGATGAGAAATGAAATTCGCACGCGAAGCAGCTCTTCAAAGCATACATGCAGAATCACGTCACTTTGTTCTCACGGTATTCTTGCACACAAAACATGTAACTTGACTTCTGTATTGGGCCAGGTCAAACTGACCCTCTCGGGACACTTCTCTAGGGCCATGCCGCAACCGCACTCGAACAGTGTATGGATTACCCTATGCCCACGAAATCAAACAGCTCAAACGTCCACTCCAAGCATCCGACGTGGATAAACACTGACGTTTACGAGAGGCAAAGGCAGCGATCCAGGAACTAGTCGAGGACCCAATCCAACGATGATTAATCCGCTGTTCGAGACAGTCTCCAAGGTCCCTGTCGCGCAACAGTTCGAGCACTAGGAGGCGATACAGGCCAAGTTAACTGCGGTCTGATCAGTCCAGGTTCCTCTCACTGTGGCCGCAAGAGGAAGACGCAAACTCAATACCAAGAGAGACAGGAGTCAGTTCGAGTGTGTTGAAGAAATGCTGGCGCCAGCCTGACCAACCGAATCCAATGGCAAGTCTATGAATTTAATTCTCTGTCTACGCGAGGCCTCCATCATAAAAACAAAGATTTTTCTGTATGTACGGTATGGTCGGTATCAACATCTTTTGTCTTGTCGATGGAGAGTTCACCTCGAAGGCCTTTCCAGCCTCGGTCCCATCAGCGGAAACCATCAGCCACTTGAAAGAGCTCATCAGACGGTTGCAACGAGAGGGAAACCTAAAGCTGTCGACAGTAGCTTGACGCGTCCTAAATAGCATCGCATCACATCTTTTTTTAAATCTTTATCAACCGGTTTAACGGCGTGCCGTATTAAATGAGCATTGTCCGCGAGTGTCGACGGTATTCACATATTTAGTTATTGCCTATATAGTCCAATAACGTGTTCTCACGATACGGTAGTCACCAGCGGATCGATTGGCTAAAAGCGCACAGCACACCGCGTCTACACTGCATTCATCCATTTCAGACTGATACAAATGAGTCCCACAGGGAAACAGAGGGAGACAGTTTGTAGATCGTATGGGAGTGATGATAAGTTTATTGTACAATCTCAGTGAACAATTGCAGCCGCCTATTACAGTCATCCGTTGCAGCCGTTTGTCGAGCCCTTCATGCCTTTACTGTCTTTTGTTTCTTGGCAGGAGGTTTGCTGTCCTTGCCTGCCTTTCCTGTTGCTGCTTTTGACGACGTCGGTGGTGTTGATAACGGTGTTGCCTTGGCCACCTTCTTGTCAATGTCTGCCACAACCTTGTCAACCTTCTTCTTTACCTCCTTGTCCGCCTGCTTGACGATCTTCTCCGTCTTCTTCTCTGCCTTCTTCAAAGTCTGTTCGACCTTCTTCTCTGTCTTCTTCACAGCCTGCTCGGCCTCCTTCTTATCCTGCTTTAGGGCTGTCGATCCTGCAGCAGCCATCTTCTTTTCCCATTGTCGCTTCTTCTTCTCCTTAAGTTTTTGCTTCTGAGTCGCCTTGCGTTCCTCTTTCTTCTTGAGCGACTTTTCTCTCTTCTTCTGGTTCTTGATCTTCAATTTTTCGATATCCTCCTTGGACCGCTCATCCCTCAACGCCTTCTTGTACAACCGCAGATTCGTCTTGTGTTCGTGACCCTTGAGATGGACCTGGACCATGGTCTCGTTCTTGAGGATCTTCTTGGGACAGATCTTGCAGCGGAAATGGGTATCCCCCTCTTCCTCCTGATCTGCTGTGTCTTCATCTCCCTCTTCGCCATCCTCGTCTGATGAGCCCTCTTCTTGATTATCGTCGGCGCTGTCCGAACCGTCTTTCTTGACCTCGCCCTTCTTGCTCTTTTCGTATTTCTGGATATATGCCTCGAGCTCCTCATCCTCCTCGCTATCGAGATCATCATCATCGTCGTCATCCTTGTTCTTGATGCGCTCGTCGTCTGAGGAGTCGTCCGAGTCTGAGTCCGAACCAGAGTCTGAGAACTGGGCCAGAGCCTCCATTTGTGCCAGGTCATCCTCACCCGTGGGCATAACCTCGGTGTAAATGGCGTTCCTGGCCAGTTCGCGGTGCGCGCGCTTCAGCATGGTGGAGTATGAGGTCGGCGGTTAAGGAGGGGTATGGTTGAGTCTAGGCAGAGGTGAAGGTGTTTCTTTTCTTTTCTTTTCTTTTTTTTTTGTTGTCTACAAATGCTTGGGAGTGGCTTGCTAAAGTGGATGGCAGTCCTTTTTTTGTTCCCCCTCCACAGCTACACCGCACGTCCTTTCCATCACTTTCCAAAAACTCCTTTTCTACACAGCTTGCATCCCTCGACACACCACCCCTTCAGGACACTCTAGACCAGGATGGGCGACTACGAGAGTGCAGGAGGCTCCCTCAAGTTCAAGGGCGGCGGAGGAATTACCAAGAAGTACGCATCCCATTTCTGCTCTTGAGCTTTTTCCATCGACCTGGGACCAAGCGGACTGTTTTTGAAAACTTTCAAAGTATCGTCTTATTCAGAGGCATTGACTGACTAAAGTGCCGTCCTTCATTTGTATCGACATAGGAAAAAGAAAAAGACCGATCCTGCAAAAGTCAGGGCAGCATTGGACACCAAAGAAGCCAGTCCGAGTACTTCCAAACCCATTAAGGTCATTGAGAAGACAGCAGCAGAGCTCAAGTTTGAAGAAGTACAACGGAAACGCGTACGTTCTTTTCTACATCGATACATCGATAAACCGGTTCTCTTTTTCATGGTTACTGCTAGATCAATTTTCGATATCGCTCACATCCCACTTTGCTTCAAACTCTTGTTTCTTCTTCACCGGGATATGTTAGCAAGAGGAAAAGGTTCTCAAGTCCGCAATGAAGTCTCACAAGGAGAAGGTCGCTGTAAGTCGTTGTTCCTTACAGGACATTACATGACGAGTCCCACTGATATTCGTAGTCAATGTGAAGACGACCTTCTTACCAATCTGTTGCCCTTCTGTAATCGATTCACTATTAGGAACTGAACCGGAAACTGGAGGAAATGACCGAGCATTACGATATCCCCAAGGTCGGACCGGGATAATACTTGCAGCATCGTCAATCCAAAATAAAGGCAGCATTGTCCAGCAAACAATGGGAAGGCACATTCAAGCAACGGGAAGTGTATTGTGTTACACACATCGACTCGACTCATTGTCGCTCTCGATTTGATCTCATTTATCAGATATGTGGACCGAAACTGCATCCAGACCAAAAAGCGCAGGCGGAAGCATGATCAAATCAAAAACATATAAACAGCGTATTGATTGTGCAATTGCGCATTTTTTATAAGAATATATTTACATGGGCGAAGGACAAAGTGAAAATTTAGGCTGAAAGATTGCGAGCAAGATTAGAACGAACGCAATTGGGTGAGAGGACAAAGGAGGTGCCCGCAAATTAGAACAAGACCGCCAGACGCGCGCTAGAGTCTTAAGCCATGACGCCGCTTCCTGATTGCTGGTTGTTTACGATGCCGATGTGGAAGAGGTAGCGTTTTCGTCAGCATCGCGCTGTTCACCATAATCCTCCGCCTCTTCACTGGTGTTGGATCCACCGTTCTGAAGACGACTGAATGTCTCGGCATCGATCACCTATTGGGGTTTGATCGAGTTGACTTAGTTCTAATGCAAATGAGAGGTACCACGATGCTGCGGCAGAATATGGGAGGTGGGCGAACTTTCAACTGGTTCTTGCCTGGGGCATCAATGAACGTGTAGTTATGACTGACTGATCGCGTGAGAGTTGAGAGCGATAATGCAAAAATTACATCCAACCCAACGCTATATTGGAATTCATGCGAAGAGGATGCTTTTGCCGTGTGGGAAAAAAAAAAGAAACTAAACTAAAAATGCGCTGGAGTAATTGCAACGGTCTCTTTCTTCAGCAATAAACCACGGTGACTTACAGTGATCTTGTTCTCAGGAGGAGATATGGCCATGTTGCTATCGCCGATTCCACGGCGAACGAAGAAAAAAAGGGCAAAGCAGAAAGGAAACGTCGGAGTATTAGTATGACAAGCATAGCAATGTAGAAGGGATTAGAGTTGCGTTTCACTGACTGCTTCGCAGAGAAAAAAGACAGGGAAATGAAAAAAGAGAGCGTTTCCTGTCACGTCGTTTCTATGGTCGTGTGGATTGCCACTATTCGGAGTGCTCTGGGAACACAAAGAGATGCCCTTCCAGCAACTGCGGTGGCGTCAAGAACCATAGACGACTAGAGCTCTCTTGTCTCTTTATCGTTTTATACCTCAAAGCGGAGGATTGCTCCTGTCTATCGAGCTCGCATCCTAGGACGCCCCAGTTGCGATGTCCGGCTCCTGCCTTCTTTGGGATAGCCCTGGGATCAGCGCCGTTTCTGATACGAGGAAAGCGAACAGTAGACAGACATAAGAAGTCAGTATGTTTCGTTGGGGGTACTTGGTTTGAATCGTGTAGAAATGCAGGAGTCAAAGGGCCTGGTCTCTGCCCTTTACCTCGAGACGTGGCGGTCGCGCTGGGCAACGGCAGGATCTTTGTAGTCGCCAGTGCGGGTGCGAGTCATTGTGCTTAGTTCTTTATAAAGAGTGTGTTGATGTAGTAGAGATTCCGTGTATGGAGTGGCTGAGTGACAAGAAGGAAGACGAGTGGAAGAAAGAGAGGACGGAAGAAAGGAAGAGAGAAAGGAAGAGGTCGACAAAATAAAAGAAATAAAAGAAACAAGAGACACCCCGTCGCGTGAGTGGTGAGGGCCATTCTGTGGGCATGTTTCTGCCTCTCCACTTCCTAGAGGCTTTGTGCGCCCTGTTTCTCCCTGCAGCTGAAACCATACACTTTAGGGCCATATCTATAGTCCAGCTCTTTAGCTTGGCTAGATGACACTTGTCTATCTGTTAGCATCGCTCATAGTATAGAAGATATGCCTCGCTTGCCAAGACTTCTTGAAGCGTTGCTGGCCGCACATGCGTGTCGCCGCAATAAATCCATTGTCTCGCGTCCTGTTCCTCCTTCGACTCCGTGTCTATCGTCGAGGGTTTCTCTGCTTCCGTAGATGGCCTAGAAGGTTGCTTGCTTGTCTCAGAGACGACCGCCGGAGGTACACCCGCCTTCTTGGCCTGCTCTCCTTTCTTCTTTCCACCCTTCTTTTGGTTATTTTGGGCCAAAAGAACTGCCAATGGAATGTCTGGTAAATCGATGCCATGGGAAGCAACTGTAGATAGGGATGCAGACGACGTCTTGTCCTTGTCTGTAGCCGGTGGAGGAACTTCGACCTTCGATGAAAGGACATAATTGGTATAGTGTCCTGTACCGAGGGAGCCTTGGTGCACAGTAGCGCCGTACAACCTGTACTTGGTCGTGTCCTTCACACCCTCTTTGTCATTCTCGGCCTCCTTTCCCACTCCTTCACCACTAGCGTCCAAAATCTCCTTCTCGAGTATGCAGTAGGGAGCCATGTCAAGTTCGACCGGAATATCGACCCGGTCCTCGATCTTCCGCATCATCCCAAATCTTGAAGTACTCTGCTCGAATCGTTTCAAGTGCAAGATCAAGGTCGGAGGCAGGCTCGAGATCAAATACCTCTTGTACGCTCTGCGCATAATGTACGACGGCTCTCGAGTGGGCTGATCATTATCCGAAATCGACTTGGCCTCATTTGATGCTTGACGGTTCAGGTCTGGTCCATTCGTGCTCTCTTTGTTGCCTTCCTCTTCGTCCGTGGGCTCGACCTTAGTCTCTTCGATAGAACCCTCCATTTCTGTCTGCTGCTTCTCTGTAGGTGTAGCGTTATCTTGCGCTGAATGTCCGTAGGATTTCACCAGCTTGTAGCAGTTCTCACACGCAAACTTGTTTTCACCATCGAGACAGTCGACGTTTGTGAACTGGCCGAGAGAGCGCTCAATTGAGAGTGCATCAGAACCAGACTGGAGGGATACGTTCTTGAGCAGCTTCTCAACATGCTGTAGATGCGCATCAGATCCCTGATCGGCCTTGGAGATACTATATTTGTCATCTCCAGGGCCCGGTGTAGAGATGTCAAAACCAGCAGCCCTGGATCTGGCACGGAGCAAATCCTTCAAACTTCCGCCTCCCACCTCCTCGGATGCGCCTTTAACGGGAAGAGATAGGTCAAAGTAGTCTTCGTATGCATAAGAACACTACATGAAGCCAACGGTAATAAAATTGTGCATCATGTTAGTCGGTCCCACATTCTTCACCTACAAACGAAATCGATATGTTTCACCCTACACTTACCTTCTTGCATGAATGGCAAACGATGACACTGACCAACTTCCCAGAAAAACAGCTGTCGATGAATGGGACATATTTTGGTGGCGCACCGTTGTGTTCACTGTTGGTGGCAACAGATCCTTTGATGGACGAGGCTGTGCCATTTTCGCCCGCCACAGTCTTTTTGATAAGATCAATCTCCTCCTGCCGGATGCCATCGAATAAGTATCGCATGAGCTCCTGACTATCCTGTTCTCTAAAGCCCCGAAAGACTTTCCATTTCTTTGCAATCTGGGTGAACAAATCTCGAGGCGCGACGATCCCGCCCTGCTGCTTCCACATGGTGAACAGAAAGTCCTTGAACGTCGTTGTCAAAGGGCCGAGGCCAGTGTCTGTTCTGGCTGATAAAGAGATCGGTGGTTCTGAACGACCTTTCTCGGAGAGAATGGTTTTGAGCGATCTCGTTTCCACCAGCACCTGCATAACCGAGTTGAAGAAACAGGTGTTGCCGAGATTTTGTAGGCCTGGCGTAAAAACCTTGATCTTGGTGTTGGTAGGGCTTGCGGCAGCTCCCTTGAATTTTTTAGCCAGCGCAACAGATGCCGCTAATAGAGCATGTGAAATCGTAGAGGTGGGGTGTTTAGTGAAGGGCTCTCTTGGACACGGCCCCAAATATCCATGTCGTACCTAACATGTAACTAACATCTCATCTTGACCTGTCTAGCCTGGAGGATTCTTGCAAGAACGGACTGGCATTCTTGCGCGACAGGATTCTTATTCTTGGATGTCATGAGCTGGTCGTCACAATCGTAGCACCTTCAAGTGAGCAACGCATAGAACGTGTTAGTTCCGGGCCTCCTGCTATCATAAAAGGAATCAGCAGTTCCTGTAATCTTACCAGCAGTCCAAGGACGCGAGATTAATAGCCAAAGGATGACCGTCTCTCTTTCCGTCGCGATGAGCGAGTGCATGTTTCTTGTGCGCTCTCCCGCAGTTGATTTCGCCACACGACAGACACATCCATAGTGCATCTGGAGGCAAACTCTCAGGCATGGTATCATTGATCGCCAATGCGGCCAAGGTGGTGTCGAATCCCTGCGTTAGCCTTTTGATTCTGCTGCGGTCTACAACACAGCCTTGGCAATGGTCCCAATCCTTGTTCTGAGCGACCAATCGTCGAAACTGGGCTGGTTTGATAGCATCCTTGATATGCTGGCATTTCTCAATTCCTTCCCCGAACTGAGCGTCGTTGATAGTATTAAGTAAAAGTACATCGCTGTCGTCTGTCGATTGCTGTCGCTGTTGCTCCTGTTGTTCCTGTTGCTGCTGCTCTGTGTCCTCTTCTCTTTGTATGGATGACTGGAGTGATGCTTCAATGGCTCCCGAAAGAATAAATTCTTCCACGGTGGCGATCTCCGCGTTCTCGGCACTCTTTGCGGAGTCTGAAATGACCTCTGCTAGGATTGCCTCGTCTATTGAGGTGGGGCAGTTGATGGCCAAGTGCATGGGCCAGGAGCCGCAGAGGGGGGAATGTCAAATTGGTGGCGTAAAAATGCCCTGGCCAGCATGAACAACGAACAACGATGACAAGGGGATGCCATGGCATTCCCTGCTTACCGGCGGCGAAATCACCTTGACTGGGACCTCGACCGCCTGTGCCTGGTCTCTTGTTTTTGCGTTTATCCGACTTTTTCTTCTTTCCTGCCATTCTTTTAAGCTGTCCGGGATTGAGAGAACACTGGTGGGGTTGAATGGGTGATTCATTGGTCTTTTCAACCACACACGCATATGGCACCACTGACAAACGTGACCTCAACGCCCGGTTACGCGTCCCTTAGTGGCGTTCTTGCGTAACCCTTGGAGGATCCCCCATAAAACCTTGTCTGTCCATTCGAGGACAAGTCCTATTTTTGAAAAGTCAATCAATTTTTTTGATATGTAAAGTAATCGGCAAAGTATGATAGCTGTCGGCGGAATATCAGGGGCCTACTGCATTCCCATGCAGAATGACCATAAAGTGATCAAATGAATGAGCCATGATCATCAATTCGTACAAAGTGCCAATGGCAGCGAAAAAGGAAAAACCTTTATTGACAATAAAGACATGGTCCACGGGGGTAATGGAGTTGGATGAGAAGGACTCTTCTCCGAAGGCCACCTACAAGGCCAGGTCGTCGTCATCATGCATGATCGGTCTGCCATAGTCCATACTTGACTTGCGGTCGCGTCGCTGAGTCTTGGATGGGATAAACAAGACAAACGGAAGGTCACGCTTGCGGGGCGGAGGGGTCGTTGGTCTCTGAGGTGGTGGTTCCATGATGTTCGACGTTGTTGGTTGGACTGCATAAGTTCCTGATGCTATGTGAGATGCTGCGAATGTAGGGGTGACAGGCGCCACAGCAGCCGGCGTGCTTGTTGGGGAGGAGATCAGGGGTGTGGATGCCGACGGCGACCATGCCACAGGCGTAGACGTTGAGCGTGGGGTTGCTGGTGACGAGAGGTCTGCGCCGACGGGGAACGTTGAGCGCGGTGTGGCTGGGGAGGACACAAGTGTAGCGGTGGCCTTCTTAGTATACAAAGCCATGTGGGCCTATGCGGTACAGCCACAATGTTAGCCATCGCTCTTGAACATATGAATACCATGCAGCCATCTTGAAGAAAGTACGTACCCGAAAGCCGAGCAGCACCTCAAATGATCGGGAGCTCAGAAAAGCATCTAACTTGATGTATCCAGATGGCAGCCACACCTTCTCTTGAGTGGATCGACCAGCACCAATGATGTCGCCGTATCGTCGCAGAGTGTAAAAATCAATGGACAGGGCACGAGTTTCCGCGATGATAGGATGCCATTGTGCGACGTCAAGCCCCTTCTCCTCCAGGGCCAGGAGGATGGCGGTATTCAGGCGAACACTTTTTCCCTGCTGAACCTGGCAGACGTGGTCGCTAACTTCGGGCTTACACTCAAACACGCAAATTTCGTCCGCCCAGGACTTGTCGACAAAGACCCTAATTGTCATGTCCACTTTTCTGGAGCTTGTACTGGTCGCCATCTTACCGCCAAACACGCTTTCGGTCAAAGAGCGAGACTCCCGTGATGCCCTGCTGCCTAGCTCGCCACTATGTATAACGATTAAATAAATACATAAAGATGTTGGACAATAAGCTGCATGATCGTTTTCTGAATGCGACTGAACTTGTCATCAAGTCTACTTACGGAATGCCGCGTAGGCCAGACTGGGCAAATAGCGTGTTCAAGACGTCGCTCCACGCGCTGACAAACACATGCTCCGATAAAGGCGCGGCAAAGATGTCATTCTCTAGCCAGTGCAGGACTTGCGAGACAATCTTGAGTACCAAGTACTTTTCTTTGGCCGCTCGTGTAGGATGCGGACCTAAGCACTGTAACAGCGACTCGTAAACAAATCTCTGGAGAGATTCGACAGACATGGCTGCAGGGTGTCAGGGTCCGGATACAGTGCTTTTTGCAGATCGGCGCGCAAGTTATCAGTAGTCTTGGAATGGTATGATAAGCACGCCATACGAGACTGTTCCTCCACGAGCGGAGAGAGGGTGAATTGCTGGCCGACAGGAGATAGCGTGTTGATGATTCCACTGACCAGCGCACTAGGCGCATGTTGACAGGGACATAGTGTTAACACATTTACGATGCTTGATGGCTAGGCGAACGAGGCAAAAGCTGAGCGCGTGAGAGGCTGAGTGACTTACAAGACAGGTTTCTTTCTGGTAACATCACCAGGTTCTTGCAAAAGCTGAAGCGCCGCACGGAACATCTCGTTGTACGTTGGAGACAGTCCTGACGGCAAGGCTGGCAACGGAGGATCCTGGCCCTGCGTCTATAATGAATGACCCATATAATAGCATCCGAGGACTCATGGGAGATGCCAACTGTGCCAAAGGTTAGACTTGATGAGCCACTCGTACCTTTTTGAAGATGAAGTCAACAAGCTCGTAAAAAGGGGATGCACGTGCACGGGCAGTATGAGGATCGAGCACTATCACGGAACAAGAGGAAAATATGAGTAGATGGTAGCGGGACAAAAAAGTGAGTATTTCAAGGCATGGGGCTCAAGGCCAGAGCACAAACCTAGGTTGTCTCCGTCTTCATCGTCGTCAAGGTCTTCGTCTAGTTGACAGGGAATAGAAGCTGTTGAGAAGGCTGTCCGACGGCGCAGAAAACGCACAGCCAGTGGAGAAATAACAATCAAATACCTGGCGATCGTTCAATGTTCTGTATGCTGCCTGTCGCCGTAGGTGTCGCCGTAGATATGGTTGTAGGTATCGCCGTAGATGTGGCCATAGGTGTCGTCGTAGACGTCACTGTTGATGCCTCTGTCAGGTATACAAGTATTCATAAAATGGGGTTTCGCTGGGTAACGACATGCGCATGACGAGCGTGCTGAAATTGCAGCATACCAGCATCGAATCGTTCCTCGACTTGCTTTGTGTGCATGCGTGATGCGGCTAACTCTTGCCGTGATACGTTGGCAAGGAGTGTATAGTCGTGCTCTCTCTAGAAACAAATACCGAAGATAAGATAGTCTTATATCTGCACATAGCATAAGCGGCTCATATGATGAATCGACCAACCTCTTGCAGTTCTTTATCAACGATTTTCTCGAGCTCCGCTAGCTTATACTTGCGAAGTGTCCCATACAATTGACGCTTTTCCAATGACGAGTGCTGTCGAAGGTAGCTCAAGGCTCCCCACCAAGCTTTAATGATGCGATCCCTTTCGTGAATATCCGGAAACCGTTTCATGAATGACGCCAGCGAGATATCGCGGACGGCTGAGTCCTCGAAGTATTCTTTCAAGCCAAGTAACATCGCGCGTTCAGAGACCTAAGAGCATGGAATATCTGGCACTGTTAGTATGTTGTGTCGTGCATCGCATCTCTACGAGTAATCTTATACTAAGGGGTCGATGTGGATGATTTGACCAAATGAAGGCACGTTGTCGTTTAACACCAGAAGCAACGCTACCGGTACCCGACGCATTTCACCACCATGCTTCTTGTCATGGGAAGATGGTGGTTAAGCTCTAAGAGCAATACGTGGGCCAGCTTCACACATCCACGAACCGTTTGGAAATGGCGCGAGGGTGTGCATAACCATTCACAAGATTGTTCCCAAATGTCTGACCAAGAGAGATGGGAGTCCCGTCCAGTCAAATCGTGTGAGCAAGGTATGCAAGGGAAAGAGATGGAACGCGATTTTTTATACTAAGGGGTCGATGTGGATGATTTGACCAAGTGAAGGCACGTTGTCGTTTAACACCAGAAGCAACGCTACCGGTACCCGACGCATTTCACCACCATGCTTCTTGTCATGGGAAGATGGTGGCTAAGCTCTAAGAGCAATACGTGGGCCAGCTTCACACATCCACGAACCGTTTGGAATGGCGCGAGGGTGTACATAACCATTCACAAGATTGTTCCCAAATGTCTGACCAAGAGAGATGGGAGTCCCGTCCAGTCAAATCGTGTGAGCAAGGTATGCAAGGGAAAAAGATGGAACGCGATTTTTCGATCCCCCATGAAAATACTTAACTTTGATTAGGTGCCAAGGGAAGTGATCGTGATCAATGTTTGGTGTAAGTCGCTGTGGTTTGCGATGTGATGGCAAGGAGCGACGTGTATGAACGAATGCCAAGACAGCGAGGCAAAGAGGTAATGAAATTGGCGCAAGAAATAGTGGCAGCAGATAGTACAAATGTGCGCGATCAGCACTGTGATGTGTGTGGCCGGACACACGAAAACTAGTCTTGACTATGGAATGATAGACTAAAACTCTTTGGCCATTTTCTTGTTGAGTCCTCTTGACTGATTCGATACAGAAGAGGCCCTTTTGCGGCTTCGGGGGGAGTGCTGCGGCTGCTGCTGGTAGTCATGGATGTGCTGCTGCTGGCGCTGCTGGCGTCGATCGTGGAGGAGCTGGAGCTCGTCGCCGCCATGCTCGTGTCTTCCTCCCAGGGGCACCCGCCGTCTGCCGTCCTGGGCTGTAGTAAAGAGGTCTCTTCTGGTCCTCTTGATACCCTCGGACGATCTTGGACATATTCTCCGCGGCCATGACGTCCCTGTGGTGATACCTCTTGCAGTGGATACAGTAAAATTGGCGGATGTTCACCTGGGCCACAAAGTTTTCGCAATCGGGGCACTTTTTCGAAGTGTAGTATTCGTTTAGTCCAACTACGATATAGCCCAACGACTGCGCCTTGATAAAAATAAAAGAATAAACGTGTTATCACCATGTGCAGATATCAAACGTTAGAACTCTTTGCGATGGTGGCAAACGGCATACGTACCAGCGAGATAAAGTATACCAAATGAAGAATGGAACGATGACAGGCGCCCGATGCTCTTGAATCGTCCAAGACCCACTCCGATCAACACTGGATTTGCAGGGTTCCGATGTCGGCCGATGCTTCCGCCTAAGATACCGAGCAGACTCGCTGCAATGGCCTGGTATTCCGCTTGCTTGGCCCTCCCCATGTCCAAAGCATGCTTCTTGAATCGATTCTTGTTCCCGTTGTAAAACTCGGAAAGCCGCTCCTCGACCTTCTCCTTAACGTAATCAAAGAGATTGGCTCCTGGACCTCGGAGGAGTGGATGTCGGGATTCGATATGGGCAATCGATTCTTTCTGCTTGTCGAGAGTCGCTTCCTTTTCTCCTTCTAGCCACCTCCTGTGCCGGAACACTGATTGGAGTACCGCCTTTTGGTTGACGGCGAGGTTATAGTGAGCATCTGGATCTTCCGGTAGATATGCATATGCACCCACCACAAACGCTTGTCCAGCATCGAGCGTGAGGATCTTGATATCGTGAGGGTCGACCTCGGGCCACAACCGTGCAACATCCTCCTTGGTCTGGATAACATGCCGAATTTCCTGCCCACCCCTCCGACCGTGGACGTGATCCGTGGTGGCAGGCGATCCGCCGGCAGTCTCCTGTACCGCACACATTGCAGTTCCCTCAACTTGAAGCCGAGCAGATACAGTCCAAAACCATCCGTCAGCAGCGAGCCCCTTGAAATATATCCTTTCTCGGCATATTCTCCTGGCTGGAATCCGGGCTCCTCCAACTTTTGCAAGCGGCTCCTGAGAGCATCGAGAGACCACAACTTGATCGCAGCTCGATAACCAGCCTTTCCTTTCTGGCGACTCGTCAAATTTTGTGGATCGATATCGGCGACAAAGTGTTTGAACAAGAAACCTGGCTCCTTTGCGCCTATCCACCATTGTATCCCTTGTATAGTAGCGAAGCCTCCATCTTTGGACACCAGTTCCACAAGCCTCTCCTTCAGCTTTCCTCCACTCTTGAAGTAAAACCCAGCCAACTCCCTCTCGGTAAATCCGATGTAGGGTTGCTTCGACGTAGTCATGGGCGCAATCCTTCGGGGGTTCTGGGTCAATTTGTTCAGCGCGACGTAGTTTTCAACTGCTGATATATCACCCCGAATCTGAATTTCCTCGTTGGATCTCTTCAGCAGCCCCTTGCTCGCCCTCTTCTTCAGTTACAATTAAAAGAATTAGCGATACATGTATTAGGATTCTTAAACATCTGCGTTGATGGCATGGCACCTCAACTCTTACCGTCTTGTGTAGATCACAAGTTCCCTTCTTATACATCCTTTTTAGCTCGGCTTTCAACTGTCCGACTACAGATCGCACCAGGTTCGTGGGAGTAAATGGCAGAGTTTTGTTTATCTCTGACCGAGTCCGCGGTGGAGTGTATAGATCAAGACCTTCAAGACGAGAGATGAACGCATCGGCCTTGATCCCGATACCAACAGATTTCGGGAAGTTGCCGGAGTACAGGTGTGTTAAAAGGCTCGAAAGGAACTGCCGCTGCTCCTTGTCATTCTTGCCTGATCCTTCCAGATCTGTGTCGTCCTCATCGCCATCCTCCTCCTCGTCATCGTCCTCCTCCACAACGCCAACAATCTCGTCCTCGTCGTCGTCATCCTCCATAGTATCATCGGCGTCATCCTTGACATTCTTCATACTGACTCTCGGACAGAAAATATCCAAAAACTTCCGATCCTCGGCATCCAAGCTTTCAAGTCCTTTCTTGACCAAGTGTTCAATGTACTCCCCGATCAACCTCTGGCCCTGGCGCTTGATGCGTGCCGCTTCGCTCGAGGCCTTCTGATGGATAGCCATCACCTCTTGTTGCAGACCGTCTTGATTCGGAAGTGCGCGCTTGACACTGCTATTCTGGCCACTGAGGACGTTGGACTTTTTAATAAACGCGACGACACCTTTGCGCTTCCTAGAAGGCCGTATACATGACGCGCAATGAAAGCTCGTTCGATCGAAGGAAGCACAATTTATTCACAGTTATATTTCTACAAATGAACACCTCTACTTGGTACTGGAAGGCGAAATGAATACGACGCGAGAAGTAGAGTAATTAACGGTATGTCATCTAAAGATGAAGTTGTAGCTGAGTGAGGGGACGACGTAGAAGTTGAATGGGGTGCTGTTAACACGAGCAGAGATGGTACAGATTGTCTTCAACGTGCCATGACTTATGCGGACAGGTGGGCAATACTTCGTGTTGATTAGGTGCTTGAGAATATAGGGACTGTAGATGCTGGCGGCAACGCGCGCGTACGCCTTGTAGTCAAGAAAATCGTTTTTGGAAACTGTTTTGGTGTTAGGATGAAGGCGTGAGGATTTAATACAACATCTCTTAGAAGGGTGTTTGTTTCGTCCGCAGTAGAAGTAGGAGGGAAACCTGGGCGCGTTTTCAAAGGGCCGTATCTAGCTAGGACCTATCAAGACAAATCCGTGGAAGTTGCGGATGTTGAATATGTAAGAAACGTGGAAAATTTAGAAGTGGGGACACACAGGAAAGATAGAAGCCGGGAGTGTGCCAAAGTAGTCTATCCAGGGCACAGTTCTTGACGGTGTCATCTAAAACCCTAAGGAAAGAACACGCATGCAGGTGCCAGGAGTCCACCATTTGTAATCTCAGACGCCGTTTCAGAACGTTGGTGCTACCCTCTTAGCGCCGCATGTACACAGTCGCAGTTGTAGTCAAAGCACTATTTCGCTAATGAGAGACAAATAGTTACGGTTGGTCGCAGCCAAAGCGGGCTGGCCAAACGGGTTCTGATGCTCATCCCCTTTTTCTGCCTGCATAGGTTGCTTCGATGCTCTTCGCCTGCACTATACAACTGGCCGCAGCAGCACGTGGGCTCGGGAAACATTGCGACCCCCCTTGGTGCGGCGGAAAAGGCTAATTTCTTCAGTCTCTTGTTTATTCACATACAGCAATTTACAACACTCATCCAGTTAAAGGTCAATGATCGATACTCTTTTTCTAGCCTTTCTTCACTATTCTCACAGCATGATGGACGCCATTGAACTAGGACAAGAGGCCCGACTTTCAGAGTTCTTTAAAATCCACAAGAATGAGGAAATCATTGGATAGAGCAGCTGGAGCGTATTGTATGCATAGCTACCTCTACGGAGAAAAGATATGTATTGTCGGAAATATGCCAGATGAGCCCGCATACATGAGATCATTGACCACAGTCCGGGGTGTGCTCGACAACTGTGATCACAACAGAGTGTTTGAAGCAGGATAGTAATCGGGGACCAGTCTGTGAGACCTTTTGAGTATCCCACGTCACTTTCCTGTATGGAAAGAAGGTTTCAGGGTCCGAAGCTGTGCATGCTACAATAGGACTCCGGTCAAGTCCATTGTGAGAGTCATGGATAGAGATGTAATTGCGCCTTTGCATCGTACTTTACGTCCACTTGGTGGTCGGCTATTCATCAGCCTGGAAGAACGCATTCAGTGCGGTCCCTTCCTCTTCCCTCCCTCCCTCTTCCCTCCCTCCCCTTTTTTTCTTCTTGCGCATAAGCAAAGAGTCGAAAAATGGAGTTCAGCCACTCGAACGGGAAGATTGGGTCAAGTGTCTTTTGTATCTTCAGAACACTGCCACCCTCCTTATTCTTTTTTTCCCTTTCGTGAAAAGACGATGGAGCAAGGGAAGCTGGCCGGTTGCGGTCTAGAGCGGTCTAGGGCGTGGTTGACGCTGTGCCGCAGCGAGCATCCAAAAAACAAGATAAGAAAGTCCGACGCACAGAGTACATACTTTACATACAATATACACTGCTGAACTGCTGGGACACTGCATCACCAGAGTCAAACACGTTTGTGCCTCGAATAAAGAGGACACATTTGCTGCCCGCCGGCTGCTCCTTGAGGATGGACCCCTGATGCTTACTTCAATCAAGCTCTTACACCCCCAGCCCCTCAAAAGGGCCTTTGATCTAATCTCTTTTTTCTGCTCCTCGTATTGCATATTTCTTGCCGTCGCTCGCCGTGCCTTTTCTGACTCTTGTCTCCTCTTCACACTCCTCCCCGTCCTTATCCCCGGTTCTTCTCTTTATCCGCATTGGCAATACTATTCTAGTATTTTCATCCGCTCGGCCGACAGCGTAACACATCCTGCTCACACCTCACATTACATCCTCAATGGATATTATTATCCTACCGCGACCGACGGCTCCTTCCTCCACCACGAGTTGGTGTGGTGGCGAAACTTGCCCCACCACCACCTTGTCCTCGTCTACAACGTCTCCAACGACCACCACTACGATTTGGACCACCTCCACGATTTGGACCACCTCCACGACTTGGACCACCATTACGACTTGGACCACAACAACTACAACCTCTCAACCAGCAACATCAACAACAACAACAACAGCAGCAAGAACAACGACTAATCCTGTGTCCACCACCACAAGACCCGTTACAACCAATACCGTGCCTTTACCAATAACCACTCAATCATCGTATTCTTCAAACCTACCCGTGGGCACCTCTACCTCAACCCAATCCACATCCATTCTCGGGTTGGGTGCCAGTCCCACGGCCTCTCCAATAGACGGAGGTAACGGCGGTCTAAACCGGACTGTAGTAATCGGTATCGCGTCTGTAGGCGTGATCGCTATTGGTATTGTCATCACCGTCTTAATCATAAAGGGCACTCGTCGCCGAAAAAGACATCAGGCACTGGGTCAAGATGACCTGTTTGACCATCTGCCTATCGAACCGTCCCCCAAGCCCTTGGTGTCCACCACCGCGACCTACCATCACGCGCATCACAAAAACCACGAACTCGAGCCCATGTACTATCAAGGCGGCGATCATCAAATGCATCAAATGGACCATATGGGACACTCAGGCGATGGATACCATGAGTACCACCACCATCACCACGACCCCTCTCAAGGCCAGGCTCACCAGGGCGGACATGGAGATCATCAAGCTTTCGCTGACCAGGGACAGGCGCATCAAGGTGGCCATGGGGGCCACCAGGGTCTCTCAGACCAGGGACAGGCACATCAGGGCGGACATGGAGATCATCAGGGCGTTGCTAACCAAGGCGGAGCACATCAGGGCGGTGGCGGACAAGGATTCCAAGACCCCAGTAATCAGGGATTCCCGAACAACGGAACCGCAAACCAGGGGCCATTCCAGCAGATCGGAGGCGGTTCACATCCTCCACCACAACCGCCAAGCCAGCCATCAACAGCTTTGCCGGGTATCAGTGGCGGACCACCCCCAGTAATTCTTGCGCCTCTTCTGGTGAACCGACCAAAGACAAATACCCGGAGCAGACCAAAATCCTCGTCCCAGTACTCGGTATTGTCCTCGCCCACCTTGACCAACTTCAGCGTGGATCATGGGCTCATCGATGAGACCTCAATTCCTGCCCAAGGTACCATGATTGTCGGTCCACCATCAATCGGGCATAGGTCTTCTTCGGCGTCGTCGTCTTCATTAGGACATAGATCCAGCAGCGGCCGGGATGGATATGGACAGGACCTCGAATACTCGCCTCGAACCAAGCAGACACTCCTGGATCAGACTCGATACCATGATTCCAGTTCTACGCAACACATGTCATCCAGGGTCTTGCCGATCTCGCCTAGGATCGCGACCATCCCATCAGCGCAGGTGTTCGAGATCAGGGCCCCTCAGGAGGGACACTCAGAGGCTGTTGGCTCGATTGTTTCTACAGGAAATGTCTCCTCTCTCAACACCTTTGATCGACGACATCCCCAGGCGATGGATGACAACCAGAACAACAACAGTCTGTTCAGCCCTTACTCCCGTAGCTCGCGCAACCCTGAAGACGCATAATGACCCTGCTTCCTGCAGTTTCTTTCATATATTGTAGATTTCAACCAATATTACTTTTTTTTTTCTTGTCTGTAATAATACAATTTGTGTGTAATAATACAAATCTTTTGCGCGCATCCTTTAACAACAACAACAACAACCCGCATTGAGAATACCGGGCACATAGTGTACAACAGATAACACAAACTGAAAGTCTACTGAACAAAACATGCCGACCGCTTTTCACTTTTTTTTTACAATCGATGGCTTTGTTGTCTATTATCCAACTATCCATATAATTAAGCATCGCCCTTCTGTTCATCCTTCTCGTCAATCTTTTGCTCCGCAGCCAGACGAAGCCTCTCTCGCTTCTTGGCAGCCGCACGCTCCGCCATCTCCGAGACTCCGGCCACGACGGACAGCATACCCAGTTGATGAGCGACCGTCATTACATTCGTATGGTGCACCCCACCTTTCTCGAGCACTGTCTCGATCGACGTGTTCGGCAAATGGGGATGGGTCTGAACCAAGTTCATATCACTAACATCGCCTGCTCCAAAGCCCAAAGTGCTCTGTGGACTGAGCGCAAAAGGCGAATTTGGCATCATTAGCGAACCACCATAGGCACTGTTGATATTATGCGCAAACATCGCAGGCGAGGGCACAGTTGATGCCATGCGCTTGCTCAGATCGTGGTTCGAGGTTGTGAACGTCGGCGGGTGCGCCAGCTGGGAGTATCGCTGGAGCATATCGAGCTCCTCACGCAGGGTCTCGTACCGGAAGGCGACCCGGATGTTGGGGACGTTGGTCTTCTCCATATCGTTGCCCTGGACACCGGGAAGGTACCATTTCTTGCCGATCCAGTGTTTCTTGACCTTGTTCTCAAAACCAGAATGGCGGACGGAGTTGCGCGAGATCTCGCACATGTCTGCCCCTGACAGCTTCCAGATCTATGAATGGAGCACAAGGATCAATCGACCATGTCAGTCAATTTTGTAAATGCGGCAGGGACAAATGAAACAGCTATACAAAATGTACAGTTTGGATAAGATATCTCACCTGAGCAGCAACGCTGTACTCCTCGATAAGCGGCTCCTTGGTAAAGTGGAACTGCAGAGGATCATCTGTACTCAAACTAACATTGAGTCCACGATGGAAGAATACCGGGAACGGGTTTCTCTCATAGTCGAGAAACAGGGCGTTGTTGGACAATGGTGACATGGCAATACCCATCTGGGTCAGGTAGAACAGATACTGCAAAGCCGGGACCTTTCGAAGGAGGATTCCGTGAGAGATACCGAACGAAGTCAGGAAGGCTGAGGTCAAATGGTCCGTGTCACCGGCTTCGCCACAGTGGGGTCTTAACACAAATGTGTCTAGTAGAGGATGCGGATAAAAACTTTGATGTTAATCTCACAGTTCATATCATGAAGAACATGTAGAACGTCATATGCTTTGCTTTGGATTCCTTACTAAAGCCGCGCTTCTGGCGGAAGCGGTTGAGACTCGTCATGTTGGCAAACATGTAGTAAATATAGTAGCTGTAAGGAGGATTCATCGCCGTGTTCCACGCACGAGGGTACGGGTACTTCTTGTAAATACGACGCTCGGCCTTGGATTCGTCGTCCACAGAGTCGAATCCGATGACGCGCTGAAGGAAGATGTGTAAGTTGGGATGGCTTGTTGGGTCCTTCGACACCTCGAACAAGGGCTTGAAGATGTTCACGATCACCTGCTCAAAGTTCTCGGCCGAGTTGGTCGCCTTATAGACATTGTAGAGACGAGGCACCTGGATCAACCATCTAACGTTGGGCGAGAACAGCTTGTTGTCGACCACCCAGTCGGCCAACTTGTCCCACTCGGACTCGCTGCGGCCGTAGATCGAGATACGGTACTCGGCCATCTGGTACTTGCTCTGCTCCAAATCTGAGATGACCTCCTTGGTGATGTCAGCCAAGTAGCGGCCCTTGATCTTGTTATCTGTCTTCATAAAGATTTCACGGAGACGCGACTCGCCGATTGGGTTGTACTTCAAGTTGAATTTGTCGAAACGGTGGAATGAATCTTTATGGGCCTATGCAATGCAGAAAACAACAAGGTTATACGGACATCAGTAAAGCGAGCAATAAAACCCATGAAACATACTGTATGCAAGTCAACTAAAAGAACTTACGTGCATATCCATGGTATCGATGCTGAGGTCGTACGCTGTCAGGTTCAAACTCTTGAACACCTCCTCGAGGGTTAGGTCCTTGCCGTCACGGAAAATGACCACGTCTTTCGGGGTCTTGCGCATCTTTGACTTGATGAAGCGGAGTAAATGCTTCTGGTTCATACAGGAACTATGATGAACGTGAGTGTCGACCTTACGCACGTTGTAGAAATCACGATGAGGCACACGCTTGGCCTCAGCCAACTCCTCGTACTCGTTTAGGAGAATGTACATGTTCCATTTGCTCTCGAGGTACTTGAGACGTCTGAATGCGAAGCTCTTAGTAGGGCCGTCCGAGATGACCGAGAGGACGAAATCGAGGTCGACAAAGTATTCCTTAGGAGTTGGCACCTGAACAATGGGCTGCTTCTTCTCAAAGTCCTCCTGGTTCGCGAACACCTGTGTTTGGAAGATCGAACAAATTGAAATTAACAAGATTTTCTCTGCACATAGCTGACAAATAATGGAAAAAGAAATCGCCGTACCTGATAGATACCAGTGTCGTCCATCTCAAAGACATAGTCGCAGGATCCAGGGATCTTAGCCTCCTCGTGGATGAAATCGCTACCGATGCTATCAGGTCCGTCAGTCACTCGACCCTTATGCTCGGTAATGGGCCAGGAAGGAGGTGGAGGAGGAGGGTAGATCTCCCAGTCGTCCTTGTCGCTGGGGTTATCTCCGACGCGCTGGCATGAGACCTTCATGTACTTTTCACGGAGATCAAGACACTTCTGAAAGTTGGTGTAGAGCGACTGGAGCTCGAGTGTGATCTCGTCATTGGGCGCGAAGTTTGGCTTGGTGTTCTCTTCAGCCTTGGTCTCGTCCATGATGCCAGCATCCGCATCGAGCTTGCGCAGGTTCTCGGGCGTGTTGTCAAAGAGCATGGCGGCCTTCGTGTTCTTGGGAAGAGTCGCCAGGCCGGAGACAGGCTTGGAAGGCGTGTGGGTCTCATGGGCTAGGTACTTGTTGTCCTCCTGTTGAGATGAGAGGAAATACAAGGATGTGAGTTGTGGGCGTGGAGGATAATAAAATTAATTCGCGGAGTTGGTCCCTGCGGAGGAAAGTTCAGAACACAGAGCAAAACCGTAACAGAAATAAGGAAGGTCGAGCTGTTTTTCTCACGGCAGGAGGGGAGGGAACGCGAACTGAAACAATAACAGCGATGCACAAGCACAGGCGTACAAACAGATGCACGCATACTATCCTCCAAATGTGGATGGACGCATTCAATGGCATGAGCGACAAACGTACCAGCTTCAATGCCTTCTCGGCATAGTAGGAGTAGAAGGGGGTGTGTTCATGCTCGTTCTCGAGCGGATCATGGTCCTTGGAGATCGAGTCGTCGACGTCAGCACGCTTGTCAGGCACCTCGAACGAGTTTTCCTTGGTAAGCGATTGGGATGGCTGCTGATCGACCTCAGGCTCTTGGTAGTCAACTACATCCTCGCCGTTCAGGATGTTAAAGTGATGGTTGCACATTCTTGCAGCGTGTCACAGGGCAAGGCTTTTCGATTGGGCAAGGGTTTGGCAGAGCAATTGGATGAGGCGGGAGTGGGAGTGGGGAGTGGGGAGTGGGGAGTTGGGAGAGGGGGAGTGGGATGGGGTGGAGTGGAGCGTTGGCGGGTGAAGGGTTAGAGAAGACCAAGAAAAAGAACGACCACCCAACCGAAAAGACGACCAAGAAAAAGAAGAACGGAAATGGAGGCGAATGCAAATCAACAAGGCTTTTATAGGCAGGAAACTGGCTGCGGGATTTCAAAACGCAGCAAGTCACGATCCAGGAGGCATACAGCAAGGGGTGCAGTGTGCAGGTGGACTGGAACCTTACTTTTAACCTCTTGATGCAATTGACGCCCCACAGGCTATTCTTGCCCCACAGAGACTGGGGACTACCAAAGCGGGGACCAGAGGAAGGGAAGGGGACCCGATAAAGAGAGAAAGAGAGAGGACATGGACTATCTGTTCCCACAAGCAGCATGCAGCGGGAGGAGGGGGGACAAACAGAAGAGGGATACGGTGACGACCTCCGTCATCCAGCTTACGCTGGGTGCTCTTCATTCTCTTTATCTGCATGGAGCAGAGAGATAAGAGGACCCTTAGGAGAGGTGCAGTAAAGAGGACAAATGCGACCACAAGACCCCAATGCCTTGTATGTGTATCCACTCGTCGTCAAACGGCTGTTACACAGGGTGGGGGCCTGTCCCGCCCTCAGCTGAACTCTATTTCACCCGCAAAAATAAAGAACGACCATTACCGCAGCAGTAGACGACATAGACCATCCCCTCCCCCCCTCTACTCCACAGGAGCAAACCCCTTCAAGTCGCGAGTCGACCCCATGGCGGACCGCAAGGCAACCAACAAGTACTACCCCCCAGACTGGGACCCCTCCAAGGTACCTCGCTGACATCACGCTCATCCATCAGGATCAGCTCTCTGGCATGACACCCCACCATGACCTATGCTGACACGTCCTCTTGTTTGCTCCCTCAACCAGGGTTCCATCAACAGCTATGTCGGACAACACCCCCTTCGCGACAGAGCACGGAAGCTGGACCAAGGAATCCTCATTGTCCGTTTTGAACTGCCCTACAACATCTGGTGCAATGGATGCAACAACCCCATCGGGATGGGTAAGCCGGAATCCTCTTTGATCTTGGAACTATTTTTGCTTAGCCATAAACTCTCACTCATCCCCATATCACATCGCGCATTGCATCAACCTAGGCGTACGATATAATGCCGAAAAGAAGAAGATCGGCAATTACTACTCGTCACCGATCCTCAGCTTCCGGATGAAATGCCACCTCTGCGACAACTGGTTCGAGATCCAAACCGACCCCAAGGTAACCAACTACTACACCCTTCTGCTTTCTTCGCACCCGTTCACGAGGAATTAATGCTGGAAATTTTAACACCTATTTCTTGCTGCTCAAACTTGAATAGAATGCAGCGTATGTCGTAACAGCAGGAGCAAGGAAAAAGGTCGAGGACTTTGACGCCGCCGACAACGAGACCCTGGAGATCGACACGCCCGAGGAATTCGAGCGGAGAGCCAACGACAAATTCGCAAGGCTTGAGCATGTCCAGCGGGATGCCCTCAAGGCAAAATCAGAGGCGACCGTCCTCACCCGTCTACAACGCCTGAATGACCGGCAATGGAGTGACCCCTATGCCCTCTCACAAAAGCTCCGCAAAGAGTTCAGAACTGAAAAAAAGGCGCGGCTCAAGGAAGAAGCAGAATGCAAATCTGTTGCTGATCGTGTCGGGTTCGCTTTCAAAGTCCTACCCGAGTCCGTGGAGGATCGCGAGGGCTCCAAGGTGATTGACTTTGGATCTGGACAGAAGGCGATCATGGAACAAAGGCTCAAGGAGATTAAGTCTGGAGCATTGTTTTCCAGCAGGAGAGGCACCAAGCCGGGGCTTGTTGTAAGGTCTCACAGCACCATCAAGGGACCTACATCATCTTCTAAGGCAGCACCGGACAAGGTCGTTAGTGCCCTGATATCCGCAGTGAAAACGAACACCCGTCTGCAAGTGGATCCCTTTCTCGTTACGCCGCAGCCAAAATTGCCCTCTGCGCTCACTTCAAAACCTACACCGACGAAGTCACCCTTGGTTTCATATGGCGACGAGAGCGACGAGAGCGACGGCGATGATAAGTAGAGAGTGAATACCTTACGGCATTAACACCATATCAACGTCACTATGTATATAATCCTATGCTCATGAGCGCCGCTTGTACAATACATGTCTTCTTGGAGCCTTTATTTGCGCTCAGTTTATTATGAAAGGGCGCTGTAAACGTAAAGAGCTGTCTCCGCCTCCTTTATGACTTGATCGCGCGCGATTGCGCCCTCTCGGCTTCCAACTCATTAACCCAGGCAGTGACCATAGGATGCTTGAACTTGCCGCGGGTCCCTGCAAAGAAGTCCTCCAACGTCGTACCCTCGGCTATGAGATCAATAAAAGGCAACATCATTAGTTAGTCGCATGTTACGATGATTCCAATCCAATTGCCAAACATAAAAAAGTGCCACGTCAAGGGCTTACACTCCTCGTATTCGAGTGCCTGCGTGATCATCTCAAATTTGTCAAAGTCCTTCACCAAGAGTGCCTCTGGTGTCGAAGCTGCCTCGTATTCCTCCCACAGCCCAAAGATTTCCTGCGCTTGTGCTGACCAGCCAAGCAAAGTGTGGCAGAGATGGTGCATGGCATTCTATCAGAATCCAAACGAAATCCAGAGTGAATACCTCAGCATATCTTTCATTTCACACAGAAACCTATTCCGTATTAAACATACCCTCTCCTGTGTGTGCTTGTCCTCGATGCTGACTCCATCATATGGAGTAATGTCGCCCTAATTACGTTCATGATGTTTCAGTATCGTTGAATCATGTCTGGTACGAACTGAAATAGCGAAATGTGCACTGCATTGTGTCACGTACCACCAAACTCTCTGCCAGATCGTGAACAATGGTCATCTTAATGCAACGGTTCTTATCGACGCCGGCAGTCTTTTCATCGATCAAGAGAGCCATAATGCTCATCCTGTACATGTGGTCGGCGATCGACTCTGCCGGCTTGATCCCGTGGTTGATCCATCCAGTCCTCTTTGTGCGCTAGAGATAGGCAAGATCAAAGAATACGTTTGGTCAGTGCCCCCAAGCAATTACCAGTTATTTGTGTTCCGTTTGTATATGATGAATTCCTTTTCTACCTTCAGCTTTTCGACAATGTGCAGGAACTCAAGTGTACCCTTGACCGACTGCGCCTTGGACTCGCGACTTGATCCCGCAAGAGTCTTGTCCGCCCTCTTAAGTTCAGTCATACGTGCTACTACACTCGCTACAGGCCATCAAACGTAATACGGACCTTTAGCTTCAATTGGACAGAGACCCAGTTGGTACGTCCTTTTACGTGAGATCGTATGATGCGCTGTATACCTTCCTCTGGCGATCCCTCTATGATCTCCAAGAGTTCTCCGTCGTTCAAGTGTTGCGGATTAGTCACAAGATCTCCATGATGATCTAGACGGAGAAGAGATACGACAGTGTTCTCTGGGAGATTGGCGAGGGCCTTGGCCGCTTCGTAAAGGTCCTTGTTGCCGGTACTTTGCTGGACGCGGATCGAGTTGTCGTACACGGCCCCGTTGTATTGCAGCTTGACCACAGGCGAAATTGTTGCACTGTACGCGCCGACGATGTCGTCTTCTGTGAATGAATCCATAATAATGTATTGGCGAGTTGAGTGAAAGAGAGTTGTGTTTGATGGTATGTTTTCGATGACGAATGAAGTGCCATCGAGGGGGTGCATGCATCAGATTCGTGAGTAGCTCGATTTTTTCGTCACGTGTAACAAAAAAAAACGCGTGCTGTGTTTCACTGTAAGAGGGAAAAGATCTGTGAGAAGGGTGCTTCCCGAAGGTCGCAAAAGCATTTGAGCGAGCCCAGGGTCCTATTGGAGTTTATGGACCATGAAGCAGGAACGCAATAGGAGGTGCCAAACTACACTGAGCGCTCCGTTTTCAAAACGAAAGGATGCATCGTGTAAGGCTGCGCGAAAAAAGTGCTCCGCTTCATGACTTCATGAAAAACGGGTATCTGCTTGCTGTGCAGTTCCTTGTAGAAAACCACTTACCTTCGAAGGCCACTCGACGCCAAAGCACGGCTTGTCGTTCCCGAACTATACCCGACCGTTACGCGTCACTTTCGTTCGACACATTTGCTGGTGCTGAGGGTTCTTCTGTTACGCCTCTCTCTCAAGGTATGTTCAGTTTTTGAAAAAGGACCCCCTCTTCTATCCTTCAGACCCCGTTCTGTTCGCCGCTGTCTTTTCTTCAATGTCCTCACTTCCTATACATTCCTTTGCTGTCTGGTCACTTTGACTTAATAAGCATTATATATATTTAATGTCGCTCGTTAAGCATCTGAGTCTTGGGTGCATTCCATTTCGCATCGCCCAGTTCTCACATGTATTTGCCGTAGCCTGTTGTATTGACGATAACCCCCCTCAACTGATGTTCTATATTAGATCTGTTCAGATCGCGATGGTCATTGAAAATTAAGGATAATAAAAAATAAGAGACCAACAACAACCACTGAGTTCCTTGGACAGAATGAAAGGACGTCAAAGAAGCACAAAATATAAGCACAGAAAACGTAGAATAATAAATGCTGCCAGTGGCCTTCAGATCATCCACAACAGATATAGTCATTTATTCTTCACCTCGTCTGAGCGATCGATTTTGATACTCACTATAACTGGCCGTATGCGTTACTCCGCCTCGAGATTATCAGCGTGATATCTCACCTCCCCCTCAAAACTTGAAGAACCCTTTGGTACCAGCATCGATCTGCGCATGCCGCTCACTCTTCTTCCACTCCGCAATCCTCGGGTGCGCGTTCACCGTCTCCTTAACCTTCCACAATCCCGGCGTCCTCTCCTCCGAGATCAACCCCCTCACGCGCTCCTCCAATCCCTTGGGCACCATCAACAGGATCCTATCCACCATCAACGCCGTCTTCAAATCCGCCAACGTGAACTGACTCTCTACATAATGGCCATTCGTCCCATTCTTCGCCAAATGGGCCTCATGGGCCGCAATCCACCGCGGCAAATGATCACGGTAGAACGCCTCGGCCTCGTAGTTACGCTTCTCGAGAGGTGCAAAGAGGACCTTGAAGAAGTTGACGCTGAGGGTCTCCATGGAGGTGTAGTACCGGTCGACGAGATGATTCTCCCAGGAGTTGGAGCCGAGGAGATCGAACTTGCGGGCGAGGTGGCGCTCAATCGCCTGGGACTCGGAGAGCTCGAGGACAGTGCCGTCGGATGTGGTCTCGTATAGGACAGGGAGGACACCGAAGGGAGTATCCTTCTTCATGGCGGGCCAGTCCTATTTACGGTTTTAGCGGATCAAGCAGGGGGAGGGGAGGAAGGAAAAGCATGAGAAATTTTACAGCTTTCTCTTGAACAGAACGACTTCAGAATTACAGTAGGAAAAGGACGAGGGGAGAAGTAGCTTACCAGGGACAGCTCCTCAAACTTGGCGCCACCATAGGCGAGCAGGTTGCGGATCAATTCGCCACGGCCGTGGAGACCAAAGTAGAGGAACTTGAATGTCGACTCGGTCGTGGTATCGATTGCCTGAGCAAGGGCGTGGGTGCTGGCCTGAGTAGCAATAGGGAGGACAGAGTTGGTAGCGACCATTCTTGAAATCTTGGATGAAGAGAGTGTGTTTGCTTGAAAGATGATGGTGATGGTGTTTGATACTGCAAGAAGGTGAGATATGTCCTCATTTTTATACCTTTTTTTTTCCCCCTCTCTCTCTCTTGTCTATCAATAACTCAGGTTCCTGATTACCTGGACCTTGCTGGCAAGCTGACAAGAGTTGTCTATCCAAGAATGCTGACAAGAATTGTCTGTCCAAGAATGCAGACCCTAAACTTGGTTAAAAAACCTGTTTAAATAACAACAATCTTGGCTAAAGGCCAACTCTACGAAGGATAAGCTAGCCAATCACATTCACCCAAATATATACACTATTCAAACCCTAGGTTTGCGGCGCGCCGCTTGAGGTCAGAAATGCAATTTCTTCATTACGCCGCCCAGAGACCATTAGTAAAAATAAAAATATAAATAAAATAATGCAAGTTGCTCAACATGCCCTAACAGGCCCCGCACTGAGTACGGCGTCGTGCTTATTAATGGTTAGTCGACGGATGTACAAGGAAGCCACTGGTACTTCGTCTCTTGACAGCCAGCAGGTTCCGGACTAATGACCCGTATAATGCGTTGCAGTATTGCCCAGTCCTGCAACCTGCTTTTTTTATCAAGAGACAAATCCTTAAAAAGGAAGGGAAAAAAAGTGCGGGGATGGTGTAATAAACTACACGAGGAATCGGCTTGCCCACTGATCCATTGATGCCTTGCGGCATTGACCCTCTTTTTTTTTACGCACCATACTGCTACTTCATTTCTCTAATCCCTAGAATCAAATATGGCTCATCAGCTGCAATTGCCTATTCAGGGATACACCTTGACGCCGTAGCTGGACTCAATCGTTCCGCCAACGGACAAAAAATTCCATGTACCAAAGGCACATGCGTGTTTTACGCGGCCCTTGCAGTGCCTTAAATCTATTCCGTAAGCACAGACGCTCTTTCTCTGCCGCCAACCGACACCATGTATATCATTGTTGCATAGGCGTGCCAATGAAGAGGTAATCCTCGTTAAAGTTTATTGCCAAATGACACGCGCCGTGAATGCCGCTCACTATTTACGATCGCATTGTATCCGCGAAATGATTCAGACACACCTCACCAGCACAAAGAGTAAAGAAGTAGAAAGAGGAGAAAGAAAGCTAAAAGTACATAAAGTCATCCCGTATTCACGCTCGGGTTCCCAAATCCACCGTCTATCGACTCATGGAAGAAAAAAGAAGAAACAGAAAAAAAAATGAAAAGAGGGAGTGGTAAAAAGAAGAGCCCGAAGTGCGCATGCCGCGATCATTCGCTTTTCTTGTCGTACTCCTGGCTCGCTCAGGATAAATGAAAGCTGCCTTGACCCTCTTCATACGCCATCTTGAACTTCGCCAACGTAACTTCCTTGCAAGAATAGTCCGGCATCTTGAGGTAGTTAGCACATGTCATCACCGAGGGCAAATAGTCGTCAGCCTTCAGTGGTGCCTCGAATGGCTTGCAGACGACCGTGAATGGTGGATGCAGGTTCTTGAAACCTAAAACCCAGAAATCAAAGCGAATTACGTATATCAGTCCATGTTCGAATTGTTTTCAATTTACCAACTGCCCTGGTCGTTAGCAAGCATTACCTCCAATGGGCAGTTTGGGACTTCCGGTAATGAACTGCAGGAATTGCCGTCTCTCTTCCTTGCTGAATTCGCTCATAACCAGCAATAGGTTCTTGAACGCGCGACTCTCGCTCCGGAAGCCGTGGTCAGCCTTCACAGCATCCACTAGTGCTAATTATACGCAATCGCAATCGTAAACGCCTCTTGGTTAAAAACAGAGCCTTCAACCCCGCCGCGTTCTGTACTTCCTTCCAGATAACACTTATCACTTACTCTCATACGACCAGTCTTCCTTCCCTGAACCAAACAGATTGACGAGTTCCTCGGAACGGAATCCTGCCAAGTTCTGGATCGCAAATACGCAGTTGAGCCCAGCCTGGAATGCGGCGATCTGCGCTTCAATACCGCGTCCCACTGTCATGTCAAGGGTAAGTTCGATGTACTCCTCGACGTTATAAATCGTCACTGGGATATTACTGCCTCTAGCCTATCGACGCGTTTTGAAAGGCATATGCCCTATTAGTATCAATGTCTTATTCAACTAACAGTAGCAGAATGTCGCCTAATCAGAAGTCTTACCTTGAGCTCGACTTCAGGATATCCTGCCAGAGTAAAGTCAAGGCTCATGTCGTCCAGTCTAGAGCCCCGAAATTCGATATTCTTTAAGGCACTTTCACGCTCCTTGCTAGGCAGATTCAGTCCGTAGATGCGCTTTTTCTCCATTACGAACGCTTGAAGACTATGCAGCGAGCGAGCGAGAACAGGGTCGATCGACGACACCAGCTGCAGATGGGGCTTCCGATTACGTCCGAGCAATTGGCTGACAAACAACACGGACAGCGGCACATCGATGATCCGAGAGTCCAGCATGGCCTTGGCAATGAACTGACCAAGCGATCTAAACAGTTTTAGAATTTTTCTGGAAATTGGAGCACATTACAATAAAGAAAATAACGTAAGTGCTATGTCAAGCGTTTTGCGCAGTGTGTATTAACTGAGATTGAGTAGCAACCGACTTACTTATCATTGTCGGAATGGCCCTTGAAGTGTATCATCGGCCTCGGATACAGCCCCTGAGGAGCTGAGACGTATTCCGTCGCCGCTTCCGAATCCTCATCGCGCCAGAGCTTTAAAGACTTCTTGCAGAACTCTTTGGACACAAGAGAATAAAACTCCAGGGTAGGGCCGAGTCCCGTTCCAACCTCCTCGAAATATTCGACTTCCAACATCGCCTGATGTGCGCCGTAGAGATCCATGACTCGTACTGCTGACTCGAGCGCCTTCTGCCTAGAAATCCGGACCTTCTGCCGTTGAATCCGGCCCAAGATCGTCTGCGAGTCATCGCGCTGATCAGTGTGCCCATTTCGCTGCTGCTGATTCTGCCAACGCATAATAGACCTCGAGAAACCAAACGCGGTCGACTGCAGGTAGGTGTAGCGTGTTTCAAACGGGAACAAGAATGGGAACCCAGTGACGAGTCCGGTAGTCCAATCAGGCAAGCAGGAGCTGGCAACGATGAGAGGCTCCTCCAGCTGCCGATTGACTTTGGCCGAGATTTTACTGTTTACGAACTCCCGTGGTTCGAGGTGAAGCACAGCGCCCTTGGGGAGCTGTTCATCCACTGCAAAGAAGCGTCTCCAGTCGTCGTTCAAGGCATGGAGGGCTCGCAACAGTCCCAGGATCGAGGCATATTCTGCGTGCTGAGGCAGTTCCTTGGGCATCTTTGCGGTATACGTAAGGTCGGCCTCGCTATTGCTTTGAGAATTGCCAGCCAGCGCCGAGTGCTCTGAAGGCGGTGAGTCGACCCGCTTATACTTGATGGGGTACACGGAAGACCAGAGGCTCCTTTGTGAAGCACTCCTGCCATTCCTACGCTCGTGTTCGTGTATGGCGCCATAGACGGTCATCTCCGTACTGATTGGGGTCCCATGAAGTGAGAATTGAATGTGCCAGGACGAGGGCGACTCCGAAGCCAAGATGCCATCAGACCGGCCATTCCTAGTGGGCTCTGAGGACTCCGTTCTGGCTGGGCAGTCGTCGCCATGGTTCTTGTTCTTTGCAGACGTTGTATGTGCATCCAGTCCAGTCGTTTCGCTCGTCTTCACGTCCGACTCCATGTCAATCGCGGAGGCATCGGCACCTCGGCCGCCCTTGACTCTGACCTTGCGTTCGAGATCATACTCTATCTCCTCCATGTCTTCATCGCTCACCTCGGAGTAGCCATCCAGGTCGCTGTGGTCTGCGTCCTTGTTTTCCTCTTCATCCTTGTCTGATGATGACTCTTGAAGCGTAGTGCTGAAAACTCTCTCCTCTGATCCTGACTCCGCGAGTTTTTGAAGCCTGCTGCTCCTGCGTGTGGTTGGGGACGGTCCCTTGACTTTAGTTTTACTGTTTTTGTCCTGCTCTTTCGATGACCCGTTTTCGTCGCTTCCGACTCCAGATTTCTTTTCTAATGACGATAGCTTTGGTCTCAAACGCGGTCGAAGATATTCGTCCAGGGTCCTGAATGTGGCGATGGCATGGATCGAAACCACCAAGTTCTGGTAACCTGATGGCACCTCGGTCCCTTCTTCTGGCGACAGCTTGAGCCGGACTTGAGTGGCGAGGCTTGACGACGGGTTGTTGCGCGCTTCTCCCAAAGACGTCTGAGCCACCTCGACCTCAAAGGTCTCCATGCGTGTCAGTGCTTCCTGCATTTTCTTCACCAGCAAACCGTAAGATGTCGTTGTTGCTGACTTTGATAATGATCCGCTTTGAGGATGAACCATAAACTCTCGAACAAATGCCTGGATTCTCTCCTCTTGGCTGGATCCTCCAGTGTCCTTCCTGTCAGTGAAGTACTCGAGCAAGGACTGCACAAGGCCACTGTTCAAGAACTCGAACGACGATATTCCTGTTGCACCCAATCGTTCGAAGTACTGAGCCAATTCCCTGAGTGACTTTGTCGCGGCCTCACCAGATTCTCGAAGTCCTTCAGCCATTCGTTTAAGGTCAGACAAAACGGGAGATCCTGGGTGGGCTCCTGTCTCGCCATCGATACCCGCCGTCTCAAAGATCTCGACGATGATCCTAGCTCGCTCGAATATCCACTCCTTTGTCTTTCCTGATCCAAGTCCTTTCTCTTCCTTTTGCGATGTGGCCACCGACCGAGATCCGGCTGCGACAAAGCGCTGCAGAGCACGAAGTTGCTCTAGAGTCGACAAACGCTCTTCCAGTGTCTCGGATTCAGTCCGCGTATCGCTCTGTCCTACAAGGCGAAGTCGACTCCACGCTGCACCGAGCTCCTTTTCAATGGCATTCAATTGTTCATCCATTGTCCGCTCTTGTTCAGGTTGATTTCGCATGTCACGGAGCTCAGCAATCATTCCGGAGAGCCGTTTTCCGGCGGTCGAGACGGGGACAGACGCATTCGTTTTGTTCGTGCTGTTCGGCGAGTCTTCAGACTCCGATGCTGCCTTGGTCGATCCCGCCTTGACATCCGCTGTAGCTCCATCGTTCTTGATGCTCTTTGCAGGGCCTATTTCTGCCTCTCCAACGCCCGGGTTGTCATTTGAGAGCGAAAGTTCGATGCCCAGGTACGCCAATTTTGAAATCTCGAATGTAACACCTTCTCGCTCAAAGTAAAAGCGGTACACAGAGGGAATCTTTGCCATGAGGATGTAGGTGATTTGCAGGGCAGCGACTAGCAGGGACTGGTGCTCCTGCTGAGACAGGATAACGGCCAAAAAACTAGCCAGTTCAACATTCTGTTACAAGAAGTGAAAACCCATGTCAGTTGATGTTGCTTACGAAGGGCAAAATAAGTGTAGTGTCAAAAGAACGGATCCTCACCTTGAGGGCAGTTTTCAAAACAGTGTAGTTCGAAAAGTAGATCAATTTCACCAAGGCTTGGATGGCTCGCTGACGAACTCTTAGATGGACCGTGGAGGTGTACACCTCGATCAATGTCGGGATCAAGATCGTGCCAAGTCTCTGCATACGATCTGGGTGAGATTCCAGGAGCTCCTGTCTTTTATCGACTTCGCTCGCAACAGCCTTCATCTCGACGTCCTCCCTTTGTATATCCTGCGTTCCAGCATCCTGTGTCTCCTTTTTGAGCGCTCGGTATCTGTAATCTGTATCAAACAGGGCGTCGTCTAAGAGATTCGTAGCAACAGAAGCGTGTCAAACAGGGACATTGATCTATTTGGAAGAAGTTATAAAATCGTATTTGCTTTTTCTCCTTGTATTTACCTTTTGGCAGAGCAGGCAGCAATTCTGTGATGATGCCGATAATCTCTGAGATCTGCTCCTTGGATCGCGACCCCATGTCGGGCACAGTCAGGGGTCCGCTGTCCTCTCCGTGAGCTGCAGGAGCGTGGGTTCCAGTAAGGACCAAGAACAGCGTGTCGACGATATCCATTTCCAACAGTACAAATCCGAGCGTAGGTGAGTGTTCAGCAACAGTGCTCAAAAAATGCAATAGGAGGGTATAAATCTGAGGTCTGTAAAGCAAATGAATATCAGTGACCAACTTGGTACTCAATGTATTAAAATCGAGTCGCTGCTGCAGCTGCTGCAGTGTGAATAGCCATGCAGCCAGTCCGCAACGTAATCTTACCCTACAACAACGTTCGCATTCGGGGACAGCAGGGACATAATTGTTCTCAGAATGTTCTCTGTGATGATTGTCTAGAAGTGGATCGCGCGATGTTATTAATCTTGATTTTTATCGGGTCATTAAGTGCAACCACATGGCGAGGGTGTGTAGTCCTTACCTGCAGATGCGCAGCATTCGATTTATAGCTATCCGCAAGGCGGACAAAGCAAAGGCACGCCTGTTCGACGATCTTCTGATCTGAGTACTGAAGAAGGTTCTCCAAGTTGGGCAAGACGTCGGTGACCATGCTAATGCTGTCCTGTTGGATACCCCGGCAACAATTGGCGGCCGTCTTGACAGCAGTTCTTTGGACGTTGGTGGCAAAGAAGTCGAGGAACATCAGAATCGCTGCCAGACCTCCTTCCTTAACAACCGCATGAGGATACTCGGACGAAATCTTCTCAAGGGTCTATGGGGTTAAGAAGAGCAACATTGTTAGTAACAGGATGAGATACGATGAGTGTTGGATGTGATTAAATATCCTTTTAGAGTACTTACTGTCAAGGATTGCTCCGCAAGATCGATGTACTGGATCTCAAGTAGCTTGGAGCAAAGAACAGGCACGGCTCCTCCATAAACGATGTTACCAAGGGATGCGGGCATTGCTTCCATCAAATTTGACAGGCAACGGCAGGCAAGGAGCATGATCTCGGGGTTGTCGTCGCCGTCCCCGCTTCCACGCATCAGGATAACCAGTTCCTTGACGAATGGGTCGCAACTGAAATATCCGGCCAGGGTATCTTCTGTTGAAACCGAAAGCAACACGGCCAAATCTTGAAGGGCAATCAACTGAAGCGATGGGTCCTCGTATGCGCGAAGGTTGTTCAAGATTCCCTTTAATCGCGAAGAGATTCCTGAGACCATACCGCTCATGCTGCCACCAGAAGAAAAGAGCCCATCTTGCTCTGCTCGGCGATGGTGCTGATCGTAGTCGTCTTCATTGTCGTCCTCGTCCTCTTCGTCTTCTTCCTCGTTATCCTCATCGTCATCCTCGTCTTCTTCATGATCTTCGTCGCCGTGGTCGTTGGCCGCCTTTTTATCATCGCCGCTCTCCGAAATCTCCGCAGAGTGCTCAATAGTCTTATTCGTGTCTTGATCATCTTGCTTCCCAGTGATGACGCCATGGTCGTCTGTGCGACCCCCTGCTGTTCCTGAGCAACCTTTGTCAGCTTCCAGTGACAGATTGCTGGCAGAGAAGTCCTGAGAGTCAGAGGATTTCGATTCCTCTGCGTCCTTTGAAAGGGATTTGGCGCTCGGGTTGGATCGCTTTTGAGAGGTGCTCATTTTTGACTGTCGCATAAACGAGGCAATGCCCTGGGCGTGATTCTGTTGCGCCCCAGTCACTCTATGTCGAGTTCGGGTGACCACAGTCGAAGAGGATGCTGTAGAGGACGAAGGCTTGGATGCCGCAGTCAGTCGGGGTTGCTTAGATCCAGTGACCCTTTGGCTCTGTGTCTGTGTTTGGCCTGTGCTGTGGTCCTGGAATGTGCGTTTGCGTGTGCTTGAATGAGAAGTGTTGGGCGAGAAAGTAGAGGTCGCCGATGAGGATGTAGATGCTGTTGAAGTAGGGAGAGTTCCGTCGATTCCTGAGGAAAAGGTGATGTAGTCGAGTCGTGCCTTTTTGGAGACCTTCACCTGGTGTCGAGTGATGGCGTGCGAGGTCAAAATTGGAGGAGGTGGCGGCAGAGGGGAGGCCGACGATAAGGGCGAAGACGCTGAGACCACCGCCGGTATAAATGTGGATGTAGTTCTAGAAATGGGTTGCGCTGGTGAAGATGCCGAGGCGGGTGGTTTCCTGGTGCTGCGAGTATTGGGTGGATCCGGCCGAGGAGGCATGAAGGACGTCGGACCAGGTCAAGACGAATGGCGTAATTTTTGACCAGGATGCCGCGATATTCCAGGTCAAGAATCAGCGGCTATTTGGCAAGGCAAGGGCAGGAATGACGACGCTTGTCGAATGCAAGGCAGCGACGATGAATGAGGAAGATGGTTGATGGCAAAGGAAAAAAAGGGGAGGGAAAGGAAAAGAAGGAGGAGCTGTGTGTTGATGGGGACAGCGAATGAGAGCGAATCCGGTGACCGTTTGAGTGAAAGCGAACGAAAGCGAGAAAAGCGGGTGGAGAGCCATAAGGTGAACCCTCATGGCGACGGAGGAAAAAAAATGTCTGACTGTACGTATCCTGTGGACATGTACGGCATTGTCCAGAAAGAGATCAGCGCAGTCTGCTTGCGCCACTGCAGCGTCCAGAGGACACGTTTACTTCGTATCAGCGTCACCAAGGAGTCGCAATTTGGTGGCAAAATGCTTGGATGTCAAAATCCATATCTTTCCTGTGCAGCTCGCATACGACTCCACAGAAATTTCGACCGCAACCCAGCCTTGCTCTTGATAATGACCCATAAGTGAAGAGCATGTGGTGTGTGCGCACAAGAGCGCTCATGGTATTTTTTTTTTTCGGCTTGTGCTCCTATTTTTTTTTATTTTATTTTTTTCGATCGTGGGCGCGCGAACAACGTGATCCTAGGCAAACAAAAAAAAGGGACGCCTGTGCGCCCTGGTATGACGATCTGTCCCCTTTACGAATGCACACATGGACTATCTTCTATCGTCAACACCAAAACGTGCAGAATGGAGATAGGTCAGTCAAAATATTCGGACATCATTAGGCCACGCATTCCACTTGACTTGCCTTACTAACTGGTCCTTCGACCACCATCTCTGACAACAGGACCATCTAGCTTGCATACTGGATTGTGCGGAAGCAACAGGTGGTGCTGTAATCTTACTTGGACCAGCTTTTTAATATATTGCAGGGTGATTTCTCGCCTAGTGTATGCAAGTACAATAAAAAAAGTTGATTCTAGCACGCCTAGACCGTCAAACAGAGGGGAACATAGACTACCATACTATCTTCATACTCAAGAGATGTATGTTAAAGGACGAATCGATACTTTCTTTTCAAGGGGGCTTTTACTGTGGTTACTAAGAATAAAAAAAAACGTTAATTGCAAAAAATAAACGCGCATGTACCGAGGGTGATATCAAAGATAATAGATACCTGTAGTAGCCTTTGTCAGGAACGTGTTTCATGGCCACGTTGCTAATGATGGTATTTAATTAGCAATTTGAGAGCCGTTTCGACTAAATTTAGGTGAAGCGGAGTCCATGCCATGCCATGCCATGCCATGCGAGAGAAGGTCCTTTAGTCCAGAAATAGCGTTCGCTAGAACATAAGCTAGGGAAGCGTCTGCAGAATTACGACGACATGCAGCAGTGCGAGAGCGTCTACCGCCGAACTCCATCGCATTTCCTTTTTAAAATCGTGATTGCTGTAAACTACATGTATGTTAAAGATTATTAGAAGCGGATCAAGGTGCAACTAGGCTACCAACATCGCTCCTCTAAAACCATAGATGTCTGGATAGGATATTATAATCTGGTCTATATTACCGGTGAATTATACGACATACCCCGCCAGTCTATACCCGAGTAGACCTTCAGACGAAATGCAATTTGAAAATTGAGTTTGGTGCCTGAAACACTATCGACATCGCCACCAAATTTGGCATTGCATTTTTTGTCTGTGTGGTCCCACCAAGCTAAACTAACAGCTATGATAATCAATGCTGGCACCTGCGTGGGGGAATAATGTAGCGAACGATGTTGGCAACATGCATGTTGCTGGGTTTCTTTTTCTGCACCTACTCTCGGCCCTTTTGCTGCCACGTTTTCAAGAAGGTTTAGACTCCTCCGCTGGCAGTGTGCTCCCAAAAGTGTGCGTCGACATGCATAAACTTCCTTCCCAGTCGAGTGTACTGTACAATTGTACAAGTAAAAAAAAAAAAAAAAAGGCGCCAGATGGCGGCGCACGAATGGCCAAACTGGCAGTATGGTTTTTTTTTTTTGCTCTCATGGACACGACTGATGAGTCGATTAGACACACGTATTGTAATCGGACAGTTGAACCCCCGCCCTATTTTTTTTCTCCTTGCTGGCGTCTATTGCGAACTTCAAAACCATAAAGTTGGTTACCAAAGCAACCCATTGCTACAGTAAAGCAGTGGTAGTGTACCTTGATATGTGGATTTGGCTGCCCAGTTCAGCCATGTTCTATTATAGAATGAAACGAATTTCATCCCCCAGTCTCCATGTAATAAGAGATCGTTACTGAAACGAAAACAGAGCTCAAGGTAGACTGCAGTGTCGACTTCTGGAGAGTAGATGTTTGTTCCAGGTTGGTTCCAATTGGAAGTTGAAGCAAAACTTCCCCGCGGAAGTTATTTTCCTGAAATTCTCTTCCTTTCACTGCAGACAAACAAGAAAACAAGACAAACGCAAATAAGAGCAGGGGGCGATGACACTTGCTCTGCATGGAGGTGCATGGTAGACTAGTCTGCTGCAGCCTTTCGCCATACTGCATCCATCCGAAGAGCATGGAGCCATCAGGATAGTCTTAGCTCAGCCCCTTCTACTATATGCTACGGACGCCATGGCCATGGAGAAAAATTTAGAGGAGCCAGGTCGGATGATGATGATGGTAACGTGTGTTCGCTGTGGGGGTTTAGTCGATGGGCGGCATATAGATGTGCCGCATAGAGGCCAGACTAGTTTCTCTCCTCTCTCGCTTTTTCTTTCTCCTTGTTTTGAGTGGTCTGCTGACTCGCCGCCCTCCTCAACCCCAACGGATCGAATTGGACACATTGCACAAAGAGGACGAAGGAACAAATTGCTCTCAAAAACCAATTGGGTTTTGGTTTTGCTGTTTCTGTTGAGCAGGATTCCTTATTTTTCTCTTGTATGTCGACTGAGTGACAAGTCTGTGTAGAATGCGCCGACTGAATAGTGGGAGCTATTCCAATGTCGCCAGCCCTCTTTTGGGTCTTTAGCTTTAGGTGGCCCGACGGATGCCCCTCCTGGGATGGACGCGGAGAAACTATCAAGCAAACATCCAGACACAGACAGACAGACAGACAAACAAACAAACGAACAAACAAACAAACAAACAAAACGATGCCATGGATGGGTAATCAAAAAATGCTCCACAAATGCTGCTGCGACTATAAAATGGGCAGCTCCTTTTTCGACTCGAGAGAAATATTTCCTCATCACTCCTCTCTCTCGCGCGGATTCTCTCTGTCTCTGTCTCTGCCTCTGCCTCTGTCTTTCTCTCTCTCTCTTTCTCTCTCTCTCTCCCTCTCTCTCTCTCCCTCTCTCCCTCTCTCCCTCTCTTTGTCTCAAACACCCCCCTCTCCTTTGACACACCCAAGTCACCCCTCGCACGTCCTCAACAGCCCCATATCCCTCCTTCTCTCATATCCTCATCACCATGACCACCAACACAACCACAACCCCCGCTGGAAAGAGCCGTCGTCTCTCCCTCGTCCGCCTCTTCAACAGCAAGGCAAAGGCCACCGGCACTGCCGAGTCCATCGAGTCCTCAGACGGAAGCACCCCCTCAGTCCCCTCCGTCCCTGCCCACTATCGCCATTCAATGGCCCCATCCATGGATGCTATTCAGAGCCAGATCATGCGCGAGCGCCGCAAGTCCATTGCTGCCGTCACCGACGCTTCGAGCCGATCCGTCAGCCTCGATATGAAGCACCCGGTCGAGATGACTGACAAGATGCGCCAGTTCGACGAGCTCCTCCAGAAGCGCCGCGGTAGCACAATCCGCATCTCGCTCACACCCAGCCTGCTGCAGGAATCCTAAAGCAAAGACGCCTGTGTCATCCAATTGCTCTCCTTGTACTTTGCTCTTTTCTGTTCTTTTCTTCTCCCTCAGTATCAGTACCCTTGTAACAATAGACAAACCTATACTTGTACCATAGTAACAGCATAATTTTATGAGTAATATAACCTGTATTAAAAGTATCCTCGCATCCTGAAGAACCTGCTTGTTTGTGTGCATGGTGTGGATGGTAATGACGACTTGGGCGTGTAGAATATTGAGTTACTTCTGCAGTATGATTGCCACCAACTGCACTTTCTTTTTTTTTTTTTAGTTGAACACAAGATGGACAGCAGTCATGACACATTGCAACTCGCGAGAGTAGTCTATCTGCTCAGCTGTCTCGTCCCTCTCATTTCCACACACTCACCCCCACTCGTTCATCTCTTTCGCATTCGCTCAGCCCCTCGCCTCGCCATCGACATCTCCTCACCACAGCGGTTGCTCCCGTGCTTGGCTCAATGAACCTTTCAAAACCTTCGCCATACTCTGCCGCCGATGCTCCTGGGCTCCTCTACGCCTCCTTCAACCAAGGTAAACCCCAGGACAGCGTTTGCACTGCCCTTATTTGTTTCGTTAGGTTCAAGCCTGCGCCCTGCTGAAAGTCTTCAATACTGACGGACCATACTATATCTGGCGTGTCGGGTAGACTATGGCTGCTTCTCGTGTGGGCTCGACTCTGGCTTTCGAATATACAACTGTGACCCTCTCAAGGAAAAGATGCGGAAAGGTATTTCGCCTTGTCTATACCATGAGCCATTCCATGACAACACCTTACTCATGTCAAGCCCTACAATAACCCCCGTCGACCCATCAACCCTATAGAGTTCGAGGATGGAGGCATCTGCATAGTCGAGATGCTATTCCGCTGCAATTATCTCGCCCTGGTCGGCGGCGGCAAGAATCCGAAATACCCACCCAACAAAGTTATTATCTGGGACGACGACCGGAACAAGTGCGTGATCGAGCTAGAGTTCAGGAGCGAGGTCAAGGCCGTCAAATTGCGGAGGGACAAGTAAGTCACTTATCAGAGGATGAGAGGGCTTGTGCTGTACTTGACCACGAATGTCTCTTCATCGCGCCCTCGTGTTGAACCCTCTGGCCCTCCATCATCAATCTGGGTCTGTCTCTAGATTCGTCGTGGTGCTTGTCAACAAAGTCATTGTGTATACTTTCAGCTTGATGCCGACCAAGCTACACGTCTTTGAAACGGTCGATAACGATAGAGGTAAGTACTGAATAATCTGGAAATAATTCTGGAATGGTTCTCCCGACTTGATCCTGACCATGAACACTCAACTCCCGCGACAGGTCTGGTGGCATTATCATCTTCAGACAAGCATGCCATCTTGATCTTTCCTGGACGTCAAAGTGGACACATTCAAATCGTCGACCTGAACAGCGTCGTGCCCACTACCGCAGTGACCTCATCCACAGCCCCAACGTCTCACGCCAATCCGTTCTCGGCTCCCAATCAACCAAAATACCCTATGGCGAGTACCAAGCCCACCACCAATATCTCTATTATTCCAGCTCATACGAGCCCGCTCTTCTGTTTGGTCACTAACGCGGACGGAACGAAATGTGCATCTGCCTCTGACAAGGGCACATTGATCAGGGTTTTTGACACAGGGTCCAGCAAACTTTTGCACGAGTTCAGACGTGGCGCCGACAGGGCTGAGATTTACAGTATTGCATTCAACAGCGATTCAACAAGAATCTGCGCTGGATCGGACAAGGGCACAGTTCATATCTTTAATTTGGATGGTGCTACTGGATCAAGGGTGTACCAGGCAGGAACAGGGACCCCGTCTAGTGGACCGCAGTACGGCGAAGTTATCCAGCCCCACCATGCTTCACAGATGTCAAGCGGAAATAGACAATCAAGGTAAGGAGCATGGATGACAAGAGCCATGGACACGCCTATACCAGGCACAAGTCTTCTTGACTACTCATGCCGACTTTTCTGAATATGGACTTTTTAATAGTCTGGCATTCATGAAAGATCTCCTGCCAAAATACTTTTCATCGGCCTGGTCATTTGCACAGTTCAAAGTGGCAGCCGATTGTCGATGCATTTGCGCTTTTGGAGGCGAAAAGAACACCGTGATTGGTAAGTAACCTGCTCCTGTTTGGTTGTTTTCGCCAGCGGTTTTCTTGGAACAAATCACAGAAAATCTAATTCGATTTGTCCCACTTTCGATTCTATAGTGGTGTGTGCGGACGGCAGCTTTTATCGGTTCATGTTTGATCCTCAAAAGGGAGGCGAATGTGTGCGGGAGAGCTATAACAAGTTTCTGGAGGAGAGCGACGATGATTAGAGTCGCTTTCCTCAAACGAACAAGTGCATGCAGTGCTCGTACCACATCACATAGATCAAGAGATGTGCATTGGGATAATAAAGAAGCAGTGCAGTGGTGCGCATAGGTCCTGATTTGAGAGTCGCGTGCTTGTTTCACTCGTCTAAGCTTCGTACTCTAGTTCTCACCCTTAACCTGGGGCACCGTCAGGCGCCACGAATAGCTGAGACCAGAAAAAAAATAACAAAATAACACAAAGAACTCTCCGTAATTGGCCAGAGACCTTGGGGACCCAGAAGGATCCAGCCTAGGCGTATAACCCTTCCGAAGCGCTCTTCTACCCTCGACAACTCCCTCTTTTCTAAACATTCCGCTCACCTTATGGCGACTATTGCGCCACCATTCCCATCATTATCGTCGTCGTTGTTGGTGAGCGTGACACCTACCATGAATACCACAGCCTCAACATCAGCGATCTATACAAGCTCCTCTGCGCAGCCCCCAACGACCACCAGCGAATCGACGTATATTGAGCCAACAACAACAACAACCCCAGTGATCAGCACCTTTAGTGAGGTCATACCAACTACAAGCAGCTACGATCCAACCACCACAAATGCCGTGATCACACCGACCTATACTCCAACCACGAGTTTCACGTCGACATATGTCACCTCGACAGTACGTCCCACCGTTGTGCCAACAGAGGTGCCGTCTCATAATTCCTCTTCTGGGCCCATTTCCACTGGAGGAATAGTCGGAATTGTGATCGGTGGAGTCTTTTTGCTAGTTGCGCTGGCCCTGGTGGCATCAGCGCTCATCCGCCGATCTCGCCGTCGCCGTCATGAAGCTTACGATAATAACAATAGCCATAGGTCCAATCAAGCAAGCATGCAACAGACATATCGACCAGATAGAAGGGGTGGAGACGCCAGGGTTGGGCTTGGTGTCGTTAATGCGGGCAGTAATAATCAGCGCAACGGCGGCGGTATGAGCACAAGGGCATCGCAGGACCTCATGAACGCTTCCTCGATTGATGCCAGCAGATACTCGGAAAGGGCCAATGATCTGGGCGCAGATGCTTCCTTGGGGACAGGAATCTACGGATACGAGGCGGATGGACGTCCGTGGCACCAACAGCAAGCATACTATCCAACTGAGCCAGCTCCAGACGGTCGATACGATTCAACTAATGTCGCGCCTCGAGATCATGGAGTAGCCTACATGCAATATCAGCAACAACAGCAAGCACATTTTCCGGCAGAATATGGGCAGCAACCTATAGCGCCTCCTACGGGAACATACTATGACCCAGGCGATTATCCTGCTAGCAACTATAATAATTACTATACCGATCTAGCGTATGCGAACCAGCCCTACGTCGGTCAGTACTATGCTGACCAGCACTATGCTGGCCAGCGCTATGCAGACCAAGGGTACACGCAGCAGGGCCTCACGGGTCCATACTACACAGATCAAGCCCCTCCCGGCCAGCAGTTCTCTGAGGAAGACCAAGTACGCTATCTCCAAGGATTGGAGTATGGCTACGATCTCAGTACTAGACGTACTCCCGGTCCTTCATTGACTGCTTCTCCAAGTTTTGCAGGTCCTGCTGCAGGAGAAGGCGTCGCCCAAAATTCGCCACCCCTTCAGAGGGCCTATGCTACAAACGCAAGGACAAACGAATCCCTGCCCAATACCAATGCCAATGCCACCACCATCACCACAGCCTATGTTGATCCCGAGAGCGGGACCAGATCTATCCAGAACAAGCCGCGGTTGAAGTCACCATTGCCGTCATCAGCTCGCGATGACTCGACGGTGATGGCTACTCCCGCAGCCACGGTTATTGGTGCCCAGAGTAATATCTCTGGAGATAGAATGTTGGCGACCTCTGCTTCGGACCCGCAGCCCCAATCTCGTTCGCCACTGCTTAGCCCCTTGCGGAAGAGAGGACCACAGGTGCCGTATTCGGAGGACGAGCCATCTACACAGATTAAAGTCGAAAGGGATGAGTAGGCACCATGGTTGATTGCACTCTTGACATAAAGAATTCTGTAATGCAACAATGCCATTCATCATAAATATCCTCTTGGAGCAATGCGCTTTACATTCGCCAAAGACCATGCCCCTGAAGGAAAGACCTATTAATGTAACCCACGGCGTATCATTGTCGTTTCTTTTTTTCCACCTCCAAGGATCCTGCGCTGACAGTTTTTCATATCAATTTTGGATGTTTCCCCCGCTTATCTCCGAACCCTGTCTGTTCTTTTCTTTGCAAGATTGAGATGGTCCATAGAGTGGTAGAGTGGACGAGGTTGCTTTCTCAAGAGAGCACGATCTAGGCAAAATAATACGACGACTAGACCTTCTATTTTTGTGTAAATCTCAATTACAAAACCTTATATTTTGGTGGCCCTACTCTTTTTTCTTTTCCCCAAAAAAAAAACTGTGTGTGCCTTCTTCTCTTCTCATTCTCATCCAAGTTCTCATCCTCGCCCTCATCCGTCTCGCTGTCTTTCCTCATCCTGCAGTCTTCGTTGCCTTGTATCATGACCACCTCAGCCGCCGCCGCCAACAACAACAACACTACCGTCTGGGACACTAAGACCCAGCAGTTCCACGGAGGACAGGATTGGAAGTTCCTCGATAACTTTGTCGAGGACTTTTCCGTCACGACTAATTGCCTCGGAACTCCTGTCAAGGCCATTCAAGCTGCCCGCGATGCTGTATGTTTATTATATTTCCCATATGCTGCGGCTTCTGTATCAATGGCATGTTCCTGAACCAATTTCTCACCGTTCAATTGGTTGACTGACACCGAATAGGTTGCGACCTGTCACCACTACCCACCGGCCAATCAAGAGCCAGCCAAATCGTCTTTGGCCGAATGGATCTGGCCAGAGCATTGGGAGGCCAACAGGGACCGTCTGTTGCTTGGCAACGGTGCTTCAGAGCTGATTGACCTTGTGATCCGATCTGCTCCTCAGGGATCGTGGAAGGCTGGACCTTGGGATGTTCAGGTATGTACCATTGCACTTGAGATTGGTGGTCCCATGTGGAAACGAGCGGAGGATGCATATCGAGTGCAGCAAAAGTTGATCTGTGCCCCACAAAAAACAAGGATTATGGTTGTCTTCATGTGCAAAATGTTTGATCTCATCTGCAGTACGACATGTCGTTCGATCCTCCGTTCGTACAGTCCGGACCATCGGGCGATATTTTTAATGAGCGATTCTGTGTCTTCTCAACAAACAATGAGTACATGTGGAGTGAAATACGACCTCGGGTTTTGCTCTGACAGTTCTTAACGTGAAAATATTGTCTTGTGTCCTAATAGTACAAGGAGTACCAGAGATCGGCCGAGACAAACGGTCGTGATATTCTCTCGCCCCAGGGCCAGGACAGAGCCAATGTCGTGTGCATCGTCAACCCCTGCAACCCTACTGGAGACTACAAGTCGATCGACGAATTGAAGTCCTGGATCCTGAACAACGTCCAGGACAATGGTGTCGTTGTCATCGGTAAGTTGACCACGGCTACTGCCCCGATACTAAAACGTATATCATCATCGTGGCCCCCCTCCCCAGAAGTCCTGCTAACGCGTAAATTATTCTCTGCTTTTGATGGAGAATAGACGAGTCGATGCAGATCTGGGTTGGACCCGACTTCCGTCAGGACTCAATGACAGCTCAGACCGAATTCTTGGAAAAGACCTTCAAGGAGCGCAACATTTCCATCTATGTCATTCACTCATGGACAAAGATCTGGTCCTGCACGGGTCTTCGTCTCGGTTCAATCGTGTGCCCAACGGTTGCTCATTGTGTTGAATTGAAGCGTATCCAGGTCCCCTGGAGCGTCAACAGCCCTGCATTGGCGTTTTTGGATGAGGTCGTCCGCGATACCGAGTACTTGGAGGAGACCTGGAGGGTGACTCCCATCTACCGCGCTCAGCTGATTGAGCGTCTCGATTCGTTGGCGAACGGTCGTTCCTGGGAGTACTTTGGCAAACCTTATCTCAGCTGGGTGTGGGCCGATCTCAAGGATGTGGAGACTGCTGAGAAAGCTGTGGTCCTGGCCAAGCAGGCCGGTGTTCCAGTCCGCAGCGGCAAGCCTGGTTACGAGCGCCCAACCTTTGTCCGCATTGCTGTCCGTGAGCCCAAGCAGACCGATGTCCTCTTTGCTGCTTGGAAGGACCTGTAAAAGGTCAAGAACAACAACAATATGGATGTCCTTTATTTCTATATTTTTTTATGTTCATCGTATTCTTCTGTAGATAGATCCTTTCCTCAATATACACTACCTTCCTTTTACTATGCGCTACTTCGGAGTCATAGACCGAGCTTTCTTGTGAACCAATACATGACAAAAAAAAAAAAAAAGTGACTGCTCAGGTAAACAGAAAGATGCAAAGGAGCCCCAGTTGGTGGCAAAGGTCTTTTCAGCAAAAGGCGGCACCGAATCAACTGTAGCAAGGCATCTTCAGAGAAGAATCAGCAGTACTGGACAAGTGTCGACAGGACCAGAATCTCATCAGCTTGAGCCCAGACACAATACTTCATACCACTCAGAACGACAGGAATACACCAACTACACCATGGAGATCATCAAGGCCGACTCTGCCATGCTCAGTAACTATGAGGTTCTTGCCCTCTTGAACGACCAAAAAGCACAGCGTCAGGCAAACGAGGTCGCAGGCACCCGTGAAGTTGCTGAGAATCTGCGCACAGTCGAGTTTGAGGTAAAAGGGCGAGGCTGGATCACTATTTCTTCAATCGTCCATTTGGTGATATATATATATCGCTGGCATGTAGACGAGCAAGGCTTGCTGCTATCACAATTAACAACCAGACCAACCGACATTTCATCCCCAATTGAATCAAATAGGTTCAGAAATACCTGGGAGCATCACCGTGCGCAACACAGTCGCCAGAGCAGATCGCAGCTCTGAAGAAGGCGTTTGCAGGATACGAGCTTATGAAAGTGGAACTATTACAGATCTTGAATCTCAGGCCAAAGTCGGCCGTTGAGCTGATCCTGGTAAGATTTAGCAGGAAACTCTTTCGCCCATGACGAGTGGAGTGAAACTTTGCTGTGCGCTTGCTGCCGAGATTCTGTCATTAACTCTTTTTTTTTTTTTCTTTTTTTTGGCACGGGCACTTCTGGGTCATCTATAGGTGATCGAGGAGTTTGAGGAGCGATTTCAACTAGAGGATTGCGAAACGATGCTCGAAATTATCGCCAAAGCCTTACCGAGAGATGATGATGAGGAAATGGGCGAGGCAGAAGACGAAGGAGAGCACGGAGATGTAGCATGATACAAGAGTAATTCCGTTTTTACTTTGATGAGCTGTCAATGCATTAAAGACCATGTACCATATCATTTTATGCCATGTCTTTTACCCTGACTTCTGCTTGTCTTTGTCATGTGTAAGATAGGTTCATTCCATCATTACTGTTATAATGGCTCGGATGTTCAAGAACAGCGACGCGGAACTTTAGACATCAGTCTATCCGCGCATTCCTCTTTATTCCAACCCTTTTGTAGTCAGCCTTCTTGAGCCCCTATATCCATGCTACTAGTAATGTAATTTGGGATCGAATCTACTCATGCTGGAGAAGATAGACGGGATAAAAGAGATATAATGCGGTTTATTCGTCCCTTCTTGCTTCTTGCATGTCCCTCTAGTTCTTCGTCTGTCTGTCTGTCTATCGCGTAGGGCATTCACAGGTTAAGCATCCTGAGCTGAACAACTGATCTTTATGTCCTTCTGCAGGATAAACCAGACCAGAGGAGTTCCTGGCTCAGATGCATTTATCTCTCCTTCGCTTGTCCTCTACATTCTTACACGGATGTATTGCTACTCTCTCTCAGTCTCTCACTCTTTTCTTTCATGCTAGTGTTCTGTATTCCCTGCAACTCCTTTCAAGCATCGGCACGCTTTTGCACCTCCCAGCCAGGACTTTCCGTGGATATTTCACACCGGCATTTCATCTCTCTATCCTTCTTGCCTCCCTTTTCTGTCTCGCTGTATTCATATTAAGGCCCATCTTTCTATATCTCTATCATTTATCCTATACTTCATATACCTCTCTTGTCTCACTAGTATACCATATTATTTTGTGCTATTGTGCTCTAAACCTAGCAATATCCTTTCGTCGTTGTTCAGCCTACTTGTCCTTTAAACAAATCTCATATAGTGTCGACGTTATCAGCAATGGATACCCACTGCCCTTGGGCCAGTTCTAAGGACCCCTACTCCCTCAAGCGTAGACACACAAGGAGCAACACGGACTGCTCGCATCCTTCCCTACATTCCGTATCCTCGTTCCCTTCTTCCTCCATAATCTTCCTCTCTGAGACGCCAAATAATCACAATAATCACTTTCCTGGTCAAGAAAGCCGTCGTATCGATGCCTCACCAAGCATCACACAACCATCTCGCGTCAAAGGCAGTAAGCGCGGCGGACGTGGGCAAGACGGTGATGACCTTGACGAGCCGCACCGCACCGCAATCACTCCAAGCTGGTTCGGTTCCCTCAAGGGTTATGCCTTCTCGGCAAGTTCTAATTCAAGGGGTGCATTTGCTCCATTGGCCCAATCAACATCCTCTAAAAGCTGCTCCCCAAAGTCCCACCATTCTCCGTGCCGCGGACGCTCCTCTTCGATCTACCATGCCGGCACCCTCGACGGTAGCGATAGCGACAGCGACTACAGCAGTGAGAACAAATATGACGAGCCTATCACGGACAGGAACGGTCTCAAGGAGAATCGCGTGCGCGGACCAAGGATAAACTGGGCCACACTTGACCCCTCCTTGGGAGGGCTCTTTAACCAGTCCTACAAGGCCCTGCCTGGACCCGATTCAGAACTGTCTTCGCCTTCGTGCTCTTCATCGGCTTCCTCGCTGCATTCACTCACACTTTCAAATGTCGAGGATCTGGCCGTCTCCCAGGCACCCTATCGAGACGATATCAATGAAGACGGCGCAAATGCCGATGCATGGAGCGATCCTTCAGGACCCGAAGGTACGGAGATGGGGGACCCTATCCCAAGCAGCGCTGCCAATGCTTACGCTATGCCGCCGCCAGCGTCCACAGCAACATCTTCGGCGTTTTCCTTTATCAAATCCTACGTTTCGTCCCTCCCCAACTTTCACGGACGGAGCTCAGGGGCCACTGGAGCACAACAAGTTGGAGCCGGATCCAATCTACCGGCAGGAACAGGGTCCTGGTCCCTTCGAAAGTTGTCAGCAAACATTTTGAACAATAATCAGTACGTTTCTATTAGCAGCTCAAAAGAGAGGGATCAGGCGCGATTAGATAGCCCCGACAGCCACTACGAATTTGATGAACCGCACTGGGATGATGACGAGGACAGCATGAAGAGCGCCGCCAGTGACAATAGCATTGCAGCTGCGGTGGCCATCCCTCCGAATTCATCGTCTGTGTCGTATTTCACATCGATCCTCAGCAGTGCCTCCAGCGCTGTCACCATCAAGGAGTCCCAGTACATCTTGACCCAGGTTCGGGACAATCTCGAACACCTCCCTGTCAGCAGCAGAAGCCTCAAGAAGATTGGCCGAATGGCCTGATCAGCGCTACGTGGAATATTCGCCAGATCTGTAGTCTCGCATGAAGGCTAATAAAAGGTTGTTTTTTTTAGCTCACGTCGCTCTAAAAAAGGCTATGTGCACGTTCGTGCATCGCCACCAATAAACCGGGGTTTCATCCTCAAAGTCAGTCGACAGTAAAAAACTATGGCACCGCATTCAGTACTCGAGCTCCCAGAGATTGCGCTGCATATCTATCAATTCCTCGATGTCGAGGACTGTTTTTCTTCCGTCCAAGTGTCTCGACTCTGGAACAAGATCCTTCAGCCCCTTCTTCCCTCGGGTAAACTTCACTGGGCCGACGCCCTCCCAGAGGAGGAACGCGATGACATTCTTCAGGACCTCTATCATGACAACATCCGCACGCTCGAGTGTAGCTTGAAAGTTTTTAAAGGCAGGGCTATCTGGTACAAACTTGAGCGTGACGAGCAGGCGAGAGTTTGGGCGCCTATGAAGGCTGCGCTGATTGCAGGAAAGGACTCTGATAGCGGTAAAGAGTTCTAGGTGTAGATATGGACCATCCGCGAGGGTTATCTCGAGGAGGGCTACTTCGAAGTCTTGGTGCAGATCAAGGACCTCTGTCACTTTCGCCTAGACCCCACACCCAGAAGGAAACGCTCGGCTGATGCCTTCAAACCCTTCAAGATCCTGGACCTACCCTCGCTTCAGTCGCTATGGATGCTAACCGCCAGGAACGCCGTCTGGGGCAACATGGGATTCCCGTTCACTAACAGAGTCCGATGCCAACTCCGCAAGGTCGTTCTCGACGGCACCTAGCTTTCAGAATCGAGCTTCAGTCGATTGATGGGAAGTTACCCTGTTGACTACTTTTAAGTCCTTGTCCAAGGTCAATCTATCTCTCAAGGCCTTTATGTCCCCCCTCTTTCCTGGCCGCGGCAACGGCGAAGTTTGTGATGGCATCCAGATACATCGCCTTTTCGACGACCTGACCCTGAACTTAACTGAGCTGGGGCTTCACCATCTCTCCTGTTCACCCGAAACCTTCTCGCGGATGCAGACCTAATTCAAGAACCTGAAACGTCTCGAGATTCATGGCCAATCGAGCGAGCGTACTGGTGCTCTGCTCCACAATTACCTGTCGAGTACACCGCAGCTCTTGTATCTGATCTCTGAGGATGTTTCCATTCCACTGCGGCTCCTGAAGGATACGTCGTCGGATTGGATTTGCAGGGACTTGATGACCCTCGGTGTGTCGTTTTGGGTTCCGTTGTCTGAGGAGGAACAGGAGAATGAGACGTAGAGTAGATCTAGGCTCGTGTTTGAATACTTGGTACGACATGCTCCCAACATCCAGCGTTTGACGGTCCAAAACCTCAAGTTGTCGGCGGAGCATGGCCATGGTATCGAACTCCTTCAAGGATTGACCAGGCTAGAGCATCTCACTTTAATTTCTGAATACCAGCGGCAGGATATAGCCAAAGAGATGCTCAAGTCATTATCGCAGCAAGACGATGGCTCGAGACTGGCAGCGGAAGTCTCTCAGCTGCGTGTTAAGCCTTGAGATGCTACCATGGGCAGGGTTCTTTCAAATAGGAGTATCTTTTCCGCAATAAACAGGTGTTCAGTCCTGGCATAATAAGAGAACATGCTCCACAATCAACGCGTTGCATTCATGATAATCACGCGCATGATTGCTACTGCGACTGGATACTTGATATAATAAACGCGCGAAGTAGCTGCCCAGTCTAAAGCGTTTCCGCCCAACTCTATACGATAGACGACTTGAAGCGATTTTTGGATCGCGGCTAACCCTGGATGTTCCAGGCACCAGCTATCGTAGGTAAGCCCGGTGTCCTCACGCCAAAACAGCACTCTGCTAATAAAATGCATCGTTTTGATTCGACTAGCTTCCCAGTTGTGTTGATTCCTTTCATCCCAATCTTTGTAGCTCGTTGAGCAAGTCAAGGTAAAAATAAAAAAATAAAAAAATGGCGACGCAGAAAGTGCTCCGGATGTTTCAGGCCTCCGGACACCATAGTAGATCAGCGCCCCGGCGCCAAAGAACAGCAGTGCTATTCAAATGTCATATGTAGTTTGGTTGGATGTGATTGATTCAGATCTGCAGCTCATTGACAAAATTTGGTGGCAACACAATTCCCTTGTCTCAGGTACAGTGATTTGCGCGCTATGGGAATACATCCACTGGAAGTGGGGATGAATAAGATGAGGCCACTCGCGCCAGATGATAAGCGTCACTTTCACAAGAAACCAAGGGCGTATTTTGTGGACATCACCTAAGCAAGCGCGCGGGCATTCAAATCACCTCTTACACAGCCATTACAGGTCATTGCATATTTGTGTCGTCTGATAAAAATGCGTTCAAAGCAGAGGTTCGACAGTGATGGCGCTGGAGGTTGCCCCTGCTAGACCAAGAGACATGAGTACCCTGGTAAACGACACATCTGGTGTACTACCTGCGGGGTGTGCCTACCCTCGGAAATAAAGAGGAGGGTGTCCGCGGCGGCGAGTGGGCGCAATTATTCGAGTCCACAGGTACAGGCACAGGCAGGTACAAAAGTGCATGATTCGATTAGGACTCAGCCAACGACCTAATCCATTCGGCCTCAAGTCGGTTGTTCTCCTAGAAAGTCTATAAATAGGGATTACTGTCAGTGTTGTTGTTGTTGTTGTTGTTGTTGTTGCTGTTGCTGTTGTCGCTGTCATTGTCCCTGTTGACATCATTCCTCCGTCGTGCGATTCCATGGGTTTGCAATCCTCATCCTCCCATCCTCGCTTTCCTCTCTTTTCCTTTCCTTCCCTCTTTATTTTTCTCTTTTATTTTGTTCTTCCTTTGCTATCACACCTCGTCTTCTCACACCTTATACTTCACCAGGGCAGGACTTTACTTTACTCAGGAACTATCATGCTCTTTGGACATCGTCACACCCTCAGGGGTGTCGTCAGGGGCCTCACCCTGCTCACTGTCGTGGGCCCGCTTCTCTTTGCACCCGCGCCTGTCCGTGCCGAGCCTGACCCCATCATCGAAACCTGCGCCATCAGCGGATGCAGCACCGTCTCAACCCTTCTGGCGCCCTGCGGGGGCGGTGCCACCAATGCTTCGCTCCAGCAGAACTATCTCTACACAGTGACTCCTGTGCTCGGTTCATGCGAATGCAACGTGCAGTTCTACAACGCTTTCTCGCTCTGTCTTTCCTGCATCGCCTCGCAGGGCAAGTCCAGCCCTCGGATCGACAACCAGCAAGCTTGGGTCGCTAACTGCAAGACCTACGGCTTCAATTACACGGACGCGCCCATCAACTACACGGCGCCGGTCACAGGAGGCAATGATCCAAGCGGTGGAGGACTCAGCAAGGGCGGCATCGCTGGTATTGTGATTGCAATTCTCGCGATCGCGGGTCTAGTGGGCGCCTTCTTCTTCCTTAAGTCCCGACAGAGACGAACCAAGGGCAGCATCTTCCAACGTCCCTATACCTCTGCCAACTCCGGTAGCTATTCACCCACAGCTACGCAGCCAGCATTCAACGCCTACAGCAATTACAATAACGCTGGCTATCCAGACTCAAACGATCCGTACACAGACCAGGACCAATCCTACTATCAAAACCAGCAGCAGCACTATGGCTCAGGCCAGAACGACGATGCCATGATGATGAACAACTTGCAGCACAGCAGCTACATCCCTCCACCCGTGCCCATGTCTGCGGCAGCAGTTGCGGCGGTTGGCGAGGTCGCTTCGCCAAGACCCACGGATTCGTTCCCACAGAGCCTCCGGAACAAGAACAATGATTGGCAAGGGCGTCAAAACGAGTATGCCACGGACCTTGTCTCGTCAGATCAACTGCTTCATAACGACAAGGCCGTGTATGACGAGGGCGAAGACCTGGAGCCGCCACGATCCAGGGACCGCTTTGTCAACGACAGGGACGACTTTACTTCTCGCCGCTCCTTGACACCGCCACGCGCCAACATGCAGTCCTATCGTGATGAGTTTGCCCGCCCTAATTTCGACCCCGAGCCGCGTCGTAACAGTGGCTCTGAACGAGGCTCTGTCTCTGGTCTGAACCTGGCCCGAGGAGGATACGACAGCAATGACGAGGACGGACGTGACGGCATCCATGAGAGCCCCGAGAGTGCTCGCCGTCGTCGAGCTGCGGAACTCTTTTCTGCTGAGGGTACAAGACATTAGGTCATTCATCCTTGATGATCCTTTTAATTTTTCTTCCCTATCCACATTGTACCATTTCTCCATCACCCCCATATATCTGTCTATGACAATCATTTGTACGCTGCATAATCCGTTGCCTATTATATATTTTGTATGAATAAAAGCGCTACTACCATCTATATACATTGTATGTGTCTCTGGATCTGCCTCGAGCTGAAAGGGGTATAAGTCAGCATGTAAGCCGCCTGGGGTGCTTTTATTCATCGACCTTCCTGAGCCAGCGCATGGTCAGCTCAAAGGAGGTGAGTGCACAAGCGTTCGTTGGGAATGCACGAAGGAAACATGGAAGGAAGCCTAGGAAGCAGTGCGGCAAAAAAGAGAAAAGAATACATATGAATAAACGACCGTGGATAAAGCAAAAGCGCAATACCAGCAAAGAGACAGACAGTGGGGGGAGGGGAGGGGAGGGGGGCATAGCGTACCTCGGTAGAAGCCTTTGAGACCGTCTGTCCTGTATACATGCTTGAAGCAGCTGATCAGGGTCGGAAAGGGTGGATTTTTAACATCCGGCTGCGTCATAATCTTGTTCTTGACCACATCTATTCGGTTTGTCAAAGATGGGCACAAAAAAGAATGCGTTGTGTCGACACTATTTAGCTGAAGATACTTCAGCAACATCACGCACTGTTATACCATAATCCAGTTCAACTTGAGAAACATTACCACATGGGAAGGAACAGATCCAGAAAGTGTTCGCGCCGAGTCCTCCTGCCCAAAAGTTAATCGCGGCCTCTGACATGTTTGTCCTCTTACGCATTTGATCGGCGTATATCTGCGGTGGACACAATGCATGGTAAAAGCGTGAGTTGGGATTGAACGCCATGACGGGAACGTTATCATTATATCATGAAACGATTATAAAAAAAACCTCGCCATCATCGCTTTTGGTCTATTCCGCCGTCGTTACCTCGTAGCTGCCCCACCACACGAAAAACCAGCTCCGGAACCAGAGCGTTCCCACCAATCCTTTCCAAAGTCCAGTGATCCCATTGTTCCGGATCTAAAAGCCACAAGTAGTGCGATTGGTCAAAATTGAAGAATGTCAGATTTGTCGTGCAAACCACAATATCTACAACATTTGGCGCGGAACAAAAAAAAAAAAAAAAAAAGCGCTGCCCTCTACCAGTTGTCGTGCGCAATCAATTGGTCCGTCATAGAGCTTTGTGGAGCTACCGTATTGGACCTGGAGTCGCGCCTTGATATGCTCAATTGGGGCCGCAATGAAGGATACGGTGATACCGGCGCCTACAAAGAAAACCATTGAATTTTGACGGGTGATATAACGCGTTAGCAGGCTCCAATTGAATATTCTACTGGATATAGAGAATAAAAGACCGGTTTATTGCCGTAAGAGAGTTGACGATCATACCAATGCCGGCAATACCGCTCCAAAATGGGGTCAACTTGACATTGTGGTCCCCGCCCTGTAGCAGCAATCGGTAGTTGGACAGTGATCCCAGCCTATGGTGGTTCATGAGCAATTTTTAATTGTTAACCGGATGCATCACCAAGTCGTACAACAACCATATTTGTTGTTATTTGTCCTTTCGCCTCAGATGAGTCCATACATGAGACTGTCCATGAATGCCCAGCCGACCAGAGGTGGCGTGGCGCCTAGCAGGACAGATGTAAAAGGTGGCTGTTAGATCGGTATCATTGACATCTCCACAGCAACTAGGGTTGACTCATCTGTCTTTACCTTTGTAAAGAGCACGAGGCCCCTCTTTCTTGAGGGTTTCCATGAGACAATGCAAAGAACCTTTGAACTGCTCGGGCCCTGAGGTCTAGAAGAGATGCGCGTGTGTCAATGGACCGTCGAATTAAATTCAGATGCCGGAACGAGATCATAGCGTATTATAATCAAGATAGAGAAGTAGTCTAGGGCGTTACCTGCATGCGCACTTTGATAGTGTCTACGGAAGATATACAAACAGTAATAGGAGAAGCAGTTGCTCAGTGACAGATCGGTTAAAGTGAACAAGATGTAAAGATACAGGCAATTGACAATACCAAAGGGGTGTCCGACCACCAGCTTGGTCACACCCGAGAACACTCCGGCGATGAAGCCATGGAACTTTTTCTGGTTGCTCTTGTCCTCTACCAGGGGCAGAACTTTTGCGGGTGTGATCACTGGGATGGGTCTGGAACTGACGACGCCGAGAGGTGTAGGGGAGGACTGTGCAGACATTTTTTGAAGATGAGGAATGAGAGGAATGAGAGGAATGAGGAGAGCGAATCGGTGAGAGCGAATGCCGAGGTCAAGAATGGAGAGGAGAAAAGCGGTAGAGTGGGGAGGTGTGGTAGGGAAGACGGGTGTGGTAGAGTGGAGCTAACTGGAGTGAAGTGGAGTGGTAGAGAGGATGAGTGAGAGAAGTGAGAGGGCGAGAGAGGCCGCTGTGTACAAAGCGGCAGGGGTAATCCTTTTCGCGTCAACTTGATTATCAAACCAATGGGCGTCCAAAGATTCACAGCCCACTCACATCAGTCATTATTTCCTCGTGAATAAGCTCGGATAGGGAGATGACTCGGAACTCGTAGATCTTTCAAGGATCCACTCGGGAGTGGGCAGGGCACAGGCTAAATTAGTCTGCCAGTGCAGGTGTGTATTGATGTTGAATCCGCATGGACCTGCAGCCCATATACCATTTGCCATGTACATTTGCATACATGCATACGTGCAACACAGGACAAAACAATAGAACCAACGCGTCCGCGAGAAACGCGTCAATGTTGGTCCAGTATCGAGAAACTAGAGATCTTTAGCGTGTTGTCAAATGGGCTGCAGGACTACGATCCTCATTCACCCCACTATCCACAGCGACATTTATAATGCATATGTATGCTGCATACCCTCCATCATCATTCTGCGCACTTGACTAGCTTCGAGAATCCACCCATGGGGGTTTACTGTCGTTTTCAGGCTGTAATGAAATTTCAAAACCTGCGGGCGTACCTCTCTCACCACCCTCACTCTCGGTTCAAATCAGCATTCAGAGGGTGGTCTATAACTCGTATTTTCCATCCGCTACCGAAAGAAATGATAAATAGACGCGTAGTATCCTTCGTTTTCTTCGTTTACATGCTACCCCAACCCCTCATCTTCTCTGCCCACTCTTTTTCATTCCTTCCTCCTCCTGCATCCTCTACACCCCTGTACATTTTCATGCTCTTGTAAATCCGTCAGTCTTTTTTCGCCATTTTTATTCCTAGTTTACCTTGCATACAATTTTACAATTTTATCATATCACACGTTTTTCTCAGCCTTACCACAGAATCACAAGTACAAAATGCGTCCAATCCCTCTTGTCAGCCTGGCTATGGTCATGACGGTCGCCTCCATCCTCTTCCCGTCAGCCGACGCAGCGATGAGCAAGAAGCAGCAAAAACAATACCCTCCCAAGGATCGATTACCCGATGTCAACTCTCCTATGGTCAAAAAGTGGGTCTCTGAGATCGATTGGTCAAAGGTGCCCAAGATTCCCATTGCCAAAGCCGAGATTCCCAACTGCCCAGAATGCCCCAAGAAGAAAGATATTCACAAGGACGCCTGTTGGTGGACCTGTGGTGGATGCGTGGCCAAGGACGATATCGAGGTCTGCCCTCGCGAGAAGGCCTGGGGTCTTACTTACGATGACGGCCCAAGCGTGGACACTCCTAGGCTTCTGAAGAAGCTGAAGGATGCCAACGTCACTAGCACCTTCTTTGTCGTCGGAAGCCGAATTCTGGAGTATCCAGAGACACTTCTCCAGGAGATCAAGGAAGGCCACCATATCGGTATTCACAGTAAGTTTGTGCGAATTGAACATAATATAATCTGAAGTTTTCCTGTCGGCTTCGTGGCCCTTACGAAACCTTTTGCATCCGCGTTTGTCAATTAGCCTGGTCCCATGCTGGTATGACCTCGTTAACAAACGAGCAAATCGTCGCGGAGATCAAGTGGGCCGAAAAGATCGTCTACGACGTAACAGGGCTCAAGACAAAATACTGGCGTCCGCCTTATGGCGATGTGGATAACCGCGTTCGTGAGATCGTGCGACAGATGGGCTATACCACCGTCATCTGGACCAAGGAATGGGACTCAAACGACTGGCAGATCCCAGACAAGACCATCACCAACAAGCAAATCTTCAGAAACTTTAATTGGGCATTGTCGACCCTGCCCAAACTGAAGGGTGGTGTCATCACTCTCGAACATGATCTATACAGCCAGACCGTCAACCTTGCGGGACCACTACTGGATATGGGAATGAAGAAGGGGTTGGAGCCCATGGACATTGCCCGGTGCGTCAATGACCCCCATCCATACCAGAACTCTCTGATCCAGAAGAAGCCTGTTGCTCAGTCCCCCAAGCCTGATATTCAGTCCCCCAAACCTGATACTCAGTCCCCCAAACCCACCGAACAGCCAAAGCCCGCAGAAGAAATCCCCGAGCCTATGGAAACAAAGCCAGAGGAGCAGGAGCAGGAGCAAATCGAACCCAAGGCAGCGGGATCCGCCTTCGGGAGCGACATCCTTCCTTCAGCCGGAACCACAAAGAAATCGAGCGCCAACAGCCTTGCCTGGGCTGCTTCCAGCCTGGCATTCGTTGCGGCGACTGTGCTCTTTACTTTGTAAATGATATCCATGTTTTTGTCTTCGCGAACGATCGTAACCGTTAGAGGTACTGTCGTTTTCAGGTTTTTGTTCTTGTAAATATACTATCATTGTCCTGTGCTTCAAGTAAAATAAAAACGGAGTTCATCCTGCCGAAAATGAAACAGCCTCAATCTACCATGACCTTTTCTTTCTTGTGGTGGATACGGTTTACTTCTTCCCCTCCTTACACTATCTGCGTATGCATGAAGGCCCTTTGGATCCAGCAAGGGATAATTTCACTCAGCGGTCGTGTGCTTAAGGAGATGCCATTGATTTACGCGTCTATCCTCTCCCTCGTCTCCTGCTATGAAAATTATAGGAGGCGACGACCGCCTTCTCCTATTATTACTACGCCTGCCCTAATCTACTGGTGCCTGTTACGGGGTCATTTTATGACGACGGTGTTGATGAACTTGACGACCACGGGCGATGGACCCAGTGTATCTGGTTAGTAATTGAGGAGCAACGGATTCACTTGAGCTGACATTGCCCATAGTTTCTTCTTCCTTCTCACCTCACCTCAATCGTCTCGAACAGCGCATTAAGTCCATTCCTGTGCGCTGCTCTACAGCACAAGACCTGCCCTTTGACCCTCTCTTATCGTCTCAACCGCCAGGTGGCCTTCGCTTCCATATTCAGCACCGCATGTCAACGCATAGTCAAAGGGGAGGCGCCGCTGACATTCACCTCAATGAGAGTGATCAGAACGAGCACAACACTACTCGAGAAGACGAAAGCACTCAAGAGTCAGACGTTTTGAGCCTCGAAATAACCACTGGAAGCATATCGCACAGCTACGAAGAGCCCATTCAACAACTATCGACCGCGTCCTCTCTCAACGAACAGCCCAAAGTGGATAGCAAGAGCTATGAAACCATCATCCACTTTGCCGATCATACCCCAACATTATCGCTCTTGCCTCTTTCGTCTCTCGGTTTTTCCTCTCGGCTAGCCATCCATAATGACCGCAGCACACGTGTTAGTCTTGGGTACTTGAATACCGGGAACAGTAAATCGTTGGATGGGCAGAGGAGAGATCGGAGGGATATAGAGACGTTGGATCAACGGTCATATCACCGATGGACCAAGGGCGGCACAATGACACCTACAAGTGGTTTAGAAGAACTAGAATACACGCCAAAAACAAACAGTATAAAGCCCGTAGGCATGTCGGGCTTGAGGATCCCTCAATCCACCAAAGCAGTAACAAAGGCAGGAGGTGGGGGCACTAAAATACGATTTGATGTAATGCCAACCATGTCCTCGGAGGGTAAAAGATATGCGGATCCAAGGCAAGGAAAGAAGGCACGTAAGGCAGCGCTCAAGACGGCCACGACTTTGTTCTCTAACGAACGCACGTTCCTTCACTGGATCAAATTTGGTATACTCTTGGGTGGGTTGGCCTTGACCTTACTGAACTTTTCGGCGGAAAATACCAATGAAGGGATCGACGCATCGCTTGCCAACCGTTCTGGCAAGGTTGGCAAGATCGTAGGCGTGGTCCTGATGGGCATTTGTCTGATGTGTCTCGTGTACGCGTCGTCGACTTTCCATTGGCGACACATGGGTGTAGTTCGAAGCACGAGCGACAATCGTTATTTTGACAGGATCGGACCCACACTGCTGACGGTCGCGTTGCTGTCAGCATATTCCGTCAATGTCCTTTGTATGTTAAGGCGCAATGATTTTGCTGCTGTTGTTATTCCGATACCTTGGACTCGAGAACTCTTTGATGTAGAGGCAACTAACGTACCTTTTGCCTGATGTCGTAGTGACCATACAATTGACCTCGGGCATGGATACCAATTATCATCCGGCGGTTTTTTACAATACGCAACAGGATGAGGCTCCTCCAATGGCACCTGCAGTCTCTCCTGTCCCAGGCTTTTCGCCGCCAGTCTTTGACACACCTCCTTTGCTTCCTGGATCTACTATTCTGGTCGATAATAACGGCCACGAAGATGATTACAAAGTCAAGACAGACGTCTACACTGACTACACAGTGCCTCCTCCACCATCGCGAAGCTCCGTGGATCAGGTCGATACACTATCACCTGTCGCCGTTGCAGAGTCAGCACTGTCAACTGAGAGCTTGGACCAAGAGCCTGAAATCTATGGCTGGTAACAAGGATTCCGTCATGAATGCTCAGTCTTGATATTGACGGGCCTAACCATGCAGCAACCTTTGCAGCAGTGATCATTGAGGTTCACTAAAAAAGACGACATTTCAGCCTTAGCCTGTAATCTACCCTATATGTATTTCTCCGCACTCATCCCATAAACCCTGTACTCTTGATGCACTACATGTCTTTAATCAGTCTATCGTTGGAAGGTCTATAAGGTTCAGTGCTGTTTGGCTTGCTTGCTTGCTTATGAAAAATCGATCACGCTCGCATTCCATTTCTCAACGAAACTTTGCACAGGGAGTGCGATCTTCCAATCCACATGTCCAGCTCCGAGGTAGAGTAGAGGTGGCTAGCATGGCGATAAGACATGGATTGAGGAAGATCCATGAGTATCCATGAGCAACAGGAGTGTTGGATGTACACATTAACGGCCAAAGCAGCCAAAGCAGCTGAACAAAAAAACCATTGTCCCTTACCGAGAGCTCCGTGATGACAGACGAAACTAGAATTGGAAGATCAGTTTTCATGCCTAGCACAATGCCAACTTCCAGTTAGGATACCATGAAAGGGACCAAGTTGAAATCAAGCGTTCCAAAAAAAAAAAAAGATCCTTCTCTCTTACCCACTGGACTGACAGCATTGTTAGTGAACCCTGTCAACTCGTGCGACTTTTCCGCAGGTGCAATCCGTAGATGCATGCCCTTGCGGCTCGCCCCTGTTCTTTCACGGACAGCCTTTTCAAGCTTAGTGATGTTAACGGAGCCCTCGTATTGGACGATGACACACCAGTACCGGTCTGCGTCCACGACCTTGGTCTCGTCCTGCTTCCATTTTGTGTTTTCAAAGACCAGGGTCTTGCAGAGATGGAAGGTCGAAGGGCAGCCCAGGACTCGAGCACGCTGTTCAAAGGGCCAGTCGTAGTAGTCGCTGGCTACGTGGAAAAACCTGCATTGGTTGGGAAGACGACTATGGGCGTCCTCGTAGACCTAAGATAATTTTGTTGGTATGTGTATGTGTCCTATGCTCGGTCAATGAAAGCTCTTGGATCGAAGGTCGATGGACAATGCTGCATCCATGTTGATGATGAGATCAGCTGAAGATGAGATTGATGAATTGAATTCGATCCCTTGCCTGGAGAGTACCCTCGGATGGGCTGTCGGGCATGACATCGGCTGTTGCGTGGGCGAGAAAGTCCTCGAGGGACTGGACAGGGACTGGACTGGCGTCTGCCATCAGCTGGGTTCCTGGGGGTGCTGGCACGGTTGGTTCGGGCATATGTGGTCCGTGATTAGATATGTGAAGTAGGAGATGTGAGAAGGGGGAGGGAACAAAAACGTATGCGGCGCCACGTGCTTGCATTCAAATTCAAGGGAGGAGAGAGAGGGGACCCGGTCTTTGTTTTGTTTGTTTGTGCTCCCTTCCTTCCAGGGGTCTCTCTTCCATATTTGTTTGACTGATCAATTGACCAATGATCCCTTTCGTTCGCACGGACCAGTCAGCTCTCTCACCCCCTAGCTTACCCCTCCTTTAGCTCGAGCAGACCAAAGACGCGTCTCGCGTGTATTGCAAAGTACACACCCCTGGTTTATTACTCACATCCAACCGCTTATTCGCCTCTGTCTTTTTACTCGCTCTTGTCAAGTCGCATTCATCACCGATGCATTGCATGCGCATGAACTAGCAATAAAGCTCTCATGCATGTCCTAGGCGCATCGTTGCAACAGCAACGGAGAAGGGAACTCATGGATTTTTTTTCAAAAAAAAAAAAAAAAAAAAAGATGAGGCTCGAGATGGCTTACCCGATTTAATGACATGGGTTCTCTGTGTTACCAATCATTTTTTCTTCCCTGGTTGCCAGTTGCCGGTTACTGATTAGGCTTGGCTCCGTACACAGATTGCACTGCACTCCTCATCCCCTCCGATGCACTCCCTGAGGTCTTTATGCCTCTATTTTTTTTTTCTTTCTATTCTCTGTTTCTCCCTCCTCCTCCTGCTCCCTTCTCTCCCTCTTTCTTTTTTCTCTCGCGCACTCATGCTCTCTAATTACTTTTCTCTCTTTCTCCCCAATAGTTGGCTTGGTGCTTGAAGCACTCGTGCAGCTTAGTCCAGTCCAGGTTCAAGCGCGAGTTCAGTTCACCCCCTTGATACCTTTCATGCTTCATTCGTACGACTGTTTTTCTGCCTTTTGTGTTTTCTTGCCACTCATTTGTACCACTTGCACTGGTTGATGCTTTTTTTAACATCATCTATGCCCTCGGTATATTAATAGAGGGTCTGCGAGGCACAAAGAGGGAAACTGGGGTGAGAAGACGCGATCAGGCCGCGCTTCAGCGAGGCAACATTCATGCTTGTTTGTTAATTGCTAATTGTATTACTAAACGATAAAACTCTCAGAAAATATGGCGGCCGAGCCCCCTTTTCAATGGGCCATTCCCTCTTTGTCTGCATTATCAGACTGCCAAGACCAAGTTCGCTATTCCACGGCCCCAGAGCAGAGTGAGGTCTGATCTCGCTATCCCGCCCTCATATCAAGTCAACTGGGTTGTATTGCTATATATCTGAATGCGGCTGGTCTCCTTGCGTACTCACGTAGGCGGTCTGTGTATGCAACACAACACAGAGCTAAGGAACTAAATAAAATAGAATAATCCCGACCCCCTACTGCCTACTACATGAATTTGCTTTTTGTATTGCGCATAGGCCAGCCTGGCTTAGCCCACTTTGTTGGCAATAACAGAACACAGCACCGTACTTCGTCGTCCTTATTCTCCACCGATCTTAGGTGCACCCGATCGCTTCCTTTTCTTCTTTCCTTCTTCCTTTTTTTCCATTTCCCTTTCTTCTTTCTTCTTTCTTCTTTCTTCTTTTTTGTTTTTGCACATAGTCTCCATTTTTTTTATTCTTTTCTAAAGCGAAAACAAGCACTGACAACTGCTTGCACGCAAAAAAACGCAGCAGCAGTTAGTAACAAAAATCAGTGCATCACTGCAGCAACAGCGGCAATACAACATCAACCACCCTCCCTAGCGAGCTACCACCTTCTTGCTCTCATATCGACCACATCCTCCACGGCACGCTATGTTCCACTCTCCCACACTTGTAGACCAGCCTCCTATCCCACCTCCGCTCACCAGAGCCAACTCGGTCGTTTCACTCTATCAGTCATGCCTCAACTTGATCGAGCGCCTCTCTGGAGTGCCAGACTTTGAGCAATACCTCGACCCTGAGTTGTTCCAGAACATCCAGGCGGGGTCTCCATCGACCATGAGTCCCAACGACCCTGTGTCGCAGCTCTGGGTCCTCTTCCGACTGGGCGCACCTCTGGCCTGCATCTTCAATGGCCTTCGACCAAAACAACCCTTGAAGATTAATAACACGGACACCAGCCTCGGCAATGTCAATGCTTGCAAGGCCTCAGTATTTCATTTTCTCGTTGCTTGCCTCCAGGAATTGCAGTTCAAGGACGACGACCTCTTCACTATCTCTGAGCTTTACCAGGATGACACCAATGGATTTGTGAAGGTAAACAGGTTTACCAGCTCACGAGACATGGTGTCTCCCTCTCCTCTTCACTCTGTCCATTCAGACCATGGGACACAGATGTGTGAGGGCCCGGACCACCAGGGTCCCTCGCACGACATACTGGCAGTGTACCAAATATAAACAATAATGTACCCAAGTTGCCCCCACCCCCTGCTCTCAGTCATTTCTCCCTCTCCCCCCGTTGTAACGAACATCAGGCATGCAAAGAAGAGAGAGTAAACTCTATAATGCCAGGCACCCAACCCACATGCCGATAAGGCAGAGGGACAACAAACAAAAGGCAGGATACATACATAAAAGAAGAACAATGTGGGTCCTTGCAAATTGCTCCATGTGAGGGGTTGTAAGGAGAGCGAGTGGACTGAAATGGAGATCTGTCCCGCTCAAGGGAACATGAGAGCGCGGGTAGTAAGAGTGTGAGTGAATGGACGAATGGGAATATGGGAAGAGGAAAGAAAGGAAGAGGACATTAGTGAGCGCCCATGTCCGCCTGTTGTCGTCCGTCGTCGGCATGGCCCGTGGGCGGCACGGTACGGCATGGCATGGCATGGCATGATTAGCCAAGGCACGCCCAGGTATTTCGTGTGCATGGCGTATCCATGTAATCCCCTGTTCGTTTTTCCCAATGCCTCCCCCATGGTTCGTAGTTGCCCAGCCTACGCTCTTTCCAGCCAGATCATCCCCCATCCCCCTCATTTTTCTTCCCCCCTCTTCTTGCACCCCCCCCCTGCCTTCTCTCCCAGCCCTTCCTTCTATCCATCTATTGGTTCATATCACTACTGCTTATCCATAATTAATATATTATCTCCCCGTTTTCATGCTTCCTTGCTCCAATTGAGCGATTATATCTATCACCGCCATATTTCGGAAGGTGCAGAAAATGCATGGGTCCCAGACAGTTTCTTTTTTCAGTGCCCTTCGCACATATACTTACCCCCACCTACCTCTCGGTCTGCCACAGAGACGCGTACTTGAACGCGAAAACCGTTTGTGGCAAACACCAGCATGTGTTCCACAAAAGAAAATAAAATAAAATTTCACTCACTTTGCCCATCTCACCCTCAGTCCACAATCATTGTGCAACATGGCCATTACTCGGCTGCTGGATGACATCCACCTAGCTGCTTGCTGCCACAATGGAGTGCTAGTACCAGCGTGCTCTGAGAAACTCTCGGTTCATTCTGTTCCATTCTTCTGATCTGACCACTGGCATGCTGCCTATTCCCATCCTCCCACATCCCAACTTTTCCTTTCTCTATACGCATAGGTCATCAGGACCGTCAGCATGGTCTTGGATCGCATGGAAGCACAAGGGCTACTTCGCGCCCGACTCTCCAAACGTAGCTCCGACCCTGCCAGACCAACCGATAACCGTGCCAAGGTTGTCAACGAGATCTTGGAGACTGAGCGCATCTACGTGCAAGACCTGGAGAACCTCCAGGCTTACATGCGTGCGCTGCAGTCCGAGGGAACTGTGGTCTCCCCCGAAACGATTCACCTTATCTTTGGAAACCTCAATGCCCTGGTGGATTTCCAGCGCCGCTTCCTGATTGCGATTGAGACGAATGCCGCACTTCCCTCTCATGAACAGAACTTTGGCCAGGTCTTTCTGCAGCATGAAGAAGCATTCGCAGTTTACGAACCCTTCTGTGCCAATGTTAAAGATGCCAGCGCTTTGGTGGTCCAAGAGTTCGATAAGTTGCAGGTATGTGTCTAAAGAACATCGCGTATCGACCATTTGAGTTCCAGAATATTGGAGCTAACCCGCCGATCCCTTTTGTACAAAAATGACCTTTGTAGAAAATGAACCATTTCCTGGACGCTCAACATGGTGTCAACTCGAATCTGATCAAGCCTGTCCAGCGCATCTGCAAGTATCCTCTCTTCATGCATGAGCTCATCAAGCTGACTGATCCAGAGCACCCATGCTATCGTGACCTGGTCGAGGGTCAGGACGCCATTAAGCGTGTAGCCGAAAAGATTAACGAAACCAACCGCCGACAGGAAAATCAGGCAACTGCCATGGCCCTGCAGCACCGCGTCGCCTGGAAGGATGGAGAGTTGGTCTCCGACTTTGGCATCCTGCTTCTCCACGATACCTTGCTGAATCCTCGAGGATCTCCTGACAAGGCGTTGGAGGTCTATCTGTTTGAAAAGATCTTGGTGTGCTGCCAGAGTATTGTCAGCCGAAAGAAGCAGACCAACCCCTTGACACGTAGCTCCAAGCCCAAGCCAACACTCCACCTGAACGGCCGAATTTACATCAACAACATCAAGTCGATCCGGCCAGTCTCTATTTCAGGCTCATACGTCCTGCATGTCGTCTGGAATGTTGCAGCTGAAGAGTTCGAGCTGCGTTGTAGGACAGAGGACCAGCTCAAGAAGTGGCACAGCGTCCTCGATAAGCTAGTTACTGAAGCCAACGCCGAGCGCTCGGATATCGTTCCAATGAACAGCTATATGGAGGCGTCTGCTCTTACCCATGAAAGCCCGTCGTCCTTTTTCCGTGACGATGATGGTTACCTCGATGACGATCTGGATGGCGATGAAGACGACGGTTATGATGAGCTGCGTGGCCAGCGCAACCACTCGTTACCCTTTGGTTTATCGTCTCAATCTTCTACGCTCGTATCTCGTTCAAGGGCAAAGACAGAGGACGGATCGGCACCCTCAAATGGAACCTGGAATGGCCGCACAGGTGGTTACAGTGGCCATGGCACCACCAACGGCAGATCAGGGGCCACCGGCATGTCCTTACCCCCTTTGCCTCGCACCTACAGCAGCTCGAGCACGGCTATGGGCGTTGTCTCCCCAGGCGAATACCCATACTCGCCTCCGTCCTCCTACCCGGCCTCGCCTACAGTCCCGAATCCTCGAGGCTCCGGCGGCAGCGGATCTTGGCAGAAACGAGGTAATGGTGACAGCCATTCGCCTTTGAGCGATACCATGTCCAAGTTCATGGCATCCGATGATCATGCCCCTGGTCAACCCTTGGTCAGAAACGCCTCAGCTGGGTACTCTTACAACGCAACCCCAGCAGCAGCTCCTCCAGTACCCCCGATCCCAGGACCGCTTCGTGTTCGAGCCCAGAGTAGCCCCAATATTCACTCCACTGGCGGTGGACCTTCGTGGAATAATGTTCCAGAATTACCGAACCATTCACGCAAGCCCTCCAACGCGAGCGGAACAAACTCGCCGACGACGCCGCATCCGAGCAGCACTTGTCCAACCGCCCCAGCGGTTCCCACCATCCCCTCAATCCACGCCTCGCCCCACTCAGATGCAACTCGCACATTGCATCATCAGCCTTCTAACAGCACCCTGAATCCCAACGGTGTGCCCCAGCTCAGAATCAAGGTCAACTATCAGGAAGACTCTTATCTGATTGTTGTAGCTATCCAGATCGGATACAATGAGCTCATTGAGCGCGTGGAGAAAAAGATCCGTCTTTGCGGCAGCCGTCGTGCCGAGAACCAGCCCCTTCGCCTTCGATACAAGGACGAGGACAACGACTATATCATCATGAAGGACGACGATGATATTTCTTTGGCCTTTGAGAGCTGCATCGCTGAAGGTATCATGAACCTACACGTCAGCTAAGCATCATCAACAGCTCTGCTTCTATCGCCCAGTTGCTCCTTCACGCACAGCTCAAGGTTGATGCTCGCCGGGACGCCTCCTAGGGATGGGAAGCAATGTCGTATGGCATCGCACTGGACTACCCAGATCTTTTTTTACTCTTTTTTCTTTTGTGTCTGTCGTGTGTCGTACTTGCCACTCTTCTTCTCTTTCGCCTCCTCTTCATTTCTTCCTTCCCCATACCTCTTATCTTCTCTCACTTCATCTCTTACCTCCACCTTATTGTTTTATTTACTGCATTCTCTGGCGCGGAGTATGGGGAAGTACCTCTGGGCTACGGTATATTCAACATGTTCATTTCAGCATGTCACACGGCAATGACTTTTCTCTTCCGGCTCAATTCCCCAGCTTTTGTACCGACCCCTGGGAACCTGGTGCAATCGAGTCCCATGACGAAACGACATTTTTACGACCTTATTCAATGCTAACGACGATTAACGACTATGCAACGACAGTAACGACACTCTGACGACTCACGAACAACAAATAAGAGAACATTGTGGCGACGCAATACTACAAAAAAAAATCCATCATGGGATGAGATACAGTACGATGGACAAAGCAAGATGTTGTCCCCCACACGATGTAGTAGTATTGCACCTCCCCGCTGTTCCTGCGCTTGCGATATAATCATCAGGGTTTCCAGAGTACATTGGAAAAAATCTCTTCAGTCCAGTTTGTCCTTTTTTCCTTTCTTTCTTCGAAAAAACGATTTGCCACTTCGGCAAAGTCGCTTCGACGCGATCAATTACGTTAATGACCACCCATCCCATGTATATACACTTCTCCTTTAATGATTCGAGATAACGCTCGTATATACGCCATTCACATAGACTACTATTAAGATACCCACTAGTTGGAAAAACAACCGCCTTAATGAATCCCTTCCGATCCTTCCTGCACCGCGCAACCTTTCCCATAATAGACGAAGAGCGTATGATTTATCTTCTATGTATATAGTCCAAGACGCTTTTCTCAATATAATAATGTCACTCCAGATACCGCTTCGGAGCCAAGAAGTTAAGTCCGCAACATGCGACCCATTTATTCCATCAAGGCCAATGTATTTTTGATGCAACTATACCACACATGCATCTTTACAATGACGCCTTGCTTCTCCTCAGAGCCAGATCCTCCAGACACGTCTTGAGTGCAGCATTGACCTCGTCCGGCTTCTCGGTCATAACAAAGTGTCCGGCGTCGATCTCGGTTACCTTGAGCTGGGGCATATGCTCTTTCATCTTCTTGGCTAAATGAGGCCTCAGATAAGGATCGCCCATGGCCTGAATCAACCAGCAGGGTAGATCGATGTTCTTGCGGAGGCCAACCTCATCCTCAAAATTAACCCTGGTTGTTTTGTAATAGTTCAGGGGTCCTCGGAAGCCAGACAACTTGTACTGGTCGATGATGTACTCGTAATCCTATTATTCGCAATAATGGTGCCGCCAGCAAAAGTCAGGTGTTCCGCTCAATATGGATCATTCCTTCGATAGAAACGTATTAAATTGTTTTTGTTCCATACCTTCTCGTGCATATTTCCCTGACTAAGGACATTAAGTAACATTTTGTGGGGCTAGTTTTGACGATCCGTGCAAATATTAATACCATTACGTTTCTGGGATCTTATACAGATGATGCCGTTGTTCTTCCTGAATGTCATGCATGCTGCGAAGATACCTTGCGATCCAATTTGGCCGCCGTCGCTGGATCAGCAAACTCCAGCTGATACTCGAATTCGGGTACCAACTTCACAATCTCTATATTTCATTCAAGTATGATGCAGCCTTGATAAATTGTCGACGTTCGAACGAATAGCGAGCATTTGTCGCTCTCGTTAGCGGAGCTTGCTATTGCTAATTTTTTTCTCACCTTCCAGGGAGCGGTAACGAGTTGCAGGAGGGTTGTACGGGGTACAGATACTATATAGATAAAATAACATAGGCAACACCGACCGGTCCAGGTGTCAATAAATGCATTAATGGATCATACCATTCATTTCATTTTCTGGGCTTACGGCGATCCTTACCTGATAATTCCGTGGACTCGATTGGGGTAGTAAAGACCGAATCTCCAGACCGTGGCCCCGCCCCAATCATGTCCGATAAGCTGAAGGGTTCATTTCAAATAAAATAACGATGTGAAGTCTATCAGTCAACGTACGATGTGGGCGCTCTCGCTTTTCAGGTGTATGCTAAAACTTACAGTGACTTTGGAGATGTTCAACGAGTCAAGGAGACCGGCGAGCTGGGTGCAAAGGCTCTTCAGACCGTACTTTTCTAACTCCATAGGTGAATCCTAAGGATTGCCAAATATGAATGTTAATTGGTTAACAGATATCATTTTCATCTTGAAACTTTATAACCCAAGAACTGCTCTGATCCCTCGTTGTGTTCGCTTACAGTCTGGCCGTAGCCCAGGCAGTCAGGGACGATGACACGATATCCGAGGTTCGCCAAATACTTGATCTGATGTCTCCATCCGTACCAGATATCTGGGAATCCGTGAACTAGAAGCAGGGGTTCACCTTTGGGATCACCCTCCTCGACATAATGGTATCTGTGCCCGCAGGTCATTGCGAACTTGTGTTCGAAGCTGTCAGGATCGATGTGGAGGGCTGGTGCGGGCGTCATGTTGGATAGGAAGGAGATCGCTGAGGGTAATACAATTTCAGAAGGTGAACAGAAACGGGAAGTATAAAGAGTGGAGAGATGTGTTGCGGACGAGTCGTAAAGATAAAAGGAGTGCGAAGCGGGCGGCGTGGGGAAAGAAATTGACGTCGTGAGCAAAAAAAAAAAAAAAAAAAAAAAAGCGATCGAGAAATATTTTTATTTTGGTATGATGCACAATTGCATACACTTCAAAATGTATGTGCTTCCCCTTCGATCGGCTAGAGGAGGAGACCGATCCGTCTGAGGATGACAGATCAGACATTTGTTCTTCCGCTCCGATGCAAATAGTCTGCGCCCAGTGAACAAGCGAGCAAACTCAGCACGTTTCTCTCTTCATAGAGTAACAGCGACTAGCACTGTATGTATTATACAACCGGATACATATCAGATGATAGATGGGTGGATATCCGATGTCACAACAGATATCTGGTTCGTTCTCGAGATGGGTTCCGCTGGTGTGCCCTTCCGCGTTTCACGCGCACCTTGCCGCATGGGCAAACGTAGTGATGGATGTTAATAGGACGAAGAACAGGGATGCGCGTACGCTAAGGGGTCGCATGATAAGGGCATCATTTCAGGCAATATAATGATACGATTAGTAAACTTGCGAAGAGGATAGTCCTGCATTGACAATAAACGCATGCCACGACGTTTTGAATACTTAAGTCTCAATCTGGAAGCATAAAAGTGTCGTCTGGCATCCTATGAAGAAAGCCTCACGCAAGTAGGAGCCGTTCTATACGTAGACAGATGAAGGCCACCTCTCTGCCTCCTTACTCCGATTTGCGTAATTCCTGGGATAATATTAGGCACCGCACAAGGAGAATACACTCCTTATGAAGGCCCTAAGCTCCTCATAGAAAGGATGAAGCTGACGTTGGGAGGCCGTTCACAAAAGCACGCATTCTATTTATTCTATGCCGTCTATCATGTCTAAAACGTTCAAGAATGTAGACTAAATTTTACGAAGAAGTATTGCGCCTTTGAGCAAGATCTTCCAGGCAGTGTTTGAGGGCAAGGTTGATTTCGTCGGGCTTCTCGGCCATGGCAAAATGTGCGGCCTCGATCTGCGTGACCTTGAGCTGAGGCAGATGGTCCTTCATTTGGTCGGCCAAATAAGGTCTCAAGTACGGGTCGTTCAAGGCTTGGATTAGCCAACAGGGCACGTCAATGGTTGACGGGTAACTAATCTCATCATCAAAGTTGACTCTGGTCGTCTTATAGTAGTTGAGTGGTCCTCGGAAGCCAGACAGTTTGTACTGATCGATGTAGTACTCGAGGTCCTAAATGTTACAAAAGTGCAGAAGGGGTCAGCTATCCCTTCTATGCAGATCCCCTCTGTTATGGCAATGCACTTGAAAACTACATTCCCATACCTTCTCGTGCACATTTCCCTGACCAATGACCCTGCGCAACATCACATCGGGCTACGTCGGTGATCCATAGAGGCATTAGCGCCATATTATATATCCCCCATTGTTGATCAGAGATGTTGTTTAATATGCAATGCTGCAACATACCTCAGCATCCAATTTAGGAGTGGTATCTGGGTCAGCGAGCGCCAACTGATACTCAAATTCAGGGATTGCCTTCACGGTATCTATAACGTGAGGGCGATTGCTTCTTATTAGCTGCGTGAATAGCTTGTCATTCTCGGTAGCAATGCCTATCATGGCCAATTCTTACCTTCCAAGGAACGAAACTCCGTCTTAGGAGGATGATATGGGGTACAAATGCTAGGCATAGTAGAAGGAGCACGCAAACACAGGTATTTGTAAGTACTTTGATTCCTGCGACGATATCTTGCATCCGTACATCATTTCTCATGTATACCTGATGATCCCTTTAACGCGGTTGGGATAGTAGATGCCGAATCTCCAGACCATAGCTCCACCCCAGTCGTGTCCGATCACAGTAACCTCAGAAATATCAAGGGCGTCCAGAAGACCGGCGAGCTGAGCACAAACGCTTTTCAAGCCGTAATTTTGTAGTTCCATAGGCGATTCCTAGTTAAAATGAAAGTGACCCATGTCAGTCATATGCTCATCTTCATGATCTAGAGTAGGTCTTTCGTTGTATTCACTACCGTTTGACCGTAGCCCAGGCAGTCGGGGACAATGACACGGTAGCCGAGGCTGGCCAGGTACTTGATCTGATGTCTCCAGCCATACCACAGATCCGGGAAGCCGTGAACGAGAAGCAATGGTTCGCCGTTGGGGTCGCCCTCCTCGACATAGTGGTAATTGAATCCGCAAGTTGTTGCAAACTTGTGGTTAAAGCTGGCAGGATTGATATGAGGAGCAGGTGCGGGCATGTTGGTAAGAGGTGGATCGAGAGCGGTATGTTTGGTGAAGTTGAGATAGAGCAGTGAGCGAAGAAGGTGTTGGAAAGTGAAGACGAGGAAAGAAAGGCGCTATATATGGAAAAAAGCCCCTGCCAACGTGCGGAGGGTCATAACGACGTCGTAAGCGGAGGCTTTCAACGTTTCACGGACCGACAGTTCCTCTCACGATCGAAAAACTAAGGGCTAGATACGGTTCTCTTCCTTTGCCGCATAGACCGGTTCTAGGAAAAAAGGTAGTCCCGTGAGAAGAAAAAGGCCCCACGGATAGAGGGTTAGGATTTGCTCAGACAGGTAGCCGTTAACGCCCAATGCACCTAGTTTGAGTGCATAGTAAAGGTCCGCGCCTAAAAGTGATCGGCTAGACAGCCCACAGCTTCGCCGTTTTCCTCGTTGCCGCTCTAGAGGGTGAGCAATTGATAGAAGGATCGAAACCAGCAGGAGGCTGAGGAGGTTGAAAGGGAGCGAGCGACGCGCGCTGTGTCGTTTTGTAAAGACAACTGCAGATCTGGACGTGTCTAGAGCTCACTGGACAGGTTGCAAATGGACCACGCACGCAGCAATAGGCGCAGACAAACACACAAAGACAAGTCCAGGTCCGCATGGAGACGCGTTTTCATTCCTGCTGCCGTGGTTCCTTTGGTTACGTTGTCTGTGCGGAGGGGAAACACAATCGATTTTTTGCTTGCCCTGTGTGGTAAACGGCGGTTTGGTTCGATGGCATTTTAGTCATTTGGTTGCACGGAAACACACGACCACTGCACTGCACCGCACTGGTCAAGCTGGTCTATGAGCTCATGAGTTATCCTGTTGTGGATGTATGGATGCATGGAAACATCCGCGCATGCACCACCGTCTGGACTTCCAGTTCATACACTTGCTTACTTCCAAGCAAGAGATGCGAGCAAATAAAGCGATCCAAAAGCACCTTAGCACCAAAAGCAAAAAGCTTCCTCTTGTCACATTCTTTTTTTTTTTTTTTTTTTTTTTTTTTTGCCCCACTCCTTCATTCATTACTTTCATTCCTTTCATTCCTTTTCATTCCTTACGTCCTTCCTTTCTTCCTCCTTCCTCCTTTTCCTTCATCTCATCCTTCTCTCCATCCTTCTCTCCGTCCTTCTCTCCGTCCTTCTCTTCGTTCTTCTCTTCGTCCTTCCTTCGTCCTTCCTTTTCTTCGCTTCTTCGCTTTTCCCTGCTCCCTTGTTTTTGCCACAAGCTCACTGTATCCGTCATGACGAGCTACAAGAGCTCCCATGTCTTCGAGGGGTTCCAGCCCAGTGGGCTGCCAGGAAGGCTCCCTCTCCCCAAGAATGCCACATCGAACTTCTCCTCTTCCTCCGCCGCCTCTGCATCCCATCAATCACCAGGACCTACCGCCGTCGATAGAAAGCGCTCTGACTCGATCAATTCGACTTCACTCCTCGACTTTCCCTCTCTCTCCCAGCCGCATTCCATCCCTTACTCATCCTCACACGCAGCCTTCTCAACCTCCGTGGTTCGTGAGCAATCGCTGGCTTTGGGCAATCTCGAAAGGCGTCAATCCTTCGATTCCAACCCAGTATCCCCACAGGCCCTCGACAGCGCATCCTGGGCCTCCATCTCGGCCTCCGCCAATAATGCTGCCACACCTTCTCTCAACCGGATCGATACTCAGAACAAGGACAGGCGGCGCGAAGGTGGTGACAGAAGTCCTCCTAGTGGCCTCAGTCTGCTGCTCAAGACCAAGGACCAAGAAGGTTCAAAAGACAAAGGCCGAATTGCATCCACTGAGACGGCGTCGCCTGAACTGGACCCAGGAACAGGTTCTGGATCAGGATTGGGATCGAAATCTGCCCCAGGCAGCAATGCCGCTAAGAAGCAAAGCCCGAACTCTCCTCCTCCCATCAATACATCCCTGGCCAAGGTACATACTGTAGAACGAAGGAACTGAAAGTAGACCGATTGGCATTGTAATGATAATTTACCCTATAGCTGCATCTCACACTACAATCTTCCATCTTCTTTCTTTCTCATTCCCTCAATCCGATCGCGCTTTTGCTTTACTTTACTTTGCTCCGCTTTGCATCCGCATTGGGTTGTAGCACGGAGGGAGTGCAGATGTGGAGCGTGCGCCAAAGCATCCTGGCGGAAAACATCACGTCTTCGGACATGCAGGCGATCCATCGGCAGCTAAAATGACGGGCTCAATTGCGCCATCCTCGTCATTCTTAGCAGTACCGCCAGCAACATCAGCCTCGCACTCAGAGACCGACCGTCTCTTGCCGCGCCATCCTTCGGAGCAGCAGCATGGCAAGAACAGCAGCAGTGGAGTTGGCAATGGCTACAGCAGCATCGCACCCATGGGAGGAGATCGGCCTCGGCAGGAGCCCCTGTATGACGACGGCAACCCGCTGTCGATCTGGAGTGAATTCCGCCGCACACGCTGGACCCGCAAGGTCATTGTCCAAAAGTGTCTTGTCGAGCCAGTCAGCTTCATTCCCGCTGTCATCCTCGGATTACTTTTGAACCTGCTCGATGCAGTGTCCTATGGCAAGTTGAAAATACCCCTATACCCTTGCTTTTCCTCATTCCTGGTTGCTGTCCTTCTCGGGATTTTTTTTCTCTTGTCAGATAGAGTTTGGGTTTAGAGTTTTGGAAGGAGCGGGAGCTGGTTTTTCTTTTCTATCGCCATGACTCTTGGTCATATCCCTGGGGTTTGTGTATTCACACGCTGGGAGGAATACAGATAGACCGGATCACAGATCACAGTGTGTGCTTTGCATCTTGCATGCATGTACAAGGATGGCTATCTATCTTCTTTTGTACTGTGAAGATGTCGATTGTCCGTGGGCTGAGCAGATGTCTAACACAAACATCTCTGTTTGATCTCATTCGTGGCTAGGCATGATTATCTTTCCGCTCAACTTGGCGCCATTCCAGGCACTCGGCCCCGATGGCATCTCGATGTTCTTCGTCAGCTGCGTGGTCTCGCAGCTCGTATACTCGCTCGGCGGCAGTGCCTTCAAAGGCGGAAACGGAAGCATGATGATTGAGGTTGTTCCGTTCCTGCATCTGATGTAAGCGACCGAATTTTAATTCCATCTGTCCGAATGTTTATGCGAGAGCCGCATTGTTTTTTTTTCGCTCGGAATCACGACTGAACACTGAACATTAAACATATGTCTTCTGACTGCCGAATCATCTGATAGGGCTGAGACAGTTGTGGCCAGGATCGGGGCCGATAGCAGAGACGCGGTCCTGGCGACGACCATCCTCGCCTATGCCCTGAGTACAGTCATGACAGGAGCTGTCTTCCTGATCCTGGGATACTTCAAGGTACCCGTACTTGCGTCCGCATGGTGTCCTGGTCCATGGGCTTGGAGAATCGTAACACTGCCACTGCCACTGCCACTGCCACTGCGCACTGATAATCTCCTCATCTCCCTTTTTCATCTCGATCAAATGTAGCTGGGATCACTTATCGCATTCTTCCCACGACACATTCTCGTCGGATGCATCGGAGGCGTCGGCTGGTTCTTGGTTATTACAGGATTTGAAGTTTCGTCCAGGATGACGACCGAGCTGACCTATAGCTGGGCAACGCTCAAGTTCCTGTTTATGAATCACCACGTCTTTGCATTATGGTCCAGTGCATTTGCTCTGGCGTTGCTGCTCCGCATCCTGCAGCAAAAGATCCGCCATCCATTCTTGGTCCCCGTTTTCTTCATGCTTGTCCCTAGCATTTTTTACAGCGTCGTCGCCATTGCGGACTTGGACTGGGGTATGCTCCGTGACAATGGCTGGGTCTTCCCTCTGCCTGAAGGTGATGCCCCAGGCTGGCAGTTCTACAGTTACTTCAGTAAGTGCACGGCTACCGTACGCCTTTGTCTGTTTACGTGTTCCACTGTAGCAATTACCTTTAGGACTCACGTTTAATGTTCAATCCGCTTGCATTAGGCTTGGAAAAGACCAACTGGGGTGCCATTCTGGAGACCATACCTACCATGTTGGCCTTGACCTTCTTTAGCATTCTGCACGTGCCTATTAATGTACCTGCACTTGGCGTTTCGACCGGACAGGACAATATCGATACCAACAGGGAGCTGGTTGCTCATGGTTGGTCGAATCTATTGAGCGGTGGTGTTGGTACCGTTCAGAGTAAGCGTTCAAGCCCCATGTCTATAATCCTCTTTGAATGATGCTGAATGTTTCCATAAAAAGCGAGACTAATGGTCATTCCGTTGTTTATAGACTACCTTGTGTACACGAACTCGCTGTTGTTCATCAAGTCAGGAGGAGACAGTCGCGTGGCAGGAGTGATGCTGGCCATGGCTTCTTTGGTTATCTTTTTCATCGGACCATGGATCGTTGGTTATATCCCTGTGATGGTCGTCGGATCATTAATTTTCCATCTAGGACTGGATCTGGTCAAGGAGGCCCTCTGGGACACCTGGGGCCTTGTCCACCCTCTTGAGTACTTGACCATTGCTCTAATTGTGATTGTCATGGCTGGATTTGGATTCGTGGAGGGCATCTTCTTTGGTATTCTCTTGGCGTGCGTATTCTTCGTGGTAATCAATTCCCGCAAGGAGGGCGTCCGTTACTCTTGCACAGGCGAATCTGTCAAGAGTACTGTCCGACGCGTGTACAGGCAGCAAAAGTTTTTACGACAGGTCGGTCGCCAGATCTACATTTTCAAGCTGCAAGGCGACATGTTCTTTGGTACGATTAATAAGGTCGAGAAAGAAATCCAGGACGTGTTCTCTCGTCGGCGCTGGGAAGTCAACCCGATCCAGTTCCTGGTGCTGGACTTCTCGCTAGTGCGCAACGTTGACTTCTCGGCCGCAGAAGGCTTCGGACGAATTCGCAGAGCAGTGCGCGCCAAGGGAGTATGTTTGGTGCTGACTGGATTGGATGAGGAAGGCGAGGTGGGAAGGGCTCTTCAAATGGTCGGCGTGTGGGGTGCAGGTGCAGGTGCAGGTCTGGGCGAGGGTCATGGTCATGGAGCGAACTTTTCGCAAGACGGATTTGACACTCAGGCATTCCCTGGCCTGAGCGAGGCCCTTGAGTACTGCGAGAACTGTCTGCTGGAGAGCTATTATAGGACGAGGGAATCGACATTGGAAATGGCGAAGCGAAAGCGACTAATGGAGGTTGCGAATCAGGATGACAGCACTATGCTCTCGCCAGACTCTGAGGCGACTCGCTTCTTTGCGGAACACTTGCAGAACTCGCCCAGGAAGAGTCAGATCTTTGAAGCTGCCAGAGATACCCTTCACGGTAAGGACTATTCTCTTTCTAGCAGAAATGATCAATGTTACTTATGATATGAATTGCAAACTGACCGTTTTTTTTTTATTCATATAAACCTTTATAGCGAATGACCGTCCTTACCCTCACCCTATCAACCTGCAGCAACCTGTACCGACGTTATTGGCAGCGTTCCATGACACGCGCGAGAACCCAACGGACTTCTTCTTGCGACTCAGCATGTACTTTGAGCGGAGGACAGTCCTCGCAGGAACAATTCTCTGGCGCCAAGGAGGCGCGCCCACGGATGGTGTCTACTTGGTCGAGGATGGAACGCTTCGCAGCGTTCAAGAGTTCCAAGACAGCGGGCTGGTGCGGAGAAGCGTTGAGGTCATTCTGCCTGGCACCATCTCGGGCGAGATTGGACTGTTCACAGGAAACAACCGGTCTTCGACGGTAGTGTCAGAGACGGACAGTATCCTATGGGGCCTAAGCCAGGAGAAATTCCAAAAGATGATCAAGGATGATCCTGCCCTTGCTGTAGAGTTCATGAGAGTAGCTATGAGTTACTCTGCTGGTAAGTTAATGCATGACAACGCAAGTTGCCACGCGGAATTTATAACGAATTTCAATCGCTTACAACGGCCTTTTTTTTTTTTTTTTTTTTTTTTTTTTGGTTGCTTAGAACGATTGAACACTATGGTAGCCTATGCGTTCAACCTGAGTTAATGAGAGGTGCGAAGCTCAGGACACCTGTACATAATTGATGAAAAAGAAAAACATTCATGAAGAGTCATGGAGTAGCGGAGGATAGTTGGAGGGGGAGGAGCCTGGCCTCAGCACGCCCTAATGCTTAGAAAACGAATAAAAAACCACGCTTCTTTTAACCGGCCAAGTTTAGTGGCAACGGGTTTCATTGGACGGTCTCAATACAACCCTATTTTGTTTTTGTTTTTTCGCACTCCAGCCCTTCTCTTTTCACTCCCCAACCAAGCAAGCAGATCAACACATTCAGGAAATGAACGAACTGACAGCCATGGACAAGGCCAAGGATGGCTTCTTGGGTCTTGTAGCAACTCTCGATGGCGATGAACTCCTGTCCTTCGAGACCTTTATTGGCGCGGCGATCGGTATAGTACATACAATGCTGATCAACACTCCCTGGCAACGCTCATATACCAGACTGCCTAATAACCTATTTACTATTGTACTCGTAATAGAGGAGCGCCTACAAATGTTGAGCAAAGAGTACGAGAACCACCAGGAGGGCGACCATGAACATCATGCAGGATGCAGTCATGATCATGATAGACACGCCGGAAGCGGAGGCGGACATGTGGCTCGATCAGGAGGGTCAAAGATCTTTCGATTGAACAAGATCATTGAGGACCTGAGAGAACGTCTGCCCGTCAATGCTGAGGCGCCCAGTGAAGAGATTACCATTCCAGGGTCTGAGGAGGTATGTCTGAGGATGAATACACGAGGATAGGAAGATGATGGAATATCGTCCTCACCTACAGGCAAACTTTTGCTATTTCGATTGCTTTTCCTTTTCCTTTTCCTTTTCCTTTTATCTTATTAATGACCGTAGTTCGAGGGCTACACGAAGGACAACGTGGTCCATGTCGACGGATTCCTATACACAGAAGACGATGTCGACGAACTCTGCGACGCTGGGACACTCTCCCGGAACTACTGCCAAAAATGTGGATCAAAGGACACCAAGCCGCTGAACTTCATTTCCCATTCGGCCTCGGTCGTTCAGCTCCAGTTCTTGTTTCAAGTCGTCTTGAAGGACAGGGTCAATAATAAGGTCGTTCTCGATGTCGGATCCAGATTAGGCGCCGTTCTCTATGCTGTAAGTCCTCGCTTGCTCCCCTCTTTGTTAGACATGTCTCGTAACAGCGAGGGGGGGTTTTTTTTTGCTTGCTTGCCTGCTTGCCTACTTGCCTACCTACATGCGGGTGTACTCGACTCACGCGATTATTGTTCTCTTCATGGACGATGAAATTGTTAGGGCCACTTGTTCACGGAGGCCAAAAAGTTGATTGGTGTAGAGATGAACGACTACTTCTGCAAACTCCAAACAGAAATCGTTCGGAAACACCGCCTCCAGGATAGAATCGAGGTATGTGTTCGCATCAGGACCAAACTATGTCGCAAGTTAACATCTATCGCACAATTAACATGTCGTACTACGTCTTTCCTCTCCCTTACCTTACCCTTCCCTATATGGCTTTGAATATAGATCATTCACGACAACCTCCTAAATCGCGCCTCACTCCTCCAAGGAGCCGACATCATTATCATGAACAACGTCTTCCAATTTTTCTGCCCTCTCGACATCCAACGCCAACTGTGGGAATTCCTCTACACGAACCTCCGTCACAGAAAGGGTGCCCTCCTCGTCACCATTCCCTCGCTCCAGGAACAACTCAAGGATGCAGGTTTCGTCGAATCATCTACGAAAAAACCGAAGAACAAGAAGAAGAAGGTCCCCGCCAAACCTCCAGGCGTCATTGCCGCTCAAAAAGAAGAGGCGGCAGCAGCAGATGAGACTGCTGCTTCGGTCGGAAACTGGTCAAGCTGGTTGCGTGAGATTGAGGTTAAGGTCACGGGCGAGGAGTTCGTTGAAGATATTATGGAAGATGAACTGGAGGAACTCAAGCTCATCCATGTATATGAAGTTATTTAGACTGTCCATTCTTTCATAGAAAATAAAATGTAGGCATGAGTACCAAAGGAACAATTGATTCGTTCACAATTGTCTCCGCTTTATAAGTATGTATATGCATGTTGCTCTTCTCGGATGAACACCGCTGACGAGCCTATTGTACAATGTAATTCCTTCCATTTGCTTGCTCCTCATTCACGCAGTGTCAACGACGCTGAAGATAATGGGGATCTAGTCGGATCCTCCTCGTTCGACACCGTTTGCGGGACCGGCGTCAAGGCGCCAGCCGGGATCTCCCCATCCTTTTCATTGTACTCCGTCTTTTCGCCCATCGGAATCACATCTGCAGGCTTCATTTCCTTGACCGTAGATGTCATCTCTGAGTCGCTATCCGAGTCATCCTGTGGCACCATGACAGCCCCCTGCGAAGGCGACCGTGGCGTCTGACTGGGACTTGTCAAATCATGTTCTGAGCGCATTCTCAGTCGACTAAAGAAGCCGCTTCCGGTATTGCTGTTATTATTGTTGTCGTTGCTCAAGTGATCCTCCTGATCGTCGTCGTGACTAACGGCAGCGGTGGGCGTCGTTGGATGAAAGTACGGACTATTGGGCATCGTGCTGGCCCGGACCATCTGACGAATCGAGTCAAACGGTACAGCGCGCAAACCGATCGGGCCCGGTTCCAAATCCTTCTCGTCCTCCAGAATTCTCTCCGTATCATCTTCCGGCTGCAACTCAAGTGTACTCCTCGACCTTTTGATCGCCTCCGAAAGCGCAGCCTTTTTCGAGGTCTGTAGCAGCACGACACCTGCGCAGATTACAAAGAATCCCATAACGACTGTCATGATCGACGATGCACTCGCTGAAAATCCCTGAAACAGAATCACAGACGCAACCAATGTGGCACTGGTGAAGAACACATAGTAGACTGGCGTGACTATCGCGGTGTTGAACAGGTTCAGGGCCTTGTTCAGGTAGTTGATCTCCGTGAGGAGTGTGCAGGCCACGAAGACCATGGTCACGTAGATGAACCAGTGGTTGAACTGCGGCGTCCCTGTCGTGATGTTGCGGACGATCGCCGCGCCCAATCCCTGAGTCGCCACAACCGAGAGCGATCCGATCAGAGAGCAAACCGAGACGTAGACCAACAGATGTTTCTTGCCGTACTTTGGCGCGACCTTCCAGATGATCACCAGGCTTGACACGATGACCAAGCACATGTAGACAAGGAATCCTAGAGTCCGTAAATGCACACAAGATATATTAATGAATACGTGCATGCCATTAACTGAGTGTTTCTGTGCCCATTTCAATGCACGAGCGCAAACTATGACGACTTGAGGTGCCGAAATCCAGCACATGCTTTAACGTACCTGGCTGTATCACAAAGTGCTTGAACTGATCGATATCGGTGACAGCAACTTGGGCTATTGTTGGTCAATATTCGTCGATAGAGACAGAACATTATGCCCATTTATCAGACGAAATCAAGAGTCGAGTGTTGGGTTGGCACGATATACAAGGAAAAGAAAGGTAAAGAAAGACGCTCTCGTTAGCTTGAATCTCATAACTGTCCATTGCGTATTCAGGGCTGAGAATAGAGAGCTCTACGTTACCTGGTGCATGGAGAACAATGACGACAGCGCCCACAATACAGAGCGCACACCCAATTTTTCCATGGAGATTGAGTTTTTCCTTCAGGACCATCGAGGACAAGACAGCACTGTGGAAAACAGGACCCGGTTAGTCGGGAGATATGTTATGAGTACGACATGTATGACCTACGTATTCGGGATGTTTGATGTGTACATCTCAACGCGCCCCACAACCTACCAGACCACAACACTGAGTGCTCCCAACGGAGTGACGATCAATGCCGGCGCGAAGGAGTAGGCGATGAAATTGCATATCTCTCCGACGATCACTACAATCGGTCAATCAGATTGCCAAGGAACGGATGATCAGTATTTCTTTCTTTACATGGGAAGAGGATCGCATTCGGGCAACAGGGCCACAGGAATTTGGTCGATTCGTTAGCCACTTACTCATGATCATTCCTGTCCACCACAGGGTCGACTTGAGGTACGCATGGCCCTCACCGGCGACGGCGCTACTCCGCAGGAGTCCTTTCTTCTTCAGCACAAAGGATGACCCGATGAATATGCCTGTAGATAATGCGTTGGACGAACGTGGTTGGTGAGGTCAGTTGTTGTGAGACAACGAGAGGGTTTAGTGCAGTACAGTTCAGCCCAAACTAAAGGTCTAGCTAGCCCTTGAGTGGTATCCATAAAAAGAAAAAGAAAGCAGGTGGAGCAGGCAAGACATCAATGCAACGCAATACGTGCGACATGAAAAACAGGATAGATTCCATTCTATCACAATCCATCAAAGGAACGATCTTTAATGAAACTGGAGTGAAATGCACACACACAGGATGTCGCATGGGTGAGAGCGTATGCGACAGAGAGAGGAGGCCGAAAACTCGTACAGAAATGTATTATTGAAGAAGAAAAAAAAAAAAAAAAAAAAAAAAAAAGCGGGAACCCTTGTTTGGATGCACGAGCCAAGAGAGCACTGTGCTGTGAGTTGCGAAATCAAGAACACATGCGGTTATGATAGGATGGGGTACGATCCAAAAGGATGATGTCGTAGGATGTAGAAGGGGAAGGGGAGGGTGAGAGGGCGTCGGGGGCCAAGATCAAAGGCTGGTTCGATAGCTTACCACTCGAGACAGCAAGGCCCATGCCGACGAACTTGTAGTATGCGGGTGGAGGGCTGGCCTCGTTTCCGCCGAGGCTGGGCGACGATGCATCGGCCATAGTATGGTAGTATGCGGTGTGTGGGGGGCTAGGTAGGTGTGGAGAAACGTGCCAAGGAGAGTTCGAGCGGTGGTGAGAGAGGAAGTCCTCCAAAGATGGGTGTCAAAGGAAGGGAGTTGGCGGTTGGGCGAAGGAGAGGGGGGCCGCCTTGGTCGGTGTCGGATGGAAGGAGAACGGGGACAGAGGAAGAAGAGATGTGAGAGAAGAGAGCGAGAAAAGAGGAAGAATGAGAGAGTGAGAGAGAGTGAGAGAGAGTGCATGAAAGAGAGAGAAGGAGAGAAGATGCCGCGGTTGGGATGGGTGCGGATTGAAAATCGGCAGCAGCGCCAAGTGAAATGGAGTCGTCATGCCACACCTTTAATCCAGATGGCCACTAAAAATACTGTCCACTGAACCCTCCTATGCAGGTGCAGTGCAGTGTAGGAAGGGGGGGTATGGGGTAAGATTACATACACATCTGCCTCCATGTCCACGTCCACGTCCACGTCCACGTCCATGTTCATTCGGCGTATCTCCGTTATTACCTCATATACAAGACCATGAACAGTTAGGCACCAGGAACAGGGCCAGGCAGTGTCTCCAAGTGACGAAAGGATGCGGTCATCATCCCGATAAGCTTTATTCCGTTTAGGGTTGATGGCGCTTGTTTCACTAGCCCAAAAAAGGACCTCGCACACATGGACCCTCCACTCTGCCTTCATCATCGTAGCCTCCGACAGACTACGACGTGGACTTGGACCTGAACTTGCATAGGGATGAACGTGGACACTACGCGTATTTCATACACTCGAACAACATCAGGTAAGGCGCGGCAGTGTGTAGCTTTTTTTATATATTGTTATTTTCAGTGGCTGGGTCCAGCCGGTGCTTAGCCTAGTTCAAAGAAGGGCTGCAACGACCGCTACAAGCAGCCAGCCTACTGCTTTGCCCATCACACCATGCTTGAGGGAGCAAGAGGCGCTACCCATCAACCGAATGGGTGTCGCAAGGGGATGATTATGCGACCTCGATGGTGACCATGCGTCGTCACTGCCACTACCACCATTGCGCCCCTTCTCCTGGGTACCCGCCGCATGAACCGGACTAGACCCTCCTCCTGACTTTATCATACCATTCGCCCCACCTGTTGCCACCACACGCACCGGGCTGAGTCCCTCAACTTCAGCCAACTCGCCTCCACTAGCCAAAATATCGACCGAGGCATGCTTTCCAGACGCAAAGCAATTCTTGCCACGACCAAACCCAATCCGACCAAAATCTGCGTCGCCAGGCTCAGCATCTTCTCGTCCCCGTTCAAAATAGACCACCTTTCCAGAAAAGAGAGTCTCTCCCAGGATGGTACCCACACTCCCCGGTAACACTGCACCACCGCTGACCGCCTCGGCTTCAATCGCATCCGGAGATGTGCTCGACCCAAATCCTAACCATTTTTTTTTTTATATGTTTTTAGATACAATGATACGGTAAGATAGAGTGAGATCGAAAGCCAATTTGCAAAATGTAATTGAACAACTCTATAGGCATGACAACTTACCATGCCACCAGAAATCGACGTAACCCTCCGGTGCCTGGCCAGCAGGGACAGGCCTTATCCTCAGAAAACTAGACGTATAGATCGGGATCGACACCCCCGATATAACAACCTCAACCGCCCTTGCCCTCGTCGATACCTGAAAACTGGATCTCGGTAACCGCAGGACCGCATTCCTGAACCAAAAGTTGTCCACATCCTGCTCCGGAATCAACTTTGAGAACCGCACCACCTGCGACTGGGCCAGGGACTGGATCAGAAACTGTAGGTTATAATGGCTCATCAGGATATTGGTCGTCCCGCTATCAACGATCGTCTTTGGCAAGTTCAGGTTCTGCATTCCCTGTACAACCCCGCCCATGACCTTGAACCCGTCCAACTGAACCTGATACCAATCCTTCCTCACCAACGGCACATATTGCATCGGCCCCTCCAGATGTGCAGACGAGTAACCACCCAAGAACATGTTCCCCGATTTCGTCGTGTTCGTCGTTCTCCCACAGAGTTGAAGGGCAAATCCATTCGGAATCTTCATCGACGCCGAGAGCGTATCAAACAAAGTAGGTCTTTGATCCATACTTAACGATCGATACCCAAGACCCCAGATCCCGTGTTGCGCACCACAATCCTGGCTGAAGAACCCGCTGTTCTCCATGATCGCTGCAAACTCAACATTGGTCTCCTTCTCCATCGTACCACTGGTCTCTAGAAGTTCCCCTGTGCCGCCTTCTACGGTATCGGAGACGATGCCCTGGGGGTTGACCTTGGCCATCTCCAAAGTCATTAGGTCTGAAGTCAAGACACCGCTCCATCCGACAGAATGCGATTTGATCCCATAGCTGACGCGCACAGGCTCACCGTTTTCAATCGAGGCTGCTGACAGCGGGTACAGGTTCTCGGCTGGAGCAGCTGCGAGGCGGCTTTCTGGTCGCTGTGTGCCCTTGAGTCGCTTGAAGTGGGGTGAGACTGTAGTCGAAAAGGTCGTCGCTAAGCTCGGTGCAGGTATTGTGTATGATGTATCATTGATCGAGAGTGGGTTGCGAATAACGTTAGAGGCCCTGTCGACTATTGGCGCAGAACTGGCCATGTTGGCGGCAGTCGTTATGGTAGTGGCTACGGCAGGAGTCCCAAAATAATCCAGTAGGAACGAGTGTATTGCTTCTAATCGATCCGCAAGATCGGGAAAGTTACTCTTAACCCTCTCATGAAAAGACACCATAGTTGATGAGGAAAGTGCAAATAGTAAGGGTGGAGTTGGTAGTTTGGATAGTGAAGGAACCGTAGGCAGCGAGGATATCGCGGCGTCCACAATACGTGTAGTTGTTAAGGGACTAGATGATGATAACGTTGGGGAAGGACCGGTGCTCATAAGGTCGATATCCACTGTCGAAGCTATGGAATGTGGTGTCTCAGTCGCAGTGATGGTTGTCTGTTGTATTGTCTCTGTGGATCCCAAAGATGACGGTCCTACGCTGTCAATAGAATTGATACGTGGCATGCTCTTCATGTCCTGCTTCAGGAGATTTAGCAGGATATCCTGTTCAGCCGAGAGCGAAGAATCCGCATGGGAGGCAGAACTGCCCAGCAATTCCGTATCAGCATCGATGGGGATCGCTTCCTCCTCGTTTGGTCGATAATGATCCTTGTGAGGAATGATACAGTCGCGACACGCGTTTGAGGCAATTGCAAAATGCGCGCTTCCGGTGTCGATTATCACGTTGTACTATGGGGGTAGCATGATACTGGTCAATTTAGGTTTTCCTATTATTTCCTGGGCTTACTAAGTGAGAATGTCAAAAACGGACTCACCTCCAAACCTGCTATCCTGACCTTGGTTGTGTAGTCGCAGTTGGGATCGCCTTCAAGGTCGAGTTGAATCACCCCAAAGTCGTTGGCTGTCGGCACAGCTCGACCGTCCTGTTCTTCGCCTATTATTGTTTGTGTATTAACCCCAGGAGTAGCATCAACAGTAGGAATAGACTCTCTGCTACCTATTGCCTTCATGTCATCTTGTTCCTGAGGTTTGTGAAATAGAGAATCAAGCACATCTGCGACAGGTGTCCAGAGCGCCGGCGCTGCAAGGCATAAGGAGACAGAGGATCGAGAAGAGTCATAAAATGGAGTAAAAGCCAAGGGACCCAAAGTGAGAACGAGACATATGGTCATCGACAGTCGAAATTGTGGTGCATGCGAGCTGTGTTTCCGGCTGTCGATCGAGCCATGGTGAAGAGCGGTGTATGTGGAACGTGCCTGCAACATGCTTTTTTTTTTTTTGTGTTTGTCCAACAGGGTACATGAATTTCCTCCAAAAAGGAAAAAAGATGGTATTGGTATTAAATAAGCGCAACATAAAGCAAGAAGTCCGGTGGAGTGGTCTCCAAAGGATTTATAGTCCGTCTGGTGCCATGTCGGGACCAGAGGATACGATGCCAATAGTCGCATGCAGGACGATGCAGATCAAAGGGCCATTTGGTTTCATGTCATACTCTATCCGTTAAATCGATATAAAGAAACCGGACAGCCGTTGAATATGTGGTAGATCACTTAATGGATGGGGCTGCATGCGATTCCAGCCCGGACGAGATGACAGATCCGTCCCCACCCTAGTCGCAGCCTTAATCAAAAGCGCCATCTCTGCAAATAATCTTAGTGCAGCCCGCGTCTCCCATAGTAGCATCTCGATTACAAGGCATGACTCGGCCACGTATCGCTGTCTATGAGGTAAGGCGGATGGAAAAAAACGCCGCGGCCGGAAATATTCGCGACGTATTATTTGAAGCACATTCAACAGAAGGATGCGAGTGATTCCTGAACCCAAAAATAAGGTTAATTGCCTCACATCCCATAGGACACAGTTATTGAACGTGCATGCAAACAAGCAAACAACTATAGACATTTAACATAGACTATGTCGATTAATCGTATTAATCGTGCGATGAGGATGGCGTCCAATAACATTTTCTACAGCATTACGTGTATTACTATTATTATTATTTTGTGGGACTATGCTGCCGTAGACTATTGCACTTATGTGTGCTGAATGCAATCCCCCGGCTACAGCCTCTAGTCTTTCTTTCACTCGAACAGCTGCGTTGTGTCCACCAGGAGATGCTAGACAAACAAAGTCTGCATAAAGGCGGTATATTTGCAACATCGCAGTGAATGAAACAAAGGAAAAGAGGAGGAACGCTACGAGGGATGAAGTGGATAAAAAGAAGTGATATTACAATGAAGTGGCTGAAAAAAGGGTATTCGGGCACAGACTAATGAATGAAAGAACATCGACGATATCATAGTACAAAAACAATGCGGAGGAATGGGTTGATGCGCGAATGCGAGCAGAACAAAAAACAGCAAACAGACAGGAGCGGGAAATAAAAGAAACAAGAATAAGAACAATAAATATAAATGCTGGCAGTGCATGTGGCAAAGCAGCCTGTCGTGGAGAGCATTGCATTGGAGAGGCACAGGGACTGGCCAATGTCCTTATTCCTCGCGGGACTCCTCTTTTTGCTCGAGCTCCGATGTTGCAGTGGTGGCAGGACCCGCCTGCATCACTCCAAGCTGAGTCCGCGCCATGGACAGTCCGTAGGTCAGGTCAACCAGTTCTCTGTCCATTGGGCCAAGGCCTTGTCGCAGACCCTCTGCCAGCTTGACCAAATCCCTGGCAATGTTTTCGATCACCCGCGCGTGTCTATCTCGCTCCTCTTGCTCCGTCATGCGATTTCTCGTCTTGCGAACCTTCTCGTGCAACCGACTATCGACAATCTCTCCGAGGTCCGTGGTGGGAATGGTGTCGCATCCGATGAAGAGCTCCATCCAAAGTTTTGGAGAATTGCTGACCCAATATTGACCATCGTCTGCGCGGTAAAAGAAGGGATTGGACTGGATATCGAGCTCAATCATGTTCTGCTGGATGCACTGCTCCTCGAGCTTGACATTCCAGCTCGGCACGACAACAAGTTGAATGTACCAGTCTCCGACAACCTTGTAATGGTCCGCAAAATACAGCTTGAAGTTTGGAAACATGACTCTTTGGAGCTGGCCAAACTCGACTTGGAAGCGTGTGGTTCCGTAGGGGGATGTTACTACTGGGCCACCGGCGCCAGCGCCTGTGGGGTCTGAGTCGCTGTTCAGAGGCGAACCAGTCGCGCAGAAAAAGAGGCCTGAGAGATTGTAGAACGGATTGACGATGGGGGAATGGTCATCGTCACGAACGAGGTTGTACTTTTCGGCGGGATATGAGAGGAGGAAGCGGCTCTGGATATGTTCCAGCTGCTTTTCTTGCCGCTGTTGGTCGTCTGGATGCCAGTTGCGGTAGATTCGGCGGCACGGTTGTGAGGTGGCGGGGGTGCAGTACATCAGTGCTTCCTGATATCGCTTCTGGATCAGAGATCCGAGCATTTTGCAATAGGCATCCATTGGTTCGTATGGGCGGGTCTGTGAGATGTGCGAAGAATGCGGAGGAAGTTCGGCCGCAAGCAATGACTGGATGGCGCCCATGGATAGTGGAGATTTAGTAAATGGGTCTTCTAAATATGAAGAGTTGCAAAAGGAGGTCAGTGTGGTGCGACTTCGGGTTTGTTTCGAACCTATATTGTGATGGTGCTGTGGAAACGACGCAATAGAAAAAAAAAACATGTGGAAAAAAAAAACATGTGCAGGGCGTTGAAGGAAATCGCATGCAAAAAAAACAGCTGGACTAAGAAGTGCGGTGCTGGGCGCTCCTTTCTTCCCAGCTTGACAGAAAAAGGGAAGCCCCAACAGGGCATCAAGGGGGAGAAGGAGATATGTGCCGTGCATTACATTTTCCCCACAGTCGACAGGTCATCCACTGAGCGACGCTTGTCCAGGCAAATGCCCTTGTTAGGAGGAAAAAAAAAAAAAAAAAAAAAAAAAAAAAAACGGGGCCAAAGCGAGAAAAGGGAATGCGGAAACAAAGACGACGAAAGGGATGGAACAGGTAGAATTGGTGGGTGACAGGGACCAGGGACCAAGGGCAAAGAACAAGGAATAGACACAGACCGCAGCGAGCATTGCAAAACAGGAGGAACCACAACAGCGAGGGGGTGAACACCCAACAGCGCCCAACACAATACCAAAGAGCACCAACCACGATACAAACAAATGATACAACAGCGAGGGATGGCTAGACGGCGTTCGATAATCCATGAGGGTCATTGACGGGAACATATGCAAACCATACATATTCCACCAACAAAAAAACAGTTGTATTAAAAGAGCGTGACAAACTGAAAGAATTAAAAAGGACGGCAGGGAAAGTATGCGAGATAGCAACTAGGGGTGCGAACGCAGTGCAAACACAACAAAACTCTGTTCAAATATGCAACAAAGCAATCTCCTTTGTCATCCGTATCATCCTGTGCTTTATTTTCCTGTCCAGTCTACCCCCAGCCATCCATTACTTCAGAGGGCAGTGTAAGTGTAGACCTTTGCTTCTTTTTTACTTTTTTTGTGCACGGTTGTCCGCTGTTCGTATGGACTGAAAGGCATGGGGCACCGCCAGAAATAATAATGAAGCTGAATAAGGAAGACATGCCATACCTGTCTGTGCCTGCAGGGACAACACCTTGGAGGGCAAGAGACTGACGGATACGGGGTTAGCGATAGGTGAGATTTGTGTTTCCAAGTGCGACAATAGGATAAAAGAAATAAAAAGAGGGGTGCAGTGGATTTGAGACGTGAATAGGGTGAGAAGGGAAAGATGTTTCTTGAGATAGGGGTCGATGCGAAAGAAGTTCAGTTGAGTTACTAGAACAAACAGTGAGCGCGGATTAGAATAATGTGTACGGACGAAACAAAGGCTGGGGTTGGGAGGAAGGGGGAAAAAAGAAAGAAAAAAGCAGAAGTGAAAAAGAAGGAAGGAAAGGGTTTTTGAATGAAATATGTTCTTGGGGATCCCGCTCTGTCCATGAGAAGTAAGTAACATTTGCATCCGCCCATCCATCCACAACAATGCTTTGAGAGCGGATGGGATACGAGAGCCTGCCTCCGCACCCGCTTTTTTTTTTTTTTTTTTTTGCTCCTCACGATCGTATCTTATTTCTATTTTATCACACATCGCCTTTGTCCGATTTCGAGCAGTAGAGTTCAATTTGGACCCCTCTCACCACCCCTGCTGGGCCTGCCTGGCCGACCCATGGTCCATGTCAGCAGTGTTGCCTTTAGAGTGAGAGAGAGCCGCACAGCAAGAGGTTTAATAGTACGGATGAGCGACGGGCCCTTTTTGCTAGCTCTGTGCGCCACCATTCCATATCATCCATATCATCCATATTATATATTATCTACTTCACTATACTCTCTTGATCGTGGGTTCCCAGTTCCTGGATGTCTGGTCATCGACTTCTAAGATACCAATGCTAATTAGAGTGTTGACAATGAAACCAAATGTATTCCTGTTTCTTTTTTTACTATTGGGGATTGGGGTATCCCTTCCCGAGGAGGATATGTAGGAGTTAGATGTTCGATGGGATGGGATTGACTTTTCATGCATGGCGCATGCCGGCTGGCCAACGGGCCATGCCGCCTGTTTGTGTGTTTCCATACTCGATACAGGAGTACAAGTACATGTCTTTCAGTAATGTATTCACTCATTATGCTCTGCATAGTCTACACAATATGGAATGGATCAATGTGCTGCATGGCATGGCATGGCATGATCCTTCTACCCTTCCCTCTCTTTTTTTTTTTTTGTCTCTCTTTTCAATTTAATCCAACCTCTTCCATTCCCGTCGTCTAATCCCCCTTTTTTGTTCTTCTTCCTTCTCCAAAGAAACTGAAGCGAAAAAAAACCCCCAACCGTTACGATGGCAATACAGTTCCAACCAATGGATCTCTCCCAGGTAGACTACGGCCCTGCGTTTCGTTTCATTTCCCATTTAGAACTACTTTCTGGGTTCGCCATTTTAATTTAAAAAAAATTCATTTCCAGAGCAGTATGTATTAAAAAAAGACATACTGTACAAAATATATCTTACATGCAAGAGCATTTAAAAAACGAAGCGATTGAAACGATGACATGGGAGGAAAAAAAAAAAAAAAAGCCTGCGAGTTGAGCTTCTCAAATGATCCGCCCATCTGTCGGTTCATTTTCTATTTTCACATAAAAAAAAAAACGACATAGAAACAGATAGACAGATAGAAGCAAAGTAACCCACGCTCATGTTCATGACTTTACCCATGTCCATGCACGACAATAACAACAATGTGCTTCAGTGGTTCAATGCTTGAATGCATCAATGCAATGCTTGCACGACATTAACACAATGATGAACACAACACATGCCTGTACCTGGAGAGAACACCCCGCTTCTAATCGATAAAATGACTAATTGGATTGAACATCGCCCGTCAGCCCATCCACCCATGCTCAATCACACCTCTCCCTTGCATTCGTGCATGTGTAGCCTACCTCCACCTGTGCACTCAGCATCATCATCATCATCGTCATCCGTTCCCCAGAGGGCGGCACCTCCTCAGGGGTAGGCAGAATGCTCACCAGCCTAGTTTCACATACTGTGCGATATATCCCTTAGCGGCTCCTTCCAGCTCCCTAGCCCCAGAGAGTATTATAGCGTATGTTCTGAATATAACATCCATAGCTGGCACAATACAGTGCACGAGAGATCATCGACCATAGGTTAGCCTCCCGATGTTTTCCTTTGTTGTTATAATTTTTGATCCACGGCCCAGTCTGAACTGTCTGCGAGTCCTGCATGAGTCTGCTGGCACATGTACAATATGGTGTGACCAAAAGTCCGTCGGCAATTGTTTGTTACGATGATGGTCGTTGTTGTTGTTATCGTTGTTGTTGTTGTCGTTTTATACAGGATTTTGAGGAAAAGAAGGAACCAGACATCGGCGGGCGTGTGCGTCGCGCGCCAGCTGGCCGTTAATTGTATAAGGACCTACCATAGTCGGTTCCTGAATGATTCATTCTTAGTTCTCATCATTGCCCCTTGCCGGTCGAAACAATTGAACGACTGCTCTTCTAATCTTCATAGTTGAACTATGGACTAACAGTTTCAAGACTATCAAGGGGAAAGAAGATATGTGGATCCGATAACGCAAACAGGTTTGTTGGTATGAATGCAATGTGGAGTTTGACATTCCATTTTTCTAATTGGACTTCTTCACCATGGTAACCCTGTTACCCTTGTTTGCTTTGTCCGGGGAGGAACGGTAAATATAGATACGGATAATGGTAAGGATAATGATAATGACAAAGAAATGAAGCCGTAGAGACTAAGACCGAGAACCATCCCATCGTCGAAAATGAACTTGTGCCTGGTCCTCCACGAGCTGCAAATGGATCATCGCCCGCATGTTCGTTTAATATAACTTTCAAAAGGGGGCCATGGTTATCTTCGGAATCATGTAGACTTCGTGTCCGCCATGCAGTTCGATGCCTATAAAGAACCGCATGAGCTGATTATCCATGCATACTAAGCGCATATTCTATTTCATATGAAAGAGCTGCAAGTGAGAGCACATCGTCCTCGTCACCTCAAAGCAGACCGAAAAACAAGAGCAGTAGCAACGTTAGAAGTGTATATCCTGCTCAGGACAAGAATAGCCATCGGCCTTGTTCCTGACGCGCCTAAGAGTCGCTGTGATTCTCTTAAGCTCACGCTGTCAGTTAGCAATTTCTAATAAAATTCTCGCACCGACTAGCTGTATAGGAATAACCAATCCTCATATGCATACTGCGCTGCCATGTGCCAGGGACTGGATGGAGCTGCTCCCATGAAACGTGGTCCTCAACTGAGCCATATTGCTGCAGCAGGCTACAATGGTGCTCGTCGGAGCCCAAAGTAGATATGGACGATGATGATGATGGATGTAAAGAGATTCTTATCAAATACAAGAATGCACTTTTTAGTGCAAATTAGGTCTAGAAATACAAAAAACACCATCGGCCCTTTACCATTGACCATCGACCATCCATCGCACCCCATCGTTCACCATCTTAATTCATCTTGCTCTGATTCTATAAAGACAATAGATGATGGGTAACAACCAGGAGAAGAAAGACCATCTATGGGCATAGATACGACCATTTATGCATGCATGCATGCAGTATCTGTGTTTGCAGTTACGGTTTGCCTTTTAATAATAAAAAAGGCACAATGGCTAGTCTTCCGAGGCTCTCTCTCAACCAGCCAGCTGTGTGCATGGGATGCACGATATAGACTATACCATGCATTGCATACAAATACATTTCTTAATGTAGGAAATGTACCTGCATGCTTTCATGGATGTCTCACACAACCGTTCGAAAACACGCATGTTAGCTGGATGTACGCCCCCCACATTTATCTTACCTTGTCAGTCTGTCAGTCTTCTCTGAAGCAATCCAAAGCAAAAACGGAAGAACGGCGATGGGCAAGCAACGGCACCACCGCCACAGCAATAGCATTTATATCAATGCCATTAAAAACGCCTTGTAAAGAAAGTGCGAATAAAAACGAATAAGCCCGAAAGCAAACTTTTTTTTTATTATTTTTTCTCCAACGTTATAATCCGCTCGGCTGGTGCCGAGTTTTGTCCTGGACACCTTTAGTACCTTCGTCCTCTTAGTCCTCTTAGTCCTCTTAGTCCTCTTAGTCCTCTTAGTCCTCTTAGTCCTCTTAGTCCTTCTTGGGTGGCTCGTTGTCGACTGTGGGTCCATCCTGATCAGATCCCGAGGATCCCTGGCTGTGGGCATTCTTCTTGTATACCATTTCGAACAGCTTGAGACTTCCCTGCTGCAGCTCAGCGGTCTCCTTCTTAATGTCTTCCGCCTCCAGATTCTCGGCCTTCTGCAGAACATCGCGCAACTTCGAGATTTGCTCCTTGATCTTCTCGGACTCGGATGCGTCGAGCTGGCTCTTGAATTCCTCCATGTTCTTCTCCGTCTCCGAAATCACCGATTCTGCGTGGTTCGTTGCCTCAATCTGATCCCTCTTCTTACGATCAGACTCCGCAAACCGCTCCGAATCCTGGACCATCTTCTCAATCTCATCCTTCGACAATCCTGAAGATGCCACGATCGACATCGATTGGTCGCGTCCCGTCGCCTTGTCCTTGGCTCCAACATTCACGATACCGTCGGCGTCGATATCGAACGAGACCTCGATCTGGGGGATACCCTTGGGAGCTGGTGGTAAGCCATGAAGATTAAAGTCGCCCAGCAGCTTGTTGTCACGAACGAGCTCACGCTCTCCCTGGAAGACTCTGATCTGGACCTGAGTCTGACCATCCGCTGCAGTTGAGAAGACCTGCGACTTCTTCGTGGGAATGGTCGTGTTGCGATTGATCAGTCTCGTAAAGACTCCTCCAAGGGTCTCGATTCCAAGTGAGAGTGGTGTGACATCAAGCAAGAGAATATCCGTCACCGATCCAGCCAAAACACCGCCCTGGATAGCTGCACCGATAGCAACGGCCTCGTCGGGGTTTACGCTCTTACCGGGCTCCCGCTTGAAGATCTGCTTCACAGTTTCGATAACCTTGGGCACGCGCGACATTCCTCCAACAAGAACAACGTCGTCCACGTCCTTAACATTCACTCCTGCGTCCTTGATGGCCTTGTTGCAAGGCTCGATCGTGCGGTTGATCAGACTTCCTGCCAGCTCCTCAAACTTGGATCGGGTCAGCTTGAAGTTGATGTGTTTTGGGCCAGTGGCGTCAGCGGTGATGTATGGCAGGTTGATATCCGTCTGGACAGTGCTCGAGAGCTCAATCTTGGCTTTCTCGACAGCCTCACGAATACGTTGGATGGCCATGCGATCGGTCGAAAGATCAAGCCCTTGATCCTTCTTGAACTCACCGACGACATATTTGACGAGCATGGCATCGAAATCCTCACCTCCCAAGGCTGTGTCACCGTTCGTGGACTTGACCTCAAAGACACCGTTTTGAATTTCGAGAATAGAGATATCAAACGTGCCTCCGCCCAGATCGTAAACAGCCACGGTCTTGTCTGCGGTCTTGTCCAGTCCGAATGCCAATGCTGCTGCTGTGGGCTCGTTGATGACACGCAGCACATCAAGACCTGCGATTGTTCCAGCATCCTTGGTCGCCTGTCGCTGAGCATCATTAAAGTAGGCAGGGACGGTAATAACGGCGTGCCTGACCTTCTTTCCTAGGTAGCCATCGGCAGTGTCCTTCATCTTGCCGAGGATAAAGGCGCTGATCTGGGAGGGCGAGTACTTTTTGCCACGAGCCTCAACCCAGGCATCGCCATTGTCGGCCTTGACGATCTTGTAGGAAACAGTCTTGATATCATGTTGGACAGCAGCGTCCTCGAACTTGCGTCCGATGAGACGCTTGACGGCGTAGATAGTGTTTTCAGGATTAACGACCGCCTGACGCTTGGCAGCTTGCCCGACGACGAGCTCTCCCTCCTTGGTGAAGGCAACGACCGAAGGCGTGGTGCGGGCTCCCTCTGCGTTTTCGATGACGCGGGGGGTCCTGCCCTCCATGACGCTGACGCACGAGTTGGTTGTGCCCAGATCGATTCCGACAACGGGTCCTTGGATGGCTGCCGAATACGCACGACGCTGCTGCGAGGTTCCAAAGAGGAAAAGACGACGAATTAGTAGCGTTTATTTGGACGAAACCCCCTGCTGGCGCGCTGGCGCATAGAAAGATGCGGTCACGGACGAGACGAAGCAGTCCAATGGGGGTCCGACGAGAAGGGAAAAAAAAAAAAAAAAAAAAAAAAGTGCCCAGGGAATAGGAGACGGCTTCAAGTGTCAAAAGCAACAGCAGAGGAGGCATGGGGGACGCAGGGAGAAAGCATTCGTGTCTGGTAACCAGCAAGGAAGCCTGCCACGAGCTGTAAAGGGTGTCGAGTGATGCGCAAGAAAACGGATCTTATTCGTCCCCACAATCGCGTGTCAGCCAGTCCATGTCTTCTTCATGGCACACTCACGCTCGCACTCAAACATGCCCATAGAGAAGAGTTAAATGCGCCGACAAGGAGAAAAAAGAACAGCGCGCAATAAGAAGAGACGGTAAAAACCAAATGTCGGGATCGGGAGGAGATACGTACCAGTGCTGGGGAGCGAACAGCAGTGTGCCACCCACTCTTTGCAAGCGAGGTCAGACGATACATGATGTGTAAGAATGTCTTAGATGTACAGGTGAATAAGGATATGAATGGGGATTCTTTGATATGTGCAGTGCGTTGTAAAAAATATGTGGAGTGAATGTGTGTATGTACAAGTGAAGGTGGAGGTGGTGGTGAAGAAGGCGGTTGTTGGCGAAAGAGAAAAGAGAAGCGAGAGGTCGAAGCAGCCCTTTTATCGAAAGTGAGCACAGGCAGTGAATTTCACACACTGACGAACATGCGAGAAAAAAAAATCCGCTGCAGCCGCACCGGAGACTCGGATCCAAAAACGGCCATCCTCACTCGACACGCGCACGTGAACAAGCCCTTGATGGCCTCGCCTGAGGAGAGAGCCGGCATTTACTTGGCACATCTGGAAGGATCTGGCGTCAATAAAGAAAGGAGGGAGCCGGTCTCTACAGTATTTCGTGGCGTCACGTACAAGGGACGGTTCTAGAAAAAATACATCGTCTTTCTTTTATTGCATGTGCGGTATGTAGGGTTGTAGGGTTAAACCTCTCAGGGATCGTAAGCAGACTCCGCCAAGTCGCCGCTCAGGATCTCGTAGCCGTTCTCGGTCACCAGCACCACGTCCTCCAGACGGATCCCGAACCTAAACAATAATAAGCGTCGACTGTCAGTCATCCGAATCAACGTAATAAACACATCACATCACGATTCCTGTTCCACTTACGAGCCCTCGACATAGATCCCGGGCTCATTGGTAAAGACCATGCCTGGACGGAGTGCTGTGTCGGTGTTACCAATGTTTAAATACGGGTCTTCATGGCCATCCAAGCCAAGCCCATGGCCCAATCGATGAGTGAACCTAATCCCGTAGCCCTCAGAGGCAATAAGTGATCGAGCGGCCTTGTCGACCGACGCACATGAGGCACCAGGGCGAACGGTATGTAACGCCGCCTGCTGCGCATTTTTGACAATATCCCAGACCTTATCGAGCTCATCGTTCATATCCTTGCTATCGCCACGCTTGATCCAGAACGTTCGTGTAATATCCGAGAGGTAACCGTGAAGTCGCGCACCAGAGTCGATCAGAACCATCATGCCCTTCTCAAGGCTCGTGTCATTGCCGCTTCCATGAGGAAGAGCCGCGTCTTTGCCAAACAGGACTAAACTGTTGCCATGTTCGTACTCAAGACCTGCCTGTTGGTACGCCTCTGTCAGCAGCTCCTGGACTTCGGATTCACGGATGCCCACCGTGATGTCGCCCTTGATCGCTCGAATGACATTGACGGTTGTCGTGGAGACACAGCGAAGGATCTCGATCTCGTGGGCCGTCTTTTGCATTCTCAACAAACTAATATCCCGGTTTGCAATTGAGAGTTTACGTGTTGAACTCTCCAGTGCAGTATAGAGACCGTGGGAAACAAACTGGCGCATGTCGGGATCGATATAGATTTGCTCCATCTCCTTGGGCTTCTCCTTCTTATCGCCCTGGACATCAGCATCATTTTTCTCGTCATCGTCATCCGGGCCAACCCAAGGGGTTTCAAGCACCTCGCGCACAACCTTGTAGGCAGAACCACCTTCCTCCCAGGTCTTGATCGAGATGCTCGATCCAGGAAGCAAGCCCTGCCGAGCACGCGATGCTTCAAAAGCGGGTGCAACGATCGTCGCCTTTGTCAACACTATCAATCAATCGAATAAATTCATAAAACGATAAGGGATGATATCTTCTCCTACTCCTACTCTCCTGCTTCGTATACATACCTCGATCGGTATTATCGCGCTTTGCTTGTATCACCAAAAGGAAGGGGCGCTCAGACTGAGACCAACGAATGTTTGTGAAATACTTCATGTTGCTACCCGGCTCTGCAATGTACGCGGTTGCTTTCAGATCGACCAAGAGACTTGAGAGGTTGGCCTGACGCTCCTCAAACTCGGCAGGACTGATGGGACGGACATGGTCGCAAGAACCGTTAAGGTGGCTGTAGCGGGGGTTCCCAACACGTCTATCACCATAATCGTAAACAAGAAAGCGCCGCGCAACAAATGTCAGTGCAAAAATAATGACAACACTCAGTGAGAAACGATACGAGTCGACATTCTCCTTCCTTGACAACATTTCATGCTGCTTTCGTGCACTTTTGATTTACCCAGCGATAAGATCGTACACGCCCATAACAAAGAACCCAAGCAACGCAAGGAGGATGGCAAGGACACCAATCCTCCAACATTTTCGAACCGATTTTTGACGCTGATGCTGTTCAGACGGGCGACCGAGTGCTGAAGGGATATGGGATCTTGCCTGGTTGCTGCTCTGACTGTTGAGCAGTGGCTGGCGCTCCAGGTCAGTGGCGTTGGGCACGAGCCCGTTATTGGCGGTAGCCATGCTGTCTTACGATGGCTCTTGTGTTGGGATAAAAAAATATATGAAGATAAAAGTGAGGTGGGAAGGCGTTGAAAAAAAATAAAAGAAAAGAAAAAGGCGTGCTCTCACGTAAAAAACGTCTACAAAGAAACTGTCGTTTCCGTAAATGGAGGCCTTTTTTTTTTTTTTTTGTGGCGCATGTCACTGCACACACTACGAATCTTGAGCGTACTTCAGCATCCTCACACTAGCCTGGGAGGCCGTCATCAAAAACTGAACTCTCTTTGTTTCTACGTTCTTGGTGTAGGTCGAAACCTCACGCGGCGCAGCATCGCTTGGAAACGTTTCTAATTTCCTAGTATATACGAGCATTACGTGCTTCAATATTGTTTGGCGTACTATGGCTGATGAAGTCAGTGCTTATTATTGCTATTACTAGTGTCAGTTGCTCATACTCTATTGTCTGTACATCTGTACATTTGTACTTTAAGAGCGTACGCGTACGACTTTTACACGGCGAATCTGGATGTCCTGCCTTCGCTATTTGCATCCGCATAAGTGAAGCTCTCTTCGTTCTCATACAATTCCTCGTAGGAGTAATCGCGCTTATAGTCTCGGTCCAAGACACCAGTTCGCACGAAGAACCAGAAGGATGTCGCGAGATAGGCCAGGAGAGAGCACATCAACAAAAGAAATACGGCCGCGTCTGAAAAGAAGGGCGGGGATTGACCTTCGACCAAGGGTGTCTGCTTGAGATACCGTTCACGGTCGTGGAAGACACCTATGACGAGAATCAGTCCCCAGGCGGCAGGAGCGATGTAGTTCTGAAGCATCGTAAAGTGACGGATCAGTCTTGCGCTGCGTCCGCCATAGACACACACATTCATAATACCGAAAAAAATTGACAAGGATGGGCGTTAGTAATATGATTGCAGAATGTGTGTCAAATCATGCGGCAGCAACAGCGATAATAACATCGAAAAGAAAAATAACTTGCCTTGTTCCCCAAGAATTATCATAGAGCGTTAAGGCGGCATACATCTTGGCAGGAACGTATCCAAGCATGTACAGAAAGCCATAGAGGGTGGTGAAGAAGAACCTCTTGTCGCCCGTCATGCGAACGGCATATGCGGTCTTCAGTAATCCCACGAATATGATCGAGAACATCCACCACGCGATCTGCAAACCACTGCCGAAGTAGATGCAGTTGACCAGGTTGTAGATCATCATCATTGGATAAATGAGCTGGTACAACAGAGCATAGGTCATCCAGAGGCTGTGGAGATGTATGCATCCCAGTTGGATAGGAATCTCACGGAAGAACGACTTCGACCAACGCGTTTGCTGGGTGACCCAGGCGATGAAGCGTACTGGCGTGTCGGTGTAGCAGATCGCGTAGGGTGAGAACTTGATCTTGAAGCCTTTTGCAAGGACCAGGTTGGTGAGATGACGATCATCACCGTATGTGCATAAGACTCCCAGAAACGACTGCTCCACCCAGCTATCCATCACATCTGCTACAATCGACATGCGATAGATGCCAAGAGGGCCAGAGACGCAGTTGACTGCGCCGTGATACGATTGCGCACCGCGCTCGAGGTTGAAGGCAAACCAATAGCGGAGCGACGAAAGGAAACTGACCCAGGTACCAGTGTTGTAGATGCGAATATCTCCTGTCGCCGCGCCAACAATAGGCGACTCTGCCAGTGCGAATGCGAGCTCTATGGTATATAAATGGTTGAAATGAAGGAATGAAGGATTGCTTGTTAATATACCAAGTTGAAAGGATTTGAAAGAATATAAAGAAATCGTAAGTACGTTACCTGTGCAGGAATGGGGGTCCAGATAGGTGTCCGAATCGGTAACGACGGCTGCCTCGATGCCTTGCTGCTGGAGTGCAGCAAAACCGGTGTACATGGCTGAGCGCTTTCCATGATGGGGTTGCACCACACAGACCGGACCGGGATGGTAAGCAATCTGGTGGACCAGTTCCTGTCTCTCGCGGTCGTTGGCGCTCCTATCCTTGCAGAGAAAGTGGGGGCGGAATATAGCAGCACCTTGACTGGCAAAGACTTTTTCGAAGACCTTGGCCATGTATTCGTCCTGGTCCTCATTTCCATCGACTACCAGGACGATCCTTTGGTTGCGCCGGTATCGGATGGCACGTAGACTCTTCAAACAGCCTTCCAGCAGCACAGGATCCTCACGGTACCCAACAGCTACGATGCCTGTCGATAGTCCCACCCAGTGAGGATTGCGCTTCTTGACCCTGTTGTTCACTCGACGTCTGTTCAGCGCACTGAAAGTGATCACGGCCATAAAATCAACAGCCATCAGCAGACCATAGGTGACAGAGGTCTGCCAGGCGCCAGCAGCGACCTTGACGTGGAAGCAAGATTTGAGAACAATATACGGCAGCAAAAATATGCCTATCGTAAACGCCATCCACGCAGTTTTCTTCCACGTCGACACTGGGGTGGACTTGAGCCCATAGCTGCTTGCGATTGGCACTTGGACTGAAAGATTATCGTCGACAATTGGACTGGAGCGCATGTTTATCCGAGACGAGGCATCGTCCTTGGGATATCGTTGCGGATGCACTTTCTTGCTCCATGTTGGTGGAGCAAACGCTAACGGATCGCTGTGATGTAACGGTCGACGCGTGTCTGCAGCCAGCATCGATATCACTTCGGGCGGACGGGGTGGCATCTTTGGTTATTACCTAATGGATATGCGGCAGATGCAAGCTTCGGAATATCATCGAAGCCATATTGTTACAATTAAGCGGACAAGTTGTAAATTAACGCATAGGGGATCCACGTCTGCGTTCAGGCCCTACCTGGGCTGAATTCTGACAAGATTGGATCGAGGTTGGATAAACGTTTGCTTGAGGCCGGAGCTGGACTAAATGAAGAAGAAGCTGAATGGCAGGTTGGATGTACAAGGAGACTAAGAATCCTCGGGCTGAGAGGGTACAAAGGGAAGCATAGGCGAGTAAATGTCTAGGGTGAACCAGGATGCAGATCGTTTTTATTTTTGCGTGCGGATCACACGCGTATGCAGAACACGTTCGACAAAAGAAGTCTCTTTGTTTGACTGAAGATCCCAGATTCGACTCCAAGTGGCATTTGGGGTTACCAGGTATCTAGGAATAGGTGACACATGTCAACGGTCGCATGTGCACAGACTGTGGGGAGCAGTTTCAGCCTTAGGCCACACAGTCGCTGGTGTCGATCGCCGATCGTTGAAGATCTCTTCTTTTTTTCTTTTTTCTTTGACAAGTGAAGGACAAACGTCGCGTCTTTTGGTAGTGATGTTCCATGAAGACGCCAGTGTTTCCCTGTCAAACCTCGTTTTCCGCTCTACATGAATATGTGCATAAACTGTCGCGGCAACTGCAATCATAAAAAAAAGTTCACGCACATCCTTTTATTCGTAATCAGCTAAAAAATTGATGAACGACCAACTTAGAACTTGAGAGCGTGGGGAGCCTGGCCCTTGGAGAGGGAGAACTTGGCAGACAAGTACTGGCGGAGGTGCTCAACCTTGTTGATAGCCTCAATGATGACCTTGTCGGTCGACTTCTGGAGAGCGACCTTGTTCTCGGCAAGGGGCTCCTTCTTCTTCTCACCCTCGAAGAAAGCCTCCTCAGTGGCAGCCTTCTTGGTCGCCTTGGGGCGAGCAAAGTAGGCATCGTTCAACTGGGCATCGATCTGTTCCACATGGTAAAATGGAAAGAAAAAAAAATAGCCGTTTAGATTCCACAATTTCATTCCATCCGCTCGTCCTTCAAGTTTCCCGTCCTGTTGATCCTGACTCTATACATCGCATGCAAGTAAAATCCTTTGTTTGCTGAAAAAGACCTTCATATTGACGCACCTTGGAGGCATCAATGTCAACCTTGGTGGAGGTGGCAATGACGTAAGCCTGGTTAACACGCTTGAGGGGAACGCCGTTGACCTTGAAGGGACCAGACACGAGCAACAAGCCAGACTCGAGCTGCTTCAAGAAGACGACGCGCTTGCCGCGGTAGCGACCGGCCAAGAGAATGAGGACGGTGCCGGGCACAATGGAGCTGCGGAGCTTGGCAGTGCCGGCGTGCTTGCGGTGCTTCTTGGGGACAGCAATGTCCTCAGCGGCGTAGAAGCGGGGAGCCTTGGAGGCAGCAATGACACGGGAGCCACCGTTCTTGGCACCCTTGACTTCAACAGTCTTGTTGGCGGCAGCGGGGGCAGCATTGACGATGCCAGCGGGCTTGCGCTTGTACAGGGCACGCTTGGCAAAGACCTGCGAGCGGCTGTACTTGGAGACACCGGCGGTCAGGAGAGAGTTGCGGGGCTATACACAGACAAGGCCAGCTCATTGGTTAATAGGCACTCTTGGATCCTTTTGTTGTTCAACCCTGTCATTATCCCTCGCCGCTAGCTGCCGTGTAGTCCTGAGATCTAGATATCATGATTTGATGCGTGGTCGATAGGTGCTCCACCAAAATGACGCTGTATCCAATCACTGCAATTTCTTGCCCTAAAGTGATGGTCCAACGACAGCTTAAAGTCTGCCCTTGTTACACTGAGAGGTGCAGTGCGGGTCCTCATCTTGAGCAGGGATCACCCCACCACCTCATGGTCGACGGTTCATCCTGCGATGAGGGAGAAACAGGTTGCGATCCTGATCGCTAAGAACTGCTACGTCCTTCTGAGTCGCGCGATAATAAAAAACCGTTTTACTCCCTTCCTTTGAGGATATGACAGACAGCTGTAGATTGTTGGTATCGCCACTTGTTGAGACATATCCTGGTGCCATGTTCGGTCGCTTTGGTGAAAAAGTCCTGTTCGCAGTCGATACATCCTCGTATTACTAACTGATGAGTGTCGTGTCCAGTCGCAGTATTATCGACAGTAACCCCATAGTTGATAACGGACTTGTTGCATACCTTGTGAACCATTTCTGATATCTAAAAGATATGAAGAATAGTAGCGGAAAGGGTCAGCGATCGGCACTTCCATAGACATCTGATCCAAAAGTGGCGGAGGGTTGATGAAGTCGACGTTGAGTTTGGTGTCGAGAGCTATTTTCCTGGAGCGAAACAAAATAAAACTGTCTTCCTGAATGCAGTGTCGATTGCAATAAGTTTGTCTTTGATTGTGATCTCCCTGCCTGCCAGCTCATGACTTTGCCCTATCAACTGAGGAATCAGTGATAGTCGACCAAAAAGTGCGTGATGATGGGTGTGTTGGTTCCATGCCCTTCCTGATGTCTCGCTGATTGCTGATTTATATTTTGGAAGCGGTTTCCGATTGACTTGATGGCTGATGCTGGATCGTTGATAGGGAGAGTTACTCCAAGGCTGCTCTTGACACGAAGTGCTATCAATTGATCAATTGGGGGATAATCCATTCCGTGATCGATGATCCTTCAGTCTTCCTGTATCCATGTTGAATATGCTCCAGGAGGATTGGAGTGGGTAGGTCAATCGATATGCAGAATCTATCGATGGATGGGTATCGTCGCCTGTTGGATGGGTCCATGTCTCCGCCAAATTAATTACATTTTTAATATATTGCACAAGAGAGAAGGAGCTCGCACTCGCAGCGGTGAAGCTGGAAATACACCAGTCGAGCTGTCATGTGACAGTCTCGATCGAGGGACCGCCGACGTCCTGCACCTTTAGCCTCACTCTACGCGCTTGCAAATGATGCCTGGGGCCTATTCACCCACAGTGGACCTTCGTCTTCCGCGTCTGTGGGTTCGGTCCCCATAAGCGAGTGCTCAATGGTCCCACGTGTTGTACTGGAGGATTGTGCTGTAATGAGCGAGGTCTGGGGCAGAGACCCTCGCGTCACTTCGCCATATAGCGTGACTGTGTGGAATCCAAGCGAACAAATTATGGAGAAGAAGGACTGATCACTTCACAACTTCACACCAATCTATCCCCTCAACTCTTCACATAAACATACTCCAACATGAGGTAAGTCGCCGATTCATATCCTCGACAGTTTATTGCAGTACTGGTTTGCTATATTACTTTTTGTTGGTGCTCCGGATCGGTTCTCTGTCTGGTGTGCATGCATCATTCTTCATCGGTCAGGAAGCAACGATGGCGAAGCAGGTGGCATACGTTTCTCGGCGTCCTTTTCTCTTTTCGATGCTGCTGGCGAAAAGCTCTTAAAGCCTATGCTCTACTGATGCTGACCTTTATCAATACTATCTCCTATGTCCATTCCCCCGTATGCTCTATTTAGCCACACTCTCACTCCTGAAGGTAACGTGTCAACGCGCGTTCATGTATCTGGAGGAGTCATTTAAAAAAACATTCCTACTGACACCAGAGACATGCATTCATGAAATATAGTTCTCTGGGCCCAGCGTGCCAACCTCGTCTATCTCACGGTGAACCTCCCAGATTCCGCACCCACGATCAACTTGACCGCGGACAAGCTGGAGATCACTGCCAGTTCTGACGGAAAGGAATATGCCGTCACCATCGAGTTTTACCAGCCGGTCGAGCCAGAGGTACGCATTTCCTCTTTGTCGTCACTGGAACCAAAGCACATCGTTATTTGGCGCTCAATAGGTCGTGCACTTGATTCGAAAATGGTGTCGATCAAAGAGTGAACGGATCTGGAGGACCACTATCTTCCGGAGTCCACCAGTGCCATTGGCTGCTTTGTATGGAAAATCGATTGGGATTTGACACTAGATCGAATTGCTAATGATGACCCTCTTTCTACCTGGCACGATTTGATGTAGACCTCTATCGCTCGTCCAAGTGCTCGTAACATTTTCTTTACCTTGATGAAGAAGGATCAAGACAACTGGTGGCCGCGTCTGAACAAGGGCGGCAAGCTGAACTTTGTCAAGACCGATTTTTCGCGTTGGAAGGACGAAGATGATGAGGATGATGAGGCTGACCAGGCCGCCGACATGGGTATGGGCGGTATGGGCGGTATGCCTGGTATGCCTGGCATGGGCGGCATGGGCGGTATGGGCGGTATGGGCGGCATGGGTGGCATGGGCGGCATGGGTGGCATGGGTGGCATGGACCTTCAAAGTCTGATGGCCAGCATGGGCCAGGGCGGCCAGGGCGCAGGCGGCTTCGGAGTAAGTTGAGACTTGCACTTGATCTGTGAACGTGCGACAACATCAATTGGCTAATATTATATGATTCTAACTCATGGCTCGAATACTTTCTTCCTTCCTTTCGATATTGATAGGATGACAGCGATGATGATATTGAGGGCGAGGGCGAGGGTGAAGGCGATGAGGACCTTCCTGCGTTGGAAGAGGCGACCGAGCAGAAGTAAAGAAAAGGCATGGCCTGGAGACATAATTTTCAATAAAATGAAGCTGCGCTGGAATAATTCAGCATGGCTTTTGACATGGACAATGTGTGCGATGGAATGGAAGCATTGCATGCTGTGCTGCATCCCAACTGTATTCGATGGACTCCGGACCTACATGTATACATACTGCTCATTGCCGCAGTTGCCTGTACTGGTGCAAAGATTTACTTTTTTTTTTTTTTTTTTTTTGGATCGATCTCTTGAGTATCTATTGCGAGGGCATACCGTCTTGATCGACGCCATTGGAGGTGTACAGGCTTGACTGCTATGACCGACGGAAAATGAAGTAATACCACGAAAGGGCATTGTATGAGCCGATATCTCAGATCCTTCCTTATACAATGTCAATGTCAAAGTTTTTCTGTTTTGGTCCAGCTAAGCAGACTGCTTAATAAAAAAAACATCGCGCAGAGGACAGCGGCAGCGAGCAAATAGCAGCCTTAGACTAGTAGCCATGGTGATTGCACGCAATTTCAGATATTATATTCATTGCTATTGTTAATAAATTCCTTGACATTTTGACCTTGTTTGCTGTAGGTTAAGGACGGTACCGGTGGTCTACCGCCTGTTGATGCCTTGCTGCTGCTGATCTCAAGCACGATTGCTTGGTCTCCCGAAGGTCTTTAGTCCTTGGTAATCACCAAAAGCCTACCAACCTACGTACTACCTTTTTTTTTCTTTTACAAGAATTGTTCGGAGTTTTCTATGAACGTGAATATTTTTTTTTTGTTATAGTCTGTGTGAGATCTTGTCCAATGAGGGGCCGGTTCCTGGGCTCAGTAAGGAGATAATTGTTGCGCTATTCCCCATTCTGTTTAGCGGAATGGGATCTGGTTATCCGCACTTTAAAGCTCGATGATATCAGAGTCCCACCATGTCATCACTGCGCCTGTTGACTGCTGGCCGTTGTCGGAGTGCCGTTCTCTTTGTTAGCAGCGGATGGGTGGGTGACCCAGTCTACACTAGTCCATTGCTGCTCTGCATGCCAGCCAGTCTTCCACAGGAGAGCATAAGTGGTGGTAGTACAAATGGCGCCCATCAAGGACCCAGCATCGCCTTCAAAGTTTCTTACTCAGGGGAAGGAAAAATGGGCCAACAAGCACTATGGATCGCCACGTTTTAGTGTCATAGCAAACAGCAGGGAAGCAGTTCTAGGCAGCAGATTAAGAGCGAAGGGTGAAAATAATTACCGAGAAATGAGACGGGCTGTGCCGCCACAGTCGGATCCAAAAATATCAGATCGACGTAGAAAAGGATGTGCTAAACAACTACAGTTGGTTGTGTCAAAGAGCAGAAGTAATGGGTATAAAAAGGGTTTATAAATGAGACAACGTACATGGCCGGTTTCTGATCATTGGCCATGTTGTCGATGAAGGCGAGGGCATCATCCCCTGGTCCCCGGTCTATCTTCCTGGATGCGGATTATGGTGGGTTCCCGGACGTGCCCCTGGCTGTCTGCGACAGACGTAATGGCCTGTGTTAAACCCTAAAAGCGGAGTATCTTCTCTACACCTGTAAACGTCGAAGTTAAAGGACAGACATACTTGGTCTATAAAAGACAGCCATCACCGCCCTAGGCGACGGGTGCTTTCATCGCCTTTATCTCGCCCTACCCTTGCTACCCTTGCTACCCTTGATCCTTTTCCCCATCCTCGTTCCCTTCGCTTAAACAACCACAGCAACACTAATGGAGAACACATATCCGCAGACTGCTGCAGTATCAGCATCAGTACCATCACCGGCGCAGCTAGTACCTGCCCAGGACCTTTCTCGTTCTCATAGCAATACCACTCTCTCTATTCCTGAGATATACGATTCAGCCGTGTCGCGATCAAGGTCTACAAGGAGACTGCAAGCAAGTCCCTCCTCCGATAATCTCTTTAATGGCGTGTCTACTGTGCTCGACGACGAACATCTCCACGCCATCGTAGGACAGCACCTCGTTGGCACACCCACGCTCCCCAAGATGGACGAGCTGCCCTCGTTCCTTAGCCCACCTTCGCCTAAGCAATATGCTCCTGCCACCCTCGAGAGACTTCGTACAAATTCATCCTCATCTTTACCAACCACCTCTGCTGTCTCCAACGCCGACAGCAGCAACACAGATGGTTCCATGACTCTGCACTCACATTTCCAACTCCAAGGAGGTGCCGATGCCAACGACGTGTACAAATGGCACGAGAAACAGACCAGACGTCAACTTGGGCCTAGATCGCACACTTACCATGCACCACACAGCAAAGACCCCACTATCTCGTCCATCAAAGCTCCAGGCGGATTCCGCCGCCACTTCTTGCAGCAGAATGCTGCCTCTCGCGGACAGCCTGCACCCAAGTTGCACACAAAGTCCTTTATCCATCACCTGGGTCTCTTCAACATGTACGAGATCGACCGCTTTGCAGGAGAAAACTTTCACTCAATCCCAAGACGCTCTATTGTTGTACCCAAGGATCTGGATAAACGGAGACTTTCCATGGCAGAGACGGTTGGGAGTCGGCGCTACTTTGTGCCTGGCGACCATCTGGGCGACGATGAGGAGGCCATTGAAGAGCCAGAAGAAAAGATTTCATTTTCAAAAGCTGTAGGCATGCTCTTCAAAACGTAAGGACTTTTGCGCTTCTTCGTATTCTTATTTTTCACTGGAATATGAACAGGACACAGCATATTAATATACCATTCATCTTTATAATAGGTTCATTGCCAGTGGTATTCTCTTCCTTCCCAATGCCTTCAAGAACGGTGGTATCCTCTTCGCGCCTCTGTTCATGACTCTGATCGCCGTCCTGTGTCTGCACTCTTTCTTATTGCTGGTCAAGTGCCGAGAGCTGCATCCAGGGTCATACGGAGAAATCGGCGAGCACTTTTACGGCCGCTGGATGCGCTACATCGTCCTCTTTGCAATTGCAATCTCTCAGTTTGGTTTCTGCTGGTAAGATCAATAACGACCTTTATCCCCTTGCGTGATGTGCAGTACCGTCATTGGGATTAACGCTATAGTATTGTCGTTCATTACATGGAAACGGTAGTGGATACTGCATTTTCTTTGCTCAGCAGTTTGCGATTGTGGTCGACAGTTTGGGCGGCGCCCATCTGGACAAGATTGTATGGATTGCCATCTTCTTCGTGATCCTGGTTCCATTCACATTTGTCCGCAATATTGGAAAGCTCGGATTCAGCACCCTGGTTGCAGATCTGTGCATCATTGTCGGATTGATTTACCTGTACACCTACGATATCAAGGAATTGATCACTCATAGGGATGCACCCCACCCTCTTCGATTATTCAACTCGGAGGACTTTGGCATCTTTATTGGCACAGGTAAAGTGAATAACAATATCATAAAAAAAAAAATCCATAAAAAAGGACTACATGGTCTAACGCTAGATTCTGTATATTCCGTCTTGTAGCTGTGTTCTCGTACGAGGGTATCGGAATGGTTATCCCTATCTGTGGTAGCATGGCAAACCCCAAACAGTTCCCTCGAGCGCTCACTATCGTCCTCACAGTAGTGTGCGTGCTACTGGTCAGCTTTGGATCGATGGGATATGCTGCCTATGGTGACCAAGTCCAGACGATCGTCCTTGATGATCTACCTAGCCATAATGGAGGAGAGAAGGCAGGAAAGAACGCTATTCAACTGTTGTATGTCATTGCTATTTTCCTGACAACGCCTCTGATGCTGTTCCCCTGCATCCGTATCGTGGAGCAAGTTGTGTTCAAGGTTGTCGGGGACGAGTCTTCGGGCAAAGTGAAGGCGCTGAAAGAGAATGTAGTGCGTGTACTTATCGACCTTGCAGTCGCAGCCGTAGCATATGCTGGGTACAGCAGGCTGGATATTTTTATCTCGTTCGTCGGCTCGTTTGCCTGTGCGCCTTTGCTCTTTATCTTTCCACCCCTGTTCCATCTCCGGGGATTCCCTGGCCAGCCTCTCTGGCGTAAGATCAGCGACATTGTCCTTATCCTCTTTGGCTTTATCGTTTTCTTCTATACCCTTATAACGAATATCCAGAACTTTTCCAAGAGCGGATGAAAGTTTTCATATAATAAATTCCGCGATCGTATTTAAGAACCAAACGTATCCTTACAGTTCACAAACCTTGAATGAGTGACTATACTCACGCATTCTCTCAAAGCAACCGGTCTGGGACAGCTGGCGCATCACGAGCCGTCAGGAATAGGGGCTCTTTCGGGTCTTAATCAAGTGGACAAAGGAGGGCAGAGTACGTCCTTAAGCAGCATTGTAGACGTCTCTCATTCCCTTCTATCCATGGGATACTTCTATCAAAACGAACGGCAAGTCTCAACATAAACAAAAGAGTTAGACGAATTTTAAGAAAGCAACTCTTGCAAGACACTTGACTATCTACAAGAGAAAGGAGTGCCTTCAAAGACTAAGGGAGGCCAGAGAATTTGAACCGCAAGTAAATCTAACGGTACCACGCTCCATCGCCATGGTCCTCTCTTGACATTAGCGAGAGTTCCAGGCTATGAGAAGAACAGAGCGTTGCCACAAAGTGGACATTGGGGCGGTGCTCTTTCACGTCCCCTCAAGAAACGTGGCTCCTCACCACAAAGACCTCATCATGCGCCCAATGTGATTTTCCTTTCACGAATTACCCATCAGTATGACCAATATAGAATGGGGATCCACTTCATTCACGACAATTGCAGTCGTTTTTTACACTCTCTCTCATGTACATGTCCACGTAAGCGATCTTACCTTTGCTGGTGTGATGGTGATGGAGGGAAGAGAAACAAGAGTCAGTGGGTCCCCTCACACTGACCACACTGATTTTTGAATAGCGATTTTATTTCGGGTACAATGATTTAGAGAGGCCGATCCTCAAAACATACTTCTTTTCGAGGGAGTGATCTTGCTTGGCCTTCCTAAGAGCCCCTCGGCCTGCTCGTCCGTGTGATCCAGTTCCACCCTCGCGGTGTTCTGGACATGGGGTCCGCGTCGATGGTGTCGAGAAAGCCCTAAAGGGGATGAGGTCAGTATCATGAATGTCCTTGTGTCCATTCCTAAATAGAAATGCAACATACCTCCAGTGAGCGAAGTAGGCGCAGACAGGATGCCACCCGACCTGAGTCTGTCTGGTCGCACGGAATGAACGCGACGCAGGACTTCGCCCAATGATATACCCCATGCTCATACACCATGGTGTACAGAACCATGCGGTGCCTTATCTCATCAAATCCATCATGTTGTTAGCCGATAATGTATGACATTCAGAAGCCATCTGTATGCAAAGGCAAACTCTGCGACTGACCAAAGATTTGGACTGCGGCTGCCTGTCTTATGTCATGGCCCCTCAAGAGGTGTGTATCGATTGAGTCCTTGCACAGGTTCGCGAGTTTCCACAAGTCTTTCAGATAGGAACGCCCACATTCCTGCTCTCTTGGCGGCTTCACTTTCACAAAGGCGAGCTCCCGCTTGTACCTGCTGATGATGGCATTGGGCTTATATCTGTTGCCGCGGCGCTCTTTCGACCCCTCTGACTCCTTGTTGGCCCAGTCAAGCTTGAAGACTGACTTAGCAGGGAACTGCCTCGTGAACAGGGCGTCAACGGCACCGTGGCAGTAGGTACCCTCAGTATCGCTCTCAAACGAAAGGTACTCAGTCGGGAGCTTCATCTCCCTATGAGCAATGGAGAATGATGGCGTGAGCTTCGGCATGCACAGATGCGGTATCAACGTTGCGTATAAACCATCGGTGCTTACAGAGTTTCGTAGAACAGGGTGACAGAGCGCAGCTCCCGTCCCTCAGCATTTCCGGCGTCAATGACCATTCCTTCAGCCAATTGTTCATCCAATTTCCTGCATAGACATGCTACTTCATCTGGTAGAACAGAACACGGCCAAGTGTGCTTGCCTGGAATTCCGTTGTAAACCTCAGTAGGCATGGTTTTGGGGCAGATGCCGAGGTCCCAAATATAATTCATAGAGCTAAATAAAATAAAAATAAAAAGGTCAACGCACGGCAAGGACTTGCATATATTGTAGAACCACATTCCTCACTCACAAAAAGTGGCCAAGATTCTCGATGCTTGTCTTAGTGGTGGGGCCATTCACTAAAGCTGTCGAAGTCCTTTGGTAGTCCAAGAAGAGCTGCCCAACATCAGTTTCAGCGACCTTGTACTTGAATTTCACAAATACGGTTGGGTCAATGCGGAAATTATTTTCCATAATATCCTCATCGCCCGAGACTGAAGATCGGCGACCAAAATCATGGCACGGTAGTGTTGATGATGAAAATGATGATGTGGTGGAGAAGGGCCGGCGCCGACGCTGCATCTAATCGTTTGCCAATCAAGGATCAAAATAAGTATCAGCTAAATTGCATCTAGCAGGTCATATCACAACCAAGGATAGTGGATTGACCTACTCCCCGAGCGGTGTGCTTTCTGCTGATCAATAGACGGTTGTCGACGTTTCAGGGGGACGGTTCTCGGGTGACCTGGCAGCATTAACAAAGAACGAACAAGAGTCATCACAATGAACAGTCAGGATGCGGATATACGACAAGACATTAAGAAAACAGTCAAGTAAACTCTACCATTGATGCGTGGAAGGTAAACCTCTATCAAATAGAAAAACATGGAAAAAGGCGATTGTTAGCCACTCTGAAAAGGCCTCATGTAGTAATTAATGTTTCTGACAGTACTAATCCTACTTTCAGAATTGGTGACTTGGATGCGCCCTCAAATCTTCCGTTTGCTCCACAGCCACGATGACTTTATCCCTGGACACAAAGGTTCGCAGATTGGCCTTAAGATTGCGCTAGTGCGGTATAAATCCATAAGTCGAGCAAAAGCATTGGTTGTCGCCACTCCTACAACTTTTATACATGTAGCACAACGTCGATTTTTAACATACGTCGGCCACCACTTGCGCGAAGATGATGATCCTCTCCGCCTTTGTGAACCGACGAAACCGTTGGTAGGCCTCCTGGTGTTCTTGCGACTCTGAGTCCTTCAGGTAGGTCATGGCGGCGGTCACCCAAAGTTCATCACATCGCTCCGCACTTGCTTGCCTTTCGAGCCTTGCCCAGTTTTGAAGAGTGATGTCCGTGCCGGGAGCAGTCTCAAGGTAGCGTCTTTGTTCAGTATTCATTATAAAATGGATGGAATGCAGAGAATGCAGAGCGAATCGCCCAAGACTGATTGCGCGTGCGATAAATTAAAAATGTTACTCAAATCACATGATCTTTAACCTGCTTTGCAAGATTAACTTTTTCAGATACTGTGGGCGATGTATGAATAGTCTAATATATATTCTAGACACTAGATTGCCTGCATCATTGTAAAGTTTCTCGGATGGCACTGAAGAAGGTTGGATTGAAAGGTATTTAAGTGCAAGGTAGTCTAGATACTTATAAGAGGTGTGTTTTTTCCACCAGGCCAATGGATTTTTCGTATATTTCAAACGTCGCTCGCCAAATTCCATTGAGTACGTGCAGTAGTCCTGGAACTCTCTAAGGACATTCCTGGTTTACGGGTAGCCTGTCTGTTGTCTAGATGTTTCGTCATCAGAAGAGTCCGTTCATTATATAGTAACGCCGTGGATGAGCTCTGGTCCTTGATTAGATCCAAAATATCTTTGACAATTAGGCGATGAACATGGTCGAGCAGCTTAAGAGGAGCACCATCCCGATGTAACTGTGTATCAGAGAATCCATATTTCTTTAGCCCTGGGTTGAGGTATGTTGCAACAGCCACTGCATCGAGCATACAATCCATAGGCCAGCGTCCTGAACGCTATCGCAGGGAGAGCCGAGGAAGAGGAGGAAAAAAAAAGCAGCAGCAAGAGGAAAAGGTTCAACAGACGGAAGAATGTAAAGAGTAATTGAAGATTATGTAGATTGTACGTTGACCTACTTTCAGTTCTCCGTTACTTATCTGAAGAACTCTATGCGTTGAGATCAAAGGAATAAGCGAGGTCAATGCCGGTCACCATTGCCAGTGATGGCTCTGCTCGTTGGAGTAGAATAGAATAGTAGCTCTCATCCTTATTTCCACAGCCGGTTGCATTATACCCGATCCGGCCCCTTATTTCCTCCTGTCTAGAAAAAATATATCCAAGGAAATGCTTTACTTCCTTTGGCGCCATTTCTTGTACAATAATATTTTATTATTGACGTATAGCTGGACATAAAACCGCTGCGCTTCCTCCATGAAATTCGTTCCTGCAGTGCTTTCTTTATGCCTCTCATGCTATCGATAAAGTTCCTGGATCGGTGTAGATAGAGGTCCATTTCCATGAACTAAGCGAGGTGCTTCTTTTTGATGGGGAAATCGGGGAAGTCTCAGCTCATCTTGCGGTTACCAGGCTTATGATTTCGTAGTTTCGCCAGGTCATCCTGCCAAAACAGCAGGGTCGGTCAATAGTTCTTCAAATAACCATCCTCATTATTTTGAAATTATATATCTTACCTTGGCAGCAGAAAGAGTTTGAATGGTTGCAAGCAACGATGGAATCATATCTGCCGAGGTAGGGATTACGAATGTTCACACACGTTCCAGAAAGAACATTCCTCGGAACTTGACTGACAACCTCATGAAGACACCTTTGATATGAACAACCTGCATTAACGGTGCGGTAGGGTTGTCTGCTCCCAGAAGAGATTTGCCAAATCGTGCAAGCCGATAAAAGTCCCATGCGTTTTTGGCGTGCTGGGTCTCCTGGTAGGGTCCTGTTACTTCTCCAAAGAGAATTTCGCGCTTACAAATCTTTGCGACAATGTCCGCCCTGTCCGGCTGGATACCCTGTTGAATTCGGCAATTAAAAAGTCACGGCGCTTCGAAGGTATTCTTGAAGGTCCTCAAACGACTTAGTCGCGGATTCTTGGTTGGTAAGACCAAAGCGGGTAATGAAGTTGGTGAAGAAGACGTGCTCCTTATCCCTCTGTTTGGTGGCCCAGTCCAAAAACTCTTGCGTCGTATCATAAAGGTTTTAGGCAAAGTGAGAGGTTAAAACAGGATCATAAAAAGCGCGTATATACAACAGGTTCCATTAATGCGTAAAAATCAAACAGAGGAGCCACATGGGGCAATAAGGGCACCCATGAAGAGCCCCTAAGAAGACCATCACTGTCGCGGCCACTTCCCGGTCGGCAAACCAGAAGTCCGAAAGGACTCGTTAAATCTGCTAGAGCTAAAGAAGTATCCCGCTAATGACAGGATGTTTCTGCATGCGTACGAAAGGGTCGTTAATCGTACCTGCAAAGGAATGGGCCAAGAGAGATAAAAAAAAAAAGATTGATCAACTCAGGTCAACTCAGGTCAACCCTTAATAATGTCCACTCAAATGGCGGGGGCAATTACACAAGCCCAAACGGCCCAAACGGCTTCCTTTTCCTTTCCTCCCTACTCGATCTTTACACCACTCACCTCACGCAGCTATGCAGTCTTTCTCCACCTCCATCTCACCTCTTCGTTCTCATTTTCCCTCTGCCTATTTCTTCGTTGGCTCGCTCTTGTTCACAAGGATCCTGTGCTGGTGGCAATACATAAACAAGGTAAGTTCCTAAACCACTTTGGCCTTTGAGGCTCCTTGTTCACAGGAAAAAAAATGAACAGTCGGTTTGGCTGTGCCTCCCTGTTGGCGTGGACTTTCAGGCACAGTCATATGCAGGCGGACAGAGAGTCCTTTTCCTTTCCTTTTCCGTTTTTCTATTTCTTCCCGTACAGGAATGCTGTGACGCGATACCCCCGTTGTTGCAGATTGGTCAGTAGCGGTCGGGGCAGGCCGTTGAGACAACCACGCGGCGCGCTCGTTGCGGCGTACGTTCTATCCGCCGTGATGCCATCCTGAGCGATGTATATGCTCCTGGTGATTGTCATTACCACCTCTACATTTGTACCCAGTCGACCACGGGCTGCAAAGTAGGTGGTGCAGGTGCGGATAGGGCTTACGGTTTCGACTTCAGCTCATCTGCGGCGGCAAAGTTAATGATACCGTCAATACCGAAGAGGCGTTCAGGCTGTTGAGGGTGTGTGTGTGTGTTTTCTATCCACATATATTTATTGGTTCGGAGTAGTGGCGCCGAGACAGAAGAGTGAAGCGGACGATGGGAGACAGATGCGTAGAGTGGGAATGGTGACAGTGGTGGCTATGGGATGCGGTGCCTGATGTCGATCAACTCTCCTGCGATTAGTTGCACACAAAGGAGCTCTATCTAATCTCGTTCCATTCAACATCTACCGAGTGACCTTTTCGGTTGATCAACATTCACAAACCATGAGCAACATCATCATCTCCGAGGACCACCCTTATCGTGCATATATTGAACAGCAAGGTCTCGACAACCTGTTGCCGATCAGTTTCTTCCAATTCCACCGCTTCACGCACAGCCAGAAAGACTACGCGGGTCAAGAGTACAATAAGTTGATCGCGCTGGTCATGCAGCAGCGCGCCCCAGATGTCGGCAAAGCAGCGAGCAAGTTGGGTCTCGTCGGCGACCTGCAGGCATCCTGGATCGTGTCTTTGCAAAGAACCATTACAACGACGTGGCTGACGCGATAACAGATGAGAGCATGAAGGACCCGGTCGCGCGCTACATCATGTCCGTCATTTCATAGTAAGTTTTTTTTTTTTTTACTAAAAGCATCAACCAAGCTCGATACGACCGAAAGACGTATTCCCCATCCTGTGCTTTCATCATCTAGCGCGCACTACTTCACCTTCCACGACCACGTCCCCACTCACATCAATGAACGACAGGGTTTTGCGGACTTGATGTGGCCGTTCATCAGAGGTGCAATGACGATGACGGGTGTTGAGACGCAGTACCTAGAAGTTCTCATCGCTGGAGTTCTTGAGCGCAAGAACTTGGAAAAGGATGGCCTGACGGAAGCCAAGCAAGCAGGCCAATATGCTGATGGGGTCGCTTTTTGGGAAGACAGCCAAATCTTCCTCTCAGAAGCCTCGACCATCGACAGCCCAAGGGCGGAGAAGCTGCGGCAGGGTGAGTTCAAGCTCGCCAGGGCCATGAGGGATTCATGGGTCAGTCAAGTCAGGGCCACATGCAAGCATTCGGTTCCCCTGAGCGGGGTCGCTGTCTTTGGGTCCAGCACATTCAAGGACGAAACCAAGCTCTGGCGACTTGACTTTCGTGGCGTTTTCGGCTTGTTCACTTCAGCTCTTTCTTTGTCCCGCTCAAGAAAGGCCAATTTGGAAAGAAAGCCAAAGTGTCCATCCTTCGTTGCCTCGAGTTGGCAATGCGTGTCAAAGCAGAGGTCGACGCGCGGGAGGAAGACGCGGATCCTGTGGATCATGAGATGCGCGAGCTGTTGGAGAAGGCTGTGCCAGCCATTTAGAGTACCTCAGCAATTCCTATGAAGAACCGCAAGAGAAGACCATCTGCGTTCTTTTGCGCGTCAGCGAAGTAACAAAAATAAAAATAACAATTGCATGCAGACAGGGCGCTGGTCAGAAGCGAGGTGAATATGCCACTCATGAACAGTTCCGCGATCTTCACGCTGTAATCTTGCACAGAGACGTGGACCCTAGAATATGGAGGAATGAAAGCGTTCGCTGATCATGATGGGCGTCTTTCTTTTTTTGTTTTTTTGGGTGAAGGTTGACACGTACTCGCCCAACCTGAACCTGCAGTGCAGTTGATGTTGGTAGAGACATGCCGTCCGAAGATGTTGATGATAAAAGTCGAGAACGGAAGGTTTTTTGCTGCCGTGCTCAGGTACTGGATGCCTTCCAAATGATACGCTGTGGCGTCAGAGCTAGGAAATGATAGATCTGGTTGATAGGGACAGGTCCAACACTATGTGGCGTTTCATCCTGCGCTTGGGCCGTGTGGTCTTCGCAAACTTGGCACCCAAAGTTTTCTAACCGACGACATTGCATTCTTTGGTCTGGCACAGCCCATAGTGCAAAAGGGTTTGGTCGTGTGACATGAAGAGTGGGGAGAAAGGAATGAGTAATTGACAAGAGGCTGCAAGTGAAGGCGAGAGGTAGGAAGCAACAAAAAGAATCGAGAGCAATGCAGAGGGTCAGTCGAATGCAAGAAAGGAAATGGACGAGCGAGTAGTCGAATGCTAGAGAGGAAAGAGGAATGGAAGAAGTGTTCGAAGATGAAATCAGCGACGACGTGGCAGGGAGGGTGGAGACAAGGAGAAAGAAGGTGAGTGGATGAGCGCTGTAGTGCTAGCAAGGCCGGCAAAAATAAGAGTAGGCGAGCAACTGAGGGTCGGTGCAAAAAAAACAAAAACGACGAGGAATAAAGGCAGGTGGGACTCGAGAGCAGTTCCGGCCTGTAACGTAGACACTGAGACAGACCGTGGCCGAGTGAGCGGGGACAAGGTGAGTGGAATACGCGCAAGAGAATAGGGCGCGATCGGGGCGGCATGGTGGTTGCCAGGGGTGCGACTGAGAGAATGTAGCGAAAGAAAAGATAGACAGAGGAGCGTGGTATTGAAAAGAGTGTGTGAGAGGGAGTAAAAGAGGAAAGGGGGGACGAGAGAGAGTGAACGGAAGACACAACGGTGAAATGAAACGAGCAACGAGAGACGAAGGAGTATCTGGAGAAGTAGCTGAGAAAATAAAGCATGCGCAAACTGTGGGTTGTGCACTGTCAATAAAGATCGATCTTCTCCTGCAGAGGAGTGAACTCTGGATTGTTCTGCGTCAAAGAGACGAGGCCAGATGATAAAGGTGATGCCACGAGATCAGCTCGACGAAAGCGAGGAGCCTGAGTAAGAGCAGATGATCTTATTATTCCGAGATGATGGCGGGTGCTAGAGGTTGATCGAGACGTGGTGGGGTGAAGGAAGAAGATTCAGCCAAGATGAGAGAGTGGAATGATGGGAAAGAATGACCGGGAGTGAAGAGTGCTGCCGAGGGTGCGACTGAGGACGAGTGAAATACAATTTCTCTAGAGTCAGGATGGCTGGATGCACCGGCCCAACTCCACGTTATTGCAGGAGTTATCCTGTGAACACGCAGGACCATCGCCAACTCCTCTTCTGAAGTCCGAGGTATTGAAGGGGTGTTGGATGGAAGATGGAGGTGAATGCCTCAGGTTCTCCCTGGCCTTCCTGCTATGTTCGCCATTCATGCTCCTGAAAATAATATTGGAAGAAGGATGCGGTTATATGTACATCAATGATTGAGGAATGGGACTAAGATAGTCATCACGGGGCGCACATCTGCACACGGGTGGGTGACGTCTCACGGAAGTAGCTGGTGCCAACATTGCGAGGGCGGATGGGATTCGCCCTTGAAGCCAAAGGCGGTTCATATTGGAGACTCTACAGGGGTAAACCTTCAGCAAACCATCGCCTTCGCTCTCCCTCTATACATAAACCATGCCTCATGGGAATCCACCCCCATCCATGGCGCGCATGGAACCACAGGAGTCTGAACTGTGGGCAACTAGAATTAAGTACGTCTGCCACAGCAACCGTGGGCCAGGGTATCAGCAACTGGACTGGCGGGGTTCTGCTTTTATTGCTGTCATAAATATGAGGTTATGGGGTCTCTTTGTCTCTTCGTCTCAAGCATCTTACTAATCAGTTCATGCACATCTTGCCCATTCAACTCGCCTCAGAGCTGTGCCATTCAACTCTCCTAACTTCAACTGCATTATACCTGGGTGCCCGAACTCATACCAAACCAAGCAGGGACTAGAGCGCCACTTCGCCGCGATACACATGTACAGGGCGGATCCGAACGCCAAATATTCTCGATCCACCTCGGCCGCTTCAATAGCCGGCAACACCTTCAATAGCATGCGCAGGAACAGTGGCAGTGGGACCAGGAATGGCCGTGTACGGTCACGTCGCAAAGGAAGACCTCCTGGATCCGGACTCAAGGCTCGGCTTAAGCAGCAGGAGATAGAGCAGGCATTGGAGCAGGCCATCACAGAAGGAGACGCTGTTCATCGCCCAGAGATTCACACAAACCATTCGCTCCTCGCCAGCCACGCTGCTTCAGCACGGCACGATTGTGGCGACGATGAGGCCAAGCCGAGGGAAGAGCGCTCGTATCTCGAGTTTTTTCCATTTCTCAACACGTCTTTGAGACTCGAGCTAGTGGATGCTTCGCAGATGCAGTCTCAAACATTGGAGGGGTCATCTCGGACAAGCGCGCCGGAGGCTGACGATCTTTCGAAACCAGGAACGAAGAGCACAGCGGTGAAAACAGAAGGCAGCGTTCTCGACACGGCACCCATCCCCCCGACGACAAATGACCATAAAGAACATACCATAACAAACGACATCTTTCACGACTCAATTAATGAACTACCAAACGAAACCTCGGCCAGTGGTCTTACCAACACCTTATCATCACCAGTGACAGAGATTGTACTTGCAGACCAGAATCACCCTGGAGACTCTAACGTGGACGACAATATGGATGGGGATGCTGCGTCAGACCGGGATGAATTCTTTGATGCGAAAGGATTCATCGAGAGCGAGGCGGAATCGAGCCAAAAGCAGGTTATACAGCATGAACGCAGCGCCAGTAGGGATGAAGGTCGCTCAGTGTCCCCGGGTACTCAAAGCGAAGTCAGGGACGAAACCATGGATATGGACGTAGATCAGGAAGGATCGGCTAGCACAAACACTGACATCGCAAACGCTGACGTGGAAGAAACGAGTCATGACTATAATGTCTCTGCCATGCAGGAGGATGATGTAAAGATGGTGCCTGAACCTGAGGCACAGGATTCCAAAAGTGCTGAAAGGTCGTCGTTCGCACCATCAACCAACGCTCACTCTACCGGATTATCTGCAAAACAATCAACCGCGCAGTCGATAACGACTGCCCTTGAACCCAAGACACCGGCAACTCAACTTCCCCAGTCATCCTTCAGATTGATTCCAAGGGATGATGATGACCTTGAAGAATACCATCTGCCTGCTGGCCACAACGTGCGGTACATCGGTGAGTGAATTGTGTAGGGTGCGCTTCTGGAACCGATACATTCACTTACATACGGCAGACTAAACTCCACCTAATGCTGCCAACCACCTATAGAGCCGACGGAGACGGAACTCGCAGAGCGTGTGGAATATGACATGGACGAGCAGGGTATGTCGATCATATGAAAGTCATCGATCACAGAAACTTGGAAGCAAATGACTAATATACAGCTTGTGATTTCAATAGACGAGTTTTGGCTCAAAGACATCAACGCGGAGCGACGCAAGCAGGATTTAGGAGAGGTCTCTGCTTCGATGTTTGAAAAGATTATCGATCGGCTCGAGAAGGAGTGGTTTGATCTGGTAAGTGTTGGACACCACTTTTCCCCTCTTGTTGATTTGTTCGAGTAATCCAAATTGAAATGGATGTCTATTTCTTGTCAATTAAATAGACTAAGAATATCCCAAAATCGACGGAAAATCTGCCACCAGAGGATTCTGCCTGCAACATTTGCGATGATGGCGAATGTGAGAACAGCAACGCTATTGTTTTCTGCGACGGTTGTAACCTCGCAGTACACCAAGGTATGTCACAACCATTCGCGACGACAATGACTTCCATGTTCATGGTTCTTGCGCACATCTTCTTTTCAAATGTTGGCCGCTAATATGCTTAATAATAAACGTTCGCAATAGACTGCTATGGCATCCCATATATTCCTGAAGGCCAATGGCTCTGTCGCAAATGCATGTTGTCGCCTCAGATGCCAGTATCCTGCATATTCTGTCCAGGCGAAGGAGGGGCATTTAAGCAGACAACGAACAGTCGATGGGCACATCTCCTGTGCGCAAGCTGGATTCCCGAAGTAGGCGTGGCGAATACAGTTTACATGGAACCCATCGACAATATCGACAAGATCCCAGCAAGCCGTTGGAGGCTGACCTGCTATATCTGTAAACTCCGAATGGGCGCTTGCATTCAATGCGAAACGAAGAACTGCTTCCGGGCTTTCCATGTGACCTGTGCACGAAGAGCTCATCTGTACATGAAATCGAAATTGTCCAAGGCTTCTAACTCTGGAGGAGAGGTCCTGGTCTATCGTGCTCACTGTCATAAGCATACACCGGTAAGTACCAGGAACTGCACGATGCTGCTCAGATTATTGGTGCTCATGAAGGTGTCAACCTAACTCTTTCTCCCCTTCCTATTTTCGATCCTTCACTTTGATCAGCGTGACTACCGAGGAGCCGTTGATATCGCCGGAGCAGCTGCATTGTTTGCACACAAGGGCATCAAGAAAAAGCGGGCCAAAATCCGTGTTGTGGATGACGATAGCGAAGACCCTGACTACGGCCGCAGTGATGAGGAGGAAATCTCTGGCCATGGACGATCCTCGGTTTCCAACAACGACACGGGAGCAACAACATCATCTGCCCTCGTGGCTTCTCAATCGCTTGGTGGATCCAGGACATCAAAAGCGGCTCTAGCGCATCAAAAACACTATACGCCTGGCGCCCCACTAGCGCCCATGTTTATCGTCAACCGCCTTCTCCCGTTCGTGGGTAAACTGGGGGCTAAAACACCGGCACTACGGAAGGTGTCTGCGCTGAATTTTATCTACACCGTCTGCAAATATTGGTCGCTCAAACGAGAATCGAGACGCGGCGCACCGTTGCTAAAGCGATTGCATCTGGAACCCTGGACAGCCTCCGCTTCAGCTCACAGGCAGACTGAAGAAGAGAAAGTAAAGAAGCTGCAGACGCAACTGCTATTGCGTGGTGATCTGGAGAAGGTCAGGATGCTTGCAGAGCTCGTACGGAAGCGCGAGAGGGCCAAGCTGAAGCGCCAAGAGCTGCAGAACCGTTATTTATGCAAGATCATATTCCCACTAAAGACAATCCTTGAAGATACGCTTGCAGAGCTGGAAAAGTAAGGATCGGCCACTCTCTACCATGAAGGATGCAACTCAAAAGTTCGGTTTTTGCTGTCTCTAACCTTGTAACCTTACACTTTTTTTTCCCTTTTTTTCGTCAGGTTGGATCGGCAAAAGTTTTTCGCATACCCGATTTCTGCAGAGGAGGTCAAGGACTACCATGATGTTATTAAGAATCCCATCTGCTTCCAGACTATGAATGAGAACGTCTTCACTCATGAGTACCAAAGCGTAGAGGAGTTTGCTGTAAAGTCCTTCTTTCCGTTTTACAATGGTTGTCGTCAACAAATTTGGAAACGACCCCTGATCAATCATTATTCCACGCTACTTTAGGATGACGCCCGACGTATCTACCACAACTGCCTAACTTACAACAAAGTCGATACACCATACTATCGAGCAGCGACCCGACAGTTGAAGCAGGCAGAGCCGCTCCTTCAAAAAGCCAAGGAGGATTACGAACATCTGGAAATCGACCCGCAAACTGGATTCCTAGCCGTACCTATCGATCCCGAGATTTTTACCTACAACCTGGTGCCATTCCAGCGACCCGAGGAAGAAGGAGAGAGACAGCTGTCGGATGTTTCTGTTCCCGCAACGCAGAATGTTGTCCCTACTGAAATAAACCCACCGAAATCCAAGCGCAGAAATCCTTCGGTCGATCTGCCCAGACTACCTGTCGTTACTGGAAGACCTCTCAGAGCAACCTCAGGAAGAGCGGGGCAAACTGCAGGATCATTGGCAAGTTTAGCAAGTACAACAGCCTCCAACTCACAAAAGTCAGCGCAGGAGGCCCAACAAGCGCTGAACAAGACTCCGGGTTTCCGTTCGCCTTCTAGAAACGGACCCCGACCGGAGGTGCCGAAACTAAAGACGGCAACCCTGACGAGGGCTGATGTGGCAAAGGCACGGCAGGCTTCTAGCGATGGCACTGTGCAGTTGAGCCTGGATGAGGATGAGTTACTGGAAAAACTGAAGCACAAGTCGAAGAAATCGCGATCATTGGCCGTCAACTTGCAGTCGAGACTCAAGCCTTCGATCGTCGACAAGGCTGTGGTGATCAACAAACCTGCACCGAAGGGATGGGCGTACGTAGTGGTCGAGGGAGAAGAGGACACAACGGAGGGCGAAGATGAAGTCGATTCAAAGGAAGGGGAGTTGGATGAGGAAACACAAGCGCTGGAGAAGGCCAAAGAAGAGGCCAGGATAAAGCGTCGGGAGGAGAGGCATGCACTCGCTTTGAAGAAGAAGCTGGCGAAGGGACAGAAGGCCAAGGCTAGAGCAGAGGCTTATGCCCGGCTGAAGGCTAGTAGGGCTACAGGGAACTTGGCGCAAGCTGAAAAGGAGGGAGCCAGCGGGAAACAGGACAGCCAGGGTTCGCACTCACAGATAGAAATCGACAGTACTCTCCCACTCAGACATTCGAGCCAAGGAAGCAGGAACGGCAGGTCCAGATCAAGGCGAAGTGCAGCCGATCAACGCTCAAAGGGTGCAGCAGACTCAATTGCAGACCATGATGACCAAGAGGGGCCTGTAGATCTCAATAAGGTGGTAGATGGTGGCGATCTACGGATGACTTCGACCTCAACCCCTCATCAGAACAGTCAAAATAGCGACTCTGAAACTGAGATGGATGTTAAGGAGCATGAGACGCATGGCAAGGGAAAACAAACGGGGAGGCATGGCGCCGACCTCAGTAATGGTGTCGATGGACTGGGTCTGAATTCTGAAGGGCAGGAGCCGAAAAGCGATGATGACGATGATGCTAGTGTACCAGTAGAGGATGAGGTAGCAGCGATGGACGAGGACCCCATGCGGAAACGCCAGAGGAGGCCAGCTTCTTCACGGGTTGCTGCTCGGGATGTTTCTGAAGATGAGTCTGCTACTGGAAGTACCCGTCGCCTTCGATCCACTGACGCAGCGCCATTGATGTCAGTGTCCTTGGGAACACGGAGGGAAAGTTCAGCGAGTCAAAGAAATGACATTACTGGTGAGTGGTGTTAACTTTGCATTGCATCTATGCCTCATTCGATTAGTTAATTAATTTGAAAACCCCTTGCTGCTTTAATTTAGGCAAGAGACGACGGAGTGAAAGTATTGAGGGCTCGCCCAAGAAACTAAAATCTGATCGGCACGGCGGACCTTTGTCGTACGGATCCTTAGTATGGGCCAAGATGGAAGGGTTTCCTTGGTTCCCTGCAGAAGTAAGAGGAGTACAGGTGCCTGCTATTTTTCATTCTATTCTTTACGTGCTGGAGCAATTGCTCACGCATTTATCTTTTATTACACAACATGTAGCTGATGGATCCAAAGGGGCCGCAAGTACCAGACCAGGCGCGGGAGATGAAGAAGGAGGGCCATGGAGTCCATCTGGTACAGTTTTTCGATTTGCGTGAGCGCGGTGAGCGTGGGCGGTCATGGTATTGGGTTACAACCGCACAGCTGTCACCACTGGGCGTCGATCTGGACGAGGATCGCAAGCGCGTCCACATCAAGGCAGGCTGGAATCCAAAACGTCGCAAGACGGTCAAGCAAGCCTATATCGATGCCTGTCAGTTAAAGGGGATAGACCCTAGTCTCGTTCTTACAGAGTCCTCTTGAGGTCAAGGGCCTTCTTTTTCCTTCCACACTGGTGACCAGGAAATAAAAACCATCCTGTCAGCCATTATTATAACACAGAGATAATTTAGAAGCGCTTTGGCTGCGACGATGCTATTGTGTATTGTGTATTGTATATTGTTGTACATGAATCAGCTCAGCTGCTCCAGGATACCTTCGAGAACGCCAGCGGAGAGCGGGATGTAAAGGATTTCCACGCCATCCGCGCCCTTCTTGGATTGGACGATGCGATGGTCTCTGAACTCTGTCAACTGTGTCCTAAAGGTCATGGCGTTACTGACAAGGAAGTTCTCCTGGCATTTTTTGAAAAGTGTACTGTGAGCCATGCCATAGTCCATTTGGTTCTTGCTGCCTGTGCTAGCGGCCCCTCCTTCGACCACATCCCTCTCGGACTGAATCTGATGCTCAGCTAGGATTCTGAAGAGACCCTTGCCATTTGAGGTCAGGCTGGCAAGCACAAACTGGATACCGCGTGCCCCCAGTTCCCCTTGTCGGACCATGATTGAGTTTTCGTAGCTGGTCTCGGCTAAGTATGGCCTGAACGTCGTGAGCTCATGCCAGACCCAGCGAAAGCGCGCCGCCTTGACAGTATCCCAAAGAATGTTGGTGTTGATATGATCCATGGATGCCACGAGATGGATGTGTGGGCAGGAGGCAAGCAAGCTGAGTGCGGACTGGGTCTTTTCCGATCGTAAGCTGGATCCGTCAATGTTGTGAATGATGAGATAAAGCTTTTGGATGGCGCGGTCCGGTTGCGAAAAGTAAGCTTGAATAAGGGCAATCTGTTCTTGCAGAGTACCCGTGGGCCCCGAATATTGCAATGCTTCCGAGCTGATCTTGCTAAGAATTTCCCTGACGGTTAATGTTGGAAAGTATCCATTGACGAGGATCAGGGGTGCATCCGTAAGGACAGTGGTGGCAAACTTTGTGAGCAACGCACGTTTAGAGCCATAGCCATATATTAGGAGGTTGAACCCTGACATGAGCTCAAAGTACCACTGTGGGAACTGCTCCTCGTACAGAAGCATCAGCATCTCCATCTCCTTTGAATGCTTTGTCGGTGTGCGCTTGAGTGCCTGAATAAAGTCCGCATGCTCCAGTGTCGGCAGTTTCGAGAGCGTGTTGTTGGACGTTTTCGACTTTTGGTGTAGATCCTGGAAGTATCGTTCCGCACCCATCTCGTCCTCCTCAAAGAACGACTTCTGGGCGTCCTGTGCGTCGTGAACGATAGTATCTGCAAAGTCGCGTTGGCCTTCCCGGCGATCATCATCGGACTCGCCTTCATCTTCCGAGTCATGGTCCTCGTCCTCCTCATCCTCCTCAGAGCTCGCCTGGTTCATTCTCGAGACTGTCCTTGTGAATCTTCTCCTCTTGACCTCATGATCCGCAGCGGAAACAGTTGCACCCGCTGCGGAAGATACCTTAGTGCTGTTCTTTCTATTATTCGTCTTCACTGTACTCTGCTGCTCTTGCTGATGGTCAATGATGGATTTGAGGCCTGCGATCTTGCGTTGCGTTTGGAACCCAAACACCTCTCTTCCTCGTGCGTGTCGTACTATAGCCGCAGCATCATTCTCCTCTAATGTACTTGGCGCCATGATCGTGTCAGCTTGAACGGATATACTGCTGCTGGCATCAGCGCTGGTACTGGTTGGCAAGAAAACATCCTGTAATGCAGCGGCACTCTCTGCATCCTCCTGAATATTCCTATGTTTGATAGACAAGTCATTGGTCTTGTCGACAGTCAGGCCAGACTGGATCCCGATTCGACGTTTTCGCGGGATGTTGCTTTGGACCGCATGCTTGAAGCGCTTCGTGAGAACTGATTCTCGTTCAGCATCCTGGGCTGACACTCGACAGTTGATATGTGTTGGGATCACGTCATTTCCTTGATATACGATGCACACCATGTCCACTCTTCCAGGTTCCGGGCTGCTGCAGTACGAGTACGGACAAAGAGCGCAGCTGGACAAAGGTTAGCGAGCCGTTATAAAGTGCGAGCGATATCACTTGAACAGCATATATATTATTTTACCCTATTCAGTAGGTGTATATAAAGTCTAGACGACCTAGTAGGAAGAGTTGACAATAGTTGGAAGCGATGGTGAAGGGACGCGTTGTTGAGAGACATCCTTTTCACCTCCACCTCATTCTTTCAATTCGGTTTGGTGGCAATAGTGGAGTGGCTTGGGGCGGTCCGCTGCTCACACAAAAGTCAAATTGAGCCGGCGGTTCAATTGTCCCTTCTCTCTTTGGAATAGATTCATTGCAATGGTACTGCTGCAGGGCACGCAACCCACACATCCGCATCCAAAGGATTCATTCAGCTCATCCATCGATCCAATCAATCGATCGACTCGACAGTCAGGAAGATCATATCTGTGGACAGCATTAGATACATCTATCGCCAAAGGAGTATCTGCAATTGCATCCGGCCCAGGAACAACATTTGCACCATCGACATAGATTTTTAGCAAAAAAAAAACACAGGACAGGATGTCTCATGTGAACAATGGCACGCCTTCAGGACTCTATTCGCTGTTTGTTCATAACGAGCCAACTGATTCGGCACTATACGACCTCAACAGTGGTATTGACTCTGGATGAAATCTCCGTTCAGCTTGGGGCTCATCCATGTCGGCAAAAAGAATCACAGAGTTCATCCCACCTACCGCCAGAGCTGCTGCAAATAGCCATACCAACTTTGCGAAAAAAGCTGAAATCAACGACGATGAAGCGACGCAGCAAGGCGTTTACGATCGTTATGCCAGGGGATGAAGTAACTTCAGGAATAATAGGATCGGTACTGCCGAATGGAGATCAGACAGCGCTTCCACCACTCTCCAGCGCAGGACTAACATCATCGACTTGGTACATCAACCTGGCAGGACTTTCGCTTGAAACGCCTATGCATCGTTACCAAAGCATATGGCTTCATCGCCCCTCAACATACGAGCCAGGACTGCACAGATAGGAAAACTCTTCCCAAGAGCTGCAGTGGAAGCGCTGACTCATCATCGACGACCTTCCCTTTCACGCTTCTTACAAAGGAAGCTCAAACGCCCACTCAACCCATGCTACACGCCAGCGACTGACCCTATACGACCTTCTTTTTCATTTTTTTTTTTTTTTTTGTTCTGTAGCCTTCCAACAAGTCGTTCATCATCAAGCGCAAGCTCGGAAAGAAGCAGAAGCAGAACCGTCCTCTGCCTAACTGGTGCCGCATGCGTACCGACAACAAGGTATGGAAACTGACCCTTATCTTCGGGAACCCCGCATTGAACTATTTCCAGAAAGCCATTGAAGCGATGCAGTTAAAAGCTAATATTTTGTCATTGCGTTCTTTTCTTTGAAAATTAGATCCGCTACAATGCCAAGCGCCGCCACTGGCGCCGCACCAAGCTGGGCCTCTAAACTGGTCGCCCATGCGGTTGGACAGCTGGAGTTCATTTACATATTGGCCTTTCGTGTTGTCCTATAAAGATTGCGATTAAAACCAAAAGGCACATATCCGATGCAAAGCCATAATGGCTTTTTTTTTACTATTTGTGTATACGCTCGAAATGACACATAGACAAGCAAACATAGGCAAAAGTTACGATTACTGTAATTCTGAGATCTTTTGGGACACAAAGAAAAAGCGAGATATTTATTGTGAATGCATTGAGGGGAATGGATGTGCGTGCCGTACCAGTCGTATCATGCATGATACAATCCCCGAACGAATCGTGCTCGTGCTTTAGACAGAAACATAAGCACCGCCTCTGCTTGAATGGCGACCGGTAACAGAGTCCCAGACGTGGCGGACGACATCGACAACCAGGCTGGGGAAGTCTTTCCAGAAACCTAAAAGAACGCGAAGAGGAGATGCAGAAAGATATTAGTCCAGTCCACCAAAGTCCGTCAATAAAAAAAAAAAAAAAGGATGAGATGAAGATGCGCCAGCTTTAATAAACAGATGCTGCGATAGGATCTCTTACCGATGTTAGGAAGCATGTCCAGACCCCTGGCGCCATAGACTTGGCGGTTGTAGATCGCTCCGAGCACGAGATAGATCAGTCCAAAGACTATCAAAACCGTCATGAACACGCCGAACCCACTCATGCCCTCCGAAGTTGGCAATTGAATCTCCCTCCTGTGATAGTACAAAAGCCAACGGCAACGTCTGTCAGTGGCATTTCCTGGTTGTGTGAGCAATGACAACAGGTAGCCTCGATTTTCTCCAATGGGACTTACGGGCATGCGACGCTGGACTTCCACGAAAAGTATACGACTCCGTTCTCATATTTGATCAGTGTCGGGCCAGCCTTCTCGTCAGTCTACAAAGAATCCCCATGTAGCAAATAAAAGGCGTTAATTGTTGCGCTGAGCTTGAGCCTTTCTTTCTAGTGCCATGCCATCGGAAATGTCAAAAGAACTGAGCGAGCAGATGCACGTACAACAGCCATATCGCAAATAAAAGTAATGACAGCTGACTGGTCCTGTCCGTTAATGTTGCCTCCCTTTAATGTCAGATTCCAAGGCACTGTGTTTTGATACGTGTCATAAAAAAAAAAAAAAAAAAAGCAAAAAACGATGTCGTCAATGTCAGTAAATAGGTTGCAGTAGACATTCCAATTGCACACCTAATCCGCTGCTTGCTGTAGGTATCCTTTGTCCTGTTGCTCGCTTACATTCCTTGACATCCTCAATTTTGTCTGCGCGTGCTACAGAAGGCGCCACGTCTCTTGCAGGTTGACCATCGTTTGCTGGAGCTGAGCCTGCGATCGTTCGCAAGAACAAAGTCTTGGGATCGCCCTCTTCAGGGACGAGCTTTGTGTCCTGACAGACCCAGGCATTCGCCTTGCAATGAGACTTTGCCTCGCCCTCGGGTATGACAATTGCCTGACAAGGGTTCAGCTGATAGTCCACGCGGATCTTGCTAGGGTGTTCATCCTTGGGCTCACCCTTGATCGTAAATGTCCTACGTGTGGAAGTAGAGGCAGAGGTGAGATATGTCGTTCAACTGAATCCAGAATGGCATGGATGTTTATATCTTGGACAGCGAAGGATATGGCTCTGTAATGAGACATTATTTCGTCCTTTACGTAGGTTTGAAGGCAGAGATGTTATAGGCATGTCCGTCGACAGTGATACGTTCGCAATCGTATGGCGCAGGTGCGTCGCCGCCCTGGGCAGCAACGAAGGGGAGCAGGGCAACGGCTACGAAAGCCAAGCGAGTATGGATCCGAGTCATTTGATGATTGATCTTTTGTCCTTGTAGTCGATGGAATGCTGATTGAGGATCAAGAAAAGAAAGGAGTGGAGAGAGAGGGAAAGAAAGAGAGAGCGAAGTGAACGAACAATGGTGCACTATGCCAAGAAGTTGAAAGTGTTCCTCCGCGTTGGGCTTTCAAAACCAAAGCCCGTCATCAGTCCTCCCTGCAATCTTTCAATACAACTCCACCCGACTTCAACCATTTCATGTGATCATAAAGAACCAAAAAGCACCCATGGCTGGTCTCTCTCCTTCACACTCCCCTTCCTTGAACGATGACGGCAGCACCTTCGCAGCTGGTGCTCCCTCACGGAAACGTCCCCTTCCTTCGACCTTCGATAACGCACAGCGGCTGCCGCCCCCTGCTGCGACCTCCCGTACCAGGAACATCTCGTGCCCTATCTCCCATTTGCCACCTGAGCTCGCCCTCCTAATCCTCAGCCATCTTCCCTACCGCAGTCTCGTCGCCCTATCCCGTGTCGACCGCTACTGGAGACATCTCACCTTCCACCAGGATGGCATTTTGTGGTACCGCCTCTCTCAAAAGCATGGTCTCCTGCTCCCTGACCGCAATACCGCTGCGCAACATCGATGGACCCTAGAAGATGCACTCGCTCGACGACCAGGACTATCAAGAGCATTACACCAGAGCCGTAGGAGATTGGTATCTCAGGATACATTGAACACTACTGCACCAACGCATCTCAATACTTATACGCACGCAGAAACTGTCACTAAAGGAGGGAGCCATCAGTTGAACCCATCCGCAAGGGTCTGGCACGGACGGGTCAAGACCTGGAGGGATTACTTTGAGACACTAATTATCCTCGAGCGGGAGTGGATCGAAGGCAAGCCCACGATCAAGGAGCTGCGTGGACATGAGGATGCGGTCATTTGCGTCAAGCTTCTTCCTAGGAGAGACCGGATCGTGAGCGGGGATCGACTGGGGTATCTCAGGGTGTGGTGCGCCGTTACAGGCAGGGAGCTCCAGAAGCGGAAGGAGCACATGATGGGGATCCCTTGCCTGGTCGTCCATAAGGACCTCCTTGTCAGCGGTTCATGGGTAAGATGACTGGATACGTGTTGCCTCTCACATGGGCCCTTTGATACAATCTCGACTAAACCCCGCTCTTGACGATCGTTGACAATGTCTATTTTGTCTATTTAGGACAGTACAGTGATCATCTGGCGGCAATTTCAGGAGGACCCATATCTCAAACCGCTAAAGATCATCGACTTGGGCGAGCAAGTCATGAGCATGGATCTCGACGCCAACCTGGACCTAGCCATCGGAACCGTCAGTGGCGTTGTCAAAATCGTTTCCCTCAAGACCTTTTCTTTCATCGATACCTTTCAAACCCCTCAGCCACACCTCTGCACCGCCGTGTCCTTGCACCCGGACAAAGTCGAGGCCACGATCGGTTCAAATTACTACGCTTGGGATCGAACAACAAAGGCCCAGGTTGGCTTCATTGGCGAAGCCCATTCCAAGAGTATCTCGTGTATGAAGGTCGATGTTGCAGAGCGCCTGATCTTTACGGGATCCCAGGACGGCAAGGTCAGAATCTTTAGCTGGGGATCTAAGCCCGTGTTGTTGAGGCAATATGCAGGGCATATGAATGGCGTGCGATGTATGACCCTCCAGGACTATATGGTTATCACCGGATCTTCGGACAAGGTAAACGATTTTTGTTCGTTTTTTTTTTTGTCCGCAAGCTATTCGATCGGGAAGCTGTATATTGCCATCCTCCATCCTCCAACACTCTGTCGTTCTTTTCCTTGATAGACGGTGATGGTTACATTTAGAGACCGACACGAGTATATGCCTTACAGACTGTTCCTCGACAAGGTCTCAGGACCCGAGGATGTCCTCGAGACGGAGTCCAACAGGATCGAGCGCATCGCAGGCCCTGTCTCCTTCTTCCACTCCACCAACGTGAACTGTGTGGATGCAGACACGGCCATGTTGGTCACCGGTGCAGATGATAGCATTGTTAGGATATTCGATTTCGGTCAGGATCTCTGGAGATCGCCAACGCCCTCGTCGCCAAGGCTTTGTGGTCAGGCCTCTTTGGTCTCATCGGCATCCTCTACGTGCGTTCTCATGGCCAGACCTGGACGGAATAAGGTCTCTGTAGGAAATCGTCGACAGAACTGGGGAACCTATGCCCTAGCTGTGCTGACACGAGCAAGGGACTTGATGGATCAATCTTTGGGGCAGAGCAGCAGTGGAAGCATACCATCTCTGGCATGGATGAATGTGGATGAGATCTATCAGCGGATGGTCGATTGGGAGTTGCTTCCTGTCAGGTAAAATCCAGACTGAATCATGCCCTTGTTGACGAGAGGTCAATACTATCTTATGGTCGCCCATTAACATGTCTAATATTCATACAATCGTTTAGTCAAGGATCGACGCCAAAGCACACACTCAACCTCGCTCTTCACATGATGGCCAAGTCAGATCCACCAACAATCCTCCTAGACAGCACTGTCAGTCCACATCGCTTTGCCCTGAAATAGATATCCGCCCATACCTTTGTATATATATATATAAAAATGAAACTACTGAAGACGGAGCTCGAGTATTTTTATTTGCATGCATGCGAATGGAGTGGTGTAATTCATTCCTCTCGTGCAATGTCGCACCGCAGACAAATTATCTAAAGCATCTGCATGTCCTCGTGCTCTTCTTGGTCGACATCATCGTCCCCTTCCATATCTAGCTGAGCCTTCATCGACTCCAGGCGTTCCAGGACCGTTTTGGCATTCGGTCGCTGTTCCGGATCCGGATGACACATCTCCTTGAGCAACATGATCACCTCTGGCTGGACCACCTCACCGTTCAAAAATCTCATCACAACCTCGCCGCTCTTGCGGTGCTCGTCCTTGCGAACTGTCGCTACCGTCGCCGTTCGATGCGCCTGCGTCGATCTCACCATTGGAGAAGGGAGAGGAAGCGGCGAGACAGGTGTCGAGGGCTTCGAGGCCTGAGACAGTCGCTCGGGCGAGAACCCCGGCAAGAAATGGTTGCCCGGTGCAACAGGATGCATCAATGGACTTTCCCTTGGCGGCGGGTTCTGATGTGATCCAGGAAGCGAGTTGACCGAGCAGGCCGACAATGGGCTCAAGACACCCCGATCGAAGGACAGCTGCGTGTTAATCGGTGGCAAGTTTGGCATGAGAGCGCCGCCACCGCCAATGGATGACGAGGAGGACGACCGCGAGGCACGCGTCAGACCATGTTTCTTGCTCTTCAATTCCTGGCCCTGCACCTGGCCCTGCACCTGGCCCTGTGCGAGTGCTGCAGAGGTTGAAAGACGGCTGCTGGACGTCACCTTGGGGATGGGGCCACGGTCGTGGATCCAGCCCTGATCTTCCCACAGCCAAAAACCACCCTTTTTGATCCATACAATCATCTCCATGACACTCTTCAGCTTGTGGAAGGGCTCCTGGGCGGTCAGTCCGATCACATAGAGCGAAACGCCCAAAGAGTACACGTCAATGCCTTGCGAGTAACGACCTCCACCGGCGGCCGATGCAAACATCTCGGGCGCAGCATAGGGAAGGGTTCCCCGGCCCCGTCCCTCTTCCAATGTGAGATGACCTGACGTTGCGATCTCTTCGCCAGGCTTGCTTGGTTCCATGAAGAGACCCGCGCCGAAATCCGACAGTTTGGCATTCAATGAAGAGTCAAGCTGTTTAAATTAAAAAGGAAATAAATAATGCAAGTTAGGCATAAAGGTCCATTTGAAAAGCAACACGCCTTACAGCCTACATAACGACAGTGGGCTGCTTACCAGGATATTATGAGGCTTGATGTCGTGATGGATGAGGCCCGCCTCATGGATACAGTCGACCGCCTGCAGCAGCTGAATCGCCCATGTCAACCACTGATGAAAGCCGACCTGTTCTGGATGTTGTCGTATCCAATCCCATATGGACCCATGCTGACAATACTCCAGCAAGAGCGCCCACCGTGTCTCATCGCTCTGATTTGATGTCGCAAGATCGTGCTGAGTATTGTCCGTGGCCGGTATACTCTGTTTCGATTTCTGATCGTATAGTCCAAAGTAATCGACCAAATGTCGCCGTCCTGGATGCTGTGCCTGAGTTGTATGGAGTCGTCTCAAAATCTTGGCCTCCGCCAATCCTACAGCCTGCGAATCGGCATCTGCAAAAAGACACTTTGCTGCACACCGAAAATCCTCGTTAACACCGACGTCCTTGTCCGTGCAATGTTCTGTGCTTTGACTCCGATCAAAGATATCCTGGCAGGACATGCTACGCATGTCTTTTCTCGAGAGCAGATATTGCCGCATGGGGGTAGAGGACGGATGGATCAGGGCCTTGTAGACCTCAGCATGGCGTCCGTGTCCGAGCAAATTGGGCCTACTGCAGTCCAAGGCCAGCGTAAAAGGGCTGGACTGAGTTGTAGTGGTGATACTTGAGTCGCCCATGGTGGATTCCAAGATAGGGGATCCGAGAAGGGATGCAGGAGGCTGAATGGATGGCGCGAGTGGGGACAGCGCAGGCGAGGGAAAGGTGCGCGGCACATGTGCTGGCGAACGTAGTACGGAATGTGATCCTGATGCGGTCTGTCCCAAAGAAGTAGACTTGGTGGCCCCGTGGTGTGCAGACGACCGGCGCAGGAGCTGATCCTCCTCGAGATCGTGCTTCCTATGATTCTGAGTCGAACTCTCTGGAGATGAAAAGCAAGGAAGATCCATAAATAAAAACGGCGGTTAGCTAACGGCGTGCTGCATCTCCTTGCTGTCGGATGACTATGTGGATTCCGCTTGAAGTCATCCACCAATCTTCATTACTGCTAGTGCTGAGTAGGTGTTTTACCCCCAAATCCCCTCCTCTTGTCATTCCCCTGTATTCCCAACACTAGTGCATTTTCGTTTCTTTTTTTTTTGTTTTTTGCTTTTTTGCAAGGACAGACTGGTGTTGAGGAAAAAAGTAAGAGATAGAATGGAGGGATACTACGGATTCAAAATCCAAGTAGAACAGACACCATCCTCTCCTCTGGTTGTCAGGTACAGCTGCTGCCGCCAATTCACACGCCCTTCACATTCGCTCCTCTTGCCAGGGGATGATGACAAAGACGAACATTTTTTTCCCTCTTTCTCTCCCGAGTAGTCGTAGCATTGAATTGAACCATAAAAAAAATCTGCAGTAAAAAAGAAAAACAATAAGAGTCATCACATACCGATGGTTGTCTCGGAGGGTTCTTCCATGCTGATGGATATAGTCTGGTTGGTCCCGCTGAGTGATGTATTACTGTTGTTGTTATGAAGAAGGATCTTGGCGCTGTAATTACCATTGCTTTTGCTTTTGCTTTTACTCTTGCTGGGGCTGTACTCGTTATCGGGGGCAATTGAGGCTGCAGGTGTAGTGCTGTTGTTGGGTCTGGTGGCGGATAATGAGGATAATGAGGATAATGAGGCATTGGTTTGATTACTGGTCGTAGCTCGAAGGGAGGTGATATTGGGCCTAGCCGGGGTGGACCAGGGCTGGTCAAAGATGGAATTGCGAGAGGGAGAAGGGGGTGGTGAGACCAGGGAGACGAGGGGGACTGAGTCAGGGGCAAGCAAAGTAGAGGGCGGAGTCTTTGCAGGCGGCTGCCCGTGCTCGTCGTAGAAGATTGATCCCGGACGGAACATGGACTGGGGACCCGTTCAATGATGTTTTTGTGAGGGTATGGAGGTGTAGGTGGAGGAAGTTAAAGGCGGGGTAGGTGTGAAAAAATAAAATAAAATAAGACGGTGTGAAAAAAAAGGGAATGAGGAAGATATGTGTGGGGTGGGGTGTGAGTTGAATCTGGATCTGAATGAGGATGTGAAATGCGAAGGAGAGGGTGATTTGAACGAATGAATGAATGAACGAATGAATGAACGAATGAATGATCGAATGGATTGAATGAATATGAATATAAAAACGATTCAAAAGAAGGAAGCGGGAGGGTAAAAGGAGCGCCGAGACGTGAAAGTGTGCTGTGTCATCGTTATTGATGATGCCTCAGGAAAGACCGACGCCGAATGTGGTTGGCTGGGTTTATGCTACAAGTACACGATATCATATCGGCCATCACTAATGAAAGAGCTGCCTGTCTTAGACCACAGTCTGCTGCAGTCAATACGCCATATACTACACTGCAGAAGTAGGTATAGTCTACGTATACTGCAGTCGCCCTTGCCTTTGCCTTTTACCCCGCACGAAAGGGAGGCGGATGGGGCGAATGGGAGGGGCTATGTTTCACCCTCCAGTCCTCCTCGCCCTTGTCTCCACATGTCTCCACATGTCTCCTCCACATGTCTTTTCTCCTTCCTCCCTCCCTCCCTCCCTCCATTCCTTCCTTCCCTCCTTCCCTCCTCCCCTCTTTTTGGTGGCAAATGAGAGGAAAGACGTGCCAACGTGCCCAACAAAAAAAAAAAAAAAATGCCGTCTGCACACTACCTCGTACAAATCCGTATATCCATATGCACATCCTCTCTGCAGCGGACTATGCAGGCCATGCAGGCCATCCGAACAATGGGGCATCCCATGATATGCTCCTCTTTCTTCTCCTTCTCATTAACCATTTCAAACCAACCCGTCTTTCTATTGTCCATAAGGAGCCCTCCTGCTCGAGAAGAGCAAACAAACAAACAGACACCGACAAAAACAAACGAATCATCGAACACAAGAGGGACATGTACTCGTCCTTGTACTTTCATAAATCTCGAACCGTAAATGCACTGAAGAAGGTCCGTGGCATCATCGCTGCGCTAGACTATGACGCAGATGACTACAAAGCACAATGCAACTAGTCGCCCTTTCCCATTTCTCCTCTTCCCGTCTCTCCCTCGTTGTTTTCTTTGACTCGGTCGCCGGGACAAGAATGAGCGACAAGACTCTTGCCGGTCCCTTCGTTTACGCGTGTGAGTGATTTCATTTGGTTGGGTTCATTTAACAGGAAAAAAAGGCGCAAGTAACACGGACAAACAAAGCGCCGTCCAAAAACAAACAAAAAAAAAAAAAAGGCTCTGAGAATTTTTTTTCCTACTTTCCCAAGAAAGAAAACCACTCGCACAAAAAAAGATTTTGAAGAGGGGTATGTGCGAGATAACATTTAGATCATATCTGAATTCGCTCAGCTAATCACACGCCATGATCTAATCTTATCTATGTCTCCTTTAGATCTATCTCTTCCTCATACAAATACACACACAGCACTCATGCGCAGCATAAAGTAGTGATATTGCTTTGCTACGTTCCTTTACTTACTCCCCAATAACAGCCAGCAACAGACACACATACAGATTCTCAGTGGCCCACGCCATCCACCATCCACACCCCTCAACGACATCAACCTCACTCATAGAATCAAGATGTATAAAGATCCTTTATTCATTATTCGGGTATGAGACTGAGAAACTAATAAATGTCTATGCACAAGATAAGCACCCTCACTCATTCACTCCGTTACCCGGATCCTATACTCCTTCAGCTGCTGCTCCGTCAGTCCAGATGGACTTCCTACAACAAGATCGCGACCCGATGCTGATTTCGGGAACGCAATCACGTCTCGGATTGAAGCTGTCTCACATAGAATAGCCATCATCCGGTCAAATCCCAGTGCAAGACCTCCATGGGGTGGACACCCAAACGACAATGCATCCACCAAATGCGAAAACCGACCACTCTCTTCCGGTGTCATCTAAAACGCAATATGAAAAGCGTACGAAAAATAACGAACAGAGTTATAAAAAATGGAGCACATACGTATAATGTTTCTGTCGACAGCATAAAATAAAACAAAAGAGAGAAAAAGCATGTATACATGCTTTGTACATACCTGAAGGATCTTTTCAAAGACATAAGTCTGCAGCTTAGGAGAGTGGATACGAATAGAGCCGCCCCCAATCTCAACACCATTCAACACCAGGTCATAATGCTGTCCCCGCACCTTCTCAGGTGAGCTGGCAAGTAACGGTAGATCTTCTGCAACAGGCGCAGTGAATGGATGATGTGTTGCCGCTAATTTGCGACCGTCATTCTCAACTGGCGATGGTGTCTCGGGAGGCGAAAACAATGGGAAGCCCTCGATCCACAAAAAGTTGTATTGTGCGGAGGGAATCTGCAGCAAACCTGAAGTGTCCAAGGAAATATTCTCGTTAGCTAAAATGAATGGGATGCCAAGGGACCCTGCCAACCTATCCTTGCCAAAAAAAAAAAACGCACCCTTTGCTTGTAGTTTACTGGCGAGCTCCAATCGAACCTTGCCCAGAACTGTTTGGCCACCCTAATCAGGACGAATAAAGAAGCAGGTGCGACATCATCATAATGAACGTTAGCAATGAATGCGAGGATAGATTCCAGTCCCTACGCTTGAAACATCTCTGACAACCACTGCTGCTTACAGAAAGGAATGCTGGTCGGGTGTTAAGAATGACGCTGTCGCCGATCTGCACATCCAGCGCGGCGTTAACCATATCCTCATTAATGGATCCTTGGATCCGTTCCGTGAAAGGCAGCTTATGAAGCCACGTCTGGATGTTTTTTTCACTGATCTTTACAACTGGCAACACCTATCAATCCGAAAGATAATAAAACATAAGATGTAAGCCCAGGCCATTCATAAAAATAAAAAAATAAAAAAATAAAAAAATAAAAAAAGGGAAAGCGTAAAGATACTGTGCGGCCAATGTACCCTGTTGTCCTGTTGCGAGAGTGCCTTAAGATCCGAACTGGGGAGTTTCATATCACTCTTCAAAACAATCGCTTCCAAAATACTGTCGCCCGTAATGTCTACAACATGTTGGATCTAAGGCCAAGATGAATAGCAGTTCGTTTCAATTAGTCTATCCTGTCCTTCTGTTATACCGTATACAGCTGGCCGCCGCCGTACCTCAAGACCGAACCGCGTATCGGGTTTATCAGAGCCATACTACAATCGCGATTAAAAATATGCAATATTAGTCCATATAAATATAGGAATTTGATGTTGAATTCGACGAAACGCACACAATACGATACCTTGGACATGGCCAGCTGGTAGTTCATTCGTGGGAAGGGCTCGCCGTCGAAAAGATCCACACCTTTAATTTTGTGCCATACAGATCTTACGAGGCCCTCAACCAGTGTCTGAATATCTTTTGCAGAGCCAAATGACACTTCTAGATCGATCTATCATGAAAAAGCCGTTTCAACAATGAGCACACCTTCCTCTGTCATCCTGTAACCAATCAAAGTAATTAAGATAATGCATCAAATCGATTTCGACTTACCTGCGTGAACTCTGGTTGGCGATCCGCACGTAGATCTTCATCGCGGAAGCACTTTGCGATCTGGAAGTAACGATCGATTCCACTGGCCATGAGCAGCTGCTTATACTACGCATGAACCACAAAAGAGAAAATAGAGAAAAAAATCAATCCTTCGTGTTCCGTAACTGATGCGGACCAAAATATTGCACTTCTGAGTTGCAATGTGGTACCTGTTGCGGACTCTGTGGAAGGGCATAAAAGGATCCACTATTGCGTGTTGGCACCACGAACTCCCGTGCACCCTCCGGCGTAGACTTGAACAGCATTGGCGTTTCTACTTCAACAAAGTCTGCAAAAAGGATGAAGTAGTAGCGCATGAAAGTGTCAATTCTTCATCCAGGTGCTGTTCAAAGTGACATTGTCGATCCCCATACTTGACTACTCATACCATTTTGAATGAAATAGTCGCGAATAACCCATGCAGCTAATGACCGGGTACGAATATTCCTTTGGAGAGTATCGCGGCGCAGATCCAGACATCGGTACTTGAGTCGTATCTCCTCATTCGCCTAATCATTGACATATGACAGGCACAAAAAATTGTTGATATGGAATATTCAGCTTCTCTCGCTCCCAGACGCCAGCACCAGATCGGAACAAATAAGAAACAAAAAATAAATCGCATATTACCAAGGACTGATTCGACGGCAAAAATGGTAGAGTCTTATGGGTCTTATTGAGCACACGTATCGATGCCAGGTCCACTTCAATCTCTCCTGTCGCCATCTTCGGGTTCACCGCACTCCCCTCCCGCTTCACCACACGTCCTTCGACACAGATTACACTCTCTGCCGTCAGATCCTGAAGTCTCTTTCGGGCCCCATCCTTGCCCTCTTCTGACCCTTTTAAGACCAACTGGACCGTTCCAGAGTGGTCTCTCAATGGCAAGAAAATAAGCTCATCTGAGAACTTTCTAAATTGTTGTAGCGAAGGCGAATCAGCCTCGAGATCAATATGGATACAAATCCAAGAGCCCATAGGTCGACGCAGCTCGAGTATCCATAGGGCTATGCGTACCTGATATTTTGCGCCCAGCCGGTCAAGACGACTTGCTCACCTACATGAGTCTTGTTAAGATCGCCGCATTTGTGTGTTCGTGATGGATAGTCGCCTACAGATCAGACCGTAATTCCCAAGAGGGTCGAGTACGGTCAGTTCAGCCAAGTTCTCACGTAATCCTATCCTGTTCCTTATCCATCTGCAAGGTTGTTCAGCTGTGGGTCCTTACCAAAGGTAGCGCCTTCGAGCAACTCCGCCTGCACTTCTGCAAAGGACTCTATAGAGACGCTCGTTCCTTGAAAGCTGCCCGAGGACAATTGTCGACAGGTCAAAGGCAAATGAGCGAGTGTCAGCGGAAGTCGAATGCCCTGCTGTCGATTCCAGCTTGGTGTCAGTCTCCGGAATGCGCTGGCAGCATGCCTTGCTCGGATCGCGTGCATCGTGTCTGAAGAGGTGGAGGTGAGGATGATTCAGGAACGAGATCCCCTGGCTGAAACCTCAAACACACCCTGGCTCGCCTACCTCCGGAAACAAAGTGACTGTCTAGGGGTTGCTTGCCCAAGATGGATGTCTGTGCAACATGTCAAAAGACGCGCTTGACCCACAATGCATGTTACACAGGCATACTATTTGTACATTAATCTCATGGCGGATAAAAGAAAAGATAAGCAGAGACCTTCATGCTATAATGTTGAGTGCCGTTCCAATGGACACCTCTTGCCTTTTGACAACCTGCCCATCCAGTGCACCGGACCACCTAAATTCTTTTACCCATTGAAGGGCAGCGTTGGCCATGTCCTGATTAGCTTTGTGGCCCTGATCGCATTGAAGGCCGGTCTTGGGGTTCAACTTGTGCGCTGAGTCTCATGTTGATGGCCGACGCCCACCGTAAGTCGGGTCAGGGCAGATGACCGAGCGGCACTGAGTTTAGACTCCCTGGAGATGGAGCAAATGCAGCAAGGACTTGTTATCGAAAAATGCCACAAGCGTGTCGATCGTAGTTGATTTCCCTACCATTAAAAAACAGCTTTAAAAAAAAAGCTCCTCCGGATGAAGCTGAGTCATTACCTGGGCCACTCTGGATCCTCCGAACATCCTGGCCAGTTTGTTCCTGGCTTCCTTGTCTGGACCTCTGGTCCTTAGAAGAACTTCTGTCAGCTGCTTTCCACTGACCAAGCAGAAGTTGCCCTTGTAGGCTGGCTTCGGAAGATACGTGAAGCTTTTCAAGGACGGCAGCTTGCTGTCTGAGGACCCAGAATACTAATATCGGATCATGGACTAGGGACTTGTCGTAGTCGTCTTTCATGCTCAAGGAAGTCAGTCCTTCCCGAGTCACCGCCCATCCTGGATTCTAGGCATTGATTTATGCAAAGATGAAGTATATCAGAAAAAAAGGCGTTAATAAACAAAAGGTTCAGGAGTAGCTAGGTTGCATGACAGATCAGACATAAATGGTGCACATACCTTCTTTTTTTTTTTGGCTTGAAAACAAATGCCCGGAGGTGGTATCTGACCAGTTCCCCCAGTATCTGACCGGCATGTTTCAGAAACTGAGATGGGGCCGCATAATCGGTGTATTCCTTCACCTTCTGAATCATGGCGTCCTTATCCCTTACGCTGAGTCGAACCTGCCACTGCTTCGTTGAAGTCTGTCGACCTAGAGAAGCATCTTTTTTACGAGTGACTTGAAAAATGCGCGAAGTATCCTCTGAGTCTGAGTGGATTGATGGATAGTCTGAATCTGACCTAATCCGTGTTCAGCTTGACGAGGGCTTTAATAGTCGATTCGATATGCTGACTCGCTCCAAGGTAATCACCGGCGACATAGTTCTGCTGCAGTCCGCGTTGAAGGCGGCACTCGATCGCTCCAATGTTCATCGTTACTATCTTAAAACTACTGTTTACCATGTCCCCAATCATGTTTCCGCTTCCTGCTCTTGATGGGGACTGATCCAGTCGCATTGCCTTGGTTGGTGCTAAAGACAGATTGGATGGAGTCCTTTGCTTCCTAAATATTGCTAGATGCGCGGCAACTACAATGTAGTGCCAGAAGACGGCGATAAGCTTTGCACACTTTGCGAATATGCGCTGTAGCCATGCGTTCATGCACACCAGCATTAGAGTATCTTTCTTTGCATGACCAATAATACATGCAATTAGCGAAACAGCACTGGAACTCACGCAAAAAGCAACCATTAACCAAGTACAAACGAAAGAAAGTTGTTTAAAATATGCCACTAAGTTGTCCAGATGGACCATTCATCATAGTTTTTTCAAGGAGCAAGAAGAACACCGGGATATAGATCGATGATAAAAAAAAAACAAAGGGAAATGCGGACAACGAGGCCCTCCCCTCCTAGTTGGTGTATCCTTGGCATTCAGAAGAGAATGGGATCAATTGCTGTTGCTTTTTATTATGGGTCTGGTTTATTTTTTCAACGTACAACATTCCGACTATAGCTGATGGGAGTATAGTACGAGTGTGGATGCTTGGAAATGGTATATGCGGTTGGGATTGGTGCTCACGCTACTGCCTGTGCATACATAGTCAGCCCAGCCTACGGTTACTCTGAGGAGACACTATCGTCCTCCTTCCCAAAGTTCGGAAAGTGCGCCAGGATAAGTGGATTAATCTTCTTTGGCGGCAGATCCACAATCGGCATGGCATTCGGTGACTTCTTCTCGATCAGGTACCTGTTGCACAGGTTACGTCCTCCCTCGACCTTCAAATGTCGATTCAGTGCGTCCATCCTCGCGAAATGGTGCTGACACCGCTCGCACGCGAACGGACGTACCCCCCGGTGAAGTCGCTCGTGCCTGTTCTTGTCGTGGAGTCGCGCAAACTGGCGGTCGCAGTGGTCGCATCGGTGTGGGCGGAGGTTAGTGTGCGTGCGGATGTGCGAGTTCAGGTTATAGGGCCGAGAAAAGCTTTTGGTGCAACCCTCGTATTCACACTTGTACACTCCCGGTGTGTTGGATCCACTGCCGACGGCAACGGTAGAGACAGCACTCGAGTCCATGGTTCCAGAGGTTGAGTTAGTCGGAAAAACGACAAAGCCCTCAGGATGGTGGTGTAGTGAGTTCGAAAAGGTGTGCTGTCCCACGGATTGGGGTGGTGAAGCAGAAGATGCAGGCTCGGGCGATAAGAACGATAAAGACGCCGAAAAGTCAGGGACAAGGTTTCCAAGGACATCCCCCTCAGAGAAGCGACGATCGTACTCATCCGGTTGTGAGTGTCCTGCGCTCACTGTGCGGCGATGCTTTGCGGCGGGAAGCCATGCTGGCGAGTCTACACTGGAGACGGATGGGGACAGGATTGGAGACGATGGTGCAGAGATCTGTCTCACGCCGTAGTCCTGAAAAGGCCCTGGATGATACGGGGTGGCAGTCTGCTGTCGGTTGTACGGATGCCAGTGAGAGAGTGAGCGAGGTTCAGTGGAATGTTGGTGAGGATGTGCGAGATTGGGCCTATGTGGTGATGGCATCAAAGTGTCTGGCCAAGGACCAGTCGATAGAGGCACGCCTGCCATGACAAAGCGGGGAATATGCCGTTAGAAGTCAAGTTAAATAAAAAAATAGGGGAAGCACTAAGAATATATTAATATAATAATAGCCTTGGCTTACCTTCGGCGTCGTGTGCATTCATTGGTGGTGACCGTGTAAGCTGTGCCCGTGAAGAACCAACGGCTGTGGATTGATCGAAGGTTTGGGCGGTGAGATGATATCGTCCGCTGCCAAATGCGAGTTCCTCGAGGACATTGGCGCCAAGGAGGACATCGGGATATGGTCCACTAAGGGATATGGAGGTGACATCCGGTGCAGGCGAAGCCGCACTCAGACTGAGGTAGGCTAGTGACATGCTGTTACATTGCTGACTTTTGGCGGTGACGGGTGGTGATGATGAGAAGGATACTGATGATGGCGAAGCAGGGAAGTTGTTTGGAGACGACATGTGTGGTAGGTACGGTTGTTCATCATTAGAGAGTCTATCTAACGAGAGCATCTCTGCACTGGAGAGAACGCATCCTTGGTGTGAAAAGTAGTTGAGGGTTTCTTGAGGCTGAGCCATGACGGATGCATCGGACCATCCCACAGTACAGGTGGGCGAAGATGTCGGCAACTGGGTCATTCTGGGCGTGTACTTGGATGGGGGTTGTTGGTGTGTGGGCTTGAGATCGAAAGCGAGGATCGGACTCATAGGACTCGCGTGTTGGCCCGCTGGCTTGAAGGTGGACACAAGGCTAATTTTTCTATATGGACGAGTTGTTTGCAGCAATGTGATTGGACAGCAGTGGACGTCAAAGAGCGGAAAATAAAAGGACGTAGAAATGAGCCGGTGCTAAAGAGCAAGGAAGAGAGAGGAATAGAGAGGGAAGGGGGCAGATGGCGTGTGTCTTCAGCGGCTCTCTTTGATGTGGCCGTGGTTGTAGTCGTCGTCGTAGATCAGATATTGGCTGTGAAGGAATGGATATCCAGGAAAAGACGCGTACCATGGAGGCGGCCTTTATAGGATTTAGCACTTGCACTGCCACACACATAGTGAGCACATAGTGAACCCATATTTCCATATGGTAACCCATTGCTTCTGCATACCATACCCACTGGTACTGCCTGCGGAAGACACATAGTCTAGAGGCACCTCCACACACGCACACACTCAACACTTCAGTGCCTGCTACGCACATACTTACACATTTAATGTAGGAGCATTGCCCTATTAATTTTTATCATTTTCCACACTCTCATTCGTCTATGGATTAATAAGGCTGTAGTATTATAAATACTCAAACACCCTTTGTCATAATTACTATCAGGGCAGCGTGGAAAAAAAGCCGACCACTCAGCACACGGATAATCCTTGGATATTCAGCCACGCAATAGCGCAATAGTACTGGCCACGCATGTCTCGCCTCGATCGTCCTGCTTAGCACAGCACGGCTTAGCCTGACAATGGTTCTTTTTCTATTTTCTGCTGCCTTCTCAAGTCATGTTCTTCCATTCATAATCTGCTGCAATTGTACAAATAAAGTATGTTTTTGTCGCAATGGGATTGTTGCGGCAATAGGAAAGGATGTAATCGCTCAAAAAGGAAGAAAATCATGGTCCTTACAACGGATATAGCAATGAAATAATAGGACACAACTGCACAGTACCTGATTTCTCTTAATCGTTGTAGAAGCAGCAGTATCGGAGAGACCATGGATGCAGCAAGGTATCGGAAGGTAGCATCTTCAGATAGTCTGCACTCTGCATTCGACCTAGATCGTCGAAATTAGCCCGACATCAGTCGTACTAACTGAGTCTTCGCGTAGGTCCACACGCGTTGCGGTTGACCAACCAATGAGATGGCTGCTTTGGGATGTGATGTGAACCACGAGGGAGCGCAGCGATTGCGAGGAAGGAAGAAAGGACGCGAGGTGATCGTGGACATGGATGCACTGCCACATTGGCAAGAGGTGCCAGCGCACTTCCCCAACGGAGGGAGAAGAAAGTGACGGTCGCTTGGTGCTCACTTGAAACAGAGCAGAAGCTTACGACGGAGAGGCATTCTCGGTGATACAGCAGACCCTAGAGTGAGCGCATATGTGCAGATGATAATTCTGAGCAGAAGTCAGATATGAATTACTCATATGGAAAAATTGTGAATGGATTTTCTGCGCATGTGGCAGTGCAAATGCTGGGTCTGACATAGCCCATACAACAAATTCTCTATGGCATTCGAAGGAGGCCATGCGCGGTGGGCAACGAGCAACAGGCGCAGGGCCGTTCTTGGGAAAGATAATGATCCACGGATCCAAATGAATGTCCATTAGTCCAATTTTACTTTGTCGCCTCTCGTCATTTTGTGCCGATTACACGCTCTACATGCTGTGCACGTTTGATATAAGAGGCAATTTTGATTGTAGGGATAGAACATGAAGGATGACCGGAGAACTCTGTCCAATACATGGTTGCCTGTCTGAGCAACTGACACACGACGGGACTCAGATCATGCCATGTACCCATACACACATGCGCCCATGCACCCAAGCTACGCGACCCTAGACCTTTGCAAGAGCTACACCTTACGGCACACACGCCCATTCGCCACCCTCCAGCTTGATAAAAAAAATAATAATAAAAAGATCAAAGAAAGAGACGGAGGAGACAATTAAGGAAGCGGCAGCAACATTAGTGATGGAGCGAGAATGATGAAGAGAAAGAGTGAAGGCGATGAATGTGTGTGTGAGAGAGGAGAGAGAAAAAGAGAGACATTGGAGTTAGAATGAAAGTCAGAGTGAGTGAGAGTGAAAATGATAGCAGGGGCAATACCCAACTGCTGTGATATCTCTGGCGTAGGAGGACGTCTAGGCATGATACGCGTCGTCCTACGAGTTTCTTAGGAGGAGGCGATGTTTTCGGTATTTGTTTGTTTGCTTGCATCAAATTACATCGTCCCCAAGCTATGTATCAGGGGCAATAGGAAAAGAGGCATCGCCATTGTTGCCAGTTCCGTACACCATGCAGGTCCAAGATTGAGGAGATGATGGGGCTGAGGATGCGAACAGACACATACACGTTGGGACATGCACACAACGCCCCATCTGTCTAGATCGGCCCCGATATTTGCTCGCATGGACTCACCATCGAACGTTTCCCCAGTTGGTCCTCCGCATCGGTCAGTTGTAGAACGTGGATAGGGATACAGGGATAGAAGCAGCGCTGTAACACAGCCGAGTTCAAAATCAGATATGATGATGGGGAACTGACAAATGGGGAGGCCGCTCATGTGGCCCTCCCTTTTTCTGCGAATGTGGCATGTGCACAGAAAAGAAAGGGCACGCTTGGGATTCGATGCCATGACGAATGACCAGCGGCCAGATACTCTGCATCCTCCCTTCTCCCCTCTTTCCTTTTCCACACCCCCGCCTCCACCTTCTTTCGCCTTCGTCATCGGCCTTCCTTCCCGAACGAAAATAGACAAGACCCATTCACTAGGATCGACCTTGATTCACTCTAACACTCATGATGCTGATGGATTCCCAGGGGCAGGACACTCTCAAGAATGCCTCAACCACCCATGGCTCGACTACCCAGGACGAGTCTGCGCACTCCGAAGGGGCCCATCCCCTGAGGAACCTGCCCGGCACCAAGGACGAGGTAAGCAAAAGCGAGCGAGCCATGTTTCTTTTGGAATGCGACTTCATTGTATCCTGCTAAACCATGCCAATGCCTGTCTCTCGTTCACCAACTAGAAACTGTATCAGTGGCCACAGCGACCGTTAGAGTCCATTGAATCTGCATTCGCACTCAGAGAATATCTGCAGGCCCTTATCCGTCATGATCCCCACAACGTCGACCAACTGATTGCTCTGCCGGCTGGACAGGACGAGCATTCATGGCTCTATGAACATCTTTGGTAAGGCATTGGAATGCATCTGTTCATTCACGCGCCATTCTCAAGCTTTGCTTTTTTTATTTTTTTGCGTCCTAGTTGCTTACATGTCGTCAAATTTGCTTCCTTTCCTTATGTTCATAGTCAGATCTGTTTGGAGTTGAACTATCTCATCGTACATCTGGAACCAGAGTGCACCCCAGAAGTGTGCCCCGAGATGAGGGCAGAGGAATGGAAGTACTACTGCGCAACACATCCTACGCCACGCGAGGTAAGATGAAATCGACGCATCCGATCATTTTCAGTGTTGTTTAACTCGGCTCAAATTGCAAGTAGTTCCTAAAGCCTTTGTTCTATACCGTGGTACTATAACAGTGCTGTGCAATCGATTACCTCACACACACGCTGGATGGTGCATCTGCCTTGTTGAACAATATCAAATTCTTTCCGAGCCGGTAAGGGCAGAATCTACGACCCCGGATTTTGGCATGTCTCTTTACGAAAATCGTCTTTGGGAACCAAGCTCTAACCAATATCCTATTTGATATTGTTTCGGATAGCATTTGCGTACCAGAGGGCTCGGTCAAAAACTTCCAGTCGATAGCGCGACGACTCTACCGCATATTTGCTCACGCATATTTCCATCATCGAGACATTTTTGATGCCTTTGAGGTTAGTCAACGTGGCGATGTTACTGATGTACTGTTGCCTTTTGCTTGTTCAAATAACATTAATCGAGCCTATTTTTTTTTTTTTTTTTTTTTTTTTTCATCCATCAATAGGCCGAGACCTCTCTTTACGAGCGATTCCTGAAATTGTCAAGGACACGGCAATTGATTACAGAAAAGCTGATTATTATACCAGGGCCAAGCTACGAAGGGGATACAGTCGGCAATAACGCACGACAGGTACGTGAAGCAACAGAAGACGATGGACGATATGCATGCCATTTATTTGCTGCATCTATCTTTCTAATCTTCATTTTCATTTCTGCTTTAGATCATGACGCGATCCAGGGACGAATAGATGCATTGCTCAGTAAGCCTTTACTATGTTACAAGTAGTCTCAAATTAAAGTACTTCAGGCAACAGCAACCCCTAACGATACAGGTATCAAACGCGACAGAGCAGTGATTCTGGACGGCATGGAGTGTGGTAGGACGAGTGCTTGAGATTAAGAGATCACGTCCCACACTTTCCAATCTCGCGGATAAAATCTATCAAGGAATGCCGGTCTGCAATCAAGGGAAAGATCTACAAAATGCGATTCCATTGTTAAATCCGAATATCTTTACCGAATTGGCACATGGATGCAGATGCGATGGCTATTTGATATTACCTTGGCTTTTCCTTCGCTTGCGAGGTACCAAGCGGAGCAGCCTGCCCTGGTCAAGGTCAGGCGACCAAAGTCAATCTGCATACTGTCCGAACAATGCGCCTCGACGCCGTCTAGAAATCCAGCATTCGATCCTTCCTCACGACTATACAACATCACAGAAATAGTTCGTAATTAGGACTGAGCACCAGTCGGATGCTAATAAATAAGATGCAGCTCAAACTGCAGGATGAATATAGTACCTGACGAGAAGCTGCCGTGCCTCCTCTGGAAGCAGAGATATTGATATTGATTTCAAGCTGTCGACGCTTTCTGGAAATACGTAATGCAGTTCAATTGCCCTCGTTCTCCTGTCATCTATCTCGAAAGAGTGACTAAATGTGTCAATAGGATCGATTGCCACGGAGACGTAATGGCATTGTTATTTGATCCAAGTTTGAATACGTTTTAGTACCTCGTCCTTGTACATGGTTGTACATGGCGTCCAGGGAAGTGTCAACAATCTTTCGCAGCTCATAGGGCTGAAGCAGTAGTCGACAGATTCTGCAATCAAATCTCCGTTCCAGCCATTGAATAACCAATTGGCCGATTACTACCGGCGACTTGATCAAGACTAAGTTGAAATTGGCGAAAGCTGTATCACAACATGGGGGAGTACGAAGCATGAGTACTTGGAGGGGGGGGGGTTCTTCTTTCTCCAGACGAGTCAGTCGATGCTGTACTGTACCTGAATTGGAGCTCTGATTGTGTCCAGGCTGTTGGTCCAACAAGACCGCACAGTGATACGTCTGCTCATGCGATTTGCCTATTGAAAGCAATTTTTCAATGAACATAAGAATGCTGCAAATCATTGGCTTTAGCAATAATATCGGACGGGAATATTCAGGACCCTTTGCCTTTTGGTCTCACGTTAATAGTGATCATGATCGAACCCAGTGCAGAACGAGTCCTCTCTTCACCGTCTTTCTCGTGGTCCAGAATCAGCTGCTGAATCTCCACCTTCTTAATGTCGCCAGGATCATCCAAAGTTTCGGTAATGTTGCGTCCTGCGTTGTCAATCTGACCAGGAAAAAGGCGGTTTCCGTTCACAAAGGTCAACGATCCATCCTGGGTCTGTTCAGCCAAGGCAGAGGATGTAAGATTCCGGGCGTTGGCTGCGATATAGGTAAGAAGTTCCTCTGCATAGGTTCTGTGTTGTAATGGGTTGAAGTCGTAGAATGGCGTTGTCTTGTGAAAGTTCCATGTCTTGTTGAACAACGACGCTATATTGCGACAAAAAGAGGTACAGATGAGATCAAAACGAGCCCGATAAGTTCAAAAACTTGTCCGCCATGTGGTAATTGCCAAAGTAGGGCACTTTTATTGTTACATGCTTACAGCTGGGCACCGTTGATGGCTCCTCGGTGCCTGCTAGTTCCCGCTGAGAAGCAGCTGTGCGTTGTTGGGTTGAATCAGGTCGTGTCTCGTTCAGAAGAGATGAGGATCGAATGACAGTATGAAGGACGTCTCGCGTCCTGGGTCGGTCGAGCACACTGGTGCTGGCTAAGGCTCTGTTTCGAGCTGCAGCAGCTGGGTCCACTGTCGGATCGCGTCGAAGGGTATGTGCCTGAGTCGCCATGGGAGATGAGCAAACAACGCTCTCAGACGGACCAAAGGCACTCTTCTTCTTTTGCCACCATTTGCGCATTGGACCAGTCACGATTCACTCGCTCTTCAGGAGGGGTCTCCGCTCGATTGCTCATTCTTCACTCTGCTGCTATTCTGTTATTCTACACAAGAGGGCCTGTTTGTTTTTATTCATTTGTTCATCCGCTCTATTTCTACTCGTCCTACTCAGCATGCACAGCCATTGGCGCCCTCGGTTGCGCCGGGGTTGTCCTGAATCTTGACATCGATAAGCTGACTCTGGTTCGCATCCGTGATAGTGTTTTCCATACCTGGTAGGGCTTGGGCAATCTTGCGGAAGAGCGTCTTGACGTTGTGTCCGGCCTTGGCACTAGTCTCGATGAACATGATGTTGAACTCCTTGGCCTTCTTTTCTCCCTCCTCTGCTGTAACCTGGCGCTTCTCGTTTAGATCCGTCTTGTTGCCGACAAGGACAATGATCACATCCGTACCTCGCTCCGCCCTTACGTCGTCGATCCATTTGGCTGTGTTCATGAACGAATTGCGATCTAGGCATAATTTTAAGTGGCCAAACAAGATGACAACCGATTGTTAACGGTATGCTTGGGTCCATGTTTACAAAGCGAGAAAAGAATGCCTCCTCGTGATGACTTACTGGTGATATCATAAACAACCACGGCCACAGAAGAGTCGCGGATATAACTGGGGATAAGGCTTCGGAATCGCTCCTATATATGGTCAGAAGGTCGTAGGAGTGGTCATGGTTATAGTCAGAGGCTGGAGACTGGTAGTTTGGTGTGCGTACTGTTCCCCTGAAGACCATGGCTTTCTTCGTACCTGCCCAGCAGTGTCCCAGAGCTGCAGACGCACGGTGCGGTCCTCGAGATACATAGTCTTTGACAAAAAGTCGATGCCGATCGTTGCCTGTGTTTGTTGTACACGTGGAAGTGCATTAGAGGAAGGAATGCATTAGATATCGTGGTGCAACCTCAGGACATGGGTTGTCCAATGGTCGCCAAAGTGTTGAACAACAGAGTCGGTGTACCTGATACGTATTGTCGAAGGTATCGTACATGAACCTGGTGATCAAAGACGTCTTGCCGACTATAAGCGAAAAAAAAAAAAAAAAAAGGTGCATAGTGTGAGCTCAACGTGGGCTTCCATGGTTACCAACGGACAGAACAGAGCCCTGGAGTAAAAGGATGAGTCGAGTGCTTACCGCTCTGTTCGCCCAGAAAGACAAGTTTGAACTTGCGGAGGGGATTCGAGAACTCGGGGTTGGCGGCCATGGTGAAGGCGAGATTAGAAGAGGAGATTAGAAGGGGAGATTAGAGGGAAGGATGTGAGGAAGGTAGATTAGGGATGGGAGGGAAGGAAGGTGTAAACCAGATGATGGGCACACAGGACACTGGAGCACGGAAAGCACGCAGTTGTGTGCACGACAAGATCTACCCCGCAACCCTCCCACCGATCTCCGTCCCTTCCACATACACAGACTCTACACGAGCAGTGTGTCGGATGGCCATGCAAGCACCCATATCACCCAAACATCCAGGCAGGCCGTAGAAAGTAGCCGCTCCGTGCCCTTAGACACCGGGGCCGACTGCAGGAGACATGCTCTGTCTGCCCTCTGCCTGCTTGGCTGACTGACTCCACCTGGGCTCCCCACCTCTCCTGTCGCGTCCTGTCCAGAAATGGCATATGGGATATGATTGGTGGCTTGTGACTATCCAGTCCTCGCTTCTAGTCGCTTCGAAAAGCCGTGGGGATAAAGGCCCGCACGGAACAGAGATCAAGCTGATCCCTGTTCTTCTTTTTGATCTTGATCCTCTCCCGCTTCATCCTCAAGAAACAAACAGATCCTTCGCCATGCTCTCCATCACCCGTGCCCTCAAGGCCAAGGCCCCCATGGTCCGCCCTGCCGTTAGCGCCCTCGCTATGCCCACGCGTCTTTCCAACACCCGTCTGTACTCTTCCCACAAGGAGATCAGCTTCGGTATCGAGGGTCGCGCAAAGCTCCTCAAGGGTGTTGAGATCCTCGCCAAGGCCGTCGCCGTCACCCTCGGCCCCAAGGGTCGCCATGTCCTCATCGGCCAGCCCTACGGAAGCCCAAAGATCACAAAGGTAAAGCAAAGAGAGATGTTCGGAAGGAAATAAGCATGATCAGCAAGGAGGCAGAGAGATGCCCTTGCTACCCATATTATCCATCTTCTTGCATACTAACAAATACTTCCCATCATCTGACCTATAGGATGGTGTCACTGTTGCCAAGTCAATTACTCTTGAGGACCCCTTTGAGAATCTCGGAGCCAAGTAAGTTTTTGTTGTTGTTTTTTTGCACCTGCTGTTGCAATCTGATTCAGTTTAGGTCCAGATACAGCAGCAGATCGCTGACGATATGCTTCTGCCATGAATATATAGGTTGATTCAGGATGTTGCTAACAAGACCAACGAAACCGCTGGTGATGGTACCACCACTGCCACAGTCCTCACCCGCGCCATCTTTGCTGAGGGTGTCAAGAACGTCGCCGCTGGATGCAACCCCATGGATTTGCGCAAGGGAGTTCAGATGGCTGTCGATGCCGTCGTCGAATTCTTGCGTGAGAACAAGCGCGAGATTACCACCACTCAGGAGATCGCCCAGGTCGGAACCATCTCTGCCAACGGCGACAAGGCTATTGGCAATCTGTTGGCCCAGGCCATGGAGAAGGTCGGCAAGGAGGGTGTCATCACTGTCAAGGATGGCAAGACCACTGAGGACGAGCTTGAGATCACAGAGGGTATGCGCTTCGACCGCGGTTACATCTCACCCTATTTTGTCACCGATACCAAGTCGCAGAAGGTTGAGTTTGAGAAGCCCTTGATCCTCCTCTCAGAGAAGAAGATCTCTATTCTTCAGGATGTCCTCCCCGCCTTGGAGGCTGCCGCCACTCAGCGTCGCCCCCTTCTCATCATTGCTGAGGATATCGATGGTGAGGCTCTGGCTGCTACGATTCTCAACAAGTTGCGTGGTCAGTTGCAGGTCGCTGCCGTCAAGGCCCCTGGATTCGGCGACAACCGCAAGTCAATTTTGGGTGATCTCGCCACCTTGACCGGTGCCGTCGTCTTTTCGGATGAGCTCGACGTCAAGTTGGAACGTTTGACCCCTGATCTTTTGGGAACCATCGGCTCGATCACTATCACCAAGGAGGACACTATCTTGAACGGTACCGGTGCTGGCTCAAACGAGGCCATTGCTCAGCGCTGTGAGCAGCTCCGCTCCTTGATTGCTGATCCTAGCACCTCGGACTATGAGCGCGAGAAGTTGGAGGAGCGTCTTGCTCGCCTTAGCTCCGGCGTCGCTATCATCCGCGTTGGTGGACAGAGCGAAGTCGAGGTCGGCGAGAAGAAGGACAGGTACGCATTGATCCTGATCTGGTTTGAGGTTCAAATCTAATGATGAATCAACCATTTGTTCTAAATGCTTTTTTGCTTTTTATTGTCCCTACCTTTAGAATTGTCGATGCATTGAACGCTACCAAGTGCGCTGTTGACAGCGGTGTGCTCCCTGGCGGTGGCACGGCTCTGCTCAAGGCGCTCAAGGTCCTCGATAATCTCAAGGGCGAGAACTTTGACCAACAGCTCGGTATCAACATCATCCGCTCTGCCATCCAGGTTCCCTCCAAGACCATTATCTCCAACGCTGGTGGCGAGGGCGCTGTTGTGATTGCCAAGGTTGTTGAGAATGAGAACTTCCACTACGGATATGACGCTGCGACTGGCGAGTACGGTGACATGTATAGTCGTGGAGTCCTCGACCCCTTCAAGGTCGTTGTCACTGGACTGAAGGATGCTTCTGGTGTAGCCAGCTTGTTGAGCACGTCTGAGGCCATGATCGTCGATGCTCCAAGCAACGATAAGAACCCCATGGGTGGCATGGGTGGTATGGGCGGTATGGGCGGCATGGGTGGCATGATGTAGACGAGTTTTGTACAGCTATTTCCTTTCATTTTCATTCTTTCTTCGCACATATGCAAAAATAAAGATCGCTCTTGATCAAATTGAGAAGCAAAAAGGAAGTCACGGGTAAACATCCCATTTTAGGGTAAATCGCACCGCATCGCACCCTTTCCGTCTGTTGCTTTCATCGCTCTTCCCACTTCTTGATCGCCCTCATTCTCCTCCAAGACCAACTGTTTCTTGCTCCTTCATTCTTCTTTACAGCTCAAAATGGTACTTGCGAATCCTCTGTGCACATCTAGTGCCGTCTGTTCTTTTATTTTTCTTTTTTTTTGTTGACAAAAACCTCGGGAGCGATTCGCTGTACCATCACTTCAGAGGAAACATACTGACCAAGGACTCTCTCGACTCTATCCATATAGGCTCGTTTTGTCGCTCAGGTTCTTGTTATGGGAACTCAGGTCGTCGGCAAGGCCTTCATGGAGGCCTACCGCCAGGCTGCAGCCAGTACGTTTTTGTGTACACTTTTTGCTTCCATAGGATTGTCGGGAGAGCTGAGCGCCTCGTGAAGCCGTTGTTTAGAATGTTATCCCCAAGCCTATACCCGATCTCTACCTTTTGCACTCTTTGGATTCATTGGGCCTGATTTTTTTCCGCTTGTCTCTGTCCTCTACTTGCTTAGATGCGGCCAAAAATGGAGGGCAGCATGCAGCCAAGAGCGGAAGTAATGCCAGTGGTGGATCCAAAGCCGCGGCGGCGGATGCGCTCACACGCAAGGCTGGCATGACCGTTGACGAGGCCATGAACATCCTGAATATCACTAAGGATGCTGAACTCTCTAAGATCATCAAGGTGAGCTCCAGCGTGACATCAGGAGTTGATGAACTTGCAGGATTTTACAGTGCTGAGCTGGTCTCTTTCCATCAGGACAAAATCTAAACTAACACGCTGTCTTTGTATGTCTTTTATGTATAGAACTACGAGCATTTGTACAAAGTGAATGACAAGTCCGTCAACGGCTCGTTTTACTTGCAGTCAAAAGTCGTCCGGGCCAAGGAGCGTCTGGAAATGGAATGGGCTGCACAGGGTAATCCCATGAAAATTCAGTCCGAGGCTGCAGCAGCAGAAGCAGAGGCAGCAGCGACATCGGGAGCAGGAACAGGAACATCAGAAGCAATAGGCTCAAAATCATCACATCCACCCAATGGAGACAAGCAGGTGTGAACAGACGACGACGTAGTTGGTTCGGGAACGCCTCGCACGACCATACGCAGCTGCATTCACATCATCGACTTCACAGTAATTATATAGTCGCCCTTGGAGCGGAATAGAATCGATTTCCATCTGAATACTGATGCAGGGCGCAAGGTGCAAGGAAAGAATGTCAAAAAGGAACAGAGAGCTTCAGCGAGTGCAGGGCATATCGCTTTTTCGCTTTTTTTGTTTTTTTTTGTTTTGTACATGCGCACAACGTGTCGATATCGTTATAGATTATTCTTGAGAGGACAAAGAGAACCAAGTATATGTCGCATTGCTTTTGCAATGGCACGATTGAAACATAAACGATATTAAGAGAGTATGTGAAGGTCAAATGAAGGGGTGTCTTTTTTATTTCGGCCACGGACAATTTAACAAAAAAAAAGGATAGCGCGAGAAAGAAGAGATAAAAGAAGACTTATGATACAGGATTGGCAATGCACTTAGATCTTCTGCATGGCAGCCATATCCATGGACTGGATGTAATCCTCGCCCTCCAAGATCTTCTCCTCAAGAGTTTCGAGAGAGACGAGTTCATCCTCGATGACACAGTTGATCTGCAACTTCTTGATACCGTAACCGATAGGGACGAGCTTGGACTGACCCCACAAGAGACCCTCCATCTCAATACCACGGACGTGAGCCTCGAGGGCAGCCATGTCGGTCTCATCATCCCAAGGCTTGACGTCGAGGGTGCACATGGACTTGGCAATGGTCTTGGGCTTGAGGGCCTTCTTGGCGGCGTACTCGGCAAGACGCTGCTGCTTGATCTTCTCAGCCTCCTCATCGACCTCATCGTCGTCGGAGCCGAAAAGGTCGACCTCATCGTCATCCTCCTCAGCAGCGGCAGCGGCAGCGGGGGCAGAGCCACCAGCCCTAGTTTTAAGAACAAGAAATAAAAAGTTGGATCGGATATGATTAGAGACTATAATAGCGGATTGATGCGCAAATTGATGCACATCTCTATGCAAATATCGGTGCAGATATGAAGAAACACGTACTTGGCAGAGAGGCCCTTGACCTCAGCGATGTGCTTGTACCAGCGGGCAGCGTGGGGGAAAGCAGCCTCGTTGGGGCCTTCGGTCAAGGCGTTGAAGACCTCAGTGTCCTTGTCGCTGACCTCGTATCTAATTATCAGAAAATCAAAAAACAATTATTAGCGCTAGTCATTGAACACAAGCCATTGAACTGCTATCAAGCCTTTGGTCCAATCCGCGTTGCGGGTTAAAACACGCAAGAAATAGTGGAAAAAAGTGTATTCAGTGTCATATACACAACACGCCCACGCGCAAAAAAATGAAAAGAGTATCCGATGCAGCTGACGTGCATAAACTTCAAGCGTGTCCAATGGGAGATATGTGAATAGAAAAGGAATTCTTCTCGTGTTTTCAGAGCTTGTTGAAAAGCAAAGACATCTCGTGAGAGTTTTTTTCTTTTTGTTTTTTTTTTTTCTTTTCCTTTTTGATTCCGGGTGGAGGGAGGTTATGAGGTGTGTTTTTTTTGTTTTTGTTTTTTTTGCTGCTGTTGCTGGTTTTCGGTTCATGCGGACAAGAGCGAGGACTGATTGAGGACGAAAATGGACAGATAGAGACTTACCCAGCAACATAGGAGCGGGCCTCGAAGAGGGAGTTGAGGATGGTGAAGGCCAAGGAGGTAGAGAAAGAGACAGACATGGTGCGGTGCAGTTGCGGTTGTCGATGTAGGGATAGAGAGGGGAAGGAGAAAGAAGAAAAGAGAAGAAAAAAAATCTTTTAACCCAAACAGCAGGGAAATAAAGGGTTGGCGAATCAACGAGTCAACGATAAACAAACCTGCCCCAGATCCACGTACAGAGCTGTATTGCCAGCCTATCAGCCTATGCATCGGCCCATCACAGCAAAACATCCGCGCCCATGCCCCATTCCACGTACGCCCCATGGACTGGACTGATTCGTTGATGGCGCTGCATTTGCCGCTCTGTGCCACTCATTCATTCACTCATTCGCTCACTCGCTCACTCACTCGCTCACTCACTCACTCACTCCGTCACTCGGACTCATCGCCTACGCCCCCGCCTCCCTAGGCCGCAGCAAGCATATTCATCATTCATCCTTAGCCTATCATGTTCCATCCAACCCGAGGAGGTTAGAAACTAAAAACTTACCAGATATGCGTCTATACACCTGTCAGCTCTCATTGCTTACACACACACACACTTTCTCTCTCACTCACTCAATTGACTTTATCCTCTCATAGGCACGCGCGGTGGTCAGGACCAGTTTAAATGGGAGGACGTCAAGGAAGACAAGCACAGAGAAAACTATCTTGGAAACTCGCTGCATGCAGCCGTGGGTCGGTGGCAAAAGGGCCGTGATGTCACTTGGTATGCAAAAGCCGGCAGCAGCGATAAGGACCTCGCCACCATCCAGGCCAACAAGCAGGCTGAGGTCCAAAGCATCAAAGACGCGGAAGCAGAAGCCATGGCAGAAGCATTGTAAGCTACATGGCCGGTCCAATTGAACGTTTGATTTTGCATACTGCATGACTCCTTGATCTAACCGTCGTACCTGGGATTCAACTGACGGCTGTAGAGGATACAAGACCAAACGCAAGGTCGAGACCAATGTCACAGAGAAGGAGCTCAAGTCCGCAATTAGTAAAACTAACAATGGAGTTCAAGACGAAATGGACGAAAGATTGAAAGATTCTTCTGCAATCGAAGGCCTCGGGTTCAAGTACGTGAATCATTGATCGCAGTCTTCTCTCCCCCTCCTTCTGGTTTTTGATGCGATGGGCCATAGACTTACAGTCATCTCCTTTCAAATACGCACTACACTGTATAGGAATCGTGCACAAAGAATGTATGCTGATAACCGTCCAGAGAACGGATCACGCAGGCCTGCGACAGCAGCGAACGCCACACCCATTGTGCCTTTGATCCCACAAGCTATTGTGCCAGAGGCGAATAAGGTCAAGGCACGAGGAGAACGGTCGTTGAAGGAGCAAAAAGAATCGATCAAGGATGAATCAGAGGCACGCCGCAAGCGACATCGACACGACCGCGACCGGAGCAGAAGCAGGGAACGGAGCAGAGACAAGGAAAGAAGGAGCGACAGAGACAGGGGAAGAGAAAGGGATGGACGCGGTTCATCCAACAAGGGCCATCGCGAGGACAAGCGGCGCAGGGATAGGAGCGGGAGCAGGAACAGAGACAGAAGCAGAAGCAGGAGTCCAGAGAGACGGACCCGCGACAGGGACCACGGACATTCGCGACACGACCGTAGTCCGCGTCGGGAGCAGGAACGGGAGCACAGGAATGAACGCAGGCATCGCAACCGTAGTCGCAGCCGAAGCTAAAGCCGTAGCTGGGCGTGAGAGTAGCGGTGTTTTTCTTTGCTCCACGTAGTAATGAATGGAAACTGTATTTTATTTGCCTCAAAATGCACTATTAAAAGCGCTTGCATGGTAGACTATGGTTCACCACAGCGCTCTCCCACTTCTCTCCTTCTTGCCTTCCTTGCCTTCCTTGCCTTCCCTGCCTTCTAAAAGCAATGTCGAAACTCGAATCGCACGAATCGCGCGAATCGACCGATTCTCATGCTGCTACATCACAGTCGAAACCATCTCCAGCCTGGTCGTCCTATATCTCGGCTATCACCGTCGGCCTCTTGTCATCCTCCTGTTGCGTGATCCAGCTCGTCCTCAATGCCATGTCCATAGGCTGCGCCGGATTCTCGGTCTTGACCCCACTGCGCCCAATCTTTGGCACGCTCTCTTTCCTGCTGATGGCCTATACTACCTACAAGTATCGGCTTTCTTCAAGAACAGCACTCACGATGGCCATCGCACTGATCCTCACCCTCAGTCCAGAAGTCGTGTCGGTCTATAACCAATCGGCTCCGGGGTCACTGCAACTCAATGGCGGTGACGCCGTCTCTGGATGGGCCTTGCAGCCGCTCGTACAAATGTACTACAAGACTGGCTTGGCACCCTTTCCTCGCAGCTGGTACAAGAGTCCAACAACCGAGCAAGAGGGATCCAAGAACGCTTTGTTGCAAATGGCGGTACCGCTCATGAAGTACGAGGTGCAGATCGATGGCATGGCCTGTGAGGCGTGCGCGAATCGTCTGCGCCAATATTTTATTAGCCGCCCAGGCATTGAACATGTGCAGGTATTTTTTGAGGACAAGAAGATGGTAATGTGGACGCGGTCGGGTCCAAGTGTACTCCTGCTCTCGGAAAGGAGTATCCAAGATATGGTGACACAGGTCGATAAAAAGTACTCAGCAAGACTCCTTGAGATCTACTCTGATGCCAAGCTGGACGAAAAATAATGCAACGTGCCAAGACGCTCGTTTTACTGTAATTACTGTAGAGTTATGGCTGTGTGCATCTCCACAGTGTCCTTGAAACAGTCGGTCAAAAATAAACGTCGATTTGGTGGCACAGCGAACAAACATCTCTCCTCCTCCTCTTCCTCAATCACTCATTTCATTGATCCTTCTTGATTCGATGGCGGAGGAATGGCGTTTCTTTGGCTGCACTCTCCGGGATATCGATAGCCAGCTGGGGGCACGATGCCGAGCGACATTGACGAGCGGGAAGGAATACACGGGATATCTATACACAGTCGATCCTGAAACACAGACTGCCCTCATACTGCTACGACAGTCTCAGGAACCAGACCAGAAACAAAGTCAGGAACACCACTTCCAAAACCAAGGTCAGGATCAACCACAGAAGCAGCAAAGTCTGGATGGCGAGCAGCAAATTCAAGCACCAAGTGAGGATCAAAAACATATGCTATGCCCCACGGGGCTAGATGAAAGAGTGTTATGGACTATAGTTGCAGTGCGCCAGCATGCTTTAAAATCGTGGATGTGTCCAGGTACAAGTCTTATGAACTATTGCAACCATAATCCATGAGATAGAAATGAAGATCCTAAAGCATTTTTTTTATTTTTTTCTTGTGCTCCAGATGGCAATACTTCAGACCGTCTTTCCTTGGAGGAAATGGATACAATTACCCATATCTCCTCGGGGCTGAGCAGCCCAACAGTGATCCAGGCCCGAAAAGAAGCCTTGGTGGAGATGTTGCGATCAGTAGGTGGACTTGTTCGTGCTTGAGATACAACAGGCTCTCCTCTTGCCAATACCAATGTCAAATGGCGGTGCCGCTACCTGTGTCAAGACTAATATCCTACTTAATGAATAAAATCAAATAGAAGCGGATCCCATTGGAGACAACGGCAGATGATCCTGTTGTTCACATCATGACGAGTGCACATGTTCACCCTCCGTATCTGGCTCAGTCGGTCGAGTGTCCAAACGAGGTGGTTCGCGAACGTGTCAGGGCCATGGTCCAGGGGCTGCAGCAAGGCTGAGCGTGACTATTGACGCAGTTGCCAGGCACCCTGATTCCTGCGTTCCAGTGGTTCCTGGATATATATATTTATATATATATAGCAAACAAGTGGGCTATACCACAGACCACTGTCATTGGAAATAAAACATACATTGGGACCATCATGTCATCAATCAACCTTAAGCTGTAATAGCATATGTCACATACTTTCGGGATATAATCCTTTCTTTCTTCCTTCTTTCGCTCTTTCTTCCTTTCTCACCTTCTCACTTTCTCACCTTCTCGTTTTCTTCTCCCCTTCCTCCCTCCCTCCCTCCAGCTGTCTCTTCTTTGCCTTACTCCTTATTAATTCGCCATCAATACTCACACCCCTCTAACGGCTTCACACCCCTCCCTCCTTCTTCCCTCTAGGGACAGACACCATGGCACACTATCCACCGCCGCAATCACAGCAGCACCAATACCCTCCAGCTCCTCACTATGGTGGTCAGCCCCAGCCCTACTATCAGCCCCAGCAGCAGCAGCATCAATGGGGTCTGCAGCCCCAGCCCCAGCAACAGTACTTTTCCCCACAGGGACAGCCCATGACTGGGGTCATGCCCCCAGCCTACGATGGCTCTGTCAATCCAGAGACCGGTCTGCCCACAAAGTTCAACCCCAAGCCAAAGTACAACGACCTCTGGGCGCTTCTCTTGTTCCTTGTTCAATTGGCTGCCTTTGTAGTCCTGTCCTACTTTGCCATCAGCAGGGTCAAGGACAACAACGATACTAGGGGTCCTGGAAACAAGCCTGCTCTCGGCTTCTTGACCCTCCCTGGTTTGATCACTCTCTTCATCTCCATCGGTGTCGGCGCTGTCTTCAGTATTCTCTACTTCTTTGTCACCCAAGCATTCCCTCGCCAAGTCATTAAGGTCAGCCTCAGTCAGTCAGTCAGGCAGCCAGGCCATATCTCCTTCAGTGGAAACTTGCTGTTCCTGACGATCATCTTCGTTCTGTTCCTGAACAGGTCACCTTTGCGATGAGTATCATCCTCTACTTGGCAGTTGCAGTATACTATCTCTACCGTCAACTGTGGTTGCCCGGTATCATCGGAGCAATCTTCGGCGTCATCTACGCTACTATGTGGTGGTTCTGGAGGAGCCGCATTCCCTTTGCGAGGTAACAAATTTGTCACTGTTTTTCTTTCAAACTGTGGTATTATCTCGTCTCGCGGAATGTTTCATCATGCAGCGGAAGGGAACACTTTTATCTGGCTATTTTCAGGAGAAGGCGAGAGGATGATGTGTTGGGTCGAAGAAAAACACTTCCATGTCTGGTCTGCTATTTGGGCTGTTGTCGCAACCGGAACATCAAGCCATGCCCTGCATTTCTCATTCTGGTTATTGTGCTCGCACTCACTTGGGCCTTCACACATCCCTATTGTTATATCCAACTCTACATTTTCGTCTCTGTATGGATACATGGTACCCACAAAAGCGATTGGGGACTCACGATGATTATATCATCATCAAGCAAGGAGTTAATATACTGTACCTAGCCTTCTCAAACACTTCGCCTTCCTTTCGCTATTATCGGCCTCCGTCGGCCTGAAACGGATGAGCATTGTGCAATCAATTCTTGTCCACGATCTCTAAACTGTGAACGCTGGTTTACAGATTTTTTTACTTTTTTTCTGAGCATTTTCTTTGATTGCTTTGTATCCGCTCGGAAGAACCTTCGCCAGCTGCAGCATCGTCGTCCTTAAACCAGTTCCTCCTCAATATCAGGATTACGCGACACGCAGATAATACAAACTAACCGCTCCGCTTTATTGTTTTATTGCGCCAACTATACAATGTAGTGTGATGCTGTCAACCGTGACCTCGATCTCCAAAGCGTACCCTGCAACATTCGTTCTCTCATTCCTGGGTCTCTTCCTCCAGATCGCCTACAGTATCTACTTTATGACAACCATCGCAGGAACCTTTGACCTCTACTACGACACCACCACCAACTCGATTCCGACAAAACTTCAGGTCCTCATCGTCTTCTGCTTCTTTTCGTTCTACTGGACATCTCAAGTCCTCGAGAACATTGTGCACACGACCATCTGCGGCGTCTTTGCGACCTTTTATTTCATGAAGGGCTCACCTCAGGGCATGACCAAATCACCAACAGCAGAGTCCTTTAAGCGAGCCTGCACGACCTCGATCGGCTCAATCTGCTTTGGATCACTTATTATCGCCATCATCCAGACACTCAGGGCCATCGCAAATATGGCTCGCGGGGACGGCGACGGAATCATGCAATTTATCGCCTGTTTGATCGACTGCCTCCTAGCCTGCCTACAGGGACTTGCAGAGTACGTCAATAAGTATGCGTTTGCGCAAGTCGCGATCTATGGAAAGCCGTATATTCGGGCAGCAAAGGATACATGGCACATTTTGCAGGACCGCGGCGTGGAACAGATCATCAACGATAACCTGATTGGAAACGTCTGGGGCATGGCTGCGATCCTTGGGGGCGTGCTTTCTGGATTAGCGAGTTACCTGTACCTGCGTTTCGCAGACCCGAGCTTCAACATCAATGGCCAATTTACGGTAATTATCGTCGTCATGGGCTTTGTGATGGGACTCCAGATCGTCTTCACGGTCGGCACAGTCATCGACAGTGGTGTGGTCGCGACCTTTGTCTGTCTTGCAGAGGATCCCGCCGCCTTGGCCAGGACCAAGCCAGGTATGTCGGCGCTTTCGTCTCCTTTTCTTGTATCCCTTGTCCAACCTCTATTGCATGGTTTTGACATTCTTGTTGTAATCTTTGCGTATTGTGCTGCAGAATTATTCGAGAGAATCCGTGCCACTTGGCCCGCGGTAGTTCAGGTACGAGGCGACTCCTTCTATACACATTTCGAATTGATAGCTGCTGTCATTGAACCGCACATTGCTAACGTTCCTTGTAATATCTTTTGCGCACATGTAGGGCGTCCATTACTGAGGTCATGTCTAGTTCTCTCCCGTTGCTTGTGTAATCCAAATAAAAAAAAAATCACTTAATCTGAGTTTTCAGTGCAGCGGCTCTGACCAAAACTATAGAGAATCATTTATGGAGCATCATGAAGATGAGTTGAAAAGTTGAATACGACGGTGTTAGCATGGACCAAGTATTTATTAGAGGTTCACACCTTCCTTAGTTGAAGCATTAGATCGGTCACAGCCGCTTGATCCAACGACCAAAATGTTTACTGCTAACACCTCTGTTCTGATATTGAACGACCCAAGGCCTACAGTTGGAGCATCGGGTAGGGGCTGCACAGCTTAAAAAGAGAATGCGAGGGAGTATGAGAAGATTCAGAGGAAAGGGTGCTAGGAAAAAAAAAAAAAAAAAAAAAAAAAAGAACGGTGAAGAGATATTCGGATGCGTTTGCATCGGTGCTAGAACGCAGGGACTAAGACGCATTCATACGTCGTTTTTTCCGATGTATCTTCCTAGTGATGGACATGTAACCACAAGACACCTGGACACTTAACATACTGTTCTGGCGGCATGTATTTTTCAGATTCACGGGTATTATTGTGGTGCGAGAGGAATCACCGCCCTGGAGGGTCCTGCCTCATCCTCGCCTGCAAGCGTAACTCTCTGCTGGAGCCTACTGTTGTCACTATAAAACGCGTGTCAACCGATAAGGTGGGAAATACGAGATTTCCTGATGGTATCTGGCAGATTCAAAGTGGCCTGATGTAGCTCTTTTGCAAGTCCAATAAAACACCGCCCATTGCCATCTAAACGAATATATGATATACAGGGCATTCTTTTATATATATTTATGTGTGTATATATTGCAATGCTTGCTAAAGTACATGTACAGAATTTGGCAAAATTAGTTCGGCTTGAAGGGCCGGGCTGCGGGCTCTATGAAAATGAAGGGATGGAGGTATGAACAGGGGCTCGGCTAGGGATAGATGGATCTATAGCCATGTCGATCGATGATAATGCCTGTTGTTGTTGCTGTGAATGCTGCTGTTGTTGTGGCTGCTGCTGATGATGCTGTATCTGCTTTTGAGCTGCCGGCTGCGCTATTGCCATCCCTGCCGGTGTCATACTCGACGACGCAGCCGGCAGGAGCTGACTCCACTGGAAATAATCATCATAAATTAACGAGTTCTGCTGGTTCAGCAATGGCTGCATATCCCGCTGCAACTGCATCTCCTGCCGCTGCTGCTGCTGGTGATGAAGTTGTAAGTATCGAACAAGAGAATCGGGAGTTGACTGCATCTCTGCAAATGCATCGTCCGACATCATGAACGAATGCAGACCCGGAGAGATATTCTGTGTTGAAGATGGACTCTTTGAGTCCCGGGGTACATGGCTTCCAGTAGAGGACATGTCCGATCTGTTGCTGTCGAGGCTTGTCAGCATCATTGAAGTTGAGGAGGCCGACGCGCCTGGTCTGCGTGCCGCAGGCGATGGTCCAGAGTCGGCACCCAAAGATCTAGGTCTTGGTTGTTGCAACTGCGACTGAGGCTGAGCTCGAGATAATGCCGACATTGATGACAGGGCAGCTGACGATGGTCCAGAGGTGTTGCTCATGTTGGGCGTGCTATTGCTATGATTCTGCTCCATCATCATCGGCGTCATCTGGAAGGAGCTCGACAAAAAATTCAAGTCGCCGAGCGGCATCGCAAAGTCAAAGATCGAATCCGTGAGCTCGGCCTGTACCCTAGATGAATTATTCTGACTGAAGCTACTGCCATAAACAAGGGGCGGACCAAATCCTGCACCTGAGAATGCTCCTTGCTGATGTTGCTGATGTTGGGGTTGAAACGGCATCATCGTTTGTTGCTGATGTGCGGGAGCAGAGGAAGATGGTAAGTACGCAGATGAAAATCCACCAGGTGGTCCGAATGCAAGGGAAGATGACACAGAGGCCTGTTGCCGCTGTTGTTGGAGTTTTTGATGTTGCTGTTGAATATTGGCATTTTGTCGCATATTGATAGCTTGGGAAATCGTCTCCTGTTGTTGATGTTGTTGAGAGTACAGGCTCATCAAGCGCTGGCCGACATCACCCTGTGCGGGGCTAACAGAGGATATTATCGGGTTGCCTGGTTGAAGAAGCATAGGTTCCATCATGTATGCATCCTGTGCTCGGAGCTGTTGGAGTTGCTCTGGTTGCTGCAGCAAAGCATGTCGGTATGTCTGATTGCCTTGCAAACTCGACGCAGGCTGACCAATGGGCTGTCTTTGGTCCTCCTCGACTCTTGACCATGTTCCTGTGTTAGTTGGGGATCTGACCGAGGCCGAATTGGAGTGGTAGGTGTTCTGTTGCGCTACCGGCTGCGGCGGCTCGGCCACACTTGTAGCGGGGATGGTGCTTGTCCTGCTTGTTCTCGCCTGCTTTGCTACTCTAGGATTCGCAAAATCATCTCCCTCGGTTTGCCGCTTCTCCAGGGCAGAGGATTCTATCTCCGCATTGTTGACGCCCTCATGCTGAGACAATTCATCATTTTGCTGCTTCTGTTCTTCCAGTATCTTTACTTTCCATTGCCGTTCAAACTCCTGGTTAATTTCCTGAATCTCGAGCTGATTCATCCGATTGCGCTGCTCCCGCAAATCTTTCTCTGCCTGCTCCTTGTCGTTTTGATCCTGAACGACAACAGGTTGAATTTTACTCGGCCCCTCGGGCGTCGCAATCCTTCGTTTCTGCTGATTTGCTTGGTCAATCACCTGCATCTCTGTGGCACGTCTCCACAATGCGATCAAACCCGAGTCGCTCTTGAGAAAAGAACTGATGGACGCCAGCTTGCTGTTGACTACCATCCGTGGAGCCACAGCCTCGCCCTCCAGTCCTTGACGCTCTTTCTCCTCGTCCTTTTCAGGAGCATCACCAGCGCGGGGAGCCTCCTTGGCCTTCAAGGCATTCGCCGCACTGTCCGCTGCATAGTCGCGACTGCATCCGTGAGCGTTGTGGGAGACCACCTGTGGCACAATGATTCCCCCGCCTGCAGCCGATGAGCTGATCTTGGACTGAATCGAGTACAGGTCGCGAATAATGTAAAAAAATTTGTCCGCCATGGCCCAGTAAGTCTTCATAGTCTGCAGAATCTTCACGTGAGTGCTCAAGTTCCTGCGCGCCTTTGATGCCACTGCAAGGTCCGACGCGAATGCGTTTGTGATATGACTGCATACGATAGTAGAGATAGTAAGTTAGAAGCAGAACAACAAGTTCCAAGCGAAAGCAATAACGATACATTCCTTACATTGTGGCGGTAGTAAAGACTGGGTAGGCAAAGAATGAAGAGATGTATATCCGAGGAGGATAGTTCTGCGCGCTGACAAAGTCCAAGACCTCTGAGACCTTGGAAGCTGCCTCAGCGCAGCGAGCGACAGAGTTGTCGACGAAATTCGGGTCCATGGGAAAGCTGGCCTTGTCTGCAGCGAGGATGGGTCGATGAAGCAAGACGACTGATGTGTGGTATATGACGTGCATGAAGATGATGATGCATCCTTCATTTCTATCCTTGAGCATCCTGGCGTTCTCGGGCGAGTAGATCAGGTGAGAAGGGATCGACTGAAGCCATGCAGCAAGTGCCGCGTCGATGATAGAGAATTCAGATCCAGGCTCGTTTGGTGGGATCGATTTTTTAGTCCTAGGGCGGTTCACGTACTGCGAAACTTTGCCAAGCACGGCGAGAATCCTGATAAGGTACGCAAACGAGCTCAGGCTATGGCCCTTGGGCCGTGGTTTGTCCTGTTCAGCCTCCGCAGAAGACTCGGATGGTGGTGTAGCCATGCCATTCGCATCCGTGCCTTGGTCGTCAGGTTGCCTATCTTGTGAACTCTGTCGTTGTTCCTTGAAAGACTCCGTGCTCGTTTCAGGACCCTGATCGTCATCCAGCATCTCAGTGACTACTGGCCTAGCCTCATGCCAGGCATTGTCCTCGCTCGGAAGCAAGACCTCACAGTCGCGCTCGTCAATCATCCTGGGCCGACCTGATGATGAAGAGGAAAGCACGTCCATGATAAAGCACGCCCAAAACGTCCTGCGCCGCGTCTCCCGCAGCACCCAGTCGCCCTTGAGATAAAAGACTGGACTGCTGTCCTCGCGATTCAGACCCAACTCCTGTGCCATGCGTATAGCCATGCCTCCAAACATCCATGCGCGCGGACCTCTCGCGGCCCCATATTCGTACATGGACAAAAACAGTAGGGCCTGAACGTTGGATACGGTAGGTATATCTACCGAATCAACAATGGAAGCACGGACGTTCGTTGCAAAGGGCTCACCAGCAAGGAAGGGCGGGGTCGTGACAACATCGGGATGGTTTGAGAACCGAGCCACACCAGCACAGATACCGTTCAACAGGTTTGGGGAGACCTTGCCCTCCCTGTATTGCTTCATGAACGATCCTGGATGGACGATCGGGAACTGGTAGTAGACAGAGTCGAAGAAGAGCTGGATGAGATGGTCGAGAATGTCCTTGCGTGGGACCTCGTCCTTGATGCCGTAGATAGGTCTCTTGGCGGCGGTGATGGAGGCGCGTTGATCCGATCTGATGGCGTTGGGTTTAACGTTGCCGTAGTTCTGAACCATGGGGTGAGTCAGCTTTGAGTCAGTGTCTGCGTAGTATCCAAGAGCCGAGGACCTGCCAAAGTAGCGTGCGTCAGCGGCTGCTGGCGGCCCGGCCGTCGACTCGGAGTTGTCATCCTCTTCCTCCGAAGCGGATCGCAGCGAGACCTTGAAGTCGGAGTCTATTGCTGCAGGACCATGCTGCAGCATCTTTTCCATCTTGTCGAGACGCTTTTCGAGCAATTCGATATACCCCTGACGAGGACCCCTCTTCTTCATCGACGGCAGATATGTGCAATGGATGTCGATTTTTGCGCAATTGGCACAACTGGGCTTAAGACCGTCTGTTTAATACAATAAAGATAAGTTAGTAGGCAATCGAAAGGCTGAGTGTATGCATAGACATGTTCAATTGACGAGGCGAAGCAAGGAGGTCCGAAAGGGCGTTCGGTTGCCCTGCGGCCCTCTTCAATCCCAACACAGATGATATAAAAAGATAAAGAACAAGGCGGACGTACCGCACTTTATCTTTTTCTTGCGACAGGGGTCGCATGCTTGTGTGAGTCGTTTACGTTTGATGGGGGTAGATCCGCCCGTGGACCGAGAGGGATGGTCGTCCTCGTCGCGGTCCTGGTCTTGGTCGTTGTCATGTTCGTGGTCGTTATCGTGGTCGTCATCATGGTCGTGGTCAGCCTGGTTGCTGTCGTGACGCTGGCTCTGCGGTGGGCTATGGGTTGAGGGGGTGTGCTTTGCCATAGTGATTGATGGATTGGGTCCAGGAGGGGTGGGTTCTATCGCCAGGGAACAGCTGGTGTCAATACAGACAGAACCAGTGTAGTGAGCGTTTGATAAGGGCGGGCAATTGGGAGTGAAGCGGTCGAGTGGGGAGGCGGGGAATATGCCCAGGGGCGAGGAAGAAGTGGAGGAGAGTACAGTAAGGTGTAGCCAGAAGAGAGTGCGATGTGTATGTCAGTAAAGTGATGGGAAGACGAGCGGGGGATGAGAGTGAGGAATGAAGTGGGAATGGGCAGCGGATTGAGATTGGAGTCTACCAGCCTACCAGCCAGCCAACGCCAATGATTGGACGCTTAAAATGTGTTGCCGCATCTAAAAAAGGGAAGAGCTGCGCTGCGGTCGGATGGTCGACTCAATTGCATCGACAGGGGCCGGCGTGCGCAGCGGCCAACAGCACCCAAGGTACAGCTTTCTGCAGTCTGGAGTGCGAATACATCCAAGAGGAGAGATGGGTGCCCCTCGGTTCTGGATACTGTGTGGAACCTGCTGAAGACCATCTTACTTTTGGTAACAACAGCCTGAATTTGATGGCATCCCACACGGCGCACCAGCCAGCTTTATAACCTTACTCGTTCGACCAACTCAAGTTTGTGCTCCATTGCAAGGATTTACGCTTTGTTGCTGATTGCGGCCGTCTCAAGCGTGTTTATTTGTTGAAGATCCTTTGGAGACGAGCAAAGGAAGAGAGCCACCTTTACAGTTCTGTTGCTACATCAGACCATCTTCGTCCCTCATCCCGTTCTTAATCTCCAGCAGTATGGAGGTCTTCCAGTGGTCCAGCTTAAACTTGTCAGTGTATTCCATAACCACAGTCGTGTACTGTTCCGCATCCCCAGCATCTAATGCATCCATCATGTCCTGTCATATCACGCAAGCAAGTCATTGTGAAGGCAGAATGAGTGCCATTGAATGGATGTGCAGTGCGACAACATAAAGGAGAATAAGCCGAACGCTTACTTACATTAAGAAATCTCATTTCACGAGTAGTACCGAAACATACGTCCACGCAAGAATAACGACCGATGGATGTTCTTACTCGTGCGATGACCTATTCAGATTCTACCAGTTAGTGCATCAACCCTTAGACCTTGAGCTATACCGGCAGCGACAGGTGTCACTAAAGCGCCGTGTTATTTCAGTTACCCCTAGAGCGAGGTAGCAGAGTCCTGTACTGAAGCAGTGCAGCTGGAAAGAGGTACTCGTTACAAAGCTCATCAAGGATTCCTGCGCAGCCTTTTCAAAGTTTTCAATCGCACTCTCGTATAGCTGGAGCATCGCTGCAATTGATCCTGCCTTAGCTAGACATCCGCGAGTTGTCCTATCATTGTTGGGAATAACTGGGGTCAAGACACATCCGACAATCCTCTCGATTACGGCGACAGAAGAAACTGTGCAACATACGCAGGGCTGTCTTCGGTGGTGTAAAATTCGGCTGCAGTCTCGTAACATGACAGTGCCGTGGATAGATCGTCCAACTCTGTCTCATAAACGAGGGCGATATCCTTTTGCAAATCGGCAGCCTTGCTATAATTTTCCATGCTGACACTCATCATGATCAAAATTTTTACGACGTGGATATGATCTGAGAATGCGTGTTAGAAATCAAGGCCTAGATCGAAAGAAGAGAGTTGGAGGTAAAGGTGGATCGAAATACTTCCTGTATTAAGACGGCTGTTACACATACCATAGGGAGTCGAGCACTTCCGATAACTCACTGCGGCCTTAAGATAAGCACCTGCCTCCAATGAGGGATCAGAGGGATCAGAGGGATCAGAGGGATCACTCTTTTTATACCAGTCGGAAGCCTTACAGTAGGCATCTCCAGATTCTTTCCCTAAAAAAAAAAAAAAGGCAGGGTAAGCGTGTAAACAGCTGAATAAAGAAAGTGTCGCGTCAAGAGGAGCCATCGCATGCATATCAGTACACTGCTTGCTGTTCTTGTAGGCTTCAGCTACCACGGTGTAAAAATCGCCCATGGCCTCCTGGTGGTCGGATTCGGTCTCGTAGAACAATGGGCCCCTTGCCAACTTTTTCTCGGCCAACTCCTCCAGTTCCGCACCAGTTAGTACACGTTCCTCAGACATAGACGGTAATGAATATGTGTAAGAGAAGAAGCAGTGGAAATGAATATGGAGGAGCTGCTTTCGGCGATTGAAGGGAGGAAGGGGGCTTTAACCACAGAGCACTCTTTTTATACAAATAGCAGCTCCTCGGAGACCATTCACATCGGTCCAACCAGCTTTAGTAATCGTGAACCTTCTCTCATACGCTCTCACTCGACCTCACTGTTTATTTAGAAACACCATCTGTGTTATTGCATTCTGGACGGCGAAGTTCGCTAAACTACATAACTCCCGTGAACAGAGTAAAGATATAGACCGATATAGCAAAGTCGCAGCATTTCCCATACATCTTACATGCTCTCCGGCATGGCAGGCGAAATCATCTATTCACTGTGCTTATCTGCAGCGTAAACGCGTGCTCTAGGAGGTCGTTGAATGGTTCCCCAGCCCAGGTTACCTTCAAAAGAGGCTCAACGATTCCTTTGAGATCGTGTGCATAAAGGCGGTGCACTAATCTCAGGTATCTACGTTTCCCTCTGACTCGACATCATTGTTAAAAAATGAGGAGCATGATAGAAAGCGAGTAGTCATAGGCAGATTCCAATAACCATGCAAGTTGAGGCTATAGGATCCAAAGCCCAATTGCTGTACCTCTGCCCAGTCTTTATTTCAGATATTCCTGGTGCATGCCCATAGACTACTGTACGTATGAGGCCCAGTATAAAAACTTAGTGTTATTACATAGTATTTCGGACGCCGTATGCCTCGAGTAGGACTAACTGAGGACGATAGATGGTTTGGAAAAGAAGAGTATGTTGGGTTTGATCATCACGAACACATTGTGTTCATATTCAAAGTCAAGTCCTCCTTCATTTCGGTCTCCTTGTTATATGCATCAGTAAAGACATGGAGCTCTTTTTGGCAGTGGGACGAGGCGCGGTAGAGGTATTACGGAATAGCGAGTAGGAAAGAAGAAGTGAGCTTGTAACGGTAACAATTAGACTGAGCTGGCACCATATATCAGGACTGCTCGAGCTATGTTGGCTGTTGGAGGCTCGTACGCAGTTCTAAACGGTCATGGGATGGGAACATGAAAGCAAAACGGTCAAAGACAATATGGTAGTCGTGTACACTTCTATGACTTGAGTTGCTACGCTTCTCTATATCTCTCCAAGATGAATGTTATTATCAACAGCAGAAATATCTTGTATAGCCCACTTGAAGCGAGAGGGAACAGATATCACTTGAATTCTTGAGAGCAGAGACGCTTAAGAAATGGAGAGCACAGGACACTTGGGCGAAGCAGAAAAAAAAAAGGCAGTGACATGGACCTCATTTTTTTTCCGCCAGGTACACGCTAGATCAAGAAACGAAGAATCAAAAAACGACACCATCCAGTTCTACCGTAGCCTTTGTGTGCCCAGCGCAATACTTAAAAACTTTAATAATAAGCTTGCTTTATTATTATACTTAAAACCTGTATGTATGCTTATTTCCGCAAACAGTCTGGAAAAACATACAATTGATGTTCGCTTTTTCCCGCTGGATCATGGCTTATTGTACCTGACGAACCGGGTTGATCAGTAGGGCGTGTTGGGCTTCACCCTTCTCCAGGGAGAACCGCACCTGGCTAGGCGAGGTAGGTAGCGCCAAGGGGGAGCAAGCCCGTCCCACGATCGAAATATCCTCCATCGCTCTATGATGTAAACACTTGCGGCAGTTCCTACAAAAAAGAGATTCCGGTTTAGTAAATCGGTCTTTCAGTGCAATTTTCTTACCTTGAATGTTAAAAATGGGTGGGCATTTCAAATCGAAATTCTGCAATGACAGCAGGATACTCTCATTGAACTTGGCATTCTTTCTCAGCTGAATCGCCACGTCCAACGAACTACACGAACTTTGTTTGGTTTGAGGTTCCCCACCTCGACACCATCGACATTCAGGATGCAATCGCACTTGCGTGCACTTGACAACGCGCTTGCGGCCCAGCCTTGTTCACCTCTCTGAAGATCGGACGACTGCAAGAAACCAAGTAAGAAGAGACATTAGCGCAATATAATTCAGTTGAACACTGTATGTGTACACGAATCAGCAAAGCAGTGACTTACAAGTGCAAACTCAGGCAGGAGTCCAGAGGTAATCCATCCTTAAAGATGAACGTCCACAGCAACATGGCATCCGTCTCAGACTGCCTCTTTCGTCCCGAGAGTAGTCTAACGACATTCATGAGACTATAACATGTGACGTGCTAGTGTACGCTGGCAGAGAGTATGAACAAAAAGCAAGGCGCTTCCTAACTCCCACTTGCGAGGACTTCTGAAAACGATCTTTCCTCAGGAGATAGAGCAGCTGTCTTTCCGAAATACTATGACATCAATACAACATGTTAGACAGGTATTCACGAACACGACACTAAATAGGGTGAGAAACAGAGCACGTACCAAGTTTATAGCAGACTCGATGAGATCATGCCAAGAGCCTCGACCTTGAGCCTGGTTGCATTGTGGTCGGTATCGGAAGTCGCTCTACCACGCTTTTTCGAAGGCTTACGTGGCGTTGGGAGCGTCTTAGGGCATTTGGAGACAGCTATGGCGTGAAATATATTATACTAAGACAGCGACAAAAGACCGTGAAGCAGTTTCGAATCTTTGTACCTGCGGAACAGCCCAGGGCGCCGTCATCCTCAGGCCTTGTGACAGAGATCGTCGTGGCTGCTGTGGTTGATTCCTTGAATTCGCCATTGGTAATAACGGGCTGATGCAGATCAAAAGGCTGGCGCAGGTCAGAATGCTGGTATGAGTATGTGGGCTTGTGCAGCTTGGTTGTTGTTTGCCACAGATCGAAGGGCTTGTGCGGGTTTGTAGGTTTGCGTAGAGCAGCATGCGGGGGTGTATCGGTTGGCTCGCGTGGGTCTATGAGTGCACAAAAGTCGATTGGTGGCCACTGATCAGCTGGCTCGCATGGATCTGTGGACTAAAAAGAAAGAAAAGAAGAGCGGGTGAGCGTGTGTGCCTCAAGAAGGCGAGGAGGATAGCTCAGGTCAAGGGCAGTGAAACGGCTAGATGGCTCAACATAAAGCGCTTGCTGCAGGCTGTCGAAGGGCGAACATCTCAAGTCGACGTTCCTGAGGTGTAAAAGTGACAATGGTCAATGGTGAGGAATGCTGGATTATACCTGCGCTGAGTCTCTTATAGGCGACTTTTGCTGTTGCCATTGACGTGGGAGCGAATGGAGGGCGACGCTGGCAGCGACAGACTCTCTCGATGATTCGTATGATTTGAGATCAAACAAATCCAGTTAGGAGCACTGCCGTTTAGCTGTGATGGATGTTCCTGAATATCTGACATGGACTAACAGTATCTTCTTGATTTCAAGGCTTGAGCGATACAGGTTGCTTCCAACAGCGACAGAATACACCGATTCCGAAACCCGCATGTCTTCGTGTGCCAACAAGCTTCGCTCCCTTTAGTCTTGAGATATGTGAAGCAGTCGGAGATATATGCGTGGACGGCCATCTTTCCATCTCGGCTGATATCAAACAACCCCTGAGTGAACTCCTCCAGGTCGAGAGCTTCGTCCCATTTAGCAAACTTGGAGGGATTCTCATCCTCGGCAGGCACCAGCTTGAAGAACCCAGGCACTGTCAACGACGAGATTTCGACGGCGTTGACGGCATGGGGTTTCTTGACAGTAGGGTACATGACTGTTGGATCGGACGGAGTGTCAGAGCATGAATATCACGGAAGGGTGACTTAATTATCCTGGTTTTTTATTATCATGGTGATGGAGACATCCTCCTCTCCTTCATCCTACATTGACTCCATCGCCACTTCAAGTTGTCAGCATGTGTGCCAGGAAAGTATTCTGCAAGAAGCCTTAATCGATTACTGCCCTCACTTGATCTCGCCTCTGTTATTACTTTGTTTCTGCTTGGGCCTGGGCAGACCTCCGTTTGCGGTCTCTGGAGAGCTGGAATTCTCGTAAGACGTATTTCTGCGGGCCCCTTCTCTCCATCGGCCAAGTGGTTCTGGTCTAGCCGTATTGCAGGCTAGAGCCAAAGGTAAGTACCCTCATTCAGAAATACGCATCCGGGATTAGGAAGAGGTGTCCTTACCGGCTTCAAACCCTCCTGTACGTTTATGTTTGAATATTGAAGACTTTTCCGTATGAATAACTGCCATCCTTACGTATAGAGCGGCACTTGTATCAGTCCACGGAATAAGCGATTATAAGCGCCCTTTGCGACAGCTCATTATGAGCTGAGTCTGTATCATGATCTGATCGACAGCTATCGTGGATATTTTCTCGCGATTTAGACGTGTCGAACTTATTGAGGAGGCGTGATCAGTTCTTGAGTGGCGGAGCCTGTTCATCGCGTCAAATGATGTTCTAGTTACACCCATGCATACGATCCAAGTAACCTGATAATACTACGAGATGTAGAATCTGATTAAAACATAAAGCACCATTGGGGTTGTTAGTAAGTAGGAATTTAGATCAAATATCAGAGGGTAGCAATGTAGGTAGGGGCATTGCATATTCCGTGTACCCCCCCTCCCCTTACATTTTACCATAAAACATGTCCGTTGAAAGGACAGTTGTACTGTGGTGAAAAAAAAAAAAAAAAAAAAAAAAACGACCGAAAAAACGCATAATGGCAGAGAGATATGCAGAAGGATCGAGGTAGGAGAACACTATCAACTATCCTCGGAACATCTGCAGCTCACAGTACTCTGCAGTTTGAACACAGGAAACTGCCATTTCTCGCATCCATGCTGCCCTCTTTCTATAATCCGTACCTACTTTTCTAGTCTTTGCATTGGCGTATGCTTCAAGAGCACTCTCATGCTGCAAAGGAAAAGGACAAGAATGTGATAGCCTAATCAAAGAAAGAGGGGATTTGCATCACGTATATAAAGGGGTGCACTTTCAAACTGTCCACCATCAAAACTCAACCGACACTTCTTCAAGATCCAAACCCTCAACAGCACGCAAGAACCCATCGCAAGAAACCGTCGCACGGACCTTCGCAAGAGCACGCTCACAAGAAGACTTACAGAACCCACAGAAAACCCCACACGTCCTGACCAAGCTTTCGCGCTTGCAAAAGTAAGATGATGCGACCGCCCATTTTTTTTTTATTATTTATTATTTATTATTTATTATTTATTATTGTGTTCACTATTAATTAACCAAGTCATGCAGTGTTGATTTTGGCACTTTTGTTGTTTCTTTTCCCAGCCCTGGTCTACAGCGCCTGCCCCCACCAGGCTGGCATTGCCAAGCCGTTAGATTCTTGTGGAAGGCCTATCGAATCTGGCCAAAGATACACACTTCAGGACAGCAACGGGAATGGCTATGTGACAAAGGAAGAGTCAATCGTGAAGGTTTCACCCGAGGGCCCAAACAACAGCATCCTGACATTTGTTTTCAAATTCAAGAACGAGGGATATACATGGATACTATACACAACCGACAGCAACATGAATGTCGAAGATAATTGCCTCAGTACTGGCCCTATTATAGCGGGAACACCTTCGAGGAAGATTATAACCGGACCCAATGGTGGAAGATTCAGCAACTTGTGCGATGTCACTTTCCAGGATCCCAAGAACACTGGTTCCTATGGACTTATGATGTATGCGAACACAGATTATTATCAGCCGTTCTACCAAAACGGCGAGTTATGGGCGACCAACTCCCTCACCTGTGGCGAGACCTTCCTAAATACCTACAAAGTTATCAAAGTCTCGAATGGTTCGCCTTCCATGCTCTTTGGCGATACGCTGAACCAGAACCTCGTCCCATGCTAGGCGAATATTCCGTTCCAAGATCCCAAGATAATATTTATTTATATAGTCCCCTTTGATCAGTCTGTTTTTTTACCCCGCCTCTTTCTTCAGCCCTACTTTCCCTTTCCTTTAACCGCCCCTTTCTTGAGTCCCTACTTTTCCTTTTTTTATTCCGTATAAAGCTCCAACTTCGATATCATTGGAAACACGTTTTTCACTTTTGTGGTGCCAATATGGACGCACGTCTCGTGTATGTTAGACGATTTTATATAAATAACTAGTTTGTGGCAGCTAAGCGTTCATAGCTTCCTATCAGTGAGCTGAGTTTAGACCGTCGTGAGACAGGTTAGGTTTACCTGCAGGCAATGGCCCGAAGCTGTCATCCGTTGGATTATGGTTGAACGTCTCTAAATCAGAATCCGTGCTAGGACGCGACGATTACCGCCTTTTCCGATTTTTAGTTGAATTTGAATAGACCCTCGGGTCCTGAATCATACTATGTGAGGTCGTCTTGTGGAGCGGAAAGGTTTCATGAAGGCGCCTGCTGATTGTGCCATATAGGACAGATGCTTTACTAGGTTCACGCTTAATAGAAAAGACCGTCCGGCGACCTATATACCTATATAAAGGGGACCGGACAGTGCTATTAAAGATCCCCCTGTGGTACTGAGCGCAGGAGGCCCTTGAGAGAGTATGGTTAAAATACAGGGCTGCCTGTAGAATTCGGACCTTGTCTCTTTTCTTGGTTTGGATATCGACAACAGCTTGGTTGTTCGAATATTGGCTTTTACCGGTTCATTGCTGCAGACTTCTTCAACTATTTCTACACCAAACTATCACCACTCCTTTCAACCAACCAACATGGAAGATCAGCCTAAAACTTCCACACCTCTCTTGTCACACGTCTAACTGTCATTGGATAGCAAGTGTAGGCCTCGGTTTAGAAAGCTCCCAAGGAACAAGCAGTTATTAAAGTGCTATCGGGTTTGACTTGTGGACAGGCATGGAACTATCAAAAAAACCCTTTCCAGCATCTCAAGTATGTTTCTCTGAAAAGAAGCCCTGTGGAGACTGCAAATAGCTCCCAAGGCCAATTGTATTATTCTGAACATGGCAATACAGCGTAGAGATGGTTTTGAACAATTGAAGACAACTTTAGTTTAGACTTACATATTATACATCTTCCCTTTATTTCGTCTTTAGAAGAAATCGTGGCGAGCCTTCTTAATGATATAATAGCTTCACTTCTCAGCATCCTTCTCAGCATTAACGTCCAATCTCCGAGGTTTCTAGGATGTCATTGTCATCTACGACAAATTCAGGAGCGCACGAGAGCGTTCACGCATAATGTTCTTTTGGATCTTGCCCGAAGGTGTGGTAGGGAACTCGGTGTGGTCAACCACCAATAAGTAACGGGGTACCTTGTAGTGCGCAATCTTGCCCTCGCAAAACTTCTGGACCTGCTCCAGAGTGACCACATGACCCTGCTTAGCCGCGACCCATGCACACACCTGCTCCCCGTAGCGCTTGTCGGGGACGCCGATGACGGACACATTCTGAATACTCTCCATCCCGAACAAACAGTTCTCTACCTCAACCGGATGAATCTTTTCGCCCCCGCGGATTACTACCAGGCGACAATGGGGGACAACGTTGGTGGAAGGTTAGTTCCGAGCTCAGCCGATATGAGCCTTTTTTCAGTTATTTCTATTTGATACTTCTCTTGGACGTACCCATGTCCTTGATGCGGCCATCAATCCTGCAAAAGCCGCGCTCGTCGAGAATGGCTGTATCGCCAGTGTGCATCCAGCTCTCTGAATCCACAACTTCATCCGTCTGAGCCTTGGACTTCCAGTATCCGCCTTCCATCACAGAGTAGCCACGCGTGCAGAGCTCTCCTGACGTGTTGACAGGCACGGTTTCGCCTGTTTGTGGGTCAACGACTAGGTGATTGTAAGCAAGTAAAAAAATAAACATAATGTTATACACTCTGGACCGAATGATAACTACAATAAAGAAGTAACAGCGGCTTGTACTGTTATCACGTACCCTTGGCTTCCAAGTGGGGCATGATACGACCAACAGTCTCGCACCGGTCCTGGAGTGCATCGGTCGTGCGCGTCATAAAAGACACGGGTGAGGTCTCTGTCATGCCATAGCAGATCGTGAGCTCCGTCAGGTGCATCTTAGTCTGCACGTTCTTCATGACCTCGATTGGGACCGGTGAGCCGGCGGCAATACCTGTGCGCAGTGTCGAGAGATCATATTTGCTAAAGTTGGGATGGTTCATTTCCTCCAGCAACATGGTGGGGACTCCATGGAGGGCTGTGGCACGCTCTTCATGAACTGCTCTCAAGGTTGACTCTGGGCAAAAAGACTGTGAGGGGTAAATGATACCAGTCCCGTGGGTCATGGCTGCCATGCTGGCGAGAACCAGTCCAAAGCAATGGAAAAGTGGGACGGGGCAGACGAGAAGGTCCTTTTCTGTCAGCCGCATGTTGTCACCAATAAAGATGCCGTTGTTCAGGATGTTCCGATGCGACAAGGATACTCCTCTAAGTATGATTGAACCGATCAACAGTATACGAGTCAATATCGTATTATATAGTCCAGCCGATCAAAAAACATCTCGGGTTCTTACTTGGGCAATCCTGTAGTGCCACTGGTGAACTGAAGATTGATAATGTCCCGGTTGTTGATGCCGAGTCTCTCCTTTTGCAGGGACTCATCCACTGCTATGCTTCGGTTCTTGACCAACAAATCCTGGAATTTTGTTAGGCCCTTCAAGCGAGCTGTCTCAGGGACGTCAGATCCATTGTCGAACATGATGACTTGGCGAAGCGAAGGGATATTCGCGGTGGCGAGCTCATTTGGCGACTGGTACTCGAGCTCCGGCAGGAGCTCGAGCAACATCTTACTGTAATTGGACGACTTTAGGCTGGGCACGCAGACGAGCGACTTGCACTCTACCAGCGACAGTGTCTGAAGTAATTCCTGCTTGCGGTATCTATTGCAGGAGTGAGCAATTGGCGTGTCAGCAGACCATTACGGACTCAACTAGCGCAACATTAGAGTGTATCGAATCATGAAAGTCGCGGCGTTGTGGTCTTACGCAGGATTAAGAGTAACGAGAATGATGCCTGACTTTGCAGTAGCGTACTGAAGTGTTGCCCAAGCACTGTTGTTTGGCATCCAGATACTATTATCGAGAACAGTAAAGTAGGATTGCGGTTATAATGAGACACCAACTATGCACACAGGAGTTGCTCCAGAGCGGCAACTGAATTTAGACTAACGCGAGTCGATCTCCCTTTCGAAGGCCAGATTGATAGAGACCACGGCAGAGACTGTCGACCTGCTCGCCAAACTCCCGGAAGGACCAGTGCAGGTCCTGCTCGTGTTTGACGACGAGTCCGGGGCGGTCGCCGAAGCGGTCGACGACGTGGTCCCAGTATTTGCCAATGGGGTCCTCGCACAGCTGGCGTGCATCGACCGTGGCGCCCTTTACATAGGAGAGCGGAGAGCTTTTTTCGGACTGAGCAACCGCGGAGAGGGATCGGAGGCCGAGTCTGAGGCAGGACTTGGTCGCGAGCGAGGCATGCCTTGGAATGAGTCTTGAGGATGGGTTGATGATGAGCATTGATGTGAAGGAGTGTGAAAGATGAGTACAGTATAGACCTATAGACCAAGAAAGTAGAATAGTTTAAAAAAAAAAAAAAAAAGAAGAGTGGGGAGGTTGGCCTGTTTAGTCTGACCGGACAGCGGCGGAGGAGGGAGGGGAAGAGTGGGAGGACAGATGGATAAGAAAGAAAGAAAGAAAGGAAGGAAGGAGGATAGCTAGGCTGGGCTGGAGGAGCCAGGGGCCATGGGGCGTATTTATACTCTCCAGGCGTCTTCTTTCTCCACAGGGACACCGCCTGGGGACAGGACTGCAAACGCAAAGTGTGGGAAAAAGAGGGCGGGACAGGAGCAGGCTCGGGGTCCCCCGCATCCCCCCAGGGCGTGGATGCCACCGCCACACACCTACGCGTTGCTGCGTGGACATCTGCCCTGGGGAGCCGAGCCTGCCCAGGGGCCCCCAAGGGGCAGATCCACGAAGGAGGCGAGACTCCCGTCATCATGGGCTCCTTGGCCGCCTCGGCGCAACGGCAGGGTAACTGGCCCATGGTTTGGGTTCATTGTTTGTCCGTGGAGATGCTTTATTGTGCCGTTTAAGGTTCCCTCCCCCACCCATGACTGACTCGGCTCCCCCCACACGCAACCTTACTTTCTCCCCCGATACAACTCTCACGCCGACAAAGCTCCTCCCTCCACAACAATGCTCGGCAGTGCCTTCCCTCCCCTCTTCCTCTCCGCAATCAGCTCCTCCAGCCGTCTCTGTCGTCCCTGTGCCTCCTTCCGCGCCTGCTCTGCCGTCGTTGCCTCGGCTGTGGATGCCACGTCCAGCCCCCGTCGTCCATCCCTGGTCTCCTCCCGTCCGAACCAGTCGTCATCCGTCATCGAGTAAAAATACGTGTGGCGCCAGGTCCCGTCCGAGTGGATAATGTGCTTGCGGTGCAACCCGTCCAAGTCAAAGCCGAGCTTGGTTGCCGCCTTTTGGGATGCAATGTTCTCCGAGTGTGTCTTCCACTGCACTCGGCCCGCCTGCAGACGCTCGAACGAAAACCGGAGCAGCGCGTACGTCGTCTCCAACATCACAAACGTACTCTGGACTGCAGGATGAAACCAGATGCTGCCCACCTCAAAGCGTCGAAAGGGCAAGGAAATGTCGAGCAGGCAGATCGATCCACACAGCACCCATTTCTTCTTTTCTGGATCTTCCCTCGGGTGTGCAGAGACATAACAGACCCAATTGAAAAAGTCCGAGGACTGGCAAAAGCGTTCCTGGATCTTATAAAATTCCTCATACGTCTCAAGGGCTCCATGCGGCATGTAATTGAATAGGTAAGTGTGGTTCTTGTACACTTCCCACAGCAGTGGAGCATCCCGATCGAGCTAAGAGTGGGCGGGTGGGCGGGTGAATGATGGGTCGGGAGGAGATGGAAGGACGCATCAGAGAATGAGTACGCGGAAGCACACATCAACGAAAACGAACAAGTGATAAGAATGCGGTCAAAAAAAAAAAAGCGCATAGGAGTGAATGGTTAAAGCAGTGGCATGGGCAGTATGTCGATTGCTGTGCCTGGATATCCGAAACATAGCCAGTGCAGTGACTAATGCAATGAGGCTCAGGTATATCTATCGTACATGTGTGGATCTTCAAGAGACCGGCAGCAAAACACCATGCACCGCCTTCAAATGCGCGCATAGCAGACAGGATACAACAATCTGCTGTACCAAACGCCTACACACAGACAGTCTACACACGCACCTGGATGGGCTGCAGAAGGATCTGATCAGTCTCGATCCTGGTCCCACTGTGGATACCGAGCGTCTGTTGTGAGTACTCAGACGAGGGCAGTTGAGTGTACTTGATCAGCTTGGTCAGGGTCATGTTTGGTGGCGTAAACCTGGGCCTGATCGAATGAAGATGAGAAGAAGATGAGAAGAAAAAAGAATGAGGAAAATGGAAGGGAAATGATCTCTCTTGCAGACCCGATGCCCTTTTAAGCTATGAGTATTTGTGTGTGATATGGAGCAAGACATGCTTTCGCAAAAATAATAAAAATCGCCACCGCCGCTTTGCCGAACCAATAGCACCCGCATCGATCTTCAATGAGTATAATAAACAGGGCGCCGCGAATACGTCAGACCAGAGCACCTGCCAAAGCTAAAGAGGTAAGGCTGACACGATGCAGTTACGCTGCGCAGAATATCTCAGAATATCTCTTTTTTTACTATTTCGATTTGACTAGGTTCCTGTTCTGAGCTACTTCTCGCCAAAGGAATAGGCACTCTCGGACAGACTCAGGAAAAAGTTCTTATGAAGGATCTTGGCCTTGTCCTCGCCAGCTGCCCCCAGCGCGACATGGAACGGCAGCAAGTGATCCAGCGATGGATGAGCAGACCTCAAGTACTTGGACTGCGCCATCTCATTGATCGCTGCCACTCGACGCTCGCTCTCAGACTGGTTATTCGAAGAAGAAAAAAGAGTTGACGTGTTGGTTATTGGTCTGCCCCATAGAATGATATGGGAATAAGGGAATACATCAATGATCGCCAGGTATACATACCTCCGACAGCGCGACTTTGTCTAGCAAGGCATCAAAGGGCGCAACATAAGGTGCCACTTTGGTTCCTGATCGCATGTACGTGCCCAGATCCCGCAGGTTATGTACGGCTGTACCACTCGCCACAATCAGCACATTTTCCTCACGAAGTTTTGTCAATGCCTGACCAAGCTTGTAATGGTACTCAAAGGTCTTCTCCGTCGGCTGGTCTCGCATGTCTGCAAGCGACATCTGAACAATAGGAATCTCGGGCTTAGGCAGGATGCGTAAGAGCGGCACCCACACGCCGTGATCGATTCCTCTCTTTGTTTCTGCCTCTGCTGGGATGTTTGCCTAAATTCAAAAAGAAACAAGTTGACAGATCAGAGTTACCGGAGGAATACAAGACGTCTCTATTTCCACAAATGATAACGAGTCCAGACAACTTACCTCACTTAGGAGCTGCAGGACTCTGTTGGCCAGCTTGGGGCTACCCTTGGATGGATATTGCAACTTGTACATAAAGTCGGGAAAATTGTAAAAGTCGTAGTAGAGTTTGTTCTCCTCCGATGTGCGGACTCGGATTATACCTTGATCGCCCTCCCAATGACCCGAGATCACCAGAATCGACGCCGGGGTTGGATCCGAGAGCGACGTCCATTTTTTACCGAGCTCTGCGAAAAAGTCGGCCGTAACCGATTCATCGACCGCCTGGTTGGGGCCTGCAAGGAGCACATCATTAGTTTTGAGTGTCACGCCATGGTATTGTACTCTTTACAAATGAAAATCGTATTAGACGGTATTGAAGCTTAGTTCTTACCAGCATGAGAGATAAAGTAGACAGGAAGCTTGTCAGACATGGTTGACGAAGATGTGGTTGTTGATGACGATAATGAAGAGGATGGCTGGATATGGCGGATGTCTTTGGAGTGGTCAAAGGAGGTGGAAGGAGCATGTTTACTAAGTGTTCTCACGGTCGCGAGGGACAGTAGGCGCGTGGACAGAGCAGAGAACATGTCCTGGAGAGACGAATGATGACTGCGAGTGTTGTAGCAATCAAAGGCCAGGGCGAGGAGCAGTGCGACCGTAACGTGGAGTGCGATATGGATCACCTTCATCCTTCCCTTCTATGTTCCCCCAGACTATTTTTTTTTTATTATTATTATTACCTTTTTTTTTTTTTTTTGCAAGCTGTGTGTGATTACCAGGAAAGGTGCGATGATACTCAAGATGAAGAACGATGTAAATTTGATAGAGCAGAAGGAAATGGGTCCAGATGCGTGCTCCTTTTATGCAGAGTGAACATCGCCGTTGCCATTAGTAATTTCGCCCATTGCAGTGGCTGAACTGGCAACTTTCTTGGACTGAAAAAGTAGGTTGGGCGAGTGGCGTTCCGTTCTTTGTCATCTAAACATCTATCTTCAGGTACCGGCACTAGCAGCAGCGGCCGTATCTTTATTCAATTGAAAGCAAATGTACCGGTATATATATGTATATAGGAAGGGTGTATTTGTCATCATACAATACTCGTAACAAATCAACCAGAAAAAGCAAAAGATAGGGCAACGGGGCTAGGAAGACGAATGAGGTGCATTTGCATCTGGTGCAGCATATGGGTTCACCGCAACAATCTTAATCACAGGCAGCGAAACGGTTGTGTCTGCAGTGATCAGCACCTTTACATGGCTGAAGATGCGAATCCTCGTCAGTCGTCGCGCCTCGTCTTCGGCCTCGTCCCCTTCCTCCTCTTCCTCTGCATCCGCCCCATTCGAGCCATCTCCTGAAAGGCCTTCGTTGTCATCGTCATAATCACTCTCGTCTTCAAACAGACCACGCTCATCCTCATACGCATTCGTGGCATCATCTGGATGGTCCATCGCATCCGAGCTGCCTGCATGGGCCGGTACCAATGTGGACAGGCGACGGTCCTTGTCGTCTCCCTTGGTCGAAACAGGGTCTTCCTCGACAATTGGCTTGAAGGCTTCCGTGCTCCAGTACAGCTTTAGTGTCTCTGAGGATTTGTTCCAGGCATGGCGTTCCACTGGCAACTGGTCCACATGCACTCGTTTTTCCAAGCCGTACTCTGGGACAAGAACATCAAAGGCTGAGTCCAGCACTTGAACGACTATTGCATCCCTGATCACCATTCCTTTGGACTCTGTCATATTCCTGAGTAGTACGCTGAGGTATACATGGCTACTCTGCTCCTGCGCCAGCTTCGCAGCGTCCCTCTTGATGTTACAGAGATTTGCGCATTTTTGACACGACTCCTTTGTCAAGTAAAATTTTGAATCTATATAAAAGGGTAGTTTGTCAGGAAAAATATTCATGCGGGGCAAATATGAAAGCCATGAAAATGATATAAGAGCAAACATACCTCCTGTAAGAGACGCTTCAAGCATGCGATGCACGATAACATCCGCATATCGACGGATAGGGGACGTGAAATGGGTGTACAGGGGAGCATTCAAGGCATAATGATGGTACTTGTCGGGACTCAACATGCCGCTGCAGATATACTTGGCTCGTTGCATGGGCTTGATCACTAGCAAACGGACCACCTTGCGCACATCTGAATCTTGAATTGCATCCAAAGACCGTTGCAGCGCTCCAGAGCTGGATGCATCCAAATCCAACCCGATCTTCTTCATATGCGAGATAAAGTGCATCATCCTCTTCTCGAGCGGATCCTCATGACGACGCAACAGAGCCTGCTCAGGGAAGGACTCACAGATCTGCTTCGCGACGCTCATATTAGCAAGCAACATAAACTCCTCGATCAGCCTGTTGCTCTCCTTGAGCTCATACACGGAGACATCCAGCGGGTTGTTGTTTTCATCCGTTTCGAAAGACAGCCTAATTGAGTTGATCGACAACGCGCCGTTCTCAAATCTCTTTTGGCGAAGGACTTGAGACAATTTCTACGATCAGCAATGAATAATAAATACAAGGTATATCGATGAGTAAACTTGCATTCATACAAGGATTGACACCTCCTTACATCGAATAGTAAACCATGACTTACAAAAAAGATCTGAATGTTTCCTTCAACCAACGAGCGCGATTGACCAAACACCTCAACCTTGGGATCCAACGAGCCCGTAGTGATCACCTTCTGAGCATCATCGTAAGACAGCTGGGCACAGGATCGGATGACCGACTTTGAAAATGAAGTGTCCAGGATCTGGCCGTCCTCCGTCATCTTCCAAAAAACAGAAAAGGCTAGGCGGTCGACATTGGCTGTCAAACTGCAAAGGTCCTCACAGAGAACATTTGGGAGCATTGGAATGGCCTTTTGGATAAGATAAACCGTTGTCGCTCTGGCTTTCGCCTCCCTGTCCAGAGCAGACCCAACCTTGATGAAGTGCGACACGTCCGCGATATGAACGCCAATCTCCAACGTTCCGTCATCGAGGCGAGTGCATGAGACTGCGTCGTCCAAATCCTTGGCGGTTGCCGGGTCGATCGTAAAGATGCAGTCCTTGCGAAGGTCGCGACGTCGGCTCAGTTCCTTTTCCGGGATAACCCAAGGGATCTCAGGAAGGCATTTCTCGACCTTTTCTCCGAAAGCAGTTGTTATAACATTATTATTGGCCAGGAGCGCCTCCGTCTCAATTTCAATGTTTCCAATATCGCCCAGTTCCCTCTCCAACTGTCCAAAGGGATGAAGCGAGCTCAAAGGCCAGCGCTTGATTGTCGCCACAAACAGCTTCTGGATATAAGATGAATGATTCTCCACAAAGTCCGCAGGGGCTTGGTCGATGGGAATAGCGATTAACGGGACGCGTTTGTCGGTCTAGAAGAGGCAACATATCGCACGTACGCGTGTCAGAATGGGTTCCGCAAAAAAATGCGGGGGTAATTCAAAGACAACCTCGAGAACTTACTGGCTTGAACCAGACTATACGCGGTTGGTCCTTTTGATCATCCTCGTCCTGCTTCTTGCGTTCAGTCTTCTTGCCAGAGCCACTAGGGCGTTGCAAAGTCAGCGTGCCCGAAAACATCTGGGACAACGAACGCTCGACAATTGACACAATGCGTCCGCAGTACTTGGGCTTTAACTCTTCAATATCTACTTCATCTGCATCCTCAGCATCTTCGACCCGCTTGGGCTTCTTCTTGTCCCTGTTGTTATCTCCCTTCTGCTGAGGCAACTCCTCGGGGTCGAAAAGCTCGATTCCAACAACATCACCTTCGAGTGCACGGTTTCTGTCTTTGCTGCCACAGATATAAACGTCGCCGTCGGGAAGCGTGTCGACCGTAACATAGGCGTCAGACCGGTTGCGCTTGTTGATCCTCAGAACTCCCTGGACGTACTTTTGCTTCTGTCTTGTCAATAATGAATGAAAGTCAGAGTACGTCAAATGGGCTGTGAACAGAGCACGACGGCCACCTGCAGTCTCCTTCAGGTTGATGCTGTCTCTCCTAGAATGTCCGTGGGTTGCCGCAGGGGTAGCTATGCACATGCGCCGGGAGAAACGATAAACGATACGTTAGGCAGTTAGACAATATACGCCATGCCAGGAACCTGTAATCAAATACACAACTGTCGCTTACACATGCGCCAATCTTTACGATCCGATTCTTTGACACCGGCAATAGTGGAGAGTCGCTTGTTGGTGGTGCCCAACACGCCAGTAGAGATCAGAGTCGATGCGCGGTTAGAACCAATGGCAGACGAGTGGAAGGCTGTTGTGAAACGACGACGGTCCTGAGCATCATCGTTATTGACAAGTGGTGCAGCACCGACGCCCTTCATATGACTAGGCAACCTAGCAGTAAACTCCGCCAGGGAATTTGCATCCACACCTGAGCCGAATCGCTGATGTGTGTCCTTTGACGAATAGCTGGAGCGGTTGCTTGATGCGCCCTTGCCCTCGAGGGCAGACAGGGTATCGGCAATGGCGTCTGGTTCATCATCGCTCGAGAAACTGAAGGCTGAGTGAATGAAAGGTTTGCCCTCCTGCAATGCAGCAACCTCTTCCGGCTTCACGATGACTGAACGACGATTAGGCTGGTACCCGGATGTGCTGCTTCTGCGCCTAGTGTCAAAACTGTCGCCCAAGGTCGCCGCAGCATCCCTAGAAAATGCAACAGATCGTCGGTGACCCTGCCTTTCATGGGTGCTGGTGGATGCCTCGTCCTATTCACAATACAAATCGTTCATCACATGTTAATTCGCCGCTAAAGAGATATTCCACAAATCAATATTGAGTATTGCTTGGTTACCTCGTCTTCCTTGAGTGGCACAAGCGGTAGTTTGCTGTCCGATACAGACAAGCGGCGAAGAGTTGCCACGGTGGACTGCAGAGCACTCTCGATTGACGTTCCACGAGGTGGTTGCGATATGTGGAGAGTCGTAGATGTCGCGGCGCCACTCAAGGGACCGATAGAGTTCCTTGAGGACAAGGAGGACACAGAAAGACGCTTCTCATGGCGAGTTGTTTCGAACGCTAATGTCTCCTCTCCGTGGTTGTTGGTGGGAGGCAGGCTTTTTAGAGCACTGATAATTTCTTGCAGGGACTCGATTGCCTTGCCCTCCTTTCCGGTCTCATGAGTGAGCTGCTCCAGTTGCTCTGCCATAGACAAGCTACGGGAATGTCGACGCTTGGGAGCACCAGCAGAGTGATGTGCGGATGAGTCTACTCTACCTTTGTCGACCTGTCTTTCCAAGGACTCATCAACGGTTGTAAGTCCTCCTCCGAATCGATTAAGCTTATCGAGGGGCGTCAGAGTCGAGGAACGGCGACCGGAAGGGCTCGCAGAGGTGATGGGAGACGAATGAACAAACGACCCACTGCCGCTCACTGGAGCAGAGAATGGCGAAGGGACATCTCGAGAGACATTTGTCTTGATGGACGTCAGCTTTTCGTTCCTGTTGCCTTTACTCTGAGTCGCATGATTGCGAGACTCCATTACAACTGGTGTCGCTGTCGATCCCGGCGTGAAAGAGCCCTTGCCGCCCGACAAAGAGCCGAACACCGCGGAGCCAGACGCTGTCAGGGGAGAAGCGAGCGAGGATGATACTGGGGAGGGCGAGTTTGGTGATGTTGGCGAAAGCGAAGACGACGAGGTCACGAACGAGCAAGACGAAGTGATCGAGGATGGGCGACCATCCTTAGGGGATGACTGAGTTTTGGTAGTACTCTCGAAAGGTTCATTGTGCTTGTCGTCGTTGCCATTGTTGCCCTTGGTACTATTGTTGCCCTTGGTGCTATTGTTGCCCTTGTTGCCCTTAGTGTCCTTAGTGTCCTTGCCCTTCTTCTCCTTAGAAATGGAGCTGTCTTGGCGCCTAGCAGCGGTCGTGTTGCTCTGGCGGGCGTCAGGGTCAGTATCCTGGGCACGCTTACCATCTCTCGGCCTGGTGTTGCTAGTGGCTCCGTGCTTGGTTCCATTACTCTTATTGGATTTGCCGCTAGACGTCTTTTCCTTTTCCTTGGATTTCTTGGTCTGGACAGGGCCCTTCTCAGTCTTGGTTTCGGCGTTGTCATTTCCTATGGCGACGTCCGTGCCACCGACAGAAGACGTAGAAATTGTTGTGGGCTCCTTGGCGTTGGTGCTCTTTTTTTTGCTCTGGTTGTTGTTGGCTGACGACGTGCTCTTTTTCCTGTTGTTGCCACCACTGTTGTTGCCACCACTGTTGTTGCCACCACTGTTGTTGTTGCTGTTGTTGTTGGCAGTGGTATCGTTGACATTGGACACAGACACAGAGGCATTCTCATTCGAAGTATTGTCGGGGCTCTTGTTCTTCTTGAGGGTCTTGGCTGCTTTGGGATCCTTCCTTCTGTTGCCATCGTTGTTGGTGTTGGTGGTTGAGTCGATATTGACAACAGCAGCAGTAACGTTCCCGCTCCCGTCCTTGACAAGGTCCTTATCCTTTTTGTGGGTCTTAATGTCCTTTGCATCCTTCTTCCGATTGGAATTGTTATTGGAAGTCCTGGTCTGATCTTTGCCCTTGTCATTGTTGCTGTCCTTTTCCTTGCTCATGTTATTGTCCTGGTTACTGTCGTTGTCTTGGCGGTCCTTATCCTTGATCCTGTTCTTGTTGAAAGGTTTCCTCTGGGCTCTCTTCTTGTTCGGAATTGTGGGTGCGGTCTGGGCCGAGGCAGCAGAGATAGAGGGGACGCCTGTAGGGGAAGAGGCAGGCACTGGTGCGGGTGCGGGCGCGGGTGCGGACATCGCGGGAGGGAGTGTGGAGGCCATGGTAGTTGTGTCTGGGATGGGAGACTACCGAATCACTGGCCTTTTTGAATGAGGGGGAGGAGTGGCGGTTCGACTGGTATACTCTTCCTGATGATTGGATGGAGATTGGGGTTGGCTGGGAGGGATGGGGGGTCGGATGCGGCGATGGAGTTGGGTGCTCAGGCGGAGGGTAGGGAAGAGGGACGGGAGTGAGACCAGGAAGAAGGAAGAGAAGAGGAGGGGGGAGGAACTGCGAGAGAGAGAGTATTTTATCGACTGCGGTCCAATTGTCTTCAAGGGCCTCTCCTGCGGAATGTGATTGGTGGCAAGGTCGAATTACACACCCGCGCACCACTGGACCGCCCCACACTAGACTCCACACTAGTCTGCACACCAGCCTCGCTAGTCCACAACACCAGACTCACGAGTCTGCACACCAGACTGGCGCACTAGAACAGCCTACGCACGTTCCAGATTACACCACATTCAGCTCCTTGAGTGCGCTGGAACGTGACAGGTCCGCACACATCGCCCTCTCTTCTGAATCCGATCCACTCTCTCGCTCCTTTTCCTCACCAACACAGCATCGGAGTGCCATGCGACCCTTCACCATCGTCGTCGCTGCAGATCTGGCCAACGGCATCGGATTCAAGGGCGGCCTGCCCTGGCGTCTGCGCAAGGACATGGCCTTCTTTGCCAGGATCACCTCCAAGACCCTTGACCAGGCCTCTGCTCAACAGCAGCAACAACACACTCCAGGCAGTCCCGCCACTAGAGTCAACGCCTGTATCATGGGCAGGCGCACCTGGGAGTCCATTCCTCCAAAGTTTCGCCCCCTCAGCTCTCGCTTCAATGTTATTGTCACCCGTAACCCGCACTATCTCGAGCAAGTCCTGTTGATCTTAATCCGAGCGCGTGTCCCGGGCTGGTTCTGGTGGCACCGCTGTGCTATCGTGTCTGAACAAAAAATAACCCCCTCAGAGCTGGGCTGACTTGGACTCATTCCTTTTGTTCTTCACTCTTAACAGCGACAAGCCTGAAAAGGACAATCCGCTTGTTGCCCTGGCTCCGTCCCTCGAGGCCGCACTGGATCTGGTCGGATCTCTTCAACAGCCCTCCACAACCTCTGAAAGCGCTTTAGAATCAGCAGCTGTTGCCCTCGCTTCAATCATGCCTGCACCGCTTACTCTCGTGCCAGCCGTCTCTAATAGCCAGATTCGGATCGATCGTATCTTTCTCATCGGAGGTGCTCAACTTTACAACGAAGGCGTTCAATCCAAGGACTGTGCCCACATCTTTATGACTCGCATCCAGACTACGCTCGAATGCGACACCTTCTTTCCCGAGATCAAAGAGTCGGTCTACAAGCTGTTGCCCAGTCAAGAGTCGCATGCGTTTTTGGAGGAGTTCCTTCAAGAACCTGTCGAGGGTGGTGTCATAGAAGAGGGCGCATTCAAATACGAATACGCTGTCTACAATCGCATCTGAACTAAAGAACTCTTTCTACTCTATTATCCTTACCTGTTGTCACTCCCATATTTTGTTTGGATGTTGTTATTTTGGCATTTTTTATTAGGCGTAAATAGAATGTTGAGACATGGTATCATACAGGCAAAAAGCAGGACAATTACTGGTCATGTAGAAAGTGGAAAAGAAAAGTACAGGTTTACGCCAACTTGGGAGGCCACGTTTTATTTCGAATGCGCTCCAATTCTGGGCCTAGCAAAAAACCAAAGCGCTCGAAAAAGGCCTCAGGCAGTTGCCAGCTATCCCTGCGCAGGGGCGGGCCATGGCAGATCGCCCCGTCAATCAGCACCTGGAAAAGCTCGTCCACGCTGTATCTGTTCTGGTGAACAATCATCTGCGCCCGCAGTTTCGGGCATGGAATATAGTCGATGCGACGATCGTGCGGCAGCTGGTAGATTTTAGGGTCGATGTCCGGATCACATTGTGGTGCTGCCTTGGCCAGAACCCGGAACTCCTTCTGCAAACGATGCTTCGGCACAGATTCTCTTCTAATCCCCAGAGTCATAGCAACCCTGTTAACAAACTCCTCATTCTCGTCATCTTCGTCCTTATATGCTTCCAGCTCTGAGGCAATCAAACACGGAGACGGACCGTCCTCGTTTCCTGATCCTGTCGTAGAACATCTGTCCTCCATCTGCATCGGCTCTGCAAAGAGCGAGTCATCGCTCACGACCTCCTGCGGTGTCGCCATGTTGATATGCAATGACTCCAACGTGCCTGGCGGGAAGAGCGAGGACTGCAGCTCATCAAACACTGTCGGGTGCTTTGTGTATTCCGTGTGCTTGGGCAAGTTGGTGCCTGGAGGACGGTAGGCTGGCCGTGGTACTGAAAGGGGTGCGAGTGACATGGTTGGTGCTGCTAGTTTGCCGTCGTCCAAGTGTTCGGGTATGAAGAGCGGCGGTGCTTTGTAAAGGATATCGCCGTTCAAGGAATAAATGCCCTCAGCTGTAGAGTGGCCCTCGGCTGCTACGCCCTGTGCGGCATGATCCTCTACCATCTCCATAGTGCTACCGCCGCTATTCTCGCTGAAAGAAGTAGGGAGACCCGGAGTATTTGAGGATTGCGCCGTTGACGAGGATAATATGGGGGTTGTTGCATCTGGGGACGGATGATTGGCGAGCGAGAGCGGGGTTGTAGGAGCGGCAGCAGGAGTGGCAGAAGTGCCTGGTGTGCCAGGAGTGGCAGGCGTGGCGGTTGTAGCAGGGGTAGAAGGAGCAGGGGAGGAGGCCTTGGCTGAGGCTGAGGCTGCTCGGCTCTCGTGATGGCGTCGGAACAGCTCATGCTTGACGTCCTTGAGAATGTCAACATGGTTGCCTTTGCTCAAAGCAGACTCGAAAGCAAAGACGACCTCGCGGAGATAAAAATTCTCGCTTTGCAAGGACTCGATTGCAGCCTTGAGCTGGTGGACCTCACGCTGATAGGCACTGACTACGAGAAAGTGCTGGTTTTTGAGATCCTTGATCATGTTCTCGAGTTGGTGCAGATGTCGCTCCTTCCTGTCCCGGAAGGCACGTTGTGCTGCTCTGTTCTGCTCCTTGCGCAGCGCAGGACAGGACGGGCCAGGTTTGCGTCCAGGCTTCTTGCGGACTTTTTCTGTGGGCTGGTCTGGGGTTGCAGCACTCTTGGTGTTGACATTGGGATATGCGGCGGTACTGTTGCTGGTACTGATGTAGGAGGTGGTGTGTGCGGCAATGGAGTTGTCGGTGTTGTTGCTGTAGTTGCTTAGAGCGTTGTCGTAGGTGTTGGTGCCAGGATAGTGGAATGCAGAGGTGTGTCCGTTGACGCTGTGGAGACTGAAGGAGATACTGGGATCATTACCCCGAAAGACAGGATGGTTGTGGGCAGTGTGGGTGCGGGCATTGTTGCTGGTGCTGGTGTAGGACATCTCGAAGTCGTCGTCATCGTTGTCCTGGAAGACGAGGTCGTCGTCCTCGTCCGAGTAGGACAGTTCGTGGTTGTTGCTGCTGTGGTGGTCGTGGCCAGTGTTGTTCATGATTAACTTTTTGCGTGAATGAGGAATGATGAGAGATGAGTGAGGAATGAGGAATGAGGAATGAGGAATGAGGAATGAGGAATGAGGAGGAGGGGCGGAGGGATTTGTGGAGAAGGATGGAAGTGGAATGAGCCGCTTGCTGCAGCAAGGTGGGGGTGAAGTGGGAACTTAAAAGCACAAGAGTGTCACACTCCGAAGAAGCGAGCATCCTCTGAGCGGCAGCAACCCACCAGCCTGGCCCTGGCAACGAAGCGACGCAGATCAACCGCACGCTCCACATGTCTTTCCAAGTCTCCGCTGGACATCCGCATCTCGCTCTCCTGTCTTTGACAAGACATGACATTTGACATCCATCTGCGGCTTCAATTGCACATGGCCGCCTGTCCAAGCGACAGCACGCAAGGAAACCTGTGCTTCAGGACCCATTGCGTTGCGAATGCTGGCCCGCACATAATGCGTGTAGCACAAAAAACAAATTCAGGTCCAGTCCCTCCGGTACGCCATAAACCTTTTTTGACGTTTGGACAGGGCTATCTGAAGAGCCTGTCATTTAAGGGCATGCGAGAGCCTAAATGGCTCACTGAAATGGGCAGCGGCATGACAACAAGAGGCTAGAGTACATGTAAACAATCCATTAATGCATGGCCCTACTTTCTTTGTGTTCTCTTATGCAGACGCAACATGCGCACCGTTCATCTCAGTTCTTTGCCTTTTACAGTACATCCATGTCAATACAATAACCCGGTTCTGATGTATTTCGATATAACATACATATACTCCGGTATTTGTCGACTGGTGCTTATCGACCGGTATAGCTTTACGCATCAGATAAACTTCAGAACGCATCTACCACCGATTATAGCACGTTTTTTTCTGTGGATTGTTAGGATTGTTATTGCTGTATTTCTTTTTACCATCCGATGCCGCCATCCTTCATAACGCACCCCTCCAGCAGCACCAACCGCTTCAATATGAGTGACGGGGGCATGCCCCCTCGTTCTTGGTCGCAGCACTGAATCTCTTCAGCAATATCATGAAGGCCCCATCCACGAGCCACCAGGCAAAGGCGTGCCGTACGGACAGAATTAATCCAAGCAGGTCCTGAACAGCACCGCAGTTTGTTCCACCAAGTTCCATCTAGAAGACACTGAGTTTTTCTAGCTCTCGGTAGCACTGATAGAGAGGGGGTTGCCCATCTCAGTCAGGTCAAGAGAAAGGCCAGGTGATCCAAGGCGAGGGTGGATGGATGGCGCAAAAAGAGATTAACTTTACGTCAGAAACGCACGGCAGCGCCTTCAGCATTGACCGCGTGTCCAATTGGTTGACAACGATGTCAGCAGAGTCAACGACGCCGAGGGCAGTGACCAAAAACTTTGGACAAAAAGCCACTCTCAGCGAGGTATATAAACCCCTTCTTTCTCCGATGTTCCAATCCGCAACTCCCTCCCTCCCTCTTTCTCTCTGTTCCCACAGTTCCGAACCATGTCGAACATCCGTAACTCCGGTACCAACAGCCAGGGCAACCATTACTGCAACCGCGGTGAATCCGCCGCCCCTGGAGGAAGCTACCACTACTCCAACACCAATGGCTCGTACTACTACCAGAACACCAGCGGTTCGACTTACTACAACAACCCGAACACCGGCTACGTGAAATATACCCCCCCAAGCCAGTCGAGCTCCAACAGCGGCAACAGCGGTTACTCCGGACGCAAGTAGCGAAATAATGCCGACTTTTGGCGCGAGCCAACATCAGGATAGCTGAGCGCTCAATAGGCGTCCGCGGCAAATTGTATCGTACACAGTGAATATCGTCAGCTACGCTAGCCAGAATTTCCTAACCATTAATAAAGAAATGTATTGGCAGTATTAACAACATATGTGTATTCACCATATTGTCTTGCTTATATAAAGTGCCCCATTTCTCTGAATCCGCTACCACTCGGTACCGGTCCTTTATGAAGAGCATTGTGCCTCTGAGACTACCTCCTGTATTTCTAGTCTCCTATACTAGATGCATTCATAGTTATTCCCTTTATGTAAGGTACGATCTGTCACTATTAAAAGGGCATATCGTTTTTCACAGATCTATCGTTCCCACATATTCCGCAATATCGCAACTGCTGGGCCTTGCCTCCGAGCTGAGAGCCTCGAAGAAGGAGAAGATCCTGTGCTGCGCTGAGATTCTACTGATTGTAGCGGATTAAACTGTGCAGATGCTGATGCTGTGCGGGCACGCGAACTGTTTGGCTGCAAACGTGCAAATATTTGCAGGCAATTTTTTTTTTTTTGATAACTAGAACCCACGAGGATATGTAGAATTTATTAGTGATATTTGCAAGCAACTATTGTTGGCGACATTGGGTGCGGGGAATGGAACGTGGGCATTCAAACTGCGCTGCTTTACCATGATTAGAGTATTTAAGCGAGCATCCCGATTTGCAGCGAGGCGCAGTATTCACTGACATTTTTTTTCTATAATTTCATTGTCAATACTTACTACAGTCCTCTCTCATTTTCGATACTTTTTTTCGTCGAAAGTGAGATCGCTAAAGATTCCAGCGATTCTATTGGCTGGAGGGGCATTTTCAGTCAATCAGAGTACTCTATATCTAGGCTCGTAGCACTCTGCCCTCCATCATCCCCATCCCCATCCTCATCCTCATCCTCGCCAGCGTTCCCAGCATCACTAGCATCGCCAGTACCAGTGCTCCATAATCCCTCTCACCACGTTCTACCCATGCTTCCTAAGATTGCAGACGCGCTGGACCGACCTAAGTCGAGCGAGGACGCTTCATTGTCGGACGCAGGTCGCGGTAGTTGGACACTTGCTAGCAAAAAGCGGATCATGGACAATTGGGATATCTTTCACAGAGGCTATCAGGACCTGCTTGGCAATCCTGTACCAGAATTATCACCATCAATGAAAGACTTTGAGACGGCTAACAAGCTGCCACCTAAAACGATCACCCGACTCATAAAAATGAGGCCTTTTATCAACAAAATGCCTACCGGCTCTTTGGATACAAGGTGCTACACCAAAGCCCACATCCGCGAGTTTTATCCAGTCGAGACGATTCTTCACCAGGAGATCCAACGTCTCCGTAAAATGAACGTGCCGGTAGATCAATGGCTGTTACAGTTGCTTGCAGGAGAGGTATACGACCTGCTTGTGGAAAGAAATGGACCACTCACGTTTGAAAAGCCTAGATTCTCGTCCGGTTGGGTAGCCAGTTTCAAGGCCACCTGGGGACTGTCGTTTCATAAGCTGATGGGCGAGGCAGGGTCGGTTGATTGGGATGCGATAGCGGGGCAAGTGGAGGGTCTCAAGTCAATTCTTGCGACCTATGATCTGAATGACATCTACAACGCCGACGAGACTGGCCTTTACCTGCAGACCACCTCAAGTTGGACGCTCGATGTCGAGATGAAGGCCGGAGCAGCCATTCCAGCATCGCGCGTCTCCATTCTCTTCTGCACCAATGCCACAGGAAGCGACAAGCGAAAGCCTTTTATTCTCAGTAAGTATCCTGTCAGAAGTTGATATTCGGAACGAGGAGAGACATGGTTTATTTTTATTTTTATTTTTATTTTTTTATGCTGGATGCCATGTTGATCATATTTGGATCCATTTAGGCGAAAACCTTGCTTCTGGCTTCAGGAAAGATGAAACGCTGCAGCGCTTGGTGGATGTCATGCCATGGGATACTGCAAAGCAACCACGCAAGTCCAAGGCAGCTAAAGCAGCGGCAGTCGCCCAGCAACAGCATCATGACGCTAGTGGACAAGATGGCGCACCTGGCAATACACAACACCAGCAACAGGAGGCCACTTCACAGCATACCCAGGCGCAGAAGCGGCAGACTAACAAGCGAGCAGATTACATGACCAAGTATACCTTTACCCACTGGCTGCGCCAGTTCCAGCAGGACATCGTCGCGGAGGACCCTGATCGGCGCGTGGTCCTGCTCATCGACAATGCATCATGCCATGCAGTGGTAGAACGGTGCAGTGTCGATTTTCCGAACATCAAACTGCTGCTTCTGCCGCCGAACTCGACATCAGTAACACAGCCCCTGGACGCAGGAATCATTGCTGTTTTCAAGAGGCGGTATCGTAATCTCATCCTAAAGTTACGTGTCTTCAAATCCTCCCAGCCAGTGCCAGACCCCAATGCGCCTCCTAAAGCGGCCAGCAAGGGAAAAAAAAACACGAGGAGGGCCAAGGCAGTCGACAAGGCCATGAAGTCGAAGAAGGATGGGTCTTTTAGGGTGTCCAACCTCGAAGGATGGCACATGATAGCTGCTGCCTGGAACGAGGTGGAAGGCAAGTCCATCCGGAGCTGCTTCAGACACGTCCCCATTTTCGGCGAGGCCCAAAAACAGCAACTTTCAACGCACACTTGTTTAGAAGAGGAGGTGGTTGCGGCGCTCAAGGAGACCCAGCAAAACATTCTCCATCGGTTCAGGGTGCAGGGTTACCACGACTCAGTGAGTGGCAGAGACCAAGGTCAGAGCGGCTCGTCAACAACGCCAGTCCTAGATATTTTAATGGACGCCGCGGAACAAAACGCCCTCGTCCCAGAAGATGGCTCTTCGTCAGCAATATCAAGAGGTGTTTCAATCATGGGTGCTCTTGAGAGCCATGAGAAGCTGCTGGCTTCAACCGCGAAACTTTTGA